GGATCTGTCGTCCCCGGGATAGTGATAGCGGAGCGGTGCTCTGCATACGAATATAGATAAAGCGGTGGGTAGTGTCGGGGTTCGCCAACTTCGTCGGCGCCTTCGCGCGATGAGAAATGCGAGGTCGCAGCCAGACGGTTGCTGTTCCTCCTCCTTCTTCCTCCTTCTTCCTCGAGAAGAAAAAAGGAGAAAAGACGGGAAAAGAAGCTCAAATCGAACGCGTTTTCCGCGAGACTCCGCATTTTCCGGCTTTGTGAACGATAAATCCTTTTTTGTTTTTTTTATTTCTCTACACAACTCTACCGATACAAATCGATTTCATAGACACCGAGTAGGTAAGTCGCAAGTAGGTTGACGTTCAAGGAAAAATTGAGCAAGCATTAATTGTTGACCGCGCGGCGTGCTATCGAATTTGTTGAATTTACATCGTAAATTTTTGCGCGAGAAAGAACAGCCTGTAATAATTTTAAACTTTAGTGGTTTGTATTTAATTTGGCCCAATGCAATTGCCTTTTATCCCCTCGAAATGTGAATTTTGTAGGTCGGTGTTCGCGCAAATAAGCGACATGAAGAGAATGCACCCGATGCAAGAAGTTCGAGAAATCTCGACTGCATCTCGTTACATTGAGAAAGAGATTCCCCCGCCATTATTACGTGTTTGCGTCAAAACTTAAAGTCCTTCGATACACGTGGGCGAAGGACAGCCTTGCGCGTAGAGATGTGGGTCATTCTACATGCATATGCGCATAGTTGCACTCGGTCCTGTGTATCCGAATGCCCCAATGACCTGGTTATCCGATCTCGGCATGACCTCGGCTCGTGACGCGCGAGCGCTCGCAAAATCAAGGTAAACCCATCGCGGCGTACATTCGCGATTAGCCCAATTCCGCTCTCTTTCTTTCCTCCGCTATTTCTTCCCTCTTGCGTCGCGTCCCTCTCTTCTTCATTCTTCCTCTGTGTTCTCGCGAAGTACCGTAAAGCCCTCACTTCCATAGACGTAAACGTAACGGTATATCACTCGACGCGTGCCGATCTTCGCATCCATTAACGCGTTATCGGCGCTCTTCGAAAATTGTAATGCGCGCGTAATGCCACGTGATCCCGAAGTAAGCCGCTTCAAGCTTACTCGTCTCCTCCTGCCGTTGATTTTATTCCTCTTCCTGCCCCCCTCCCCCTTTCCGCGCGGGAGCACCGATAATAATGGTCTTGGTGTCACGAGCGATCGAGGTCCGCGGGTTTTCTTTTCTCTCCCCGAGAAGAGCTTCCAAAACGAGATTATATAAAGAGAGTTTATTCTTCGTTTAATTGCCCGAGACTTCAGACTCTCGGGCGAAATTTTCACTCGAAACTAGGTGTCGAAATATTTTACGTTGGACAAGAAAAAGTAGGTCGGTCTCCACGCGATGTCGTTCGAACCGTGAGTAACTGCTATTTTTTTTTTTTCTCCCCGCGAAATATTTGATAAAGGAGCCCAATTGAGTGTCATTAGGATTACTTTAACGGAATTTTAACTTGAACACGCCAGGATATTTAACGTCGAACATTAAGAAATGGGTCATCCTCCGCGTGATATTACTAGGTCGAATTCAGCAAGTAACTTCCGCTTTTCTTTGCCTCGAATTTATTTCCGTGTGAAATATTTACGTGAAAACGTTTATCCGACATTCTCGGAGTGGGCCACGTCATGTTGCCGACTATAATAGTCGGCTTATCGATTCTTTCTGCACGCGAGTGTCCGAATAAAAAAATATTCGCTATCTTTTTTTTCGGGAATCGCACGGATCTGCGCGCGATATTCGGAGGCGATATCTCCCGGTGAAAAAATGGCAAACACCGACGTATCCTCAGCCTACGATTCCATTTTAAGTGGCATTAGCTCCTTAATTCACTTATCCGCGTTTCATTAGAAAAGCAGCGAGACATTCATTATACTTTCCAAGTCCACATGCAACTTGGCCGCCGATAGAACGCCGACCATTATCCCGAGTTAATTTAAGATGATCCCACTTTTAAGATTATAAGTTAGCGAAACTCCTCCAAGTTGCGTGTCGAACTCGGCTTCTTAAAGCGATTATCCAGCACCGACATTAGCTCCAAGATTTACCCTTCTTTACAATATCTGCACTTGATTTAACCCGCATCTTAACCCGCTTTAACCTTCGTAGTCTTTAGTAAAGTTCAAGTTGTGCGCACTAGCCGCGTAAAAATAATTCCGCGACTATTAATACCACGAGGGAAGATACATTCGATACGATTGTTAACGCTAACGCACAGACGAGAGATTGGACGTACTGGAGCGAGACGTGTGACAAACCGTCTCTTGGCCCTCTTCTTTTCTTTCTTTCTTTTTAAACGAGATCCGCCCATTATATTCTATTCTGCGCGGTGAAAGCAGCGAAAGTATCAGGCTGCGCGTAACGAAAGAAACGAAATATTCGACGTGCTAGGCGGCGCGACATCGTTAGATTCACGTCGCTAGGCATTTAGGTGACGCGGTATGGCGTGGGTAAATCGAGGACGGATCGAGGGGCTCTCTCGCATTCGAGAGTAACCCCTCGGCGCACCCTCTCGGCGAATTTTAGCCCCGCTCGCCACATTATCCTTATCTTTTCGTTTTTTTCGTACGGGGGGACGCGTCGAAAATGTAACCACGAATAACGCGATAAGTCGCGGGACGATCGAGATTTCGCGTTCACCGAATCGGAACAACTGCAGACGAGGCGAGGCTCTGAACGCGGAAGACTAGACGACGGAGAGAAAGAGAGAGAGAGAGAGAGAGCGAGAGAGGCGGACGAACACATGATTCGAGTAATCTACTGGTATGAATAAGTCCCTTTGAAGTTTGGACCGTGGTGTACGAACAGAGTCGTCCAAAACTCTCCTCGCGACTTTTGTGGATTTTACACACGCGAGTTTCGAGGAAGAAAGAAAGACAGAGAAAAAAAGAGAGCCTCTGAAACGAGAGAGAAGATGGAGAAGGACCTCCTTTTCTGAACACAGCTCGACGAGCTTGGTCGTCCCAAATTGCGGGTACGGAATAAAAGTGTGTCTCTCTTCTCGGGACTACGTTAATGAACCAATTGTCGGAGGCGGTCGATCCACGCATCGGTCGCGTTCTTTCGATTGATGGAAATCGCGCTACGATTTCGCGTGCGAATAAACTTACGGCACGCAATTTGCAGCTGAATGGAGCCAGCACCGGCCACCTGGTCGTCGGCTGCTCGGAAAACCGATATCTCGTTATCGACATATTAGAAAATGACGACGACAGGGGAGCGGGATTAAGATACGTGATGGTGCGCGTTAAAGCATGCGTATTGTCGCTCCTGATTGCAGCGACGCGCGTTACGCAATATTTTGCGCTCCTTGTTCTTGTTCGTTCGCGTGAGAGTTAGGAAGGTGCGCTGAGAGAAAAGAAAATAAAAGAAAATAATAATTATTTATTGTATAGATTAAATAAAATGTACGTATATAAATATTTTCTCATTTGAGAATAATTTTTTTCAATGTAAAAAGTTTAGCATAAGTAAATATATTTTATTAGTATTCATCGAATAAATATTTTTTATTTCTTGGATATTTCTTCCCTTCCCGGAGGGGGCGGAATTGAAAGATTGTCTGAAGGAAAACCGGTTGTGTCCAGAGATAAAAATCCAGGCACGGGGATTAAGGTTTTTCGGCAATATCGTGTTTGCTCGAAAAGCGATGCATGGTGATATATTCTTGTTCATTATTCCTTCGATGGAGAGTAAAACAAATACGGAAAAAATATTTTTTACATTCGCTCTGTATCTCATAAATGTTTCTCGTAAATGGCACTTGCAATATTTTACTATTGGGAATTCTATTCGTTCACCGAATCCTACGCCGTTAACACACATTTAACGTGGAACAATCTGAATTCGTGCAAAAAGCGTTATTCGATAGAATTTTCGTGAGGCGAAAAACCAAGTCGAAAAATGTCCCGGCTTTTTCATTTTCGAAAGTCGTGTAAAAGTGCTGCAATGGAAAAATGCGTGTCACTGCATTCAAGTTTCTACTTTGCTAAAAATTTGCGGCTCACACACACACACACACACACACACACACACACACACACACACACACACACACACAAAACATACACGCGCATGCGTGACAGTACGAATCCATAGTGCGACCTCTTCGGAAAAATTATGAAATTGGGCGAACGGAATAAATCAGCAGGTCTCTCCTCTCACTCACCTCACCTCACCTTACTTCGCTCATTCCACCCGCCTCTCTCTCTCTCTCTTTCCCATTCTCTTCCCGCATAGCGCGCGCACGAGTTTCCTCATTATACCTTTATTATACGCTCGCCTGCACTATTCCCCCGTTATACACTTTACAACAGGCAGCCAACAGCGAGAGCCAGCCTCGGAGCCGCGCGCGAAAATTCCCGCAATGCCAAGGGGAAGTCTCGCGTGCGGCCGGGCGATAATGCTCGCCACGGGGACGATGATTTAACGCTTTAGCAGCGGATTGTCGCGACCACGGTGACCGCGAAGGGTCACGAGCGGTCGAACCCTCCGAGCGCACCGCCGAACGGCCACGCTGGTCCAGCTTCGTCGTCGCGCTAATTATTTATGTTGTCCGATCTTCGCACTCTCTCGCTCCACTGCTGACGTTAATTGAATTCGCGTTCGTCCAGGGGGGGGGGACAAGACCGTCCGAATGGGTGCGAGCGTGTAATCGCGCTTGATGATCATTCTTTGGACTTTCTTCAAAGCTTATTCATTTATTCCGCCGCCTCGGTCTCGCCTTTGTGCGACGCTACTTGGCTGATGATATGATTCGATAACGTATGCGTACACGTGTCCACTTGTTAGTACGAATTACTAATGATGAAGATAACAAAGTGACACGTTTCGATGATACATGTGCGTCTGATTATTTGCGATGTCGAAAAATAAGTAAGTCTGAACGCCGATTTTGATGAGCTCCTTACGCTAACCGTTCTTGTCCCTTTGTGTGCTTCGCAGATAAATCTACGCCTCATCCTCGTCAGTGGTAAGACAAAAGAGTTCCTATTCAGTCCGAGTGATTCCGCGGGAGATATAGCGCACCATGTGTTTGAAAATTGGCCGGAAGGTGAGTCAGTAGTTGCCGTTTCGAAACTCCGGTTGCATCGCATCGATGTCCATTAGTGTTAATATCATTGCTATAACAGGCTCTCTCTCTTCCCCCTCCCCCATTCTCTCTCTCTCTCTCTCTCTCATACGACGCTGTCCGCAATTATTACCATTAATTACCGATGCCATCGTGTCACGATAATAGCGGCACATTAAATCGTTTATAGGACACATCTAGGATTTAGGATCCATTAGTGCCGCCTTCGAATTCCAGCCTCATCGGCGAGCGGATAAATCTCGTTCTCGGCGTGATTTGAACATGATAAATTCACGCAGAGACACAAAGAAACGCGACAATCATTGAATTATAAAATTGCGGCCAAAGTTACGCTCGATTGAATCGACCGGCGCGAGTCCGCGTACATTCTCCACACGTTGCTTCTTTAACATTCGATTGCTTCGATACTCCTTCCGGAAACTTTTTGCGAGTAACTCGAGAGAGAGAGAGAGGGAGAGAGAGAGAGAGAGAGAGAGAGAGAGAGAGAGAGAGAGAGAGAGAGAGAAAGCTCTCGGCATCTGCCCAATGTTATCTTCGCATTGCAGACTGGGCAGAGGAGGCGGTGGCCAAGGCGGAGATCCTGCGGCTAATCTACCAGGGTCGTTTCCTACACAGCAATGTTACGCTCGGTGCTCTCGGGCTTCCCTTTGGAAAAACCACAGTGATGCATCTGGTGCCGCGGGAGAATCTTCCGGAGCCTAATTCTCAAGGTGAACGACGAGACCCTTTTGCCTCCTCTCCGTGAACGGTTGCGAAACTTTTTGCATAGGGATTTTTCCTCTTTCTTGCTCGCCGGAAGTCGGGAAGCACGTCGGGAGCACGCGTGAAATTTTCGTTAACCTCTCTCGTGTGATCAGTTCTGTCGAATCGTCGTAATAACAAGACTGCCGCTAATAAAACGCTGCAAGCTCTTTCCTCGGAGGAGAATAAATTGCCCGAATAAGGGTTAATTCCCTGCAAACCTACAGCGCGTATAAAGGCGTGCAATACTCTCGGCATTGTCCTCTTAATAATATCCCGGTTGAACCTTCGCGCGCGTTATCGTTCTTTAAATTTGTTTACCTGGTCGTCGGTCTAAACTAAATCTGTCGCATCGGTACGTGACGCGCTTGCGCAATTATTACGGTAAAATTACGTTACAACGAGCCACGCCGGATCTCCAAATTGAATTTGTTATGCCGAAAGTTCGTTATATCAAGCCGCGTATTAGATGGAGATTCAATCACACTTCGTTACAGTGTGAAAATGTCGTTCCATCGGCATTCATTATAACAGAATTATATCGATTAGCTGTATTTTCCTGCTATTTGACAACGTGTACGGGTCGCCGGAAAACGGGACGATTTATTTTAAGAACAAGCTTCTCGATGGATTCAGGAACGATCTTTCTTCTCAACGGAGAGATGTCACGATACGAGTTATTGTTTATTGCAAAAAGGCTCGATATTGATTCATTCGCGAGTAACTTTCCCCGCTTGAAATGCAATGAAGAACAAGGTGGAAATGAAATTATTAATAGATTGACTAAAACAATTAAAAACAATTAATCGAAGTGATCGAAGTGAAATTGTTTCGCAGTGAATTGTGTCGTAAAAAAATTTGTTGAACGGTCAAATTAGAAAAACGCGTGTATCGGAAAACCTCTCATCTCGCGACCTCTGCGAAAGTGTTTGTTTCTCGCGGCGCGAGTGCATCGATAAATTGGGCGGAGTGATCGCTATCGATTAAACAGCTCGCCATACAACACCGGTGAAAGGCCGATCGTGTCGGATCATCGGACGCGCGTAATCGTCAACAGTTAATTCCTCGTTGCGCAACGCGCATCGCCGATGACATATGATTTCGCGACTCGTAGCGCAATTTTTCCTCTTCCCAACATTTTCTCCCTGACGCTTCAGGCATGCGTGCTTCCGCCCTCGCGAGCGAGAGAGAGAGAGAGAGAGAGCTTTCCCAATGAATTGTTAATCGCGACTCTCCCAAGAGTGGTTACGCGCGCCTGAATCGATTGAGAATTCAACGGTTTATTTTTACCTCCATCCTCCTTTACATTCCCAAGTTCCCGATCAAGTGAACTTTAGCGCGCGTTTACTGATAATTATTAATCGATGCGACGGCAAGTGCGACGGATGGAACGAGCGGGTGGGTTAATAATCAGCTTTGATCGATGGAGAAGATAATCGTTCAAGAACGACACATTGTGCAACTTCGTAACGACGGCATGCCGCGCAACTTCGCACAACGGGAGGTTTCCTCCTTTTTAAATCGCCCCTTTTTTTCCCCCGTACGAGTCGTACCGTCAGCTGTACGAGGCGAGGTTATCATCGCGCCGAGTGCGTGTCGCCCGAAAGAATCCACATCGGAATGCCCGTTCGAGAAAAATTCCTCCCGCCTCTTCACATTTTGATATTGTGCCCGATAGATTAGTCGAATTAACATGCGATTGTAACACGTTTTTGCTGAACCCCGAAAGCACGAAATCACGGTGCTAATAATTGTAAACCCACACTCACCTTCCTCGCACGATCCTTTTTATAGGCATCCTACCTAACGGTGAGCACATGTATATCCTGCCCGAAAACCTTGACTTGAGCTAACAAAGAACCATAGATCCTGTCCACGAGCCAACGTGAGTCTCCCCCTCATTTATTCCAACCGACACGGTTCCAGCAGCGAATATAAACGTCCCATTTTGTAGCATTTCATTCCGCGAGTAGAAGGCGGACACGCGAGAAACACTCGTGGCGCGAAATACCGCTGAGACGGATCTCGCGAATCGACGTTTTCGAGTAAATCAACGTCGCGTTCCTTGTTGCAGATCAAAGGCAAAAAAGTAAAGGTGGCGGGAGCAGTTGCTGCTCGGCTTCCTGCTGCATACTTTAAGATCGCCGCCAGCGTGCGTCGCCGACGTGAAGATTTCGTCGTGATGGATGGGCGTGCAGCATGGGCGAGCGCGCCGTGTCGCGAGCTCACCCAGGCTGAGCCATGGTTTCTAAGGTTTTGTGCTGATGTATAATCGTTAGTGGCTGAGCTCATGAGCAGTGTAGCAGCAGGCCGGATTACATCGAGAATCGCGAGAGTCAGTCGCGCTCTCCTCATCCTCGTAGGTTCGACGACACTTCGGCGGCCCCCTGCGAAACGACGACGACAACAACGTCGCTTGTACTCCGTCATCGTCGCCGGAGAAGACGTACGTTGCATCGTCATAGCGTCGGTCGGGAACTCGCCGAGTTTAGCCCGGTCAGCCCGGTAACAACGCGTGCATGATCGGTGACACACAGCCGCTGAGGAAAATCGAAACAAAAAGAACGCGGGGTGTTTCTCTGTCGCGATCGAAACGACAGTTAAACTCGTCGCCGAGCGAACCGGCCGACTTGCGCCGATAGCGACGATTAACTAACTTTCGACTGACGTTGTTGATTTGATGTGACTCCTGTCGCGACGTACAGGCGTGTACAGGCGGGAAAGATTTGATTAGTCGTTGATTCAAGTCGGTTATTTCAATCGGATTTCGATTAGCAACTGTCCCCATTTTGATTCGTGGCTGTAATGTTATTTGTATTAACATGGCGGGGGGAGGGGGGGGTGAATGTACGATCGTTCACGCGAGTATAATCTTGATCGTCTTAACAAATTCTCCGATTTATTAAAGAATACGAGTTAATAAATCAACGTCGCAAATTAATTCATTTTGTATAGCGCGGTTTTTTACATGCGTTACAATATCGATTATAGTGGAAAAGTGGAACAATCGTAACTTTATTTGAACTTCTTTGTCCCTTCTTAATTCGTAGCTGTAATGTCGCGATAAGAAAAAAAGGAAGATAATTTGATCAAGTAATATTGAATTTCGTGGTTGGCGCGTTTCTTTATGGATAAAGAGCGCGACTCTAATGACAAAGGAGCGAGAAAGGAACGAATCTAATTGATCGCAGTTACTCTCAGTTAACTAGGTTTCAATCACGAGCGTTCGCTCGCCCGTCCCGAGAAAGAGAATAAATAATCAAATGAAAGCGCACCTGACGATATTTGATCCGCGTTATCTTAACTTGATTCTCCGTCTGAAAGTGACCGATAATTTTTACGTAAGACGTCAAAATTGATTTTAACCTGAGTTGGCCGGCGCTACTCGGTACAAACGGTCCGAAAGAGGCGAGACAGAAAGGCGAACAATTACGGCTTAGTAACTGTCGTGCTTCCGCAGATTTTCGTGATCTCGTTTTCGTTGTTCTCGCTCGGTATAACGATGCCGGGCGGTGACGAATGGAATTTCAGCGGGAATGTCGGATACAGCAGGACTGCCAGGTTCTAAGTGGAGACGCACCCTGGAACGGCGCTACAATGCTTAGAAACTCAACCACTATCCCCGATACTGCAGCGTTATAATAATTATTGTAGTTGGGATCGCGTGTGCGTGCTTGCGTAAGTGCGAATGTGTTGTGTTAGTTGAGAAAAAGGGGGGGAGAGAGCGAGAGAGAGAGAGAGAGAGAGAGTGCGCGCGAGTGTCCGAATGGAGCGAAAGAATGGAAGAGAGAATAAAATTTATGTTTGTGATATATATGCAGGTATCGAATATATACGTACATACATGCATACGTGTATATTTACATTATATGTATATATGATGTATGCGTGTATGTACAGAGTGTTCATGGGTGGCCAATACTCTCTGCTGACGATACGTACGTGTTAAATAGTCGGAAGAAATCGTGCATGAGAACGCGTAGCGGAGAAAGTTCTTTCGAAGAAGATGAGTCTTTACCGGACGACAAGTTTTATTCGATGTGTGAGAAATAATTATAAGTTAACGCGCCGATACAACGTCGCTCGCGAAATCCGCTAGATACGTTCTTCTGCTCGCGTAACGCTTATCGTTGAGCGGAAACGCGGCTGGCCAGAAACACTCTGCATTATACAGGATGTTGAAGGAAGAGCATGCGATTCCTCGAGAGCATTTGTTTTTCGGAAAATTTGTCAGTCGAATTTTCGGAAATCTCGTCTCGTCGCGGTGTGTCGTCTTCAATTTCAACATTACACGTCCCCCAACTCTTTCGGTATGAAGAACAATTTAATGAAATGGAATGTAAACTTGTAAAATCAACTGCATATATTATGCTAGAAAAATATATATTTTATTTCTAGATTTAAAGACCATCGACGTTAGGTGTGTTGCGAAAAATTTGTGGAAAATAAATGGAGAATCCTCGATCGATGCCGCGCTTGACGATTTCGGCTCGAGCGAGAGTCCATTTGAAGTAAAACGAGCACTGTATTCTCTCATGTTTTTACAATCTCCTCTTTCGACAACCTGTACGCGCTATTATCGAAGTTGTGCGTGCACTTGGAACGTGCATTCTGTTGCGTTTCAATGTGCAAGCGCGACAGCATGAGACACGTTGACACAGCAGTTAAGCTCTCATATGATAGACTTTATTATCATGAATTTGAAAAAGTAATATTATATGACGTCACTTTGAGAGTTTAGTATTCTGGATATAAGATTACTCGGAAGAGAGAGAGAGAGAGAGAGAGAGAGAGAGAGAGAGAGAGGAATGAGAGAGTGAGTGAGTGAGTGAGTGAGAATGAAAAAGAGAGAGGGCGGACGAGAGAGAGAGAGAGAGAGAGAGAGAGAATATGGGATCTCTAATGGTAGTTATGATTAAATAAAAACTCAAATATATTTCCTGTTAATCTCCCTTCTTTTCCCTCTATCGAGTCTCTGTCGAGCCCCTTATTCTCCTTCTATTGTTCCACCCCTTTTGTCCTCCCCCTTATCCCTTCGTGTACCCGTCCATACGAATCTGTCGGGCCTAGAACATCGCTCTCGTTAGACCCAATAATTCTACGCTATGGATTACATGCCCATTCGAGTATCGATCGATCGTAGTTAGGTCCAATCAAACCGTTACGAATGCGTTGTAGGTGATTCTCTACACATACATACACACACATATACACGCATATATTCACACACACACACACACACGTACGCATGTATGCGTACTCTCTCTCTCTACACATACAAACCCACACACACACACACACACACACACAATATCGAACATACACACCTTATATTACCGTAATCGTACTGTAACTCTTATAAAATGCATAACCCTGTGTATATATATAATGCAATGTTCTTACGTAGTTAAATTCGCGAGACGAAAGAGAGAACGAGAGCGAGAGGGAGAGAGAGAAAGAATGTATGAACGAGAGGGAGAGAAAGAGAAAAAGCATGAACGAGAGAGAAAGAGAGATATGTGAAAAAGCCGGAAATTTGTTCGGTCGAAAGGAAGCTATATTTAATTTATTTCCTATGTACACGTACTTGCGAGAAGCGACCATGTTTGTATATTTCAAAATCGTTATTATAGTACCTGCCTGACTCATAAACCTGTGCCATAACGGAATGGTTTTACCCTCCATCCCCGCCCCTTCCCCCCTAGTTTTCCTCTCCTCTCAAATACACCACTCTTCCTGTTCTCAAGAAATTTTTCTTCCTCTAATCTTTCCTCCTCGCTGTGAGGACGCTTTTAATATGCAAAGTACTATCACTCGTATCTTTCGCGTATCAAAGTATCAAAATGTGCGAAACGATGTTTGGCGATTAAAATGATACGCGCATCGGTTACGTTGGCGTGTGCATAATGAGACGAACAAAAGGAAAGGCAAAGAAAAAATGCTCTGTCGACCGGAACATATCAATACCGCGGGCACGAATTGCGACGGCAGTAGAGATGGCTGTTAATTCCGACTGTTTCTCTTCCTAGCCAAAAGTCCCGATGCGTATAGTTGGAGAAGCAAAATTTAGCCGACCGAGATTAACGTTGATCGATGTCGTCGCAGTCGAGCCTAAATATTAGCTCGACGTCATTGATTCCTGATATAGAGTCAATCTAAGTGATTAAATCGGCTACTGCAGAAAGGGCATGAGTCAATCTATCGTACGAGCGCAAAAATTCATTACGTTCACTCGACAAAGCATACTTGGAAAGGACTTTCTTTTATTTTTCTTCGGATATAAATGCCGTGACGAATTGAAAAATATAAGAGATAGAGAGAGAGATACATTTGAAAAAATTATCGTTTGTCCCGTAATTTCTACGAAATGGAAGGATTTTATTAGTTTCAAACGCACGTCGTCAAGAGTTGGCTTATTTACTTTTGCAAGTAATTCTTTTCCCTTTTCACGACATATCCCCCCCTTTCTGCAGTGATTAATATTTTCCGACGCAGATTGGACTCTATACGCGAGTTACGGGGTCTGGAAAACTGTCAGCGCGAATCGCTTTTGCCTCTTCGGATATCCTACGATCGCGAAAATTTCGTTAGAAGCAGTGACGGCCAAATGAGAAACTAGGTCATGTTATCCTCTTTAAATTTCGCTAGCTAGCCACGCGCCTTGAAAATGTGGTCAAGGCTCTCTACCAAAATGTATAGAGACGATTCAAACTCCAATTGCATCAATTTAAGATGAAACCTTTGTATAATTAAAAGAGGAGGAGAAATTTAAATAATTAAATGTAAATTGATACGTACGCATATAGAAAATTTTACGAAACGACTAATTCTTCTCGGTCGTGACGCGTAACTGTCAAACGGCCAACGAGACTTCAAGAATCCCATCAGGGATTCTTCGGCAATTCTGGTTTGGCTGTCGCTATCGCACTTTGCCGGCGATTTTATTCGGTCTCGATCGCGAACGAGGTGAAATAAAGATTTCAAAGTACGCGCGTCCGATGCAGGACAATGTTACTCTCTATTTACCCCATCTATCGAAACATCTATGATCCTATATATACATGAAAGTTTAACGACAAACACATTGTATATACTGTGGGTTTATGGGAACGGCTCGCACGATGCACTCATCACGATTTACTCATTATTTACTATGTTCGCCCCGTGGTGTCATCGGTTGTCTAGGAAGTATCCGTAATATAATAGAGCGTTACCTTGATAAGGACATTATTGTCGTCATTAATCCCTCCCCCCTCCCTCTCCTTTTCCCCCCTCACTACCCCTACGATTCGTATTTTTTATTGTAAGATCGTAAGATGTAGATTATCTATAAATGCTGTTTACATAGAGAAAAACAAATTGTTTAGTTCATAAAATTTTAAGATTTTTGCGATCAAGCGAGCGCGCGAGAGAGAAAAAGAGAAAGAGAGAGAGTGCGTAAGAGAATGCGTGTGCGTATGAAAGAGAAAGAAAGAGAAAGAGAACAAAAGCTATATCGCACCCGGTATGTTGTGGAGGGATGCGCGAAGAGTGCAGGAGACTATTAGTCCTATCGTGAATGTATTATTAAAAAGCTGTAATGAAAAGTTAAAAGTATTCTTAAAGATCAGTTGCATTGTATTCATTTACGTGCAATTAAATCGCGTCCGAGGATAAATAGGTAATATCATTTAATGTCAAATTCATTCTTCATGAAAAGAAGAAAAAAAGATAGAATGAAGAGCGAGGGATGAGGGAGAAGAAAGTTCACATACCCTCGACTTTTCATAGCATTTACCACCGTAGAACAGTGAAAATAATTTGAAAATCAGAAAATCATTGTTGTCAGAAAACTCGACGATTGACGCAGTTAATTTCCTCGGATAATCGAGAAAGGAAGTATTTTTCCGAATAAAAAATACGAAGCATAGTCGAGTACACTTATACGAATACAGCAGCGGGAAAGTTGTGCACTTTTATCTTGGCGAACTTCAGAACACATTCTATAACCAATAGGAAAATTTATCTGACAAGTCATTAAAAAACTGAGGATTCTCCTATTGAACATAGATGCGTTGCGAAACTGATTGAAAAAAAAGTGTTATTACTTTTCTAGCACTAATCGTTTACATACCGTTAGTATTGTTATCGACCATCGATACGTTCTGCGTAATGAGACATCTTCAAATATGATTTTAGAGGTAATCGATTGTTACGTGACATCCCCTTCAAAACTGACGAATGTTCACGCGCCGGGATAACGAAGGAAATGTATAAAGCTATGTAGTATTATATATATAAAGACAAAAAAAGATATTACATATATACATATAAATTTTATTTCCACTTTTCATCAACAAACATCAAAATTCATTCGACAACATTGTCACACGCCTCTTTGTCATTCCATCCAAAGTGATAGTCTTGAAGAATAATTACGTTTGGCATCTAACGCTTTAACGAAATATACTCACATCGATAAGATCTCTAACTGATTAGTAATTGAATTCTTCTCTAAATCGACCAAAAAAAATTTTGGCAATCAAACGGACTTTCTCGTGACTTAAGCTTTGGAAGATAATCATGAGAAAATTGTTGTAAACAATAATCTGCCTTGAAATGAAAAGTCACGTAAATATTATACTATATGTTTATTAATGATCCAGAAACTCATGCTGTCTCTCCATAAGATCCAGCAATCTGCCACTAAATACATATCATAAATAATAACTTCGATACAATTTTCAAGCTAAGACCACTATATCTTCCAGGTTTTCATCAATCCCAGTCTCCTTATTATTCTTTATTTGCATATTTTCTGAATCTAGGTGCCATGTACATAGGTATTGCCAGCAGAGCACCACCGATACAGAACAAAGCAAATATTTGTTCCTGAAATATAATATAAAAACTTATTTAAAATCAATTTGCATATAAGGATGAAGCCACATTGAATATAGAAATTTTACAAGTTATACATTTTTACATTATATTTTTTATCTCTCTTTCTCTTTTTACCCCTCCTGTTTCTAACGAAATAAATTGTTACTGTTTTTAACACCAAAGATGAAAAGAAGAGCGGTAGAGAAATATCCACTTCTCACTGTTTCACCAGAAGAGAAAGCGAGAAAGAGAGAGAGAGAGGTTAATTGCGCTCTTGACTCCATATCTTATGTAATTTTAGGTACGAATTAAACTTTACTCACGGCGGTAGAAATTTTCACCGTGGGCGGTGTGCACACGATCGAATTACTGCGATTTCGGACAATAACGCCTGACAAACGGGACGTAGCTCTCAAGCCGTTCAAAAGCGAATGCATCTTCACCTCTTGTCTCACACCTTCACAAATCGATGGTGCAGTGTCGCGAGCAAGGACGTTCCGTCGCGCAAGCGCACCGCATGCATATAAATACAGCACGTGTTGGATTTATGACTCTCGTAGGCCAGCGCGGTGCGCAATATACAACACGCGACGCGCAATATCCAATAAGCGTACTGCTTTTCCAGAAGAGTTGCATGTTCATTGGACATCGCGTGTCGCATATCGCGTCGCGCATCGCGCTGGCTGCGAAAGCCATTAGGCTGGATTTAAATGAATTTAGTTAATCGAAGATTGAGTTAATCGGAGCTGATGGCCTTCAGTGTGTGTTTCCAAATGCAACTCTAGTGAAATCTAATAACATGCTAGAAATGTGTGAATCAAAACGCAGCATTTCTAATATGTCACAAAATTTCACCAGATCCAACACAAAAACAGGTAGTGTGTCGTGGGCTTAAGGTCGATTCTACATTAATCGCAAAGTCGCAAGAAATTTTCGTTGCGATCGAAAGCAATGGACTGTGATTGATCAATTTCTTGCGACTTTGCGATAAGACGGCTAATGTAGAACCAGCTTAAAACACGGTTTGAACACATTTTCTAGTTAATAGGTCTGTTCGTTTTCGCTGCACCACTGAACTAGTGCAATAAGTTGAAGTGAGCAAACATATACTTGTCTCGCTTCAACTTATTGCACTAGTTCAGAAGTGCAGCAAAAACGAACAGACCTAATGATATTTTTGTCTCTAAAAAATAAGTTTTCCTATTGGATATTAGACACTGTATGTCGGAAACAGTGTGAATCCTACATTATGTTACTCCGTCGAGTGTAACGAATTATGAGAATCTGTGAAGGCGAGTCATTCCATAAAGTACAAAGAATATTTTCTCGCCAGCTAAGCACACACTTGTTGAAAGAACGAAAATGGACATTGCCAGTCCTACTCCTCAGGATCTACAGAGGAAACTGTATTTTTTGGTGGAGCAGCTACAACACATGGCCGGTGAACTTCCACCAAAGTATCAAATGCGTCTGCCATACGAATTGTTATCCGGTTTGGCCAATTCATTGTTAAACGATACTATTTTCGAGATAGTGAAAGGATTGATGGAAATACAGCACGTTACCGAGAAGCATCTCTTCCAGCAACGGCTGCAGCTTTTGAATCAACAGAAGATTGAATCTCAGGAGGCATTGTCCACAATAACAACGGACGAGGAAATAATGACGGTGAAGGCGGCGTTGTACAAAAAGCACAAGGAGGAATTGAGGCAGACCGACATGAAATTGGTATTGCAACTGGATCAGAAGGTTTCAGATCAGCAAAGTATACTGGAGAAGGCTGGGGTGCCTGGATTCTATGTGACAAATAATCCAATGGAGATTCAAGTACAGATGCGACTGTGCGATTTTATAATTAGGCTCAGTAAAATGGATGTACCAAGTTGACGTACAAGTACAGTTGTTATTTCTTATTTCTAGTGATTTTTTTTTATATACTATTGTATCATATTTTCCTCTTGATGTATGCTATATATTAGTGAGAGAGATCATAAGATACAATACTTTATTATTTATTTTTTATATAGATGTATTATTTTTTTCATAAGATTATTAATTATTACAAATTTAATAAATCCTGTAAAAATATACAATAAATACATTGACATTTTCTTGTTCCGATGAAGTATTTTATTCAAATTTATATTTTCTTTCCACGTATAATAGAGTCTTAGATACCCTATTATCTTAACAAACGTTACTACTAACATTTTTATCCATCAGTACAATATATTCTCTTTTGATGTAAAAAAAAAATGTTTGATAGAATAATATGCAATGGTCATGGAAAAGTGAATTTTTTTGATAGGAAAGAAACATAAGCTGTGTGAAGGATAAAATAGAATCCTTCCTGTTCTTCTATTTATATGTTACAATTAATAATAAATAATATCACTAAACATTCTTATGCAGTAATGTGATAGAAAATTAAATTTTTTTAATTTTACGATAGTTTATAGCTTTATCCAACAAGTATGAGAACTTGTAGTATTCAACTATATACATATGTATAGAATTTGTTTAATATAAAATTATACAGTATCTTTAAAATAATCGCTTGAGTTATTGTAATAAAATTCATACTATTTACAATCAGGAAACCTTTTCTTAAAATACACCCAAACATACTTACTGAATCGAAAAAAAATTGTAGATATCTTTTTACCCTTGCAAAATATACAAGGTCAATTAAAAAAATTTGTTTATCTTAAATTGTGATATTCCTATATTTTTCTTATTTGTGTGTGGAACATTAACCAATATATAAAATCATAGTTTTAATTAATTGTACACTTTTTATATAAGAAACAAAATATTAAGAAAGAATACTTTGTCAACGATGTATTCCTTCGAATGATATCCGAATTTACACAAATGCCGGTTGCGTTGGTGAAATTTGAGCATCAAATGGTTTTTCAGGTTGAAAAGATTCGGTCTTGTTCGCCTGTGTGAAACATATACGGTAAACATCATCGAATGATGAAGCAAAATGTACCTCTAATCCATCTGTGATGTAGTTAGGTAAATCGTCAAAATCTTTCTTGTTCTCCTCAGGTAAAATTATACATTTAACGCCGACCCGTTTTGCCTAAAAATAAGAAGCATACTTTAATATTACACATTATTGGGAAAATAAAACATACAGCAATATTATAATGATATATACATATCAGGTGTCTGACACAAGCCGTGCCAAATCATACGAAACATATTCAACACATCAAGCAAAGAAAAAGAACTGACATCACTTTATAAAGTGTAACGTAAAATTTCGAATTATTAAAGAAAATAGGCGAATCAAAGTGCGCGATGCGGTGGGACTCGGTCGACGCGATCTGCATGGAAAATGGCCAAAATCGGTTTTCAGCTTGATGCAACGCCTTGCGTTGAATATATCCTGTATGCATATATATCAGTGGAATTTACCGCGATAGTTTTCTCCTTAATACCACCGACAGGGAGAACCTTGCCGGTGAGGCTCACTTCCCCCGTCATCGCCACTTCTTGCCTGATAGCTTGTTCCTTCGCGAGGGAAATCAACGCGGTGGCGATCGTCACGCCCGCGCTCGGCCCATCCTTCGGAGTGGCACCCTCGGGCACATGTATGTGCAGATGAGAATCGTAGAGAAACGCATTCTCAGGATCGATGCGTTTCAAGTGATTCCTTGCGACAGTCATCGCTATGTGTATCGACTCCTTCATCACATCGCCTAGGTGGCCGGTGACCTCGAAGGTACCCTCGGACTTCTTGCCACTCGTCGGCTTCCTGACGGTGGTCTCGATGAACAAGGTGGAGCCGCCCATGGCGGTCCACGCCAGTCCCATTACTACCCCGGGCGGCGTAACGTCGTACATTCGGTCGTGCGTGAACACGGGCTTGCCTACAAACTCCTGTAGATTGCCCGGGGTCACGGTAATACCATTGGACTCCTTTTTCACAATTTTGAACGCCACCTTCCTGTGCACCTTCTCAATGTGCTTCTGCAAGCTTCTCACTCCCGATTCGCGACAGTAAGACTTGATCAGAGCCGTGAGCGCCTTGTCGTCTATATTGATTTGCTCATTATTAAGGCCACACTCGGTTTTAGCCTGCGGAATCAGGTACTGCTTCGCGATGGCCAGTTTCTCCTCGGCCACGTAACCCGACATATCTATCATCTCCATACGGTCTCTCAGAGGTTCCGGAATGGTATCCGTGACATTCGCCGTGCAAATGAATAGAACCTTCGACAAGTCCACCGGAACGTCTAAGTAATGATCCAAGAAGTTTGCATTCTGCTCTGGATCGAGCATTTCGAGAAGAGCGGATGCTGGGTCACCTTGGTAGCCTCCCCTAACAGATTATCGTTATCAGTAACATGTACAATCTTTCTAAAAAATACATATACAGTTTGTACGTGCGATTGTAATTTAACGTGTAATTGACGGGACACCGATTTCATGCAGAATATAATTAGGTGGATAAAGAAACATCCAGTATATACATATGTTTTACATATGTAACAAGATATAAAAAATATATAAAAAGATAAATTATACATACTTGCCGATCTTGTCAACTTCATCTATGAGAACCAAGGGATTCTCAGTCTTAGTTTTCTTTAGGCACTGAATGGCTTTGCCTGGCATGGCACCCACGTACGTTCGTCTGTGCCCCTTAATCTCCGCCACGTCCATCATTCCGCCAACGCTAAACCTAAAGTATTCCCTGTTCAAAGCACGAGAGATCGATTTAGCTATGGAGGTTTTGCCTACACCGGGAGGTCCATGAAAACATAGTATCTTGCCCTGCGTAGTGCCCTTCAGCTGGCTGACAGCAATAAATTCTGCAACGATAAGCACGATAATTACGGACAATGTGATGACATGTTTCTTATTGTTTACAATTATGAGCATCCGCACCGAGAATTCTCTTCTTTATGTCTTCCATGCCATAATGATCTTGATCTAAAATTTCGGCAGCTTCCTGAAGATTTAAATTCTCTGTGCTCGTTATACCCCACGGCATAGATGTCAGCCAGTCCAAATAATTTCTTGTAACACTATAAAAGATATGATGTTTGTTAAAATTGGTAAACTCTATCAATTCGTGGTAACAGGCACACAGTAATACTATTTCAGTTGTGTAATAAATCCGTGATATTTGATACATACTTGAACTCACTGCTGTGATTTTCTAAGAAAGATAGCTTGTTCAATTCTTCTTCTAGAACGTCCATCACCGGTTTAGGAACCACTTTCTGCTTTATCCTTTCCCGATATTTCTCTTCTATCGCATCTTTGTCATCCTTCTCCAACCCTAGCTCTTTCTTGATAACTTTTAACTGTTCATGAAGAATATATTTTCTATGCTGTTGCTTCACCTTCTCTTCAACCTCCCTGCCAATTTTTTGCTGCAGTTTACTCAACTCGTATTCCTTCTTCAAAAGTGCGAGTGACAATCTTAATCTTTTTATAATCTATATAAAATACATACAAATATTATGTATAATTTGTCTCTTTAGACCTAAATGTTCCTCTTGTTTCTTAATACTTCATACCACAACAACAAAAAATATGAACAATGCATACATCCATTTCTTCCAGGACTTGTTGCAATTCCTGTGCATCCGCTCCAGTTAAGGCAGCGCCTAAATCACTGAGATAAACTGGATTATCCACAACTCGTTGTCCTTGATGTAACATTTGCTGCAGAGATTCACGATATAAAGGATTCATGCTGATTATGTCTCGAATCGTCTTAATGAGTTCCTGCGTCAGAGCCTGTTCAACAAATATTTCCGTTTATCGGATTATTTATAATTATATGTGTGCACACACACACACACACACACATAACAGAGAATAATGAAAATTGGAACACTTGAAACATCGATTTTCTTCGAAATAGAAACAACCTTTGTTTTCTCTTCCAGATTTAATTCAAAAAAAAAAAAATAGGAAAAATAGAAAAAAAGGAAAGAAAAGCAACACGAATAAAATATATGAAATCAAATTGGTCGACTCGCAATTATTCTACTTCTGTCTCTTTCATACTTATGGCTCCTACATACAAAAACGCGAAAACGTTTTTCACGTAGTAAGAAGCGACACAATAGTCAATTAACATGTTATTTTTCCTTGAAAGCTAACAGTTTATTGGCTACCACGGCGCTTCTTGCCGCATGAAAAGCATTTTCGCGTTCTGTATGCAGAAGTCATTACATGTGCTTACGTACGTTAAGAATTATATTTAGCGATGCCGCTATTAAGAAAAAGTTAGTGAGCGGAAGCAGTGCTGGGGTGTGCGCAAATAAATACGGAGTCTTTATAACTGTTCACACGAAACGCTGTATTTACAGGAAATTTAAAACTCGCAACGCGACACAAAAAAGGAACGGGATTCTATAAACTAAAAAAACGCGACGTTAAACAAAGTGGGGAACGCTGAGTAAAGAAAACGGAACGCTAGGAGATCGACTCGCTAGGTAGCCGCGGCGGCTCTCTCTCACTCGCGGGGAGAGGCACGGATAGGAAATCGCGCACAAGGGGCGCGACGGCGTCGACCGCGACGAAGGCCGTCGGAAAGGCTCTTGTACGACGAGAGACACTCGCACTCCCGGGCGCGATGCACTAAGGCGCGTTTGCGAGAGACGGGGCGCAGTCACCCGGAGTCTCTAGTCCGGAGCGTCGAGTACAATTCACGAAGAGAATCGGTGGCGAGGAACACTCGCGAGCGCGTCCGCGAGGTTTAAGGTTTTAAACAAGTGTGAACGCTCCGGGGTCCTCAGGGACGCTGAAGAACAAATTACTCACGAAACAAATACGAATTTACGCGTGCGAACAGCCATTGTTTTTATCACCGGTTGTTTCGACCGCCACATTGTATGCAGAAGTCATTACATGTGCTTACGTACGTTAAGAATTATATTTTCAAAATCGTTTTTGTTACCTTGATCTCTTCAGTTTGCTTAAATTTTTCATGTGTAACATTTAGAACCTCCACCATCAATATAGGTTGACTGCCGGATGGATCTAACGGTTTCTTCGCATTTTTCTCCGGTGAATCTACTGATTGTTTTACTTCCACAGGATCCATTTCACTAATCTTTTCAATTTGTTCTATAACTTTATTCTCTGCCTTCTTACGTAACGATCTCCGGCTCATCTTGCTAGTAGTCATGTCGTCTACAGGGACGGTAATTGTTGTATTTAGTAGCGGAAACGTCAGTTTCATCTCTGTGTGCAATAGGTAGGGCAATATTTAAACAAAACTAGTGACAACACAGAACACTGGGATACAATATTACAGTCAAGCCAACAAGGACATGATCACCACAATTAATAAGAAATGTTTTACTTATTTACCATTAAAAACTAATAAGTTAGATTCCTGTACTGTATTTTCCTGCAGTAAACACGAAAATGTAATGCATCAGTACTTTCCTTACCCTGTCCTGGTTTTGTATTGCCATCTTCAAATATTTGACTAACAACTTTGATTCTTCTATGCGCCATAACTACCAATCTCATTCGGTTGCCTAAATCCTGTACCTCGTGTACTTGTGCAAAAGTTCCAATAGAGTAAATATCATCCAAATTTTGAACAATTTCAGCTTCATTTCTGCACGTGTAAGTACGATAAATTAAAATTTATATCGCTACCACAATTTTTGCAATTATAAATTTATATCAATGTATCTTGTCATTTTGTTGAAACTTACTCTTCAGATTTTTTCAAAAAGACTCCTACATAAGGTTGATTGAGTTTTATCTTTCTACGTATCAGATCTATCAGAATTGGATTCGTAAGCTCAATGAGCTTGATAAACCTGGGAAATACTGGATTCCTGTTAATAGCAATGACTGGTACATGAGGCCATACCTCAGGTACCACCACAGTTGCAGGTAAGGAAGCAGGATAATCTGCCGGTTGATCTCCGTCTCCGTCACTAAATAAAAACATATCAAGTAACTAGCAGCATTCTTATTAATCTTCTTAATATTCACAATTATTTACAGCTATCATGTAAAAATTACAATATACAATGAATGAGATGTACAGAGTGTATCACATGCAATTAATCCAATTAAGGAAGATAAACCCAATCAGCTTACTTCGGTGGATTTCGATTAAAGTTTTTCGCATAAAATCTCACTGACATCACCGCGGGATGAAGCTGACGTCCGCGTACATTTCTCAATAATCTTGATTTTCCAGCAAAATATTCTGTTCGTACTGATTTAATGCGGGTCGGCAATATCTGAGGGTCAGCAGGCCGACTTTTGCAGAAGGAACGCGCGAACACACCGCGTTGCCGCAGTATCGGCAACAATTTAACGTTCATCGCCGTCGCGAGACGCATCATTCGCGCAAATAAATTCTCATAAATACTTGACTCACTTGCTCATACGTTATGTGAGAAATAACGATGAGAAGGATCGTGGAACGGAGAAAGGTTATGGCGTGATCTGACGAAATATAACACGCAAATTGCAAACCTTAACCTAACTGTACCTAGCCTAAACTAATCAAACCACAAGGTAGTGTTACTATACAGAGGCTGCGTTTCGATATTCACTGTCAATATTGAAAATCTATTGGCAAATCCGATTGGATGTGCTACTGAGGCATGTTCAGCCCGTTCTTATAGACCGTCCTTAATATATCTTCAAATACTTTTTAGCAAAATATTACATACAGCATGCGTACAAATCGTTTTAATGGCTAAGAACTTTTTGAATATGTATTTAAAACAGCTTTAAATATAAGAACGGACTGTGAATAAGCCTTAATATGCGCTTGGTGCACACTAGACAGTCAATTCGATATTTGACTGTTGTCTGCTGATTGGCTCTGACGCTTGACGCTCGACGCTACCATGAAATTGTACCTTAAATTTTCATTACCGGCTGTGAATATCGGAACGTAAAATAAATAAATGTGCAAAACATTGTATTTAAACAGAGAAACTATATTTGATATATCACTGTATTCTCTCTCATAATCAATATGAATGATAGGACTAATTCTCTTGATTATAAAAATATTTCCCTCATGTTAGCAGGTAAATTGTCACTATTAGTTGAATAAATTGAATAGGCTAGATCACTTTTAAATGTTAATTATGAATTTTTTATTATTAATATTCAATAATATAGTAATCCATTTCTATAGGTGAAATAAGTTCAGCTTGTATAAATAGAAACAACTTAACACAGCCTATAAAACAGTCTACTGTATCTTTCCCGGATAATATGGAGGATGACGATGAACAATTTATCTTAAATCTAAAAAAAAATATTGATAAAAATTATAAAATGTAAGAACAATTAGTAATTCATTTGCATCTATTATTATATTATACATTTAAATTAACACTTTTTTACAAATATAGGCAAAACAAAGAAAGTTTTAGTTTAAAAAATTTGCAAAATAAACCGTTCTCATTGAAAAAGAAGAAATCAGTATTCAGCGATGAAAATCAAAATCTTATGAAGCGATTTAAAAAATCTGTAGATGAGAGTAAAGCTCTGGATATAACTCCACAGAAATTACAGAAGCTTCAAAATGTCAATTATAATAACAATGACAATAACTCAATGCCTACAGCTACTCCACTGCTCACCTCTGCTGTTGCACTTAACAATGTTGACATGAATTTAAGGTAACCTTTAATTTATACATAGCTTTACAGCAAATAATAAAGTTGTTATTTAAATGATTGCATTGTTTTCAGAAACAAAGCGAATCAATTTTTCTTTCAAGTGACTTCAAAGTTGCAAAAAAATGACCAAATGATAACACCAGCAAATATCAAAACTGTTACCGAAACAGAAATTGAACAACTAATTTATTATGAAATGCATTGTTTAACACCACCTCGAACAATTCATTGAGTATCTTACTATGCATTCTTTCTTCTTTCATTCGTTCATCGATAATTATAACATTCAAAAATATAAATTATAGTTATTAGAACCTTTTATCATTTTTGTCAAGCAAATACAAATAATATTCTATAAAGCTTTATATTATCAAACGTAATATCAATATAATAATTGAGATTAATTTCTTTAAGTGAATTTGTAACAATTAGGTATTTTAATCATCGAAATACAAGTAACAATATAAAGTGAAATTTTCAATTTGGCGCGAGAAGAAATAAATTCTCAGCAGATGGCGCTGTATAAACGAAGAATTATCATAACCTTTCAAATCTTTCAAACGTAGGGAAATAACAGAATAAAAATGATCGAAATAATTATTTCTATGTAAACGATATTTTATGTAAGTTAAATTTGTTAATATTTTTTCTCATTTACTTTAAGATGTTATCAACTGATCTGATCTGAATTGATTGTGAGTATATTGTAACTGATATTTGTTTAGAACAATTATAGGTAGTTATATGTATAGAGCAACAATGAGCGAATTTAAAGTACATCATTTAATAAGGGAGTTGATTGAATCACTTGGGTAAGTGACAAATATACTATAACTCATCATAACGATTTATGATATCACAATTTTATAAGTCAATTCCATGACATGTTTGTATAGTTTCTTATAAAAAAAGAAAAATAGATAAAATATGTGAAAAAGTAATTTATATATATAAACATTTTTTTCAGTTCGGAAACTGCTCCAGAGGAACATGCAGAGAAGCTGCAGAAAGAAAGCTCAACCGCAAATGCACTTAATACTGTTGCTCCTCAAAGTTGTATTCAACATCTTTCCAAACATTCATTGCAACCAGAATTATTCATACAAAAGTATGAGGAACTAAAATCTAAAAAGTTAGTGAGTTAATATAATTTGAGATATTATGTATATGATATATATATCTTTGTACAGGAAGATAATAAAATATATATATATATATTTTTTAGAGTAGATTTGCTAGGTCCATTCATGCAGACTCTGGAACTAATATCTCAGGATAATGAATTAAAGAAGTTCTTGTCAAAATCTGCACCAGCATTAACTGCTGGTCCTGCAAAAAACCAAGTCATTACGCAAAAAGATTTGCCAAAGGTAGTAATATAGCAATACATATTGCAATATTGAGTTCCAATAAGAATTATTTGGATTATTGTTTTATATATAGATATTATACATATATAGCAAATATTTAAATTTAATGTACACATTAGATCTGCAAAAATGTAATGAAGGCTGCTGTTGAAGGAGGAAAAAAATTAAACCAGCAAGTAATTGGTAAAAAAAATGATGGTGCCTTAACAATACACAATTGGGTAGCAGAACGTCCACGTATAACTTGGGATTTTTATAGCGACACGACTGTAGCGCTCTATCAAAGTTTGTAGAAGTTTGTTTCTCATTGAAGTATAACTTAGAAATGATAAAGTGTGCATATTTCAAATAATGGAATAATTCCAGAAGTTGTTCCTGTTATATCTCAAGAATCTATACTTCTATGGGATATCTTGTATTGCTTGAAAGGCATAGATGGTTCTTACATTGTTTCAGAACCTTTAACGACTCCTTACTGTGTTAAGACGTTTGCTATATCGCCAGACATTGGTAAGGGACATGTCAAAAATTTTAATGATCCGATACAATCGTAAAACTCAATTTGAAAGTATTTAGAACATACTGATAATGTAAGTGAAAATATATTTTCTTCTTAGGTATATCATTTAAGCAACTCGCACAACAAATATTACCTTTAGCTTCATGTTATTCCATGACAGTGAGATTTGTGGAGGAGAAAGTCTCCCCAGATGATGGGCAAGTTAATCATGCTCTGAGAGGGGCTATACTATCTTTACTGAAGGATTACTTGGTACTGCAAATTCTTTCTTAAGGAGCTTGACGATGTAAACATATAATTTACTACATGTCCATGTATCATTTCAGTTTTTTGTCGTACAACTCGAAATGGAACATGTTCGTGGTAAATTGAATTTGCAAAAGTTATGGTTCTGCATTCAATCTACCATGATTATAATGTCTATGCTTGCTCAGATTACATCTACGATATGCAAGGTTAGTCAGCATCAGTAGATATAGTAAAATTAATTCTTTCTATCGTACACTCTTAACGTTAATTTCGCGTATATAACATAGATTCTCTTCGTTCTTTTCATAACTAAAATATTAGAAGAGTGTACTTTTTATTACCTTATATACTATATATCGTATATACATAATGCGATATATTGATCAATTCTAGGCAAATGCTAGAGGCGGGAAGGTACTGAGTCTCCTTCATGAGCAAACGATGAATAATATCAGTGGTGAAGCCAAGTCCAAAGAATTGTGTCTGTATTTGATGCAAGCAGCGAGCATGCCATATATGCAAATTTTAGAAAAATGGGTTTACAAAGGGATGATATGCGATCCGTACCAAGAAGTTAGTAGCAATCGTGTAGACACAGTGTAGACAAATTTACAATACACATTGTATGTGCACATTTATATTTGTGCATTTATCAGTTTTTTGTAGAAGATAACGAATTGGTTCAAAGAGAAGAACTTCCAGTGGATTATTCTGCGGATTACTGGGAGAAACGATACACCATGCGGCCGGAAAGGATACCTGTATTTTTAAACGAACACGCACAAACAATACTTAGGACAGGAAAATATTTCAACGTCATTAGGCAGTGTGGTAAGTTCATTATAAGCGTGATATTGCTTTCCGCGTCATTTTAGCGGCATTTTACGCAGTGAGTAATTTAAATTTAATCAATTATCTCACAAACTCGATTCGACAACAATGATTTGACAAGTATGAAATACATTTATAGGTAAAACAGTGCAATGGGGAAAGCAAGAGCCCTTAAGTTACCAACATCAAGGACAAAAATATATAGCCGCCATTGATAGAGCATATTCGGAAGCTGCCAAGAAATTATTGGAAGTACTCATACATGAAAACGATCTGATGGGTAGACTACGTAGTGTAAAAAGTTACTTTCTTCTCGCTCAAGGCGATTTTGTGGTAAGTTTCACTCGTACGATCTAGCGAATGTTCTTCCTGAAATTTTTGTAATTTCTTGTACAAGACGCGCTCATCCACTGTAATACGTTAGGTTCAATTTATGAATCTCTGCGAGACCGAGCTGAGTAAAAGCATGTATGATGTCGTGCCGCATCGTTTGGCATCTCTCCTTGAGGTTGCCCTGCGAATGTCCACTGCCGATTCAGATCCTTACAAGGATGATCTTAAGCCTGAACTACTTCCATATGATTTGCAATACCAAATGTTCAGAATACTTTCGATCCAAACCAGAGATGAGAAAGGTATTATATCGGAAAATATCATGCTTGGTCAGTTCTATTTTACTATCGAAAATTAATCCTCATTATAGAATACTGCCTTCAAGCGGGTAAAACTCTAACTGGATTGGAAGCCTTCGTCTTCAATTACGATGTTAAGTGGCCAGTCTCGCTGATAATTAATAGAAAAGCAATAGCTTGTTATCAAATGTTATTTAGGCACTTGTTCTTTTGCAAACACGTTGAAAGGCTTTTGGGCAGGTAAGGTATTTTCTGTTCGGTCAGTCCAGATCTTATGCATCTATAACGAATCATTCATCGGATTACAGAGTATGGGTTAGCAATAAAATTGCAAAGACTTTTACGCACGAGGTGGCGATGGCTTACAGACAGGCATTCTCATTACGGCAAAGAATGTTGGACTGTATACAACATTTGGAGTATTACATGATGGTGGAAGTGGTGGAACCAAATTGGTTAAAATTTATAAATAAAATGAGCAAAGTAATGATATTTCATCTTTATTTCTATGTAACGAGAAATATACATTTATTACAGCTTATTCGACATATATGAGCATATTCACGCAAAATTGCCTTATATATGTACATGTAGACGTGTTAAATGTTAAATTTTTTTTTTTTTATCAAATTATAATGTAATCTTCATTAAACTAGGTTAGTAACGTTGATGACGTGCTGAGCGTGCACCAAGATTTGCAGGATAGTTATTTGAAAGAATGTATGTTAACGGATCCTGATCTTCTCGGCTGCATCACCAATATATGTGCCATCTGCGTGGAATTCTGCAGTTTCATGCAGGTGAGTTTGTTGTTACACACTTCTTTATCAATTGTCTAATCTCTGCATGTATAAAAAGTTACACCTAACGATCTCTTCCTTTAAGTTGCAACCATTGTTTCAATTGGATTTTCACCACAGCTGCTTTACTTTTTATTACATAATATATTTACAAATGCTAATAATTGCTCAAAGTCTCATGTTCTTTCTGTCGCGTAATAATTTCGAGGAAAACATTTATATCAGGCAATTTACATACGTTTCTCCAGGTAACCCGATCGATCAAATTTGTTTTGTTATATCGCATTTCTCGAAAAGTGATTTTAAGAATATTTTTTTGAAAATTACCATGTCAACATTTAACAAAACAAGTAATGATATCAACTTTTATGTTTTATACAATTTGAGGGGAAAAATGACAGATAAATCTTCCACCTATCAAATTTACTAAATTTATTAAATTTATTAAATTTTAATGCCATTTTGCTAATGTTAAGCGTATGAGCCGTTACTACATTGATGCTGAATTGACATCCATGATTGGTGCCTGTCAGGAAGATGTCTATGAATATGAGGTATATTATCAAAGCTTTATGCTCGTCCTCATGCATCTCTGTAGCCCTAGAATCATGAAGCGTTTCTTTGCCGAAAAGGCATTGTTAGTGATCATTATTATATTGTTAAGAACATGTGACTGTTATATTTACTCATTATTCCCCACTTGTGTGCATGCTACGACTGATGTTCTATTTAAATTTTCATCTTGAAAATGCAGTGGTGGCTTTAAAATATGACATTTAACAATCATTCTCTACTATGTTACATTACATTGTATTTTATTTATCTTGTTCTTACACACGTAAGAAAAGTTTAACATTCCGAATTCCACATTTCTGTTTCTGTAAGACGGTATTTTAAATGTCATGTGTTAGTGTTATTTTGATAATTTCGTTGTGCAAGCATAAATGATACAAGCGTTTGCTAATGAATTATATGTGGATCTCTATGAAGATATCTGAAGAAGACGAAGTAAGTATAAAAATTAGAGAACTGAATGTGAAGTAGAGTATTTTTGTACATATGTATATAAAATATAGCCTGCATTCCATTTTCCTGGGCATCTGTAAGCGCTGAATTGTGTGAAATATTAAATATAATATTTTTTATCATATTTTTTTAGTAGGTACGTGACATGAGGTAAAATTGTTTGTAAAATTGATTATTTTCCAGTTATTTTGAAATGTTACATTTTCACATTTTTTTAACCGTTTGAGTGCCATGCGTCTCTGCTGTTTCCCCGTCCAAACGTGCCAAGGAGCGCTTTTTCGCTTGTCTTATTCCCCATCCAGAAATGCCAAACGACGCGATAGCGCTTGTCTTATTCTCCAATGATTGCATCCAAATGTTAGATTGCAATTAAAATTCGTTCTTTTATCAGTTGTCTCATTATTTCATTTTTACCTAAAACGGAATGGTAGCCGTAAAGTCGCGCATCGACAGAAGCCGAGCGTGTGCCGGTTATCGGCTTCGCAGCCTAGAACGCTGGTACTTTTCGAGCGAAACAGAAGAAGCGCAAAATCGCTCCTTGGCACTCAAACAGTTAATAACATGGATTTTTTTAGTAGAGTACTTATATATTTTGAAGAATATCTAAATTTGTTTCAGAACAATATTTTGAAATATATGTGATTAGAAGATTTTTTTGTACTTATATGTAAATGTTAAAATATAGTTTTACAAGATTTAGACATTCTCAAAAATAGTAATGATTATTATATAAGCATGTAGATGGTTATTATAAAAGTAGCTTATCATAATATATTGCTATATAATGACATTTAAATAGAACTTTGTAACAATATGTCACATTTTAGTTATTTCTTCAAATTGCTTTTCAATTTCATTTATTCACTAAGTGCAATATACGCACGTTTACAGCGTAATAACTAATTGTGCTCTTTATTAGACTGAGAATGGTGCCGCAACGAAAGACGGAACAGGAAGCTTTGAGGAAACAATTATATCATTAGATGAAAAATTTACTCAAATATTGCTACGTCTTCTAGATCGAATTTGTGATTTGGGTTGTCATAACAACAATGAAAAGCTACTTAATGTCTTATGTCGGTAAGTTTGAAATAAAAGTCATTTTATTAGTTTCAAATAAATTGAAGCCATTACGCACATACAGACACACATATTTTTAGCAAAGGCACGTTACAAATCTCTGTATATGTGTATATGTATAAATGTTTAAATTAGGCTCGACTTCAACTTATTTTACACCGACATACTAGTACGGCGAGGAAGAGAGAAAACTGTCGCACAGCAGGATGTATCCGGTTAGTAATTACGCATCATTCGTACACCTCGTCCATTACTGTCGCCGATTTATTCTCAAATATATAAATTTGCGACAATAATCTACTGGTAAACCTCGAGAAGAATTTTATTTATTTTCTATACACACACGACAGAAATCATATTAATATTTGCAATGACTACAACAACGTATCTGCTTGTTAACGTTGATTGTATTTATTAACAAAAACAATACTCTCCTTACAAATAGATCTTTAGAATTATAAAAGATTTGCTTATGGTTGTAACAGTACAAATTGTAAGAGAAAATTGTAAGATTGTATAATTTTAAAAACACGCGTAACATTTACATTTGTATGTCTTACAATGTAAACAGTCGGGATAGTAATAAAATTAAGAAAGCACGTTTACATGTATTTTAGCCAAGTCTACACATTTAACGTAATAAAATGCTGCATATATTTAGCAGAATTGTTTGTTATTGATCGCTCCACATCGGTTTATTAGTGAAATACAAGCTTACACGATATTTAGATTACTTATTTTATGGAATCAAGTCTTGTGAACGCGCGAACAGCGTCCATAAAATAAAATAATTAAAATGTGTTTATTCTATGCCGCATGTTCTATTGTGTTATCGACATTGTTATTCTCGACTGCAAACTTGATGGTATTCAAAGCGTCCTCCATAATCGTCAACTTGTCCTGCAGCTTGCCCAACGTGATCATTATTCTCTCGTTGTCCGATAACTGTTTCTTATCGCAGATGATCCGTTTAGCTTTCTTAATTATGCCAGGATCCATCTTCAAAGTTGCCCAACGATTGTACTTCTTGATCGAGTCGCCGCGAGCGTACTTGATGCAGCGCCTGTCGTTTTCGTAAGCGTCCAAATTGTCGGAAGGCTTGATGCTGATTTTGCCGTCCGCCAAATAATTCGGGAACAATAGGATCCGCTTGGTGAGACACTTGAACTGATTCCGGCACAGCCAGTGTCTGAAGAGCTTGCCGAAAACCACATGCTCGACGTAAGTGACCAAATGTATCCTGGAGATGAGGCCGACGAGCTCGGCCTTGCAGAGAATCTCGGCGGTGTCGCTGACCGCCAGGCCGTTGAGCAGATTGAACAGCACGATTGCGATGAAGAATACGAAAAAGACGAAGACGACGTGGCTCCAGAGCGGGTGCGACTCGAACGATATATCGGCGGCGTCGAATTCACCGGTAAGCATGATGATGGTCTTGAAGAATGAGTGGCCGGGATCGGGAAACTTGTCGTCGGCGTCCTTGAAGAGCGTGTAAAAGGCGAGAGCGAAGGCGAGGATGAGGAAGATGTACGGGAAGAGGAACTGTATGAAATTGAACGACACCGTGCGAAACATCTCGACGCCGGTGGACATGCGGGGATGCTGGCTGATCAGAAGCACCAGGTTCCAAGCGGACAACAGGATAACCAACGAAGCGAGTACGGATCCGGCGCCGCACAGCACGGAGAGAGTCATGCCGATCAGCGCGAGTTCCAGCAAATTTTGCGGACTGCTGAAGTAATTCCTGGGGCAGGAGAAGAGCTGCAACATCTCCCGGCAGGCGAATAGCAGCAACATCGCACTGACGAAAGGATGCAGAAAGTCCTCGTAACTCCAGAAGGCGATTTTCAAGCTGCCGTTCAACGTCGCGGGGCTACCATCGTCCACAGTTTTGTTTTCACTCGCCGAGCCGTGGCGCGTCATGCTCAGGATGTAGGCGTTCAACAGGAGGTAGAACATTGTGTAGAAGACGAAATTGACATATAGAAAATGCCGTATCCTGTGCCACTTGAGGTAAAGGAAGGACGACAGCAGCGGGTGCTTGAGCAGGTGTTTGAGACAGTTGTTGCAGGCGATGTACTGAAACACTTCCATCTCGCGATAAGGTCGATGCGCGCCGTCCGTCGATCCGTCGACGTGCGGCATCAGGCAGCGATAGTCGAATTCGATCGTGTACTCGTTCGTACGACATTTCCGTGTCTGCAAACAGTCGTCCAAGTATCGCGACAGCGTGCTCGCCGAGATGTCCGCGACGGGCGGCACGTTGAATTTGTTCATGTGGCCGATGTAGCTGCCGCGTTCCAAGAGCAGAGTCACCGCTTCGTGACAGCCCGCCCTGGCTGCGTAATGCAGCGGGGTGTTGCCCTTATCTGTGGGAAACAGGAAGACGTTATAGCTTTCGTCTCATCCACGCGCTCCTGTGAAAGATACTCACCATCGGCGCAACGAACGTCCACGTTCTCCTGCTCCATGATCAACTTGAGACACTCGAGCCGATCGGACGTACTGTCGACGCCGTGTCGGCCGGGCATCCCCAGCTCCAAGGAGGCGTCCAGGATCAGATCGCTCGCCACTCCAGGCTTCACGTTCAGCAGTTGCCGAAGAACACAGTGGTAACCCTGCCGAATCGCCACTTGCGCGGCTCTCTTCACGCTGAATATGCTGCCCTGAAGCCCGTTCAGAATTCCCGCCACGGCGTTGAGGAAATTGTGCTGCGCGGCCATCTCCAGCAGATCCTCGGCCACACCGTGGAGTATCTGCGGCTTGACGGTCTCCAGGCTCCTGAGGAAGTTCACCTCGTCGTTGGCGGTCAGGTAGTACTTGAGATCCTGCGCGTTCACCTCTCTGCCCTCGCGCTTCGGCGGCAACGGCAAATCCGGCAGGTTCTCTCGCAAGACTTGCCGCGTCGTCTGATCATTGTAGTCCCTGTAGCTGTCCAGGTCGGGGCACTGTTTGCACACGTCTAAGATCAGTCGTACCATCTCGCGCTGTCCATTCATCGCCGCCATGTGGAGAGCCGTGAGACCCCTGCTGTTGGGAATATTGACGCTGGCTCTTCCCTCCAGTAGCTGTCTGGCACACGTTAGATTCTCCTGCCGCACCGCGATATGCAGAGCGGTCTGCTGTCCCGCTTCCAGGTTCACATTCGTCGTCGAATGCGTCAGCAATGCTGCCAGGGTCCGTTCATGTCCGTTCTCGGTGGCGAAATGTATGGCCGCGCGATTGTGCGCCTCGTTTACCCTGTTTACTCTCGCCCCCTTGGACAGCAGATAACTCACAAAGTCCGTCAAGCCGTTTCGGCTGGCTATATCGAGGCACGTCTCTTCGTAGTGATTCGGGAATACGTAATTGACATCTAAAACTGGCGGTTGCTTCTTCAAGTTGTACTCTATGATGTTTTTAAAGGTACGGTAGTCCTTGGACCGTATGGCATTCAGCAGAAGTCTGTAGAGGACTTGTTTGTCGTTCGAGGTAGGGTCATAAACATTCAGCAGGCGCTCCTGCAACGAATCCTCCTCGAGGTCCATCTTTGCGTCTAGAGGCAGAATATCGAGTGTTGGGGTGATAGTGTTTCTTGAAAAGATACGGAAAATCTAGCATGAAAACTACATGAAAAGATACGGAAAATCAAGCACGTCCCTTAGTTTGTATCGTACCGCAATTTTGGGGATGACCAACGTCAAAGGATAATGTATTGTTTGTGATCATTTTAATAAAACGCGGGAAACGGATATTACGAACATCTCTCTCGCTACTCCGCGAAAGTGAATTTCGTTTCGCTTGCGATCGTTTCCGCTCTTTTCGCCGAGAAACGTACGTGGAAATAGTGGGAGAGAGATGAACGGGATAAAAAATGTCACATGTGTGCCACATTACACACACAAAGCAGTCGACTACGGTACGTGGGTGTGCTCCGCGTCCGTTATGACGACGATCCGACCAGCTCACCGCCACAATTTACTCAAGTGCCAATTAAACGTTACTCCACGTTATTTTAGCGATCACGCAAAGCGCAACAGCTTTTGTCCGGGACGCACTTTTCCGTAAATTCTCGAGCTATCGCTCCACGATAAAGTTAATCGGCTTTCCAAATGCGAAGTGCGACAGAGTCGTTCATTGTGCCTCCGGACAAAGGGAGACCGTCCGGATGAGCACTTCCTGCTGGAATTAATTTAAACTCGACAGCATGCATAGAAAAAATCAGCGGGATTCCTCTCGGTTTTCACGAGCGACGTAACGTATAGAATTCATTTCAAGAAGTCACTTTACCGAAACGTGCGACGTAGAAACTCGATGAATACTCCGCGATATATCCGAAGCTCTTTGAAATCGACGAGAGATATTTTCAGTTCTTTCCTGGTAAGTGGAAGGTTGTCGCGGCGATATCTTTTTTTCTCACACCACGTCGAGGAGCGAGAGGCGCGATGTCTAAATTGAACTCTGAAGTCTGTCAATTGATAGCATTTTTAATTGTTAGACGCTTTATCGCGACGCGGGCGAGTTTGGTCGCAGCAGAGCGACACGAGGTCGACCGGTGCGACAGATATTATTAAACGGTAAAAATATTCGCTCTTGTGCGCGCTTTTAATTTCAAGTGTGCACTTGTCAATTCCTCACGAGACGAAATTGCGAGATCAGCATTTAAGAATCACTCCGTATCGCGAGGCGTCGTATTCAAGACCGGTTTCGCCACCGTTCGCATTACTCGAACATGACAGCGCATCGATCGCTCATTATTTTACCATTTTCGTTATACTTTTATACAATACCTGTATCTTCCTGTATCTACGAACTTTTCCAGGCAAGCTTCTCTCTTTTAACCGAATGCCGTCGCAGTACTACTTCGACATTGAACACAACGGGCGTGCCCAACAAGTGGTCCGCTGCACCGCGAAGCTGTATGATGAAAGTAATCTCGCATTCCTTTCACTAAATTCCGATCCAGGATTTTCTCTCTCTCTCTCTCTTGTTCGGAAAACCGCCCTACACTCGCGACCGCATCGACGCGGTACGTCTGCGCGCGAATACGTCACACCAGTGACTAATTAACGAATACACATCTGGGATTAATAACGCATGTAAGTGATAATACTTGGTTTGATGTCTTACGCATCAGCCGGACCCACTCTGCTGACCAGACTAGCTCACGTCGCCACGCTCGCAATGATGACGATGGAAGAAGAAGAGGAGAGAGGGGTGGGGGGGCCTCATCGCGCGATCGGGTGTCCGATATTCTACTCCTAACTCTGTTCTACAACAGTGCTTCTTTTCATGCTAAAACACAACGTTCAACCGGTTCTCTCTCTCGCTAACAAGAGATCCTTCATCCTCGTGGATCGCGTGTTTTGAGCAAAAAATGATGACGTTACGCCGCATTTAATCGCAAGGGAAAAGAGGATGAGATGCAATCAGTTGGGATTTTATTACATTCGCTGGTGACATTGTAGACGATATATTTACAATATCAATGTATCCTTGTGTCTCGTTTTTCCCTTTAATGTTATAGAACTATAGAGTATTGGGGTGAAACGAGCCGAGATTGAGATCGAATCTTTAATATGTAGTCTAATTAGGTTTACTTTACGCTCGCTTTCTCAACACACTACATGAGACCATCGTGTATCTCAAAGAATGGCCTTTTTTAATATATATATATATATGTATATTTTAATCACTAGTATAAGGAGAGAATTTGCATGATCTCTCACTTCTGACGTCATAATTCGATATAGCCACGGCAAGAAAACGGGAGCCTCAAATATGAAGGTGCTGTCGTCTTGGCACCATAATTGGATGCACACGTGCAATTTCGTAACCCACGCACCCCAAAGTTCCCAATCTCCATCCTTGACTCTTTCAGCCTCGCGATGTCCTGTTCGTCGAAAGGGAATCAGCTAAAATTAGAAGCTCACGCCACATAGCAAATGACGCGGTTAAACATTCGTGATTTATTATACAGGTGTGCTGAGGTAAGAAATTGCTCATTCTTCCGTGTCAACGCAGTTCAGCATTTTATTTTTGCTGATTAAACGTAATGACAAATGGCACGAGTAACGGACGAGAATCTAAAGTGCTAAATCTTTCGCGTCACGATTTTTATATAAAAAACGAAAATAAAATCTCTCCGTCTCTCTCTCTTTCTCTCTTCTGAATTGAAGTGACTGTGGATGGTAAGTTTTCAAAGGTGTGATTTAAGACACGATTTACCTTCAAATTCTGTTAATGTGTGTGTGTGTGTGTGTGTGTGTGTGTGTGTGTATGTGTGTGTAATTTATCACATCATTATATAATCATTCATTCGTCATATTATTCGCAGATGTACCGAAAAAATACGCAGGATACTTTGACATCAATACCGAATCACCTCTGTGTGAAAGAACTCGAGAGCGAATATCTGAAATTTAAAACGATTTTCGCGCCATGTTCGGCTCGATTATTCAAGATACAGAATAGCGAACAACATCATTTAAATGTCATTCGTATGTGATTTAACGTTAACCCCTTCCCGTACTTTAGCGAGTCAGACTCGCGATGAAGATTTTTGCCCAAACATGAATATCGCGAGTCTGACTCGCGAACAGTTACTTGGGCCAAACATAAACATCGCGAGTCTGACTCGCGAAGAGATATTTGGGCCAAACATAAATATCGCGAGTCAGACTCGCGAACACATACTTGGGCCAAACGTAAACATAACAAGCCGAGCTCGCGGACTGATTTCTACATTTCGGATCGTATTGCGACTGTTTACAAGCATCAGTCTGGTCTGTTTAGCGCGCGTCAATGCCTACCGCTTGGGCCGAGTTTCGTCGAGCTAAATGGCACGGGAAGGGGTTAAATCACAAAATATCGAAAAATGATGAGGGAAATCATTTCATGCTGGTTTCAAAATAAATTCAGAAAATTACGCATAAAGAGATAAAGGGAGGAAAGGGAGCGACGGTCTTCTTCGATCGAGTTCCTTCCGGCTTCGAATACGTGTCATGAAATTCGCGATGGTTCTCTCGCTCCACAGGTCTGTACGCGAGGCAAGCTGCTTTCAGGCGCTTGCGTTTCAGGGTTCTTCCAATCACTGCAAAAGGTGGGGACTTGATTCCGGGAAACTGGCGCATGCCGTGATACCTTGACGTTTAGTCTTCAGTCGCTGGGTAAACGCGTCTCAGGTGCGCATCCGTGCAGATCCCCCGGTGTTAAAAGCGCTGTCGAAAGTGAACATCATCAGCCGTTCTCAGTTCTCGCCTCTCTCACCCACTTTCACGGACTCCTTCTTCAAACCGAGTAAGTAAACATCCTTCGGTATGCTACGACCGCAGGTTACGTTAATGTTGATCAAGCCTGCTTCATTCAGCGAACTTTTCGACAACTATTGCAAAAGTTAGCGGCATGCAAAATTTGGTCAAAAGGCGCAATGCACAACGAATTAGTGTTGAAGTGTAATTCAAATGATCAAACGCGCAAATATATTGTCACGGAAACATTTCACGAATCTTGATGTAACACTTCGACCACAATTGTACAATCGCGCGTATAAATATATCGAAATATATCGAAATACTTTAATGAAACATTAAAAGTACTTCGAGGTTTTCTTCCTTCGAAATTCTTTCCTCCTTGAACTCATTCGATATCCGATCGCTGTAGTGAGAACATAAAGTTTCGTCGGAGACATTCATTATAGGAAAATGCGATATAATTAAACTGGTTTGAGTAATAATATGTAGCGACGTTGCAATTTTCACTTTGTTGCATATAACACTGATATTAAGTTCGCGACGAATAATATCGGCTTGCAGCGTATTATTTCGTCGAATGAATCGACAAACGGATTTGCGTGTCGTTTTCTCAAGTAATAAATTAGATAAATCTCATTTATTAGAGAGCTCAGCAGATAAATTGAACTTTAGTTCAATATCCCAGTGGATTTTTGCCGGTGATACTTTGCGCGAAAAGAAAGATTACGAAATGAGAAAACAGCTCTCGGGAGAAGATAGATTATATGTATATACATGTGTGTGTATGTATGTGCGAGAATGAATATAAAAATACAATGGTATCTTATAAAAATTAATCACGGTTTCGTAAGGCTTGCATTCATGGATTTTGTTCAATCTCTTTCGCTCCAATTTCGGCGACATCGCGACACGTCTGTACTCACATGTACCCTTATGTATCGAATTTACCACTTCACTTTCATTCCCATGTTTGGATAATGAAATGCTGCGTACACACTCGGCATACACATATATATTGGTACATCCATATACTGCGTGTCAATTTAAAACGCATAGATATGTGTTATATATACATACGCATGTATATGTACACACACACACGCGCGCGCGCACGTATATATCTATAATACAATGTGTTACATTATCGTAGTTTTTATACACAGAGAAAATATTGTAGTAAAGATTACAATAAAATTTTATAATGCTGGACCACATTCTCCGGAATTATAATTGAAATTATTACATGTGTCGTAATCTTTATACAATGAAATACGTCATTAATGATCACAACACACGTCATAATTTCAGATATAACTCCGATATGGTTTCGCATTTCAAAATTTTGTGATAATTTTTATTACAATATTTTCTCCGTATGAAAGAAATGTAACTCACACATTATTTCGTAATTAATTTTCGATGGGTTTTCTTCTCCCGCGATGCTTTACGCCGATAATATCGCTAACGTTATCTTTCCTTTATACGGAATACACCGTAACGAGCGATGATGTAAGAAATTTGGCGCGAATGAGAAACGCTCTCAAGATCGTCTCTGCCATACTCGGTAACCGGGAATCGATCGTCATAGAACACTTTGCACGTCGTAGGTGATGCTGTAATGAATTTTTTTTTCATATTGACGTGTAAAATCGGCGTATGACTTAATATTAAATGCAAATAATGCAGCTGCAAGTACGACCGAACGCGTTTCCGAAAGTCCGCTCCTTTTAAATTGAAATAATTCTTACAAATTTCGGGGACCTTAAAATCGCAATAGAATATCACAAATCGTTCCAAATTGTTTTCCAATTTTAACACAAAATATCCCACTTTGTACACCAATGATCTGCGAAAACGCGTTACCGCACATCGTGAATGAGTCATCGTCATTATTACGAAGTGTCGTACATTTAGGCACATTTTTAAGCTCGTTGGCGTTCCGTCACACGATCGGTAGGCGATCGCGAATGCCCATCATGGTCATGTTCTTATATGGTTCGCCATGACTCGTTTCTGTACCCCCCCGAGACTTCGAGGTCGCCTTCATTGCATAATTCATGGACGTGCATACGGTTTTGCGCCTCCTTGTTTACCAGAAAGAATCATCTGTTCTATCTGAGGGAAATTCGCGTGCGCGCGTAGTACACAATTGTCGGCGTCGCAAATGACAATTTTCATTTATTCTGTTTGCAAAGTTATAACGATAGACTACGTAATGTATAAGAAATTCATACGCTTATGTCATCCGATATATCCGACAGCAAGGTAGAGCACCCTCGGGCAATATGGTTGGAGTGACACAGAGACCTTGGACACCCACGAAGCGACGGGGCCCGATTGCCGCCGAATATAGCAGCCCGGGACCAGCCTGTGTGACTCTACCTCCACTAATCGGTACGATTTTATCAATTTTTCTCCGAGAGAGATGTATATATATATATATATATATATATATATATATATATATATATATATATGAAAACAGTATAGTAATCAAATGACAATGTATAAATGTTCTCAGGTAAAACCGTCCCAGATTCCAAGCGGGAAAGAGCACCAGCATTTTCCTTTGGTAGCAGGTAATTCCATTTTATAGATCCACGAGAACTATTCTTTACTCTCTCGCATGAGCCACTGATATCGGATATCTTCCAGGCATACGGCGAAAGACAACAGCCCGGGACCTGGCCCTGGACAATACAACGTCTCTGGACTTAACGCAAAAGGTAAAGAGAAGCTTCCTTTCCACGATGAAGTAGACAAAGCGTAATGAATTGAGACGTTTGAATTTCAAACCGGATAAACATGTATTATGCGTGACGAACGCGCAATTGTGCTTCGCGAGCTTGCGAGTGTTATCGGCGCTTCTCTGGCTCGGTTGTGGTATCGATCAAACACCAAACCGACGACATAAGAATGTTTTAATAGCCGGCGTTCACGAAATTCCTTCGCCTCTCGAACGAGGGATCTTTCGATTGTTAATTATTCATTAGTGATAATAAACGTCAATCATTCAGGGAAGGATGCCGCACCTGCCGCGTCGCTGCACGGCCGAACGAAATCGACGAAACCGGAAGTAACTCCCGCTCCCGGCGATTACAATCCACAAAAGGCGGAGAAGATCATTCTGGACAGTTCTCCGAAATATTCCTTTGGTGTTAAAACGCAAATCGAAAAGATCAGCTGTACACCCGGTAAGTGTTTCCACATAAATGATATGATAAATGTAAATATGATAAATATTTAATTAAGGTAAAAGTGTTTGAACGTTGTCAGACATCTTTCCATACGTCTCGATAATTATTATTTTATGATCAATTACCACATATAATATATATATACGTATAAAGTAATGTATATAAACGTTAATAGAGATATGAATGATAGAAATTACTTCTCGTAACAAAGACACATGAGCAAACAATTGTACCACCGCTTACGTCGTATTCGTCACGTCGTGAAAATTAAAATTAATCGAAGCATAAATACATGTATTGCATCTCGATCGTAGCACCGAACGACTATCGCACTGATATCGTGAATCTCTACAAAGCGGCAGCGTACACTTTTGGCGTAAAAGCTGTGTCGGAAAAACCAAACGACGTGCCCGGTAATTATACAACAGCCAATTAAGTAACGGTATCCAATATTTTGTCTACTAATTACGATATTCGGCCTAATCAGAGGTGCACACGTACGAAACGATAATATAGGAAAAGGAATGCTGCGGTAGATTCAACGCGTCGATCATATTTGTGTGTATCGACGGAACTACATAACATACTACACGTTAATTTGTTCTCAATAACAAAATGAAGATCGCTTAATAGCACGCATAGTGCGTACCACAGTTGCATTACTTATTTACTCCCAGCTCGAAATAACTTTCCTGTTCTTTTCTGTCGCGTGCAAATACGCTTATCTTAAATTCTCTTCCTTCGAAATTATAACAAAGCTCTCTATTGAGATTTGCTACGTTTCACTATCATTATATCGACATAATGATGTTTAGGATAATCGAAGCCGCACCGCAACTAATCGCGATTACCTAAGATGGGACTTCATTTGCGGATATTACATCTCAAAAAATCGAAACTATTATCGCCGAAGAATCTTGTTACTTAGGTACAGACGTATTTATCCTTTTTGTTTCAACTTGTGGCCATTAAGCCATTCACGTAATTTAGCGACTTTGAACGTATATTTGAATAGAACGAAACAGTATTAACTTTGGACTTCCGTGCACCGTAAAGAAATTCTCAATATGTCGCATTACTGCAAAATCACAGTGTAGCCAACAATTCTACATATACTTCTTTTGAATCTTTCGCTATATTATCTCTCAAACTCACCGTAAATTAAAATATGCACGTGTGGTGTTATTGTGTGGACGTAAATGAAAGTAATTGCGTGATTACTATAGAGTAAGTTAGCGTATATTTGCCGAGTAGCCGAGAGTGGTACACGCACATATATGTATACATATATATACTATACATATATGTATAGTTTCGGAATAGTATATGAACGAGTACACACGCGAAAAAAATTAATAGAGTAGCTGATACGTAGCTGTTACACATGTAAGGTCGAATGGTAACGAATTAGTAGCGTCGCTTATCGTCGTAAAAGTAAAATACTGCATGCCTCGCGAGAGACATTGTATCCCCTCTGTTTTATTAACTTACGCCAGTCAGTGTCCCTTACTCTCTTTTCTCGGAGTTAATCCCGTAATTTCGGCAGTAATGCTTGTAGCAACTAAAAAATCGCCGCACGTGATGGAACTCGTAAAATTAATCGGCAAATGTCTAGCTCCAGGTACTTATCATCCCGAGAAAACGAGACTGGACAGCGCTCCGCAGTTCACGTTTGGGTTTAGAACATCGCTCGATAAAGCAAGCGATACGCCAGGTAAAATACGGAGGAGGAAAAAAAATACAAAATTCAGATTAACAGACTGTAAAACCTAGCTTGACTTTACTTTGCAACGTCTCTTGTCTTTTTCAATTGCACACAGCACCCGGAACATATAGTCCCGAGAAGGTGAATCTCGAGAGAGGTCCGCAGTACAGTTTGACAGGCAAGGGTCGAGTGGAAAAGTGCAATGAAACACCAGGTACGTACACGGAAATTTGCGTATACATATATTTTCGTTTCGTGGAACAATATACGCAACTTTGTCAACAGCACCTGGCACCTACTGTCCCGAGAAGGTGAAACTGGAGGCATCGCCTCAGTTCAGTTTCGGTTTAAGACCTGCAGTAGAGAAGCCAAACGAAACACCAGGTATACATTATTTGGTTGGATTATTCGTCGTTCAATAAAACGTGTATTGATATCATGATGCATTTGTTCGTTTTAGCGCCCGGCACGTACAGCCCCGAGAAGGTAAATTTGAACAGAGGGCCGCAATATAGTTTAAGTGGTAAAGGACGCGTCGAGAAACCCATCGACACACCAGGTATAACGCAATTAATAAATCCTTTGCAGATCCTTGTGTGAACTGCAATTTATAATATATGTGGATTGCACACATACACAAAGCACAGTTATCGTATCAAGTATATGCGATATTTGCATATATAATAATAAAATATTTATACTCTATACAATATATTGAATAAAGAGATTAAATCATAAGAAAAAGGAAGAGGGAGGAAGAACAAAATTAAAATCTCTAAAAAATGCGAATCATCAACGGAAAATACAGCTCTCGATTAAAGTAACGGCACAATTTTCAGCGCCCGGAGAATATTGCCCCGAGAAAGTGAAATTGGACACCACGCCGCAATATAGTTTTGGAATTAGGCCCGAATCGAGTAAACCTAGCGATACACCAGGTAATCAATGCACATTGCTTCTGCGAGAACAATGATTGTATGCGTTTATATATTTCGCGTAGCGCCTGGAACCTACAGTCCGGAAAAAGTGAATTTAGATAAAGGACCGCAGTACAGTTTGACAGGCAAAGGAGCCGCTGAGAAACCAGTGGACACTCCAGGTGTGTGTGTGTGTGTGTGTGTGTGCAAGTTACACATACAAACTACGTGACATGTAGATATAATATTATAGCAATATAATATTTACAGCGCCGGGCGCGTATTCTCCCGAGAAAGTAAGATTGGACAATACACCACAGTACAGTTTTGGACTTAGGCCCGCTTTGGACAAACCTACTGATACGCCAGGTAATCAATTTCCGAAGATACATCTTGTATCAAGAGGTATTCTAAAATTCGTGATAAGTATAATCACAAATATAGCCACGTAACAGAATTCTGCAACATTCTCTGTATGTGGTTTTTCTTATCCGGCATACGGACGCTATCTCTTTTACATCGTCTTTCGATACAACCGTTTTGTCGTAATAGTGACTTTTTTTCTTATTTTTGTTCCCCTGAAATTCTCTTTAGAAAGAAGTGTGCAAATACCCCTCTTTTCACTCACTGTACTTTCTAGAAACAGTAGTGCGATATAAGCGATACAATTCTTTCAGCGCCTGGCGCATACTCTCCAGAGAAAATTAAATTAGACGGCACTCCCCAGTACAGTTTCGGGATTAAGCACGCGTCGGACAAGCCCAGTGATACGCCAGGTAATTAACAACTGTCGTTTTGAAATAAACCGACTTGACCGCACGCATTTGCATTTTTCGCGCAGCACCTGGAACTTACAGTCCCGAAAAAGTAAATTTGGACAGAGGGCCGCAGTATAGTCTGACCGGCAAAGGCTTCGCACCAAGACATGACGATGTTCCCGGTACGTTTAGAAATTCTTTGAAGCACGATAAAGCGTCACTCATTATTCGCATTCATTTTTTGGTACGTGTTGCTACAGCACCTGGCACGTACAGCCCTGAAAAAACGAACTTGGACAAAGGGCCGCAGTACAGTCTGACCGGGAAGGGGACGCCGGAAAAAGTGAACGACAACCCCGGTGAGTGTTGCGTTTTTGTTTTCAGAGCGTATTCTTTTTTTTCGTACGTACTATTAACGCACGTAAGACAGTACAATAAAGTAATAGACAACGTTAATTTCTGATTGGCTCGGTAGGCCCTGCCGATTACAAGCCAGAGAAAGCTCTAAATCTGGAGCATAAGCCCTATTTCAGTTTTGGTAACAGAACACCCCTTCATAAGTCTCACGATACACCAGGTAATGGTGTGAACTAACCAGAAACTAATCGACTGTTTTCTAAATGATCTGTAATGTACGAACGAAGATGTAATAATTCAGCCGAAAAACGCACTAATTTCCGATTACTTTGGTAGGCCCCGGTTGCTACAATCCGGAGAAAGCGCAACATTTGGAACATAAACCTTATTTCAGTTTCGGTAACAGAACACCGTTGTATAAAGCTAACGATACACCAGGTATGGTGTAAATTAGCGGCAAATTAATACCATATATCTCTCGATTACTCGTTCTAGAGATAGAAAATAGTGAATGTAATATACATACGTAGAGTAGTGCGGTTTTAAAGTATTGTCATATGGATAAACATTTTTCCATTCCTGTCCAACTAACTGTCTATAAGGGTAATTATTCATAATAATGTTAATTATAATAGTATTGATTGCAACTAATAATACGAAAAGTGAAAAATATGCCGAATGCTGAAACAAATAGATATAGATTTTTAAGACCACCATCAATGTACGAAACTCCTCCGTCAATGTGCTTCAACGTATATGTGATAAGCATAAATATATTGCCAACATACTGTGTGCACGTAATGTTATATTTAACGTTTTTCCTAAATATATGTGTTGGCTTATGCAGTCTTCTGCACGAAATAAATGTGATAACCGAAATTGCGCTTTTGCGAGAGAGTACAGAAGCATTTTATGATTCAACTTGCAGCTCCCGGTACGTACAGTCCCGAGAAAGTAAATATGTCCAAGTCGCCCGAATACAGCTTCGGCCTTAAAACCGAGATAAACGAGAGAGACAACGTACCAGGTAGGCTTTCTCATTGTTCAATCGTTATTTCGCAATTTCTAATTGATCGCTCGGCTTGACGATCTCGCCAACATCACAACAGTCATCATTTTACTTGAATTCCATTGGCTGACTTTTACTTAACTTTTATTTTTGAAATTATTCCAGGACCTGGCGAGTACAGTCCGGAAAAAGCTATGCTTTTATTGGAGAAAGCATTGCAATTTAGTTTCGGCCTTAGACCGCCCGTTAGTAGGCCGAACGACATTCCAGGTAAATAATTGTACCGATCTATCGACTTCGGCCACGGATGCGGTAAACATGAACTTTCTATAACGTTGCATGTTACACTATTGGCGATTTTATTCGTACACGCTACATGCATGAGACTCTATAGTCGTGCACTAATTAGTTTTTCGTGTATATATATATATTTATTTTTTTAGTAAAATGTGTTATAATTTTTTCTTTACCATCCTCCGTAAAATTCACAATATAAACTGTGTGCAGTATTATTTCACGAGGCGCGCAAATTCTTAGTGAATTTTATACAATCTGTCGAATCCGTATAGCTGATAAGCCGATGTGCCAGAAATAGAGAAACAAATACGACGTGAATGGTGGATGACATTGTTTTCTACGGGCCGTGAGATGATTGCAATCGGATGTCTGCGAATGTCTTGAAGGAAATAGCTCGATCGGGTTTTTCAGCACCCAATGTTTATAACATTCCATCCGCTCTCGGTGGGACCAAGGAGGGTAATAAGAAAGCCGCGCCCGCCTATTCGATGTCCGGTAGGCAAAAGGTATTCACGGACGATCGCGTTCTCGTACCTGGACCGGGAGCATACGAGGCCATCAAACCGGACGCGGTCAGAGCAAAGAGTCCGGCGTACAGCATAAGCGCACGTTTCGCGTTACCCGACGATCACTCACAGATTCCAGGGCCCGGAGCGCACTACCCGGAAAAGGTATCCGACAGATTGATATGGATTTATTTTAGCATAATTGCGATCATATAATGCGTTGATCACACACTCACGCAATTGTGTTTCAGGTCCTTCTCGATGTTCCTCCCGCGCACACATTTGGTATCAGGCACTCGCCGTTCATTTGTAACTTGAAGGATGCGGTTCATTAATTTATCTAATTCAAGATACGCGCCTTTGTTCATTGCTTTTAATGTTTTTGATTAACAAATCTTAGAAAGGATTTTTCTTTCTTCGTTCTCCACGGTTTAAGGTCCGCAGAAAAACTTGAGCATTAAAATTTCAGTAGTAAACCAACAGTGACTATTAGCTTTTATATCGCATGATTATTATATTGTAAAACGAGACAATGTCAGTAATTAGTTAAGACTGCTACAACACAAATGCATCTAATACGACGCAGTGGTGCAAAATTTCATTGTTGCATGAGAAATTGAAATAGCGCCTTATTTCATCGTAATTTAACTAATGTAATGTAATACTTTTATGCATATTATTTAATATGAAAAGAACTTCAAGTTCATTTGATTAAGTTAATTAAAGATTAATTGATATAACACATTGGAATCTCTCATTATCCTTTAGCTTCAGAAGGTACAAACACCTTTTCCGCAGTGTAAGATCATTGTTATACTAATTTTATGTTTTTTGCATAGAACGCGTAGTAAAAGGTGTGTATGAGAACCACTAAATAAAAAGAAAATATATCTATATTTATTATTATATGCACACACATTTGTCACAACTAAAAGGAGTAAAAAGATATTTCATATTCTCCTGTCATCTGATCAAATACATTCGTGTATGTTTATATGGAGTAATAATCTCTTCCTTTGTCTCTTTTATGCATGTCACTCACTGCAAGTACGCTGAACACATTCTCCTGAAATCCATGTCGACAGAACCTCCAGTTTATCATCCAATAATACGAAATCGGCGTCAGCGCCAAAGCTGAGAACACCTTTGTGAGAATCGATGCCAAGAGTTTTCGCGGGATGCAAAGTAGCTGCTTCCAAAGCCTCAACTACAGTGCAACCTATATCAAGCAATTGTGTTATCAAGTACACTGTGAGCAGATACAATTGTGAAAAAGCATAATGTACAAGCTCCATTGATACCGTAAAGCGTTTGACCAACACAATACAATTAATGAATCAAAATGGTATTGATAATATTTTACCAGTGGCTTCCCTGAAATGTCTCACACATTTAGACATTTCAGCTATGCTACCGCACAGGATGTCCGTTCCAGCGATATAAGCACTCCCTTGACGTATCTCTATCTCCAATTGACCCAACTGATGAATCCCCTCCTCCAGACCCAATGCCGATATCGCATCGGTTACAAGCACGAGACCTTATGAAAATATTTGTCTTTTAATTTTGTTATTATCGAGAGAGAATTATCAACAAAGGCTGACATATATGAGTTGTAATAAATAACAACCTTCGGGATGCGTCCGATGAGCGATTCGTAAAGCAGCTGGATGAGTGTGAATCCCATCTGCAATTATACCAAAATGAACGATTCTCCCAGGTGGAATTTGATCGGATGTCAAGAGACCAACTAGTCCAGGATCTCTATGATGAAACTACAATTGTAAAGAAAAAAAACTTCGTATATACTTTTATTATAAAAGATGTAAGTTTCAAATACAGTGCAATGCAAAATATTTTGTAACTCACAGGCAACATGGCATTAAAGAGGTGAGTGATAAATGATGCTCCATGTTTAACTGCTTCTTCTCCCTCATTTAGATTTGCTATGGAATGTCCTGAAATATATATAACATCAAATAAGTGTGAACCAATAGTAAAAAGTTTTGTAAAAATCTAAGAAATATTTAACGATATCTATTATTTTGATGTGCAGAGAGAGAGAGAGAGAGAGAAAGGGAATATCTATTTCATAAATTATAACGCATAAAATTAAGCACATGTTAAAATGAGAAAAACATCGTTTAAAAACGTGAAAACAACGTGATATATTATAATCCAGATATTTTACACAGAAAAAAAAACTTTTACCTACCGACTGATACTTTGATATTTCTTTTACACAACTCTTCGATAATAGATATGGCGTTTGGAATTTCAGGTGCTAATGTAACCATACACGCATTGTTCAAATCTCCATACATATCGGTGACTGACTTAAAACCCTAAAAACCGCGCAACATATCGTGCGGTTATTTTCATACACAAATGTTGAGATTCAGATATATAAAGTAAATTGTAATTCCTACCTGATCAAATGTTCTTATATAGTTTTCTGGATGAGCTCCTTTTTTATTGGGGCTAATAAACGGCCCTTCTATGTGAACACCTAATATACCAGCACCGTGACTACCTCCATTTCGCTTCTTTATTTTCGGCAATATTTTATGATACAATCTAGTAGGGGATGTTACTACTGTAGGACAGAATGATGTTACTCCATATTTTAATAATCCTTTCGCTACTTTATCAATGCCTTCCTCCACATTGTCGACCTTGTTCGAAAAATCGATGCCAAATCCTCCTGAACGAACGGACGCAAGTGTCAAATTTCACTGTCTACTAATGAAAATAAGTATACAAGTTTTACTTTTGATACCGAAATTTTATTGATTAAGTACCATTGATCTGTAGGTCTATGAATCCTGGAGAAATTAGGGCACCGTTACAATTTAATTTAACATCAGGTGTGATCTTCTCGTCGTAGAAGATTTTTTCTGGATTCACGATCTCACCATTGCGTACCCACAAATCTTCCAACTGGATTTTGCCTTCGCGTAGAATTTTGCAGTTGCAGAATTGTTTGAGTACTGTTTTATCGTCTGGCTGCATGATCCTTCGCGTTACAAATGTGAAGAATATGATCTCCAAAGAATCCAACAATTCTATAAATAACAACCTTATCAGCGTAACCCGCGCATTATCAACAAATTATCAATTACGTGTCAACGTCTCCGCCTTGATAATTTAGCATTTGGGTGGTAAAATGGCGTGACTGGTGGGGAATAATGACACGCCACATTCGTGACAAGTTCATTTCGATTAGTGGACGATGAACGATTAAGGACCGTGTCGGTGATATTGCCCGTACAAATTGTAAACAAGAATAAACAACCGCCATTGGGCATAGAACGGCCTGTAACTTTGACTACAACGTATCTAGATACGAAAGCCAATAGTAAAATTTGAAAAGTAGAGCGCGATATCTCCGATCCGAGAGATTTCGCGAACGGCAACTGTAAATTCTAGAACGCCTTGCGTGAAGTTTGAGTAGAAAAGAAAAAGGCAGAAAGGAGGCGTTTTTCAGAGTCCTGCATTCGCAGATTCACCTCGTCCTTGCTAATTCCTGCTATGAAACGGCTGAGCGTCCGATCTAGAATCCAATCCACACACGAAAAATCACGAGAAAGTTGACCCAAATCCAAGTTTTTGCAGCAAGACGGCCGTGCGCTTGAAAAACAAGAAGGGAGAACGAGGGAGCGAGGATTATGGTCGAAAAAGACCTTAATTCTCCTTATAGTCGACAATTCGCGCACGAATCGGCGGTAATCGACGATTCAACGTCAGCCCAACGAGAAGTCCGCCGCACGTTGGACGTGCGCACTACACTTGCACTACACTCGCGCTACGCTCGCAGTGTACACGCACGGTGTGGATGTATGTGACGCATATCGATATCATCGATAGCGATATTGACGTAGACGATCCACGATTGACGTTTACCAGTGGCCCCACAGAGAAGTGCAGGTGGAGATAAGCGTCGGAGGTGGTATCGTCCCCTTGGATAACAAGAGCTTGTTCCGCTGGTACATACCGCAGTTTTCCCTTGAACGAAAATTTGTGCGCCTGCAAGTCGAAGTAAGTGGCCCCGCGAGCGGAAAATGATTTCCCATTGTACCTCGGGATGAACTTGAAATTGATTACATTAGTTGGTCGGCAAAACCTTTGCTTAACCTCAAATGTCAATTTGTCGCGTTTGCCTTCCTCCTCCAGAATTTCACACTTGTTATGTAGAAATTAATAGCCGTGCAAACGATATTTGCCCAAAGAGTAGGCCATTTTTATTTTGACAAGCAGTGCATACGTGCCTTGCAAGAAAGTAACCCTTCTTTTTCAGGTGATGGATGCGTTTGGCGACAATTTTGTCAACAATGAGCCCGAGGTGGATCCAGCAGCAGAGTTCCTGGCAAGGGAGCAAGATCAGCTGGCTGGCCTGGAGGACGATATAACGCCGATGGCTGTGACCCTGGCTGCTGCAGCGGCAGCTAGCCATAGCGATGGTACAGAATTTGACGCATAATTGAGATAGATACAGACAAGTTTGATCTGTTTGTGCAGAACCCAAATATTTGTTGCACACTTGAGAGATATGTATAATTATGTTGCATATATATTGTGTAAATACATGAATGATATCGTAGATGATGTATCTGGAAAATTTGGGAATCTAAAAGTTGGCCCAGGTGGCGACGCTGAAGGTAGTTTTGAAATTGTAGACACTATTGGACAGCCTACAGAGCTACAACCATCAACCTTAGGTACAAAGATATCCTTTTTCGATCCCATCTCTCTTGAGAAAAATTTAATTGTTGAACTTTCACGCAAATAATTAATAGAGCCAGCCCCTGTCATTCCTCTGGTAAAGGAAGAACCTGAAAAAATCAGAAAGTGGAGGGAAGAACAGAAAGCCCGTCTCGAAGAGAAAGGTATTGAAAATAGCTAACTATACCTTTTTGCTGTTGTTGTATCATTGAAGATCGCTATGTTTTGATTGATTGTATGCAAAGTACGTGGCGCATAAGCACTCGTATCTTTTAGACGCGGAAGAAGAGAAAAAGAAGGAAGAATGGAGAGAAGCCGCGAAGAAGGAGCTGGAAGAATGGTACAAGCACCATGCGGAGACTATTGGTAAAACGAAAACCACCAACAGGTAATTTTTCATTGAACATTTTTGCTCCTTCAATTCTTTCCTCTTTTGTATCTTAATTCGGCGCAGAATTGAAATTAAATGTTAAGTCAGCAGTCGTGATTTCTTATGATCCACTATTGTACTATATTTTTTAACACAAAACTCACACTTTTAACAATTCTAACAGTGTTTATATTGAGAGATAAACGCGCGGAAAAGAATTAAAGACGCGATGGAGTGAAAATTTATCAAAAAGAATACAATGGAAAGAATATATTGGACTAAATTATCAAGATATGTCGTTTTAAATATTAGCATAATTGACATCGATAATTAGTCCAATATTATGCTATGTATACTACAGATTTTTGGATTACATTATTATATATAATTGTGTTATTTTCATTTTGCTTCTCTTAGGGAATCGGCCAAGTAAGTTAAAATATCTTTATCCGCATGAGATTAGAGCATCGCATCGCTAATGTAACACGACTTGCTTCTACAGCTTTAAGAATTTCGAGAGAAAAAAGAAAAGATTATATATTTGTTCCGAATGATTCAAAAAGTATCAGCATAAGAGCACAATTCCCTCTTTCCTTCTCTTTCTCAGTCATATTCCGATGTTGCTTCTTAGTTTTAAGTTGCTACAAGATCGCACCAAACAATATTGCTTGATAAAGTTAAGATTAGATTCAGCAAGCTCTCGGATTTTCTTTTTTTGCTTTACAACACTTGAAGTATGCATATACCGAGATTGATATACACGAGGCTGAGAAAAGGATCAAAGAATTTAGGGAATAAAGTACAAACGGTACAATTCGCGCAAAGAATAAACAAAGGATATTCAATCAACGTCGAACAAAAAACCAATTTCTCTTTGGGAACAAAAGCAGTTGACAACATCGATTGGACACGTTTTTCAATTACCGTGTGAGCACTATAATATGCCTGCCTAAATTTTCCAATCACTTCTTTTAGTTTCGCACTATATGTAACGCACTTAATCTCGCGGAATGTTCGTCAACCATTCTTTATTGAAATTGTTAAAATCATCTTGTATACATGCATTTGCTGTACAGCATACAAATGCGTCGTAAAAAGGTTGCTTTTCACCGAAGAGATGGCGGCTTTTCTTTCCTCAAGACAATTGGAATTCAAAGAGTACAATTTCTCTCACTCTGTTTCTCTCGTTTCACATTATATCACTAATATGCGCGATACGCGTGCATTCGCGTATGATTTAATTTGCGCTCTATTTACGAATAGGAATGCAGAGAAGCAGTTTGTCGCGGAGGCTGACGAGGTCGAGCCAGGTACCGAGTGGGAACGCATCGCCAAGTTATGCGAATTCAATCCCAAGTCGTCTCGCACTTCCAAAGACGTCTCCCGGATGCGTTCGATTATCTTGCAGTTAAAACAGACACCGCCAACTCCCATTAATGCTTGATTAAATTGAAGGATCTATCTTCGCAATTAGACATCGAGGATATGAGTTATGGTAAATAATTGAGGAAAAAGAACAAAAGCAAATAATAACGCACGTTGTGACTACGTCGGCGATATTAATGAAAAGAATTCATAAATGTTCTGTTATATATAAAGTATGTAATATTATTGTGAATAAAGGTTATTGATTAACAAATACATTGTACGGTGCATCGTGTAATGTCTGTGCGTGTGACTGTAACATACGACGGAAGACAAAATTCACAGAAAGAAAGAAGTTCGATGTGAACGTACTTTTTTTTCAGTAAAGAATATTTATTGTAACTTCGAACAGTGAACAATAAAAAGGAGTATACGCTAATACGTTTTTCCAAAGTTTTACCACGGAAGTTCCTAGTCTTACGCGTTTCTTTTGTGTGTAAACTTGTCTAAAAAAAAATATATATATATCTTGTCTCTTTCTTAAAATCTATGCAATGTCTTCTCGCATCGTTAGTAATTAACTGCGCGTGCTATATTCTGAAGATTCATATGCTGTCACAGCTCGCAACTTGGAGTCAGTTGCATCAACGTTCATCGATTGTTAAGTCGAGAACCAATTAATAGTAGGTTCAATTAGACGAGCCGGTGCGCGTGTCAAGTAAATAAAGGCCGTTGTACGCACGAGTTTACGTAAAAACGAGCGCGCGAATCAGAGAACGGATCAGCGTGCAAATGGTCGCTTTGCTCGGCAGAAGTTGGCAAATATTAAACAGGGTTCATTATCGGACATCATTTGGCGCAATGCATGTCGGACAAAGCGCTTACACGTTTGCGCGCTCGGGATAATAGTGTATACAACAGCCTTTATTTTACATCTGCACACTGCCGCAGCATTGTAGATTGAATTCGCTCTTTCTTCCACCGTTACGCAGATTTGGCCGGATAATCTAGAAGATACCCAATTGCTGATCCAACGTTTATTAATCCAGCTCGTCGATGCCATCCCGTCTCTTGTTGTTTAGTAAACTTAAGTACTAGTGAACAACTTTCTCCTGGGCAATCTCGCATTATTAAACCTGCAGATTGGAAAGACGAAACACAAAAATTAACGCAACCGAGCTGATCTGTTATTATCAAGTCAATCCCCTCGCCGGATTATATATGCACCTAGTGTGTATCAAATGAGGATCAAATGTACAAAAGCGAGGTCTGAAGATGTACCTGCATGGATCACGTTTTATAGCAAGTTGCATTTCGTGTCGCCAACGATAAACGTAAGGAAACGTGCGAGAGCTGATCTCAGATGACAACGCGTTATAAACAGCGTGATCTAGTTTCGTTGGCGAAGATCTAAAAGTGTATCGACGATCTCGCGTTAGTGTGTCTCTCGGGTAAATTTCATTCAATTTTCGCATAAAATTCACAACGAAAAAAACTTACCCCTCGATAAATATTACAGGACCTTCTTCTTCGGCATTCTCCATGTCATCGTCATCCGAATCGTACTGAAACAATTCTGGCGTGGATGGCGGAGTAAAAAATTCGGAATCACCTATGAAATTAAATTGTTGACGTTAATATGTGGGATATTATGTGATACAACAGAAGAACGCGCGCATGCATGCGCGAAATATATAAAAAAAGACGATCAAATAGACCTGAGTCGTCGTCTTCCTCTTCTTCGACTTCATCAAACTTGGTGCTTAATGAACATGAACGTAACTTTTCACACAAACCTTCTATTTCACTAACGTCCAACGAATCCATTTTTTCTGTTATTCGTTCGCAATTGGCCGGCGCATTTGTATTCGTGTTATTAACCAAATCTACCTGCACAACAAATAGAAATAATATGAGGATAAAAAGTTAATATATATATACAGGAAGAATGAGCCAGATTGCATTAAAAAAAAGAAGCACGGCATGCTCTCTTACCATTCTTGAGTAAAACAACTGGTCCTTGTAATCTTTGAATCTCTGTTCCAAATATTTTTCGAGCTTTGTCAATCCTTCGTCGTTCCGAAAGTCGACGAAATCTTTCAAGAAGGGCCAGTATTCCTTCCAAGGCACTTGATAAACTTCTGCGAGATCCCTGGTGAAACAAGTGTCATTAAAATGTTGAAAGATCAGGTTACGCGCGCCAATTCGCGGAACGCTACAGTTGGTCAACTATGATCGTTCGTTATTTGAAAACTACTCAAGCGCTTTAACGTTTTCATGTAAGAATTTTTATTTCCAAACCAACTGAAAGTGCTAACTTTAAAAGATTTTCCGCGAGAAGAAAGAAGACGCAATCTTGTGTAATGCGATTTATGAATATATCTCCGTACCTCCCGACACGTTCCAATCCTTTTTCCGTGTCTTGTAATCTCAGAGCGATATTAGCGATTGGACTGTTTATGATACTGGGCGCGTCTCCCTGTCCCTTTTTCGCGGACGTGGAGATGGTACGTGGTGGCGTTTTCCATTTTCTTCGAAATTCCAGCGCCTGCGGCTTACTCATTGGACCAGCGAACGCCCGTACTTCTAGACGCGGACTAATCGGATCTTTATTCAAACTCTGAAAATAATAGAAATACATATTTCGCATCCCCTAAAAAAAAAAAAAAAAAAAAAAAAAAAAAGGAAAAAANAAACAACGAGATCTGAAATTATAGGTCTGTTCGTTTTCGCTGCACTGCTGAACTAGTGCAATAAGTTGAAGTGATCTCAGAAGTTGAATAGGCCTGATATCTGACGGATAATCGAACAAATTTATACGTGCTTTAACAAATAAATTCTTATCAAGGATTAAATAGTCGAATGTAATCATATGCAAATTATCGACGGACGTACACTAATAAATATACTAGATGGACGTACACTAATAAATGTACTAGACGGAGAAAACGGTTCTCCGATGGTAGGTTGATACGTGTTGTCTTCCGTCCTTAATACAGGTACATAGAACTGATCCTCCAGCAATAAGCGTATCTCTCGCTTCAGATCTTCGTCTTCTTGGCACTTTCTGCTACATATTATCTAAAGTCCAATTACATATACACATCTTTCTCGTCACAAAAGATTCCTCGCTTCTCGTATGACTTTCCAAACTTACATCTATGGGCTGCTGTTCGTACTTGTTCCGCAAAGTTTTCACGCATTGAGAATACGACACGAGAATCCGCACAATATCCTTATGACCGAACTTGACGGCGAAATGCAAGGGCGTCTCATTGAGTCCTCTGTCGGGAGTGTTCAAGTATAAATCCAACATGATTTGCGCAGGATCTAGATAACTTTTGCATTCGTCGTCTCCGTAATGCAACTGAATAAACGTGGGATTCCCAACGGTTTTTAATATCAGCTCACACATGTCCGGTCTGTTAGCTTTCACTGCTATATGTAGCGCATTGTATCGGGATCCCATCTAAAAAAATATAATAAACACACGTCTCCCTTATTTATATGTGTTATACGAGAGTATGCGAGTTGTTTGCCATTGAAAGAGAGAAGATTGAGACACAATTGCAAGAATACATTTACCTGTAAAATCGCAGGCGTATCCCCGCTGCTAATTAGATATCGTGGATTTGCCCATACGATACTCCTCACATTCTCTATGTTTCCACTTTCGATTAATTTTCTAAAACCCACAAGTTCCTGAGGTTTTGGCGCCTTGAAATTACTACATATTTCCTGCACTAGAGTAACAGTAGTTGTCGGTACAGGATAACTACCGCCACCAGATTGTACATGTCCAGTTCTCGCATATGCCTCTGCATCTGAACGATTTTTAAACGTTTTCAGACGCGCTTTCTTGTGTTCCTTTATGATTCTCAGGGCATCTGGCATATCTTGATAAATATGAATGTATTCTGGAAAAAAAAGGCACTCCCAATGACATGGTTGTAATAATAATAATAATCAAGGCTGTAAAACGCAAAATAGTGCGAGTAACTTGTTTTTTAATATTAGACGAGTCGTAGAAAATATCTCTGTTTCGTTCACCGAGAGAACACGCGATCTATCATAATTGGCTTCACCTCTCATGAGCATAAGGCTGTTGAACCGTGCGTCAAATTTCTTCACCTAATTTTAACATCTAAGAAAACTCGTTTTCTTTGTTTATACAGTCAGTTGCACGATTGTTTCATGTTCGTGAAAAAAGAGGAAGAAAGAAATTTTATTAATTCGTACGTGTATTTTAACCAGCTCTCACCTTCTACATTCGCCGAATCCTTGTTGTTGTCCGGCGGTACATATACGGCGTGAAATATCGCTTCTTTCGGGAGGTTAGAACGCGTGTCACACGCGGGTTGCGCATCTTCACATCCGTCCATCGCGATCTTCTCCGCATCAAAATGATCATCCAACGGATCAACGGCAGATCCGTGAGGTACGTTGGACGATACCACGATGTCTTCTCCCACGACGCACACACGGCTACAGAGACTTGACATTTGTTACAAAACAAAGTGTCAGCTAGCGTAGTCCACTTTCATCGCATGAACCGATGAACGAGTCAACGGCTTCCTCGACGAATATAACTCACGAGAGCCAGGGATGCGTGTTTTGTTTCTCTTATCGAGGGAATGACTAACGCGTGATTTGAATATCTTACTCGAATTCACGAAGAAATATTCGCGCAAGTGCATCGAGAAACGGCGAAGGAAACAGCGCGAATTCCACCGTGGAGCCGTAGGTTCCGATCGTCGGTAAGTCTCCGCGATCGATTATCAATCGATTCCAGCAGCATATCGAAGATAATGCAAACACACTTACCGACAAGTTTGAAAAATTTAAATCAATCGACCGATCACAGTTATCAGTCGAGAATAATTGAACGCTAAATTAGAAAGGAGATACCTCATATAACTAAGAATAATTAATTGCACGCACAATTTTGATAATATATAATAAATATATTTGTAACAACACCACAGGAAGATCTAGAGATGTGCCAAGACGATTAAATCCGGAATAAATCGGAATAAAACGTCTTGCGCAATCAAGAGATACTAAAAGATTTACATTATATTTACATACATTTTTTTCTTCTTTAGTTACAACGTTTAGTTACATATGGTGCTTAGTGTGCTTCTTTGGTAGGTCTTTTTACAATACAAGAAATGAATAAATTGGCATGATTTGGGAATATTGGCGCAACAATAATGGGCAACAATAAGGAATGCACATTATTGTCGCGTACACAAGAGACACGATTATTCCTACCATCCAGTTTATCCATCCACATCGGAATTCTTTATACTGAATCTAAGTATAATTTGAACAAGGATAAAGCACTCTTTATATGACTATTAATATCTGGTAACATATGGTCTACCTTTGATCTCTGATAGATATGTAATCCATCCAGATGTGTATCCACTATAGTTACATGAGTAATTGCTTGCTCAAGCCAAGAAAATCTTTTGAAGTTTATTGTTTTGTTATGTGTTTCAAGTTGCCACCTAGACTCCTCTAAGATACGTAATCGCCATGAGTGTAGTGACACCTGTTTCTCTTCATTTTCCTCGTAGCATGTCAAGTATTTGCATGCGTAAGATATCAGTTGGAGAATCTTTGCGTGCATCTCTGGATCCTTGTTTATCGCATGATCATGATAAGTCTGTGCTTCATTAAGACATCTCAGAAGCCTTAAGAATACAGCTTCAGCATCATTGAAATGAACAATGTACTTATCTGTAATCCAAGTGTTAAATTCGTCTTCGATATTGTTTATACTGGTAAATATTAGGGAGTCCGGTAATTTTTGGTCGCACGTTGTTAGAAATTCCGTTTTTCTCTCGCACTGCTCATCTTTCTCTTCAAATCGTAGCAGTCGATTCTTCGAAGTGTGCAAAAGCATCGTTCCATAGCATACCGCATACCAATTAATATAAGTAGCCGTCGCATTATATTGCTCGTACAAGGTGGCTTTCATCTCGGAAAAGTTGGCCCCGTCAATTCTCTCGTATTCGTTCCGATAAAATTTATTCAACATATAAAATGCGATACCCAAGTGATTTCTAGCTTCTGTAAATCGATCGTTCAATGAAAGATAGTAAGATAATGTCGCCACTTTCAAAGCCCAATCAATACGGCTTATAGTCAACGGTATTAATCTCACTTGCTTCCGCAATAACATGTGTTCATATGTCACCCATTTGGTCGATCGTTGTAATTGCGCATCGGTATGTGCAGCTGCATGCAGATTTAACAAGCTGGATAAAGTCGACATGTATTCTCTGTCGAGCGAGTACCCGCTTTGAAACTCTTTTGTGACAATGCCAAATACATATAGAATATCGATAGGAGCGGGATACGAATCCTTTCTGTCTGTATAATTCCAGTAAAATGTTAACGCTTTCTCGAAAAATAATTCAGATTTGTTCGTATCCTTCCGATGAACGTAAATGCGGCCCAAACAGTTGAGCACTTTCATCGCTGTCAAAATAGCCTTACGAGTCGCCTCTCTTCCCTCCAATAGTTTCAAAGATCGTAACAGATAGGTTTCAGAGAATGCTTCTTTCACCACAACATCACTGTATATTTGAGAAATGTGTAAATAAGACTGCGCAAGAGCTATAGCGTCATCGGGTTTCGCGTCTTTCGAGTGGAGTTTATCCTCGAATAATCGGTTCATTCTTCCCTCGATCGCTTTGGTCATTTTAGCTTGCTTCTTCGTAGGTTCAGTTCCTTTCGTCGAGTCTCTAACTGCATTCGACGACATTAAGACTTCAACGAATTCATCTCTAACGTGCATCTTCGTATTCTCGATGTCCTTGGCGTCCTCGGCCATTTTCACAACAGATACTAAACAAATTGAAAGAAGATTATTTCAACCGTTCCTTACACACACACACACACACACACACACACATTATATATGTGTATATAACACACCGTATGTGATCTTCTGCGCGCAAATGAGTTCCTTTTTCCTATTATCTAGCTCGGTGTATTTCCGTTCTTTCGTGCCTTCGATAGATATCTTCAGGAAGGAGCACGTTTGACAAATGATATCAATAAAAGAGAGCCTCTCGTGTTAAGAAATCGTTGTTTTTTTTCGCGCGCGCGAACGAGTGAACGCGCGAGCGAACGGTGTGACAACAACTCATAACACAACACACAGTAATAACCGACCAATCTTCAATTTCACACATGCTGGGAAACATTGACAAGTCGAGGATTAGAACAATTTCATATCTCTGAGATTACTAAAAAAAAAATACATTATATAGGATGTCATTTAGCAAATTATACTCGAAAAATGTCGTACACGTAGCGTTGTATGTTGCATTAGAAAATATAACAATTATTCAGCAATTTTCTGTTATTGGATGTATATTTCGGGATCCACCAATCAGAACGGTATACGTCGCTAATGAGCTGGGTATTTACAGCAAGCAGTGAATCATCATTTGATACGAAGAACCTTTCCTATGTCGATCCGCTTCTTCGCAAAGATGTCCGTTGATAGTACACGAGAATCCAAGTTAGTCGATGCAGGTAATGGTGAAACATAATTACATCGTCCAAGAGATCGCGTGCAATGTGTTTGGTGTCGCAAAATAATCTTAGAACGTGTGTGTATGTTTAGTATCCATTACAGATGCAGAGTTGACCAAGACTACCGAAATTACAGCGATGCGAGTTAACGAGGAATATCGGGCTCTTTTAAAGCTTACGATCGACTTGCATGCAAACATTGAGGACAAACTTTCCGTAGAGCACATCGAAACGCTGAGAGAAATAGAAATACAGTTGAAGAAATTTCATTGCACTTTCAACTCGCAAGATGCACATTTCGACGATGGTATAGTCCTTGCGCAGATTTATTTAAAATTATCCGAAATATATGGCAAAGATAATAAAAAGGAAAGACTATACATCGCCAGAGAGTACGCTATGCAATGTGTCAAATTGGTGGAGGGCAAAGAACTAGATCGCAAAGTTATCATCACAGCTGTGTTAGCATTTTTTTCGTTGCAAAATATTTCGATACAACTACAGAATTTAGAGGAAATGGAACAATTTGCGCGTAAACTGCATAAATTATATTGGACGTACACAGGGGAAAAGGAGGACTATCCTGCTCCTATCGATGTTCCTGCTGTCATTGGCATCGAAACCAAGGGAAATGATGAAACATACACTATACATGTAATGGACCAAACATATTTATATGCCTTACAAAGTATGTTATATTATTATTATTGCTGCTCCGATGAATCTTCGTCAACGGAAGATGAGGACTACAATATTGTATTGATAACATGCGAACATAAGATACTGAAGAAGATGTTGAAAACATCATTATTACCTGTGGATTATTACGGTTGGGTCTCATTTGCGTCCAACTTATCAATAGAGTTTTCAAAGCGCAGACGTTTTAGCGAGGCTAGAAATCACCTCGCTGTTGCATCTCTTGTCGTGAAGAAATTTCATGATGAAAAATATATAAAAATCGACGAAAAGGAGAACCAGGAAAGGAGAGCTACAATATGCAACGAATTCACCGATATTTCCGCTCTTCTTGCTGTATCTTGGGCGAAATATGGAAACACGCTGTTGCGCTCATCGGCAGAACGATTGTTGCATGAGGAAGACGTAACAAACTTCGCAACGCAGTCACCGAAATTACTATTTGCCAATTTAGAAACTGAGTTACAAGATTTCACCGATTTGATCGGAGATACGTACATCGTTGATTACAAAGACGCTAAAACGGTGTTTCGACGTGTTATCAAGTGGCTTGAAGAGGCAAGGAAACATATAGTTAGTGGAAAACACACAAAAATATATATAGAACTTAGTCGGAATATTTTTAAAGCTTACAAATATTTCGCGTACTATGAGCGAGAGAAAGACGATCGGATAAAACTTTACAAACAACGCAAAGATACTTTACATGATATCTTGAAGTCATTAAATGTAGATGATAATATCGATGCTCGCAAGAATATTTTGCGTCTACTGTTGCTTGCTTCTTATTCTCTGCTGGATATCATGACTGAAGACTTAGAACCATATGATACACTCAATGCGAAGCTTTCAGTAGAAATTGATAAATTAGTCAAACAGATCGTTCACATTTCCGAAACATATATGTATACAATAGGTAAGCAATGAGTGAGCGAACTGGAAGTATGCCCAAAAATATCTCTCATTCATGTTACATCAATCATGTTACAAGTGTAAAGTTACCGCTTCATATATATTGTGTTGCGTTTATTAAAGTTATGTAATAATATTGCCTCAGCGGAGGTACATGATTTGATCTCGAAACTTTTTGTATTTCCGTGCGATATTTTACAATTCGAATAAATATCTTATTATCATATATCATTAGTACGGTTGCTGTTGCTGCTGTCTCGTCGGTTCCTATGCTAATGCCGATGCGTGCGATTGACAGTTGTCAGTTCCATGTTCATCAAAGCAATAACAATGGACCCAACTTAAAAATTTCACAAAATCGGCATTATCAATATGTTATATAACCGATAAACATAGAATTACTATTTAATGTGGAAGCAACACACATACGATACAATGGTTATTATAACGGCTTATTTATATGCTGAGGTAATATAATCATTATTTTTTTCTACGTTTTTTCTTCTCTTTCAATACGATGATCCTGTATTAAAAAATTATTGTGTCGTTTTATTTTGTTTGAATTGCCTCTATGTTATGTAGTATTTTGGAGTACATCTGTAAGGGCCGATCGCGTTTGATGTAACTTTAGACATTTTCAAGATATGTACCTCGGAGAATTAATGATTTTGCCAAATATTTTCTTCCCAAATACAAATTGAAGTATTTCTCAAGAATAATATAAGAAAGTAAAAGCTTGAAAAGTAACTGTAATAAGAGGTAATAATAACAATAACAAAATATCGATTTACATTTTACTGTTAAACAAAAATACAAAATAGTTTTCAAGATACGTCATAACAGTACAATAACTTTTAATCCGTCGTACAACATGAATCCACCCGAGATATGCGCAAATGAACGTGGAGCACACGAAAAATCCAATCTTTCAACATAAAATTTTTTAATTTGTATTCTGTTCTTTTGTTTTATGGACCTTGAAGAGAGCCTATAAGATTTCTATTTACAATATGATGGGTGACGCCTGTCGCGTGGCACTCATCTGAGTAACGTGTGGTCTTCCTTGTCATACAATACCTTCGACGAAATCACATGGGGAAATGATTTAAATATAATTGGAAGCCTCTTACGCTGGATCTGACTAAATCTTTAATTTCTAATGAATTTACTACGTCCTCTATCGGGAGATTTTCAAGTTTTATGTCTAACAGAGCGGAGGTAGCAGCTGAAAGTTCCAGTGAGGTATACCCAAATAGATATTCATGATCTTCCGGACGTAATGATCTCATAATATTACTTAAGGCTAAAACTCGTTTTTCATATATTTCTATCCGGTTGCTTTTGTCTTGTTCGTAGCACGCAAAATATTTGTGTACTTTAGAAGTGCATTTAACAAACTCTGTATATAACTCTAAATTATTGTACCTCATAACATATAGCTTCACCTCATAAAGAATGTCTAGAACATGTTGGAAGACTTGTCTAGCGTCACGATAATTCTTAATGTACGTATCTATGTTGAAGGCGGTAAACTCTTGTAGCTCTTTTTCTAAATTGGTAAATAATAACCTTGTCAATTGTATGACGGAATCCTTTCTGAACTGTGAGTCACTTGCCTTGCCACTTGGTCCATCTTCCATATTGTCGTCCAATAGTTGTTTCATTGACGCGTTCAAAAGTGTAACTCCGTACCACGCCCAACATATGTTAACCCTGTTCATCCCAAAATTATATTGCTCATTCAGTACAACTTCCTTCTCCGGCAATGTTTCTGTGTCATCAACTGTCGTACGACCCTCATTAAAATATTGCTTCATCATAAAGGCTGCAGCAGCAATGTGATTTTTTGCTTCGGCAAATCGATCGTACGTTAAAAACAATTTAGCTAAATATATTGCGTCTTTGGTCCACTCAATGCGCTCTACCGACGGTGTTCTTTCTAATTGTTTTGCCAATAATTTATGCATACGCCTTACAATATTTTGCTGCTCAACTTCAGATATGATATTTTTGCAGGACAACAATGTTAAATTCCGCAAGGCATGCCAATATAATTTCTCTAATGTAATCGAATGTTCTCCTACAGATATACCGATAGTGGTTAGAATACGGACAGGTACAGGATTGTTGTCCTGTGTATACGACTTGTATAACTGTAACACTTTATTTGTGAATATCCTCGAATTATTAAGGTTGTTCAATTTATCCCAGAGGTGACCTAATTCAAGATAAGCTAACGTAACGGTCAGAATAGCTTTGGGATCTAGTTCTTTGTCTCTTAACAACATCACACATTGTCTGAGATAGGCTTCGCCAATGAATAGTTTTTCCTTTTTAAAATTGCTGTTATGGTATATTGTGGACATCTGTAAATATACTTCCGCAAGACATATACTGTCATCGGGTTTAACGTTTTGTGAATTTTTTAAGCGCTGAGAAAATTTGTTCATATTTGCTTCTATCGTTCTGACAACTTCGTCTGGTTCCTGAGGAAATTTATTCTTTGACTTGTCCATTACAGTTTTTGCTACCTGTGATAAAAAGTCGACTAATTCTCCACTGATGTCTACCATGATTCTGTCGGAACTCTCTGTGCTTCCCGATCTTCCTACTCTCTGAAGTAACTGTATTTCTATAACGGATATCAACGTTCTCAAAAATTATCCTGCGGTATTGCCGCATCTATTTGTGGTGAAAATGTGTCTCTTACCATTATCCAAATCGACAGATTTGCACCTCTGGTCGTTTGTGCTTTCGCTGGACATCTTCACGGAGGAATATGCGAGTTGATGATCGATATCGATGAGGAGGATTCTCTCTATTAACTCGTGACATCATTGTTACACATGGCAAATTCGATCCGATTGGATATAATATACACCAATCGTAAAGAAATATATTTTCCAGTGATTGAACAACCGATCGCGTATTTTTTCAATGCCACCAATAACATAGTTTGTAGGAATTTCGGGATCGTAGGGAAATGAGATTGTCCTTATTTTGATTATGAAATTGATTCCAGTTTCAGTGCGTCGATTTTTGTGACACTTGTTCATGTCAAATCGAGCGATGGCAATCACGCGATGGAGATCTGACAAACTTACGGGTGTGTGTGTGCCGGAAGACGTAACCAAAATCTGAAAGTAAATATCGATGGCAATTCTTTTTAGCTGAACTACCTGCATTAGTTCAGGAAATTTACTGAGAATTTCGTACGTACGTACGGCATTCGTTAACAAATATATAAAAATTTAAAGTTTCCTTTTTAAAACGTCTGTATCACATTTTCGAATCAAATAGTTTTTCGCTCTGAAAATTCAGCTGAAAGACAAGGTGTGAAATTGAGCGGTCGCCATTGTTTAACTCGAAATATCTTGACGAAAATGAACGACAACATTAATATAGCTAATGTATTTAAAAACTAGAGACTTCAAGCTTTAAAGTACTTCTTAAACGATCTCCATAACGTCATTTTTACGAAAGTTATAGCTTTTTGAATTTCGCCTACGTTTTTTTATTATAATGAATAGTACCTCTGGTAAACTTTGAGTCGTACTATTTGAGAAATAGAAGTACGTCTGACTCCATCGTTTAGTCATATCACGACCTCAGTTTCTCGTTAAGAAAGGTGGCGACTCGTAGCGGAGATTCTGGAACCAAATTACAGAAAAAACGTCATGTTGATCGCACTGCCAGTAAAATCGGAATACTTTGCGCACTAGTGTAGAAAGTTCAGATGCAAAAGAATAAACCTATTGTACGTGTAAACAACAATGGCGACTGTTACGGCTGGAGTGGAGGAGTTAATTAGTTATTTTAAAACCCACAACAAAATCCGCGAACAGCAGAGCCATTCGGCGAAAGTTCACAGTGTAGGATGGAGTTGTGATGGCAAGTTACTAGCTTCAGGCTCTTTCGACAAGTCTGTCTGTATATTTTCACTGGGTCCTGATCGTTTGGTAAATATGCATAATCTATATTATATCACTGAAACGTTCTCTCTCTCTCTGTCTGTCTGTCTTATAACTCTTGAAACTGTGAGGATAATAAGACTCAACGTAATATTTTCATAATATTTACCTACTTGCCAAATCAATATGACGGAAAATTGTACACATATTACAGTGTGTATTTTTGATAATTGTTCACTGGTAGATTGCACAACCAAATATTATAGAGATTAATTTTTCAATCAACTTATATCTATTCCTCCAAAAGGATGCAAGGAATCTTATGTATGTTGCATATTGAGTGAACAACGCAGATTACAGTGATATCTTTATAGATTTGATTTTCCATTCTTTGCATTAGTGGAATTTTAATTCATAGTTTAGTTACAGAGATACTTGATGCAGGCCTCTTTTGCAGAAGCAAGAAACAACTTTCAGAGGACACGGCGGTAGCGTGGATCAACTCTGCTGGCATGCATTTTATCCAGAATTATTATCCACAGCGAGCGGAGATAAGACTGTTCGTATTTGGGACACAAGGACACAGAAATGCACAGCAAACATCGGCACCAGAGGAGAGAACATCAACATATCTTGGTCACCGGATGGCAATACCATCGCAGTAGGAAACAAGGAAGACCTGGTTACCTTCATCGATGCTAGGGTAATGAAGATACGTGCAGAGGAACAGTTCAATTTTGAGGTGAACGAGATCTCTTGGAACAAGGACTCGGATACTTTTTACCTAACAAACGGCCAAGGCTGCGTCCACATACTCAGTTATCCCGAATTGAAATTGTTACACGTAATCAAGGCGCATCCAGGTACATGCATTTGCATCGAGTTCGACCCAACCGGTCGGTACTTTGCTACAGGATCCGCAGATGCGTTGGTCTCTTTGTGGGACGCCGACGAATTGTGCTGCCTGAGAACATTTTCAAGGCTGGAGTGGCCCGTCCGGACTATTTCCTTCTCGTACGATGGTCAACTACTGGCAGCTGCCTCGGAAGACTTGGTCATTGACATCGGTGAGGTAGAGACTGGTGAAAAGATTGCCGATATTGCAGTGGAGGCGGCAACTTTTACCGTTGCCTGGCATCCGAAACAGTACCTCCTGGCTTACGCGTGTGACGACAAAGATACGTACGATCGGAAACGCGATGCCGGCAGCTTAAAGGTGTTTGGCTTCGCCAATGAGTGAGAATGATCATTTTTAGCGTTTGTGTATATCGGCACTGCCATTGGTACTGCTTAAGAGATGCCATTATAAATAAACTCGTATGTGAAGCAGGCATCGCGTGTCACCGCAAGCTGCACGACGTCATTTTACACGAAGGAATCAACATATCGGTAGCGCCGACAAAAAGTATCTCGCAATACTCGATCCTTCGCACACACACACAATGAGTGGAGAGTTAATGAATAAATTCCGACTTTGCCACTTTGGCAATATCTTTATATATACTCGGCATGTTCTTTTTCATTCCCCTTTGCAACCTACTTTCAATAGGTTAGAATAAATTCTAGAATGGATTGTCACGCGATTTTTTGTTGACTGTTTGGTCGGCATGGTTACGCGTGTGCGGCTTTCATTCGAGACTCGAGAGAGAGAGAGAGAGTGTGTGAATTTCGGTCGTTGTTCATGCAACATCATCAACGACCGTCACGCGTTTTTGCTTCTCTCTCTATCTTTCTCTCGTTATGACGGCAAATGTGGACAACGAGATAGAAACCATTTGTGAGTGTCGGCACGCTTTTGCTTTATTCATCGACGGAGAAGGTGCGTGGTCGAAGGATAAGTTCGTCAGTAATTGTAACATGCACGAGATCGACGAGGACAGCGAGACCGAGGGGGAAATCGCTGCTTCGGCGGGACCTTCCGTTACGGATAAGGAGAAAGATATTGCCGTTCGGGATATAGATAATGCGTCGGAGGACGAGTCTGCGTACACGGGCGAATCTTTCTGTTCCGACGAGTCCTGCGACGAGTCCGAAGTCGTCAACGAATCGTCGATCAATGATTCCTCCTCTCCACCACGCACGGATCATCTTCAACGCGGCGGGAATGTAAAATCCGCGGAAGTACCTTTGAACTCTCCAAGTCTGCGTAGCGCGGAAGTACCTTTGAACTCTCCAGGTCTGCGTAGCGACGAATTTAGCACCGTGAGCGACGAGCCGTTACGCGTCATCACCACCGACAGATGCGTCAAGCCGAGGAGGAGTAGAAGGTGGAACATGAGCTTCACCGATGAGCAGATGCGTAGGATCGAGCGCGAAAATGAACTGTTACTCAGGAAGATCATGGCGCAGCAAAAACCGCGGCATCAAGTCCTCGGGGAGCGCGTCGTACAGTCCAGGATCAGCAGCTCTGCGATAAACAGGAAGAGGTTGCAGAAGAAGATAGATGATGACAACATGGTACATAATTTCCTCCGATCTTGGAGCGAGACACGCGATCATGAATTAAAAACAGCAAAAGAATACTTGAAATTAAACGTTAGAAAGATTAAAGACACAAATTTTCTTTTCAGTTACTCGTCAAAAGGATACAGCAGGCCAAGTCGTGCGTCTTGACGAACGCGTCGAAAATGAGTTCTAGATTAAACTTTTTATAAAATTGCAGTACCGTGTGAAAAGAGAATTTTCTATAGATATTACCGAGCGTATGTACAAGACTAGTGTTTGACAACTATGATTTGATAAGTCGATATATTACCTGTATAAATTTGGAGGGTGTTTACTACTGGTGTGTCGTATTTGGTGAAGAAAAGTGTTGCGATGCGCGTGGACGCGATCTCTGCGTAAAGAGTCCCCATATCTTCTCGTATATACACATAAACATTGCTGCGTGTTTTTGTGACTTGTTTATTAAAACACAACGATTACCAGTCTTGAAGAATAGATACACAATTCTTTCATTTCTTTTTTTTCTTTCGCTTTGTATAACCATGCGTAATCTTGTAAAATGTCTTGAAAATTTGCTGCAGGTATCTTCTACAAGTCAATACTATAAAAAATCACAGTTCTCACTCGTCTCAAATAACTTAATTATCGTGGTAATAAATAATCGGGACACTCGAGTATCGCAAAATTCTTCCCTTTTTTTCTTCTCGTTTTGCACACGCACGCAGCAATTATGGCGAAAGAGGGGGGGGAGGGAGGTGGGTAAGGGACGCGTTCTGATCGAATGGTATAATTTTTCGCAAGCCACGTACGATGATACACTTGCTCCTTTGAATCAACAAGTTCTGTGATTAACATGAGAGACTGTATTTTTTTGCATTTTTTTTTCCTTTCTCCAAAATCGTTCCGCAATTTCACATGTTATGTTCCATCTCCGCGTTTGTGTCGATTACTTATGTTCATTCCGTGGTTGAAAGGTAACTAGATGAATTTACACAAAAAATAGCGGCAAAAAGAGGGTGAGATAGCAAGTCTGATATTACGTCATTTTGTTCTCTGCACACAATGTACGTGAACGACCGTACGTGGGGAGAATAAAATGACATACTTGAGGAGGAACGACAGTAAGGAGAGAAGCTTACTGCCAGTTACTTTCTTTTACTATCTTATTTAACCTCAGTTTTGTCGTTTGGTACCTTGTAACGCTCAGTCCAGTTATTTCTTTCATTCACGATTTGCTCGCGCAAGCAAACAAAATTTTGTATAATAATCCATTATCCTGCGCATGCACGAAGTATCTCACTCGCAATAATTTAAGGTATCGCATTAATATGTTTAAGTTACGAAATAGAAAATAAGTGTAACATTTCTAGATTTTGGTTTAAGAAACTATACGAAAATCACTCGTTCGACAGACTTCACCAGGATTACTGTCGCACAACGTAATAATAATTACATATATATATATCACATAGTATGCAAAGCGTAGTTGCAAGAAAACGTAACAATTTCCGTGACTTCCAATGTTATCATCGGTCGCATCATGCTGTGCCGTTAAAATAGCCGTTACTTTCGATTTTCGCGGAGAAATTGTCAGAAATAAGTCTACGCGATATCACAAGATAAAACGAGTTCCAACTTTCCGATCCTTAGTCTTCGCGTTTCGTTCTCCACGATTCCGTCGATGATGGCGTCCATATTGTGCTGAGCGAACGAAATGGGTCGAATCCCGATCGTTCCTGGAATAATCATCGAGAGTCGTCTCTCACTTGACCAGATCATCACCACTCGCTTCATCTCCTTCGCAATACTGCTGTAACTCAGCGCAACAATATCTTGTCATCCACTTACTTGGATCTCCGACTCAGACGTTTGCGATATCACAGGGGGCGCGGCGGCGCCCCATGGTGCCGCAGCCCACACACCACCCCTATTGACTCCCCACACACCACTTCGCTCTTCTCCGACGGCCGCTCTGGTATATAAAGGTTCCCAATTTATGTCGACTGTTGCCCAATTATCTGCAATAGTATTTCATTTATCGCTAGTTTAAAAAGTCACAGTGATCTGAAGATGGCTGAAAAGGGAGAAAATTATACAAGAGCTCGGTGTTATATATTACCAGAGACAATCCATTGTACAAATGCTCCTTCTCTGAATTTTGAGAAGTTCACAATACACACATGCACTGCCTTTATGAATCATCCTGTTTAGGTACTTGATCAATGGCAAGCGCGGCGTTGTACTTCTAAATTCACTCATACCTTTCAAATCGGACAAAACTGGCTTCTCCGTAGCTTTCGGCGACTGAAATGCAGCCGCGTTTGCGCTCGTATCCGACAATAAATTTATCATAGGACTAGTATCTTCCCATAGTTGGCACCGTGTATCCTCTTCGGGGGTTTCCAATTCTACTAGAGGCTCGTCGGTTTCCGGAAGGTCGTCGTACGGCACCAGCTCGCGTTCAAACTGCCAGCAAAGTCTATTCAATAAAAGAACAACGAGAAGCAAATTGAAGTGAATTTCAACTGCCCTCACCGGATGTTCCGCAAAAGTATTGATGAAGTAACTGTTCGAATGTTGCGTATCCGACTGTAGAATCAAGGGGTCCGGGTGATGTGTTTTGTCCAGTGATCCGGTAGAAAGGGAGGCCGGTTTAGATATTAGACTGTATTCCTTCCGCAACAATTCTTGCGCCGGCTTAGCGTATTGAATGTCCTTGATATCGGTGCTGAACACCGTCGACAAACCTGACGCGCTCGTCTGACCCTTGTGTACGTGACTTAAATTGGAGAACGGCGAAACGATCTCCTGACTTCGCGCTACCACGTCGCTGAACTTGGCCCTGTTCTCGCCCCAGCAAGACGGCGGAGGTGGCAATGGAGCGGAGGGGATCGTGGTGCGCGTTACGTCCTCCCTTTGGCTCGCATTGCCGCTTACAGGAGTTGCTGTAACGAATGATGATCCTATTGTACACCAGGTACCTACTTCTCACAACCAAGCAAGAGTTGTCTGACATTGAGACTGATGTCAGCGTTTTGTAGCTCTCCTAGTATAATATATCCTAACTAATATTTTTACGCTTTTATCGATCGGATAAACCTCGAATACGCGAATCCGAGAATCAATGAAACTTAAAGAAATAAATGATCTATCTGTAATAAAATAACCGATGATATATAAGAATTAATATATCATATATATGATCGAGATAGACAGATGTGTGGTGTACACATTGCGGGGGGAATAACTTACCTTTCGCATGTGTTTTATCAGCCCCACGACGTTTCTGCACCGACTTGTCTTTCCGAGGTGGATTCTTACTTTGACGTGGTAACTTGAAGGACGACTCGACAGTGCGCGAAGTATGAACATGATGCTTCACGGCGGATCTAGCGATACTAGTCTTCCATCTATTTGGATTATTCTGCCTCTCCTTATCGTAGTCATCGTCATCACAATCACCTTCATAATTATCCCTATAATCTACGCATGGCACAGTAGGAATAGACTGAGGTTTACTCTTCTTAGATATCGGCTTTCGTTGGAGCTTCTCTTGTTTTCCGCACGATTGGTCAAAAACCTGAACAAAGCCACGCGAAAGAACATTTATACGAGTCATCGCAGCCTGTTAACGTCCCATCTTTCAGACAGAACGTTTATTATGAACAATTGTGGGCGAATGAGTGATCTTTCAAGTTTTCCACTATTCAACATTTACACGTTAAATTATTGATTGCTTGAGATTGACTCTAGAAAGTAAACTTGACATTTTTGGGAGGTGAAAACGATTAATCCCGATTGGAATTTTCACGAGCCAAGCGTGTAAGATACTTGTAACACACAACCGATTACTTACTTTACACGATGTCGTTTCATCGTGAGTCGAACTTTCCGTTGTCGTGGACGAGGTCTCTTCCTCTGAAAGGTGAATGATCCTTTGAGTGCTTGCGGGCTCGAGTTTTTTCATCGCAACAGGATTACTAAGATTACTGTTGTTTCCGGTGTTGTTGGTCTGCTTCCGTTTGTTGTCCGATTTCGTGGCCCGATTATTGCTTGTCATCCCGTCCACTAGAATCTCGTGATCGACCAACTTGGACTCTTCCTTGACACTCAACTGCGTCGTCATTGCAGTCGTCGCGGTCGTAGTTTTTCCCTTTCTGTTCGACGTCGGACTCGACTTGGTAACAGCACTGAAGGAGGAGCACTTCCTCTCTTGAACCAATTGAGCGTCCGCGAGTGTATCGTTCACCGTGTCCAATTGAGCCTCATGAATATTGCTCAGCTTCTTGTTGTTTCTTCTCTTCGTGGTCGCGATGTTCGACGAGACACTATTATTATCAGCGTTCGACGGTTCTTCGCAACGTTTGAAGGACAACAGATCTTTGGACTCTGTGTCCAGCTTAAACCTCCGCTCCTCGTCAGCCGACCAGTCCGGGATCTTCAATCCTTTCTGCACGTCCTTGTCCTTGCACTTTTTCACATTCATCAAGGACCAGTCTGGAAAGGTTTCGTCCTTCGTCCTGGTCTTGCTCCTCTCGTCGCTCGGCCCGTTTCTCGCGACTTGCGCGTGTCCCGACAGAAGTCTCAGGTCCAGAGGTGGTTGCACCGGGCTCTCCTTCGAGTAACTGGCCAATGATTCCCGCAGTATTCGGTCCGCCTCGATGAACGAGACTACGAGCACGCACACCAGCAGCATCGGCGACAGGCCGATAGCGAGCCATTGGCCTACGCGTTCCCACCACGGTCTGGCGAGCACAGAGCCGCACGAATCCAACGAGTACGCCGGCAGGGTGGCCAGCAAATTAAACATCACCACACCATTCTCAACGTCGCTGCTGTCCGGTCCCACGCTGGTCAGCACCAGCAATTTTCGCTCCACGCGCGACAGAGTGAAGTCCGGCGTGAACGCTATCTCTATCATCTTGGTCGCGTTCGGAGTCAACTCGAAAGCTTCGCAGTCGAGTACCCTGAAGCCGTAGCCCTCGCAGGGTAAGCCGTTGATGTAGAAACCGTAGATCTCGATCGGCAGCTCGCCCGTATTTCTGGCCGTGAAGGATCGCTTTGCGGTGAGAACGGGTGTCGTGATGCGTTTGCCGCGCTCTCCTGATTGCAAGAGAAAGTATGAGAAAATCTCGCCTCGATTTGCGCCGATGTATAGCAACACAAGGGTGGAAACTCGCGACGGGCAACTCTGAAGAAATTTCATTCTTCCGAATTGGATCATTTCTCCCCCCCCCCCTCTCTCTCTCTTTCTCGGATCGTAAAGCAAAAGTATAAAGAAACGTACATACGTTCGCAATCTTTAAGATGCTTGTCCGCCAACTCAAACAGCAGAGGCGTAGTCGAGCCTGGCTTGCGATTGCCGAATCTAAATTGCGCGCTCGCACCTCGGCCGATCATACGCACAACTTCTAAAATAGTCATATTATTTCTGGAAAAACATCATGGAAACATATGTTAATGATTAATACGCGCGAATGGCGTTATTATTACACTTATTCGTCTGATAATATCACCCCCCTCCCTTTCTTTCGTTAACTTGCCTAATATATAAAAAACCAGACGACGCCGAAACCACAAAGGGTGTGTACGCCACGTGAATCGTTCTCGATTCCAAAGGATATAAATATAAGGGAAGTGACTGAGGCGCAATCGATACACCCCACTGTTTCTCAAGCAATTCTCGTTCGTCCGCATTCTCTTTCAACTTGAATTCCTCCGGTACTGTGGACGAACACTCCGTGCACACGGGCTTAAATCTGCACGGGCATTAACATTTTTGCTGTCAACTTTCAGCTGAGACGAAAAGATATGTGAAATCTCTATAATGCGTAATCTTTAGTTCAGATTACGTACTTGATCGGCAAGGAGTAATAAAGCCGCGCTCCTTGAGGATAACTCCAATCCATAACCAACTGCACGATCAGCGGACTCGTGCTCGGATTGTACAGCTTGATCTCTCTGTACGACGTATTCCCGATCTGAGTCAACGGGAACATCAAGACGCTCTTATTTTTTATGTTACCGGCCAACAGGCTGGGCCAATACGGTTTGATGTTCACGTAGAACTTGTGGCCGCGCACTTCGCTCGTGTCCAGCCGCATCGTAATGTTATCCCACGAGCCATCCGTGATGGAGTTGAGAAAACGCGAGTGCCGCGTATTCAGCAGATTCAAGTCGGTGTCACGAGTGTGCGAGGGAAGGCTCATCGTATTCAACCATTGGCTTCCCGCTGTAAATACAATCACGTTACATAAAAGCGCGAAACGAAGTTCACAACTGAAAAAAAGAAACAATTTATCGTTGTAATGTTTACTTGTCGACACTATGATTATAAAAACAATGTAAAAGGTGCACTTTTCATTTTGATTTGATTTTTAGGGAGAATTCACACCAAAAAAGCAGAAGCCAATCGGAACTCGCGCTGGAAGCAAGCTAGATAACATAGTAGATGAAGCAGAAGCTACCAGCGCGAATTCTGAATTAGCTACTTTTCTGTCTTTCGGTCAAGGTGTGAATTCTTCTTTAGATTGGAAAAAACAAACGATTATCACTTACTATTGCTATCCACTGATAAACCTACGTAGCATTGTTGCTTGCAAGTCACCGAAGGATCGATTTGTATCGAGCCGACATTATTTTCGCCTTTAGATATAATTGGCATCGTCGCTTCCTCCAGTGGAATATACTTGATTCTATCGTCCTTGTTGATGGGTGCAATATGCGTCACTTCCATCGACCTCGAGAACGTGGAATGCACTTTTACTTGTTGCACACAAATCGATCCCTATCCGGCATTGACAGTGTGTAAAGTTTCGTCGAGGTTTCGCTAAAGGAAAACTAGATTCAAAGAAGCAAATTGTAACTCACAGGGAAGCAATCTGTAAAAGTAAGCTTCTTCAAAGAGATTCTACCGTGCGCAACTCGCATATACACCGGCAAATTAAATCGCTCGTATGTTGTTCGAACAAAAACTTCGCCAACGATAGTGTCTTCTTCAACCATTGGAGTTTTTACTTTGATCTTAAAGATCGCCAAGAACCCTGGTTTTATGTACTGCTGAAAATAAAAAAGGGAACGGTGAGACACTCGCTCACTCTCGTGTGGCAGGACAGCAAACGAATGAATATCCCTACCTTCCCCCCTCTTTTGTAGTACTTACATTCCCAGAATGGCTGCACACAGTTACGTTCAAAAATTCCTTGTCCAACAAATCCGCCGGACCGTTTTGGCATCCTATCAATTCCAAAACTGCACCGGGTATGTTCACACCCCAGCCATGTAGTTCAACGTTGACGGGGTTTTGATTCTCCAGTGCAAAGATTGCCTCGTTCTCAGTACCACTTCCTACAGTACCGAAATTCAAGGTTCCCATATCATCTTCCTTCTCCCCCGGCATTATCTTTCTCACTTTGCCGTCATAACTCAGTAGCGGGACTTCAGTTACAGATACATTGGAGTGTATCAATATCGACGATTCCATCTTCACGTTATCGCCTTTTCGCTCTTTGGCAAGTTGTAAAGAAAATATATTGACCTTTTGCTCAGGTTTTATTACTCTAGGAGTAAAATCTTTTATCTGAAACATTAGAAAAGTTTTCTCACTTGACAAGATAGACATCCCGAAAGAAACACACGGAAGATATATTCAAGATACGATTCTCTGAATTTCAACAGGTGCAAACTGTTGTTTCGTACCATAAAAAGCGATTTCGCGTTCGAACACATCGTGACGTTCGTAATAGCTAATGGTAATTTAAATTTGTTCACCACGCTGAAGTTTCTTGCTTGATTAGATTGCGGGGAACAGTAATGGGTAATCGATGCGTTCACTTCTAATCCACCTTGTAGCACTTGAGCCACCCATGGAATTGCCAATTTCTGACTGGAGCCGCCTGGACCTATTGCTTTTATTATCAACTTGCCTTTAAAATGTCTCAAGTCCAAACCAGTTTTCCCTGAGAAAATTGACACAACATTATATATAATCGATAATAATCGCAAGTTCTAGTCTACGGTGGACAATGTTGTTGCATCTTACAATCATAGACCAGCATTCCGATGGCGATTGGTATATCTGTTTCTCCCGGAATTATTGCTGGCTCAAAATGCAGTTTTAATGCTTTCGATACCGGTGTATTTATAATATTCTAAAAAGAAATACGTATCAAATATATGACACCAATAAGAAACCTGTTTCCGTGACCACATGAATTGTGCAAGGATTTCAATGGCTTACCACAACTTTGATTGCTTTTTTTGCGGAGTTCTTCAAAGCGATAGGGTGGTGGATGGGCGGCTGCAGTGAACCACCCATACCTAAATTAATTACTCCGGAACTTCCACCCCAATGAAGACCAGCTCCACTTTTCACTTCTACTTCAATTGCTACAACAAGTATCTCTGCAGTGTTATTCACTTTAAATCTGTAACATACGGCTGCTGTATATGCAAATAGATCCTTATCAACCTTGTCATTAACTCGGTATTCCTACCAACCTAACATACGCTGTATGATTCTTTTCTGTGTAAGCATTAAAACGTAATCTGATGACAGGCTTTGTCTGATAAGGTAGAATTTCCCATAATTCGCGCGTGCCTTCTGACTCTCCCGATGGCAATTCTAAATCAAATTCTCCACCACTACTGTATACTTCCACCACCTTTGTTTATATACAGTAGTAGAAGAAATTATAAATTAATTGTGAAGAACACAGAGAAAATATGTTTGCGCGTATGATACATATGAACGATCAGGCGTTATTCACATACTTGTAGAGCTTCCGGATGTGGATTGTGCATATATATAAGAGGTGTAAAAGATGCATTTAACGGTAACTTGACATCAACTACAGGTCTGAGTCTATACGGACTACTGACACTTATTCCTTTGACCTATAGAATTAAAAACAGGTGTGTAAACAAGTGTGTGCGTATAAATGGGAAGAATAATTAGAATAAATTTAGTTACCTGATACTTTAGTGTCCCGTCTGATGTATGTATAAAAAGGTGTGTATCGATGTCACCTTCGTCTCGACCAAGGAAGACAACATTGAATGTTGTATTCCCTAATGGTGGGATTATCTAAAACAAATATCAATAAGCTGTATTGACACGCTAGCTAATTAAATATACATCATGCGGCGCAAGTGTCACACAGCTGAATGTAAAGTTAGATGCATTTTATCGTATCTACGTCTTGAAACTGCGCCACTACGTTACTCGATAACTTACTTTATTTTGAAAAAATGATGAATGAAAATGGCGTGTGTTTCCAGATATTGATGAAAGATGTATAGTTTTATTGTGATCTTTGTTAAACATGACCACAGTTTTTTGGTGAGGGATACCAAGTTGTCTAAAAGGAAGGAAAAAGATTGTCACAACTTTCTTTACTAAGTGTAGATATTACATCAAGCAATGTTCACCTTTCCTTGAAGTCCAAAATGCTTGGCTCGAAAGAGATGTGAGAGAGTGAATCTTCCATTTTATCCTCGTCTGATATAGTATCCCTGAAAAATGTAATAACACTATGTTCACACGCAGAACAATTAATCTTTGCACCATGTATCACATTTTTAATAATAAAAACTGAAAATAGAAAGGATGATTTAAGTAAGATTAGTTTGTAGTTACTTTGTCACTTGGTAGAGCAATATTTAATCTCTCCCCTTCTTTTTTTTTAAGGAAATGATCGGCATTTGTACATATACTTGCCATAATCATCAGAGAGAAAAATTATAACCAGTACCTTTTCTACTTTCAGACATTGTTGTTTTAACAAGTATTACACTTACCCAGCTCCATGTACTGTATTAGCAAAATCCTATAAATATGGAAAAAACAAATTTTAACATTTTCATCGCACTACTTGAGTGTCTATATTGTTGTTAAAATCAAACATAATTTTTCAGAAAATGGAACAAGTAATCTTTTTAAATGAGCACTTGTTTCTATTATTCTGCATGAACAAATCAAGAGAGAAATGCTTTGCCCATAGTTTTGTATTTACGTATCTCTTTCTATTGCAAGTCGTTTTTATTCATTTACAAATTAATATTTAATTATGCGAAATATACGAAACAGCTTGACAGAATACTAACCTTATGCATAGATATTGGCATATTATCCAAAAGATATTGAACATTGTTGTCATCCTGGACGAAGGCTACAAAATATCGAAAAACATACATTTATGCATATCATGCCTGTGAGATACATTTCAAGTACATACCATCAATCAACGATCGACCAATAATATGTATACCATTGACCGAAATACTCTTGAACGCACGTTCCAGTTTTAAATTATAAAAGAAAAGTAGAGTTAATTGAATTACAATGACGTTATTTAAGATCATCTTGACACAATCTAACAGTAATTCCGCGCGCGCGCACGTACACACACACACTCACACGTATAGTTTACGATGTAAACACATAGTAATGAAAGGCAGAGCTAAGGTTATATGCGCGCTTATCGTTATCGCGCGTCATATCGTGAAGAAAAGACGAAAAATAAATGGCGAGAATGAGGCATGCGGCGCGCTTCGGTGTGGGCGCTTCTTCGCGCGTAAAGTTCTTGCGACGTGACCTTCGTCACGACGGCAATATCACGTCTGTGTACAACCGCGTCATCGGATACCTCCGTCGCGGCTGTCGACGAGCACGCTCGCGAGATTTTTTAGGAGGATGTTGCGGTATGTAGAATCGTTGGATCGCGTGGAAACAATCGTGCGAGAGACGGGAAGAAAACGGATACGGGCTCACCATTGTTGTGGCCGTGCAACGACGGCCGAATTTGCGAGGTCGCGTCCAGTAGTGTCAGCAGGAACAGACAGTAGAATATCTTTAAGTCAGACATATTAATACCTCACGACTGCTGCTGCACTGCTGTTGCGTCGGCTGCTGTCGTTCGCTATTTTGTCTTTAGCAGACACAAGAGTCCGCTTTCGGCCATACTTTGGTACTATCGAAGCGCGCGGTATCGATTCCGCCGCTGCCGCGACGCGCCGCGGCGCGGCGACGTACTCGTTGCGCGTTGGCGCCACCGGCGCGCCAATTTTGAATCTTTCTCTTTGCAACGGTGAATTAGACTGATGCGCGCCAACGAGCACGACCCGGTGTCGCACAGGTTCATTCTTATATTTCCATAATTAACAGATTATCGCCAAGAATGCTAGCTGCGAGATATCTTCCCGAGTTAAAATCAGCTTGTCGCTTATACGCAATGTTTTTCGTCTCGACCTGCGTCTTGCGCTTTCGTCGCGCAATGCGCGTCGCGTGTGTATCACATACACACCCGACATTGTCCGAAAACTGTTCGACAGCCAATCGGCTGGTCGTGCTGAAAACGCAGCTTGAGGTCGCACGGTGGCGCTGTATCGTCACATTCGGCGGTATACGTATATTTCGACTCGTCGTCGCGCGCTCTCTCCGGGAACCCGGTTTGCCTACGGCAATTCTTGGCGCCTTCCATCTCTCGAATGTGCAGTGAGTGCCGGTGTGCGTAAAATGGCGGATGGTGACGTTGATATTTACGGCGACGATCTCGATCAAGATTTCGCGCAGGTAACTCGCACTTCTCTTTCGTAGCAATAAAAGGGCGTTCTGTCTGTCCAACTCTCTCCATCTCTCTCTCGGTCGTTCGGACGGAGGCAAAAGGCATTGGGGGAATAACTTGACAACGCGCATAGCTGCACGCGAGAGGGCTGCCACCGCGACGTGCCGCGCCGCGACTGTGAGACGATCGTTGTTTCGCGTCGATTCCGCCGCGAGCCGGGGAGAAGTGGTGTCGGCGTCATGGCGGAGATACCGTTGCTAACGTTCAGCTTGCGTCACTGATCTCACCCGTGCTACCTACCTACTCGTCTACTCGATCCGTCCTATTCGCTGTGTTTTCGCGCTCCCTGGAAGCCGGCGCGTAAGAAAAAGACTCACTCGACTGCGGGTTGGCGGACGGAGCCGCGCGCGCACGCGACTGAGCGTCACGAACGAGCGGACGGACGGACGGTTGTACGTACGTACGTACGTACGTTCCTTCCTTCGTGCGGGGCTACGTTTTGTCACGAAATCTCATTTCTTCATTCCAACCGCCGTACGCTTGTGTTGTATCTATCGCGTCTGTTCGCCTAGTGCTTCTCCTTCCGGTCCGTCGTCGCCCATCGGAGATTAACGTGCGCGCGAAACAGTAGTACGGGTTAGCAGCAGGGATACACAAAATGGTGCTAGCGGTAAGGCGAATGTCGTGTAGTTACTCTTGTCGCACTATCTGTACCATTCTCTTTCTTTTCACATGTTTTTTTGGTTTTCTCTCTCTTTTCCCATTTCGCGTGCGCTATATATTACATACCATACATGACACGCACACACACGCACTCGCTTTCTCTGGCTCGCTCGCTCGCACGCGTATACGCATGCATCTTCTCCACTACCGCACTGCATGCGAGGCCTTCTCTTTCTCTACACATATACAAGATTTCATTACATTTCATTTATTCTCTTCTTTGATGTGTTCTATTTGCAAAGAAACATACGAATTTTTAAACATTTACAGGGATTGAAGCAAATATCATTTCATCCAAGTTAATTTACAGTATTTTACATAGAAAAATGAATCTTCTCAATTATTGAGTTTATATAAAGAGAAAAATAAAATTCATAGTTACACTGCAGCTCATAAACACTAACATTGGTTAGAATATGAATTCAGTTCTAGGTCTTTGCAGTTAAGTTCTTAAATTCTTGTATTTCAAATGAGACGCAGATATACACAGTTATATTTTGTATAAATTGCTCAACTCTGTGTTTAGTGTGTAGTTTTATTTTATATAATAATATATCAAGCATAGAGCTGAGGAAGGATTGTTGCAAATAAATGTCAAAATAAGTACAGCTATTACTTTAGTATGTCTGTTGCATCAATGTCTGAACATTATATTATCTTCAATCCCTGTTCTCTTTAATCTTTTCTTAACGAAAGAAAGATTGTATATCTTCATATCTGTTACAGTCGAAGTGTACGATTGGTTGAACCACAAGGTGTGCAGGAAGTTGCGTGTAAAAAGAAAATGGTACATCAAATGATTTTTTACATCTCGATAACTTTTATTTCCACAAATTAGTTTGTATCAAACTCTTTCAAAAGTTGTTTTTCTTTCCTTGAGATCATGTTGTTATACCGATTGTTATAACCTTGTTATACTGAGCACTATTTTCAAATTAGAGATTTCTACATTTGTTTAACATTTTCCCTATTATAAACTATTTCACAAATTTTCTAATTCACAAATCGTATTTTACACTCAAGTAACAAAATGATCTCAATATGCTTTTGCAGATTCGATGGTGTGATCTAAAAGAAATAAAAAAGGGAGATTGAATTGACTAAGAGTTTTTTTCTCACAAATATGAATTATATAGCTGTATAGATTCAACAGCATTACTAAAGAATAGAGTAGGATTAGGATTCAAAGTATGGAATATTTTTGTTAAATACTTTTAATCTAATTATTCTGTAGAATTATTTTGCACTTTGACTGTAACATATTGAACATGTGTGTGTGTGCGTGCGTGTGTGCGTGCGTGCGTGCGTCAGTGCGTGCGTGTGTGTGTGTATGTAACTAAATTATATAATAAACAAAAAATTTGACCGCTACGCGTTTCTCATTTGTCAATTGAGCTGTCTATTATGTAAGAAAGAAAAAAAGTACAATAAGATAGTTTATTATATACACTTCACTCTTAATATCACGCAAATTGAGAAAAAAAATGAGATAGGAGAAAAGTAACAAATTTGTTATTTCGTTACATTTATTGCACTTGTTTCTCTTTTTATCATAAGGTTTGTTTGTATACGTGTTTCAGGATGAATTTGCCGGTGATGGCGTGGATCTTTACGACGACGTGATTGCTGCACCAGCTGGTGGTAATGGCGGTGTTTCTTCCGGCAATACGGGAGACGGTGGTGGTGACACCACGTCTCCCAATGAGGAAACTAATGGAAATGCACCTTACCATCAACTTGGCAATAACATACAACCAAATCAAATTGGCAGACGGCATCAGTTGTATGTTGGAAATTTAACTTGGGTATGTGTATATGTATACGTGTGTGTGTGCGCGCGCGTAAAAGTTGAACTTTAAAAACAAAAGTTCGTGGCTTGCTCTAGCTTGTGGCTATTACTAGTTTACCTTACTTATTAATGTGATTATTTTCACTTCTAGTGGACGAGTGACCAAGACATTACGGATGCTGTTCAAAGCATTGGAGTAACCGACTTTGTGGAAGTGAAGTTTTTCGAAAATCGCGCCAATGGGCAATCTAAAGGTTTCTGTGTGATATCTCTTGGTTCCGAACAGAGTATGAGAATATGTATGGACAGGCTGCCCAAGAAAGAGCTTCATGGTCAGAATCCAATAGTAACGTTCCCAACAAAGCAGGCGTTGAATCAAGTATGTACCGCAGTGTGTTGTATTAAATTTTGTGTATGTATACTCACGTATATACCTGCATATGTTTACACATGCATACTTAAATAGATCAATCGCAGCGTAAAAGAGTACGCTTCAATTGTTGCGACGGTGTGCATTACGGCATAATGCAACTTCTATACGACAATGTTTCTTATGTGTTCTCAGTTTGAGTCGCAGTGTAAGACGCGACCCGCTCCGGCTCCTCAACAGAGTCAGAGCCAACGTCCTCATAACCCACATCAACATCAGCCACCAATGCCACCTCATCAACAGCATCCCCAACACCCTCAACACCCTCAACATTCACAACAAAATCACGGTCCTAGAATGATGATGGGTCCTCCACAGGGCGTGAGACCACAGAGAATGCCGCCACCGGGAATGGGACCACCGGGCCCCGGTGGACCCGGCCAGCAGGTGCCACCGCGTATGCACGGCCCGCCCATGGGTCCTGGCCCAGGACCGCACCATCCTCTACCCGGTCATCCGAATCAAGGTCCACCGCCTGGTTACCAGCAAGGTCCGTGGAACGGGCCACGTCCTAATGGTCCACCAGGTCCACCTAGGGGTCCGAGTGGTCCCGGTGGTCCACCGCAGCAAGGTCCTCCCGGACCAGGTCCCGGTCAACATAGACCACCGGGTATGGTATGTATCACCGATATATTTTCAGACATTTCTCTCTCACGCGAGCAAGAAAATAAAACTTGGGAGAGATACGTCGGTCCATATTCCCGCGTCTAATGCCGCACTCAGCGTCACTTTTAATGTTGTTAAATTTCAAGTTTATTTGCGACAAGTAGATTTGCATATTGTACATTTTATTATCGTCGTAGAAAAAAAGAGGAAATGTAATCAACAAACGTAAACGTCAAGAGCGCACCATAAGAGATTATCAGTTAAGTTTGCTACTCTCGTAAAATGTCGAATAATTGGTGAGAATACGGGACATTATTATCCGGACACGTAATGTTAGAATGTGTTTACTTAAAACAAAGGGAATGAAGTACGTTTAATTGTATTGAAATATTTGCAAAATCTTTATTAATTTGATTACGAAAGAATTCTGTGACAATTCTCTCGTAAAGATATTGTGCAGTGTTATCAATTATCCTTTATCGAGTATGCGTTGTCGAGATTTCGAATGTTAAATTTTTTAAATTGTGATAAAGTAAGATAGAACCATCTTCGTTTGTCTCGACGCATTTAGCAATTCCACGGTGGTCCGCCTGGACCGCCTGGTCAAGGACCTCCTCGCGGCCCACCTGGACATCCCGGTGGACCACCAGGGGACCCACGAGGAGCACAACCGCGTCCCGAATGGAATAGACCGCCAGGTTCGTGTGCAGACCGATCTCTGTTACTCTTCGAAAAATTTTGAAACATCTTGGACTCGAAAGCTTTCGTAGAAATCTCTTAGCTTACCCAATGTGCATGATCGGGATAAATTCAAAAAACAATGAGGATGGTGGAGACTTGTTGTTGGAATTCTCCGCAACAGAAACTGAAGTATTAGTAGTGTGTTACATGTAATCCTCATTTACGGATTGGAGATTGGTATTACTGATGAGATTGTTCAATGTGCATAGGAATGCATCACGGGCCTCAGGGACCACCTGGTTTCCCTCAACATCAACATATGCAAGGGCCGCAGCCTGGCCAAGGCCCACCACAGAGAGGACCTCCTCCAGGTTCTATGGGTGGTGAGAGACTTAGAATGCTCGTTCAGTGTCACAGATTTTATTATTACGATTCGTTTTTATCATACACCATATGCGATGCATGATATTGAGGGAAATTGATCTTGTAGAATCATTAAAGTGCAAGGTGTTTCAAAAGATCATTTCGTGTACTGCATTAAGCGAAGAACACACACACGCACATATACGCGTTAGATTTATAAGCGAACTTTTACCGGCCGTTCGTCTGATTTCGACAGAGAGCCACAGTAGTCTTATTGTGCCACAACGCATCTTTATATATTCGTGGATGAATTTTGTTTCCAATGAGTTACGAAATCGATTGATATACAAAATAAAAAAAAAACTAGAGAATTGCACTACATGATGTACGCGAGCGTACATGCGAAGAACGTAACGTTATGTAATTCGATTTTAAGGCGTGAGAATCTTATTCGTATCTCCTCTCTGTGATTATTAATCACAAGGCGCGTTTTTATTATTATTTGTGTATGACATGTATATTTATTATTACTTAGATATGACAAAATATTATTATTTGTATATAATAAACAGGAGAGAGATCTAACTCAAGATAACTTGCGGGGAACTTTTCGTTTCCTCTCTCCTTCGATAATCAATCCATACGTCTCTAGTAGCGTCTACATATTGTTGCAAAGTTCTTTAGCCAAAAGTCTTGATGAAACGTATCGATAGGTCCGGGAGGACCGCCACCCGGACATGGCGGTCCGCCTCAGGGGCCCCCTCAAGGACCACCTGGTGGCCCGGCGCCTCACGTCAATCCCGCGTTCTTCCCGCAAGGTCCGCCGCATCAGCATCCCGGACAACATCCACCAGGTCCACCCGGTCCACCTCATGGTCCGCCCCATGGACCACCGCATGGGCCACCTCACGGACCGCCTCATGGTCCGCCGCATGGACAACCACACGGACCACCTCATGTTCCACCGCACGGTTATGGACCACCAAGTGCACAGGTAATCTCTTTGATTCACTAGTAATCGGGTTAAAATCACCCTGTGCTCGGCGTAGAAAAGCCATCGAAGCGCCGGACAAGCAGTCTCAAATGAAATAGTTTTGCAATTGTATGCTTTACGTACGATATTTTTCCGATTAAACGAATCTTTACGTATATGCAAATTGGTAAAAGTCTATGATATCTCTCGAAGGGAAGATCGATCTTGCGAATTCTGCGCAGAACCTGGAAAAAAAATTGATGTCCTCTACAGTTACTTTGCCGTATAACAGTGGTCTTTGAAATGTTTCCAGGCACCTTACGGAGCACCCGGACCTGATCATCGTCCAGAAGGTCCGCCTCCGCTTACCGAGCAAGAATTTGAAGAGATAATGGGCCGTAATCGCACAGTATCTTCGTCAGCAATTGCGCGTGCGGTGTCTGATGCGGCAGCAGGCGAATACGCAAGTGCCATAGAAACCCTGGTCACCGCCATCTCGTTAATTAAACAGTCAAAAGTAGCCGCGGATGACAGATGCAAGATTCTGATCAGTTCTCTCCAGGACACTTTGCGCGGCGTCGAGACCAAGAGTTACGGATCCGGACGTAGAGGTGAGGTGGATCGAGACAAAATTCATCTTTTCATACATACTTTCACGCTGAAATATATTGTTGTACACTTGCTGTAGATTAAGAAGAAAGAAAAAGAAATGAGGCAAGCTTATTTTCCTTACGCGCTTACAAGCTTATTTTCCTGTGCGCTTAATTAGCGGTCGTTTCGCACATCTTGCAGAGCGTTCGCGTTCGCGCGACAGAGAGCGCAGCCACAGAAGACGACGGGAGCGATCCAGAAGTCGAGATCGCGAGTATCGCGAGCGCAGCAGAGACCGGGATCGCGAACGCGACCGGGAACGTGACCGCGAGAGAGAAAGAGACCGCGACAGGGACAGGGAGCGTTATTACAGCGAGCCATATCCGAGAGAGCGATCACGCAGCAGAGAAAGAGAGCGCGAACGTGAAAGAGATCGCGAGTATAGAGAGCGAAGCAGAGAAGAAAGGTAAGCCAAATGATCTCACAAGATCTCTCACTATACTCTTAATAGTACACGATATATAATTGGCACTCGTTGTCCGGGAGGACAATTTGGGAACGAGAATGAGATGTGGTACGAATCGCGCAAAAGACGGAACGGAAAACAGAGCTTAATGTATATTAATGTATATTAATGTATATTAACGTGCACAGTAAAAGCGATATAACGATTTTTTTTTTTTTTTTTTTTTTTTTTTTTTTTTTTTNTTTACACGTATTCTCGCAGGCGATATATCCTTAGTTATTACATCTGTTACCGAGACACATTGTCATTGCGAAAACTTGATGTTTCTGTCGAAGAATTAGATATTACGAGAGAGGGAGAATCTTAAACGTGTACTTAATATAAGATGAACACAAATAGGAGGGTGACAGATGACACCTCAATATCTATGAGCAAGGAATCAATATGTCCTGCAACTTACTTATCGATTCTATCTTGGTATCGGAGAAATAAATAGAAACGTATTTTTATTGCTTCAGTTATAAATATTTATTGTTAATTGAGACTTGATATAGTCATTGAAACTGTAGCGCGTGCAGTGGTCCACGTTAAAGTCAACGTTACACTTGTGCGTATCGTGTAACGCAACGCGACTTTTTTTTATGGTAACTACAATTTTTATCCGTATGCGTTATGAAGCACAATTGCTCTCCCAGTGATCGTATTAGAGGTTTTATATATATCGCATTTATTTTATAGCCGTGTGATTCTGCTCTTTTTACGTAATTATGATTAAGTATTTTTTAATCGTTAATCGAATGTATAATTTTCTCTTATATTTCATGTTTTTTTTTATGTAACAGTTTTTTCATCGACAATATCGGATGATGTCTTGAAACGTTAATATTTCCTATTAGAAATATATCTCTTTGAAGACATTATCTACAGCATTGTTGACCTATTTTATTATTTTACTGTATAATACGCGAAGAAATATATCGAGTTGTTCGGAAAATTCGTGCGGTTTTTTATGTAAAATCCGAAGACTTTTTTATACATTCAAATATATATATTTAATCAACCACATATGTGTCGCTCTTCCACTATTACTTGCCATTATTACTTGCCATCTTTGAGGAAGCTTTATAATTTCGGATTTCCAGAAGTTATCATTTTTCTAAGCGATGAACTGCAGAAAGTGGTTTTTGCAGTGGTTTTTGCAGCCTTCCAAAGATGTAAAGTTTTTACCATTCAAGGAATTTTGTAGACTCCGAAATGTGATAATTAGAGGGTGCCAGGTGAATACGGCGGATGCGATAAAAAACATCCGAGCTACGATAATTGTTGCTGAGTTTGTAAAGAGACCTGAGGTCTGGCATTATCCTGGTGGATACCTTTCCGACTAACCAATTCGGGACGCTTTTCGTCGATCGCTGCTTTCGGCACTACAAACGGTCTAATTGGGCGCAGTATTTGTCCGAATTAAGACTCTTGTCTTGCGGAAGGAGATCAAAATAAACAACGTCTTTCCAGTCCCATCAGATACACAGCATGACCTTCTTTGGATGCAGACCAGCCTTTGGAGTGGTGCTTCATTTTGTTTGCGCCACGACCTTTTACGCTCTGAGTTATTGAATACGATCTATTTATCATCGCCCATAATCATCTGTTTAAAAAATGATTCGTTTCCGTTGTGTTTGAGGAGCGAATCACAGATGAAGATGCGATTCATGAAATTTTCCGGTCAGATCGTGAGGCACCCAAGTATCGTAACGATTCACATAACCAAGTGTTTCCAGATGCTGTACAACGGTCGAATTAGGTATGTGGAATATTTCCGCGACGTCTCGTATCGTGTAGCGTGGATTATTTCCAATTACTGCTGCAATTTCGTCGTCATCTTACCACTGAAGGTCTACCCGAGCGTTCTTCAGTGCTAAAATCACCTTTAAAACGAGCAAACCCCTTCTGGACAGTTCCTTTCATCAGCTACTGCTGATAACTTCCGTAAACGGCACAAATCTTTCTTGTTGTTTAAACGGCGTTCTTGCCTTTTTTTTTTTAAGTAAAATAATATAATGTGTCGTAGATACACCCTATTTCTTCCATTTTCAAATTGATGTGAAATTAACGAAACTCAATCCAATATTCTTATTTATAAACGACGCGTTGAAATGTCACTTTTCAGAATATATATCAGGTTCAAGTCACGCACGACATAGATACATGTTTTAACGCCTTCTGTTGAAAAACCGAACTTTCCGAACAACCTAATACTATGAAATGAAATGAACTATATGAACAAAATAGGGAAAGGTAATTATATACCTTCGTAAGAAAGAAGAAAGTAAATCAAATAAGTGAAATACATTAACGTACAAAAATTGCGTATTATTTTTATCTTAGAGCAGTGTCTTTGCAATATATTCGAGTATGTATTTGCATGAATTAAACGTAACAAAAAGCACGTATTAATAATTCGGAAAAATAGCATAGTGCAAAGAAACGTTATATATTTATACGAAGAACGAAAGAGAAAAAAAAGTTATATCTCGTTAATTTATATTTACGATACGATATGTGCTTCACGTGAGTTTCACGCGCGTACAAACAGAAAATTGTATCTTCTTTTCTTTGGTTTTTCTTCATACCGTGCGCTCAGATATAAGTTGTGATTCTCGATAAAGCTCACGTGGAGAGAAAGGAGAGAGAGAGAGAGAGAGAGAGAGAGAGAGAGAGAGAGAGAGAGAGAGAGATCAAATATAAGATTCGATTGCAAGATCACTGCTTGTGATTTTAGTTATTTGCCGTGATTTAATTTTAAGAGATCCACGAATATATATTTATACATCTTTTCCACGCGGTTACACGTTTTTGGCGATATTTTATAAAAGTAAACGGGAGTGAACGACGACTGAAAGCGCAGACTAAATAAAATGTTAGAGACGCGAGATACGAGAAATGTGTCATTCTCGACGAGGTTTTAACAATTCTCCCCACCTCGCGCACTATGTTCATATTGCTCTAAAATTTATGTTGTAGGGAAGAACATGAAATCCTGTAATCATGTACATGAGTCACAAGTCGGAGAATATTACAAGTCAAAGCACGGTTAAAATTGAAATGTAAATTGAAATTATTCCAATGTGTTTCTAATCATCTTCATTCCGTGTTATTCTACACGTTTCTACATTCTTTCTGGTACATGGTATCAGGGTTAGTGTTAAATCGTCAGTCATTACACATTTTTGCAATAATTCATATACGATGTCGATGTAGTATTTGCTAATTTAAACGTGTGTAATCCTTATTTTATAGGCCGCAATATCGAATTACAATCGCGATACTGTATCATCTCTTTGTGTTTATAAATAATTATTCATTATTTGTAATTGTAAAACAGTGTAAAATCTTTTCCATTTATTTCGATATAACTGCGATTCAAATTATAATCGTCTCTCGAGACAATTTACTTTATATGATTGAAATGCCTGGTTAGTGGTACACGAACTATCATAACAAAATATCCATTTTCCATTAGTACAACACGTCAGTCAGCCAGGCCAAGAGTAAAAGAAGAACCGCCAGAGACGGCACCCGTCTCGTCTTCCAAGGCGTCTAGGTAATTTACCTTTTTTTTTTCATTACAGTGAATTGCATGTAGATTTATCAAATGTTAAACGTAGATGCGTGGTGTATGTAGAGACACACGAAGCATTTGATAGGAGTCTGTTGCGTAGACAAAAAGATCATGCCTTTCCCATGTCATCTTTCATTTTAAATAGAAATCTAGAGGAAAATAAAAGAGAGAGGGGGAGGAAAAAAAACTTATATACAGGTGTAGTTGAAAAGCAAACGACCGAGTAGAGTCTTAAACGATAGTTTACATTATCGAAAAAACAGAGATAACCCTTTTTGATCACTAAAATTTGTATTCGTATAGAAAAAGATCAGGGGAATATATATTAAGATATAAGTATTTGCATTGTAGCAATCACATATTACGTGTTGCCATTATAATTATATAAATTACACTATCTATATATACTTGTGTGTGTGTATATGTGTGTGTGTGTGTGTGTGTGTGTTACTTACCGATTCGCTCATATTTATGTACTTTTGTACACGAGAAATATGAAATAGTTCGATTTATCGTGGAAGAAAGAACGTAAAGAGATGTGAAAGAGGAAGCAAGGGAAGAAGTGAAGGGAAGCAGAGTATGTATACAAGGTATCTCAGGTTTTCAACGAACAAATGGCGTTAATATGTTTTATGGATAGAAATAGGAAAAATATATATATATATATATATATAAAATAAAAAAAAACAAAATGTTACACATAATACAACTCTTTATATTTATAAAGTTATGAAAAAATATAAAAAATGAAGTAGTAGGCTTTGTTAATATGGTATTGTATTGCATAGGTTATTCTAACGGTTGTTATGTGTTTCTCAATTCAATTCATTTTTGTTAATATAAAATTTACATAATTGAAAAGTCAAATAGACGTGCGAATGTCGCGTCAACTTTACCTCATCTCAGCAGACATACGATATTAACTCTTCAATTGAATTGATTGATATTCGATGTGTATTAATTCTCGTGCCGTAAATTTTTGCTCTCATTGTCATCCTCCACACGCAGTTGTCTTTGTATTAAACCTTTTATATTTTCATCATAATTTTTACACAAAACTTCGACGAACATATATTATTTTGTTCTTATTTTTATCCATTAAACGTATTTGCGCAATTTGACCGTCAAAATGTGAGGAGACCTATATGTGTGCATATATCCACAGACATAGATAAATATGTATGTACACACGCACATACACACATGTACACTTGGTCTTTCTTTTGTAAAACATATTTTATTCGCGAATAACATGATCGCGATGTGCTTAACGTTCGTAATAAAATGAACTTTCATAGGTATAAGAAAGTAAACACACAAGTAGCATTAAAGTAAGATAATTGGCTGACGTGTGACTTGTGTAGGTATTATGATGATCGCTACAGAGAGCGCGAGCGAGACAGAGATCGGGAACGAGAATCAAGCCGAAGACCATCCGAGCGGGAACGGGAACCGGAACGGGAACGAGAACGGGAACGAGAACGAGAACGAGATCGACGCGACGAAAGAGGAGACTCCTCGCACCGTTCAAGACACTAAAACGGATTGTCAGGAAAGGAAGAAAGCATCGAAGGCACAACAAATGTGTACCATCACACATTGCGATCTCCTTATTTCTCGGAGTAGACTATTGTGTCGCATTAATGTGTTCACGATACACGTGGCACCCAAACATTTTTAACGACGAGCGAGAATATCGAGATATTCATTTTGTGTAAGACAAATGTTCAACTGGCGATTTCCAAGTTGTTGCTTATCCTACTTAAAGTAGTCCGACGTAACAGACTTACATTGTAGAATTCGAAATGTTCTTTGTCTTTTCTTTTTCTGGAGATTTTTGAACTCGAGCTCAGTGTAGAATTATTATCGTAAAATATCTTCTATAATTGCAAAACTCTTTTGTCTTGCATTATATACATACACATATATTAATATGATAGTGCACTATATATATATATATATATATGTATACATATTATGTCTATGTAACGGTGTTACAATTAAGGAAATATCCATTTAGTCTGAGAGTGTAGGTTTGTAAAACAAATGTCTATTATCGCGCTTGAAATGTCGGGAACAAGTTGGAGGAGAGGGAGAAAAGGAACACGATGCGCGGGAAACTGCAGTTTCGCGATGAGAAGAGGAAGAAGATAATGCGCAGAAAAGCAAAAAATAAGCGGAAAGAGACAGACAGACAGACAGACAGATAAAGAGAGAGTGAGAGGGGTAGGGGGGAGATGGAGAGATATATATGCATACGAAGGGAAGAAGAACGAAGACATCGGCGCGAGAGAATCAATCCATCGGACTTCTAGCTGCACGACGATGCAAGATTGTATCTTAACATAATACATATATACGCTTTCAAAAATATATATACCAAATATGTCTTTACTTTATTCATCTGTACACACAAATTCCTGATAACAAACAAAAGAGTGTGTTTTTGTTTATATGCGATTTCACGTACGAAAAGAGCTCTCGAGCTCAATAGCCGAGTTTTCGAAAGGCGACACCGTCGCGCGTCAAATATTTCTCAATCCTCTGGTGCGTGTCGTCATTCTTTGCGTAATTCGCAAAATCTTGTATCTTTTATGTCGCGAGACAGCTCAGAGGATTAACAACAGCAAAGAAAAAAAAATGTGTATCGTCATACGAAACAAATCTTGAAAGTGATTCTAGACGGTTCGCCTTTTGAAAAAAGAAAATTGAAAAATGATGAAAGTATCGATGATGGAATACGTTTTATAATAAGAACAACTAGGAATAAATGCGCTATTATTATGTCTGTGAAAATACTATACAAAAAATTATTATTCAAGATAGGCATTTTTTGTATACAAACGTAAGTTCTATAGCTATACTATTACATATGTTATTACATGTACAGTGATAAGCTGTAATCCTGACCTAATCTAACGTTATTAGGATATGAAATGATTCATAGAAGAAGATAATTTCGTGAAGCATTTTATATAACGCAATTATTCCTACCGAGAACCAACAAACCCCTGACCCTTTGTGTTGTAAGTTATTATAAGACTAGGTTGCAAAAAAAAATGCATGATACTTCCGTTACACTCACGTCCTGATGTGTTATTTGAGCAACACAGCCAATGATTATTATTGACTTTAACAAACATGTAGTATTAAGAAAATCCAAAGCCACTCTATGGAATATATGCTGATAGTCAAATTATTTGGTTAATATAAAGTGTAAGATAAGGTGACACAGCATTTGTGTATCAGAAAATATTGATACGTTATCTGATACACCATGAATTATAAATTCTATAACTCTGACGAAACTAAAACAATTTGACTATAAGTATAGTTTCCTCGCGAGCCAGCGATATTATATCAAAACACTCCGCATAACGGAGTCGTTGATTCTAAAAATACCAAAATCCCTTAAAAATTGACTTTGACATGGAAATTACTAATATGCTCGATACGTTTAAACTGTGTACACATTCCATTTTCTAAGAACAAAGTCATCAATATTTATTCCCTTGCGAATTTATGAGATAACAATTTTAAGATTCCCAATGAATTCTATTAAATTTACACTATTCCGAAGTAATCATAAAACCTAAGGAAAGTAAGAGCGGAAAAAAAATATTTTTAAAGAGACATTTTTTATACATGTAATTTAATCTCTCCGAGGTATATGAGATGAGAATATTTTTCCGATTTATGTTTTAATTTAATCGGATGATGGTTCTTTTAGTTTTGTGCTCAAGACTAGCTTAATAATGCATAAGAATGAAATTTCATCCATCTCTTTCTTTCTTATATTTTAGAAAAGAAAGGAGTGAATTTTTTGGAGAAAGGCATGTGCCTTTTATACATATTCTGTGTATATCTTCAACAGCGAATTGTCGTGCAAATGTTTCTGCCGCGTTGTATTTTATAAATTGAAAAGAATTGTAATTCATTGTAACGCGATCCCGACAAACAGAACTTTCTATGCTGGAATTCTTTATGAGCACATACACATCTCCAGTGTTTGTATAAGTTTTCAAGACTGTTAAAAGAATGAAGATACGTCCAACATTATGATTGACAAAGAAGCGCTTGAAAAAGTTTTTTTTTTCTTTGGAGACAGATTATTTTTGCACGAGTTATATTTACATGTCCAATGTTTTTATTTATGTCGAAAAAAGCAATGCGCACATAAGGAATGACTCTTTCACCCATTACAAAACATATTATTAAAAGTTTCACAAAATAATAAAGAGGAATTTCTATTAGATATCTCGTGTCGAAACGAAATTTTTAAATCGTTTAAGAACAAATCAGACTTTTATTACTTGAATGACGCGAAGTTGCGTTGTGAAACTTTTTACAAGCTTGTAAAATTGCGATTACGCGACTCATGTTTGTCATACTTTTAAAACAGTCGACAGATTTTAACTCGTACTTAAATACGCGACCCGAAAGTATTTAACTTGTAATTGACTGTTCATATTGTATACAATCATTTACCAAAGCGCAACCGTACATGTGATGGAAATTATGTATAGTATTGGCATGTTATATGTTGGCTAAATGTCAACACACATAAATCGCTTACTACTTCTTTAATTGAATTATCGCTGAGAACGGTACAATTCCGATACGTCAGTATTGGATCTTAAAATGTTATTTTTTTCGTTTCATTGCACGCGCGTACTGTTCCTTAAGATTTTCAAGAAACTTTGCGCATGTACACAATAGAAATACGGAACCGTTCTCACATCCAGTATTGTCGCAATTTTTGATAATTTACATTGAAATGCTGTCATAGAGAAGCGCTTCATATAATTAATTAACGAGTTAACCGTTTTACGAATATCTGTTGAGAAACGTTATAAGAGAAATCGCGCACAACACAGACAACACATATGTACCAATTTTTTTAAATCTTAAACTTGCTATGTGTGTGTGTGTGTGTGTATATATATATATATATATATGTGTGTGTATATATATATATATATATATCGTTTAATTAATCCCACGTGCTTGCATTTTAGTAATCGGTTATATTAATAATTTCATCTATTAGAACCCCACTGTTGATGTTTTGTGCGTGGTTTCATAATTTCACACAACCGTCTATATAATTTATTTCTATACATATATATTTATCAATTTTTAACTATCAGACTTTGTTTACTAAGCACATGATGATCTCATTGAGGGAGCGAGAGAGAGAGAGAGGGAGAGAGAGAAAGAGAGAGAGAGAGAGAGAGAAAGGTAGAGAAAGGTAGAGAAAGGTAGAGAAAGGTAGAGAAAGGAAGAGAGTGGTCTGTATATTCCTCAGACTCGAAATCGCGATCATCGCGACGATCTACTATAAGTCTCATCGTTTATGCGATTATTTGTCATATCTTTGATTTCATGTAGCGTTTTATTTGCGTAACATAATAATGATCGCTGTCGTGCTAGATGCACGAGGTAAAGTTGCCTGGGAGAGAGAAATGTATAAGGACTTTTAATGGGTAAGTGCAACACAGAATGTAGCTCTATATTTAATTATACTTAATTTTAAGCGTATTATTTTGTATACAAAATACGAATACAGATATGCACGTTCCTTCACGAGAAATACGCGGACACATTCATATTTTAATATCATTTGTGATACTCATATTAGAAAAAGAAAGGAATGCCTGTAACTGATCCAGTGTGCAATCGTAATTAATTATTTTGCTCGGAAACTATGTTAACGCATTGTTCACTTTGCAATTGTGCGCATTGTGCAATTTGCAATTAACAAAGTATCTTAGTGCATCGTCTTTTTTGTGATATATGCTCGAGTCATTAACTAATCGAATAGTGTTAATTGCAGTGCGACAAGCAATGCGTTAGGAATCTGTCATCTATTTTCTCTTTATAATTCGCGATGTCGCTATAAATATTTATTGCATCAAGCGAAATCACGAGGAAATATGTTAATCGTGTGCATTACGGTGTAGTTACCAATGCATATATATTTTCCCCTCTTTCTACCTCTCTCACTTTTCTCTCTACTCCACTTTCTCTCTTTCACTCACTCCCTTCATTGCCAATATATCAAAACAGGCAGCTCCATTTTACGTAGAATTTAATTGATGCAATGTCGATTTTAACAACATCGCTGACATTCCAAAAACGCTGATCAATGCGGTCACATGTGCAAAGATAGGAGCATAAAGTCAACAAATGTTATATGAAATAAAAGTTTCTCCGCTTCTAAATTATACTGTAAAATTGGCCAAAGATAGACATATTTTATAGCACGAATGTTGCGATCTTTTAGCATTTAGATGTCTTTTACGCTACTCTACAATTATATAAAGGCAGATCCTTTCATTCAATGTTTATTAATGATATCCGCTATGAAACCTAAGACAAAACACAAAATATCGTTAAATTATTTCATTGTACAAATGTAACTCGATACATTGCTCAACAAACGGATATATATATATCAGAGATTTATAAGACAAAACCAAATACTGCCTCGGTTACATACAATTATACATAGGAGAAAATTGCTATATATGTGCGTTATACACACACACACACACACACATATGTTTTACATGTGTTAACGCAGTATAACTCCATCAGTATCTATCGCTATCAGCTTTCTATTATTTATCTATTTTTTTATAATCTTATATATACAACGTAATTTTATAGGTAAAGTACAAAGCTAACCATTTAGCAAAAAGACCATCTGGTCACGTTTGTGATAAAATCGCAATACGTAAAGAATTGTACATTTTATTGTTATTTCAACTGTGATATTAATGTACAGAAGCACACTTGTTAACAAATATTTTTCTAAAAAGTTAATGTGATTCTACGAGATATATTCTTCTCGCGTTTTACTTTTATACATAAAAAAGGTAGAATATTTCTTCGAAGCCACTTGCTCCACGACATGCTCATAATGATAGAAATCAAGATTTTGTAAACAATTTTTATATAAAATTTATTTAACTTTGAAAATCGCGCGCGCACACACACACGCACGCAACACACACACACACACACACACACGTTAATATTTAATCATCTGCATATTTTTTCACAATTTTGCCGCCACTATAACATTATATACGTAATACAATACATCGCGATGACTCGAACGTTTGTAAAAAGAGCATTGCGTTATATTTAAAATCAATGTAATGAATAATCATTGATTAAGATTTTAAGTTTTTATTTCATTAATGTGTAATCATTTTTATAAAACCAAAAACACCAGTTAAAAATGTCAAACGTAATTAAACCGCAATCTTACCGATTATGTATGATAGGCCGTATTTAGGGACCTTTTACTGCACATTGTACATGTATAATTGTAATAATATGATAGTATGAATCTCAATATCGTCAAGTAAGGTAAGTGATGAGACAAATAATGTAATATTTATGGAAATGTCGATGTATATTTGCCTGAATTTCGTGTCGGAATGAAATAAGCGGCGGTCGAAAATCACGCGAGAAAATTTTATTCCGTATATCGTACTAGAGTAGATTTGGGAATTCTTTGTATACGAGAGCAATTTCTCAGTTATAGTTGTAATTAATTACATTCTCCGATCTCTTACGCCTCTCACATTACATACAAAAAATATGATTAATCTTGATTAGAGAAAAAAGTGGTAAATCGGCAAAAAGTATATATATATATATATATATATATACTTAATAATATATATATATATATATATATATATATTACTTATTAGCTACTTAAGTATATATATATATATTACTTTCTATCGAGGTGATACGATTATGTGTGATCTCTGTATTATAACGATTTTATTATCTGCCTACAGTTTAAGATATTGCGAGTAATCGTTCGTTCTATTTTCGACTGTGATAACAAATGTAGCGTGATAATAAATCCAAATATTTGTGACAAGAGATAATTGTAAAAAATAATAAAGATGCATTCGGAAGAGAGAACCGATTGATCTGAAAGAAAAAAAAAAAAAAAAAAAGAAAACGTATTAAGCGTGTCTAACGAGTAGCATCGCGCAATGTACTTTTTATTGACTCGTATTTACAATATGGTGAAGATTACATCTAGTGAGCTTTCTTTCTATCATACAATTAACATGATAGGCGTGACCGCAACGGAAGATCGCGACTCCCTTGTTACCTAGCAGAATTGGCGTCTGCAGGGACAAGGTGCAGCACGGGCATGTCAGTGATTTAGTCCGATGGCGCATCCCCCAGTGATGAGCGGCAGTGCCGAACATGCTCGTATCCGTCGGTCGCCGTGTGTCTTTCTCGAGAGCTTTCGCCAGTTGATCACGCACCTGTCAAACAAGTCCCTTATATTTCATCGTTTTCGCGTAATTCTAATCGCACGATTATTTCTCTCGTTATCAACGATCATTTTTGCCTTCTCTTCCGGAAAATAATATCAGTTTCCTGCCAAAGTTTCAAAATTTCTTCAGCGATATGAGATCACGCGATGAACACAGCACCAAGAGTAACATAGATTTCATCACGTGCGATGGAAGCAACGAGATTACCTGCGACGAGCACATTGTACCAAAGTCTGCCGACAGCTGGTTACTCGGAGTGAACGATGTCCTCAGGCCGTGGTGATGTAGAATCTTGGTGAATACGATCGACTGGAATATGCTGCGAACAGAAGAATACTTGAGTTAGCTGCTGCTCGGCCAAAATAACGATAGCGGCGTACGTTTTGTCCGGCAGGGGGATGTCCGGCATCATGCTCTGCAGCCTGATTAAAAAGGCCGTGGCCTCGTCCGGTCCTTCTCTCGCCATGACCTGCCGTGCAATCCCGGTCCAATCGATCGACACGTCGGGCTTGTCGGCGAGAGGCGTCGCGCAGAACAGACAAGTGCCGTTCTCGATCTCGCTCACGCACGCTGCCACGCAACTCCACTGTTGCTCGTTGAGCGCCGGCAGCAGGAAGGACAGCACGACGTTGTCTCCGGTCTGAAGGCACTGTCTCAACACGTCGTCCAGAGCGTCGCGTCGCTGCAGACGAACGGCCAGGTACTCGCGCCACATGTAAGGTACCCTGTCGCAGATATTGCCGCATTCCTCCGGCTGGTGATCAGCGAATCTCGCGATCAACGTCCGGCCGATCGGCAGGAATTTCGGCTCCGCGGCGTTCCGGTTCATCGGGCAGGGGTAGCCGCAGCCGCATCTGGCGTAGCTCGGCGCGTTGATGTCGACGAACGCTCGGACGAATTGCCGCACGACGCGATCATTGCCGGTCGAGCGCAGCACCTGCACGGGGGTGTTCTCCAAGAAGGAGTTGTAGCAATGCAACTCCGCGGCGCGCGTGACCTCGTGCGAGTCCTTGTACGACTCCTTGATCGCTCGGATCCTCCCGTCGATCTCCGAAAGGATCCCCTCGACCTCCGCCTCCGACAGGCCGGCTCTGATGCTGTTCGCCAGAGCGTAGACCGGATCTAAGTCGCAGCGCAGCCCGTTATCAGACTCGGATGACGTCGAATCGCTCGACGCGACCGTCTTCTCTTCGCTGGAGGGGGAGGTTTCGCAACGAGCTCTTTCGTCGATGTCGTTCTCGCGATGTACGGAGTTCAGTTTGGCCGGTCTGCCGCCGGATCGCAGGAGCGCCATTAGCGGCCGCAGCGCTTCTTCCTCCGAGTCGAGCAGCTCGATCATCTCCCTCTTGGCGATCGAGGACAAGTGCCTCCTGTAAAGGGTGCAAGCGTCCAGACACGCGCGATATTCCTCGCGGCGATACAGCCGTAGTATCAATGCGCCGATCGACGATAACGTCAGGCAATGGAACTCGCCGTCACCGGTCATCAGGTAAATCTTGTCGCCCGCGACCGCAATCATGCTGATGCTCGCGAACTCGTTGTTCCACAGCAGCACGCTCGCGCTCGCGGGATCGACGACGTACAGGCCGCCGCTCGTGTGAGAGAGCAAGTATTTGCGCGCGATTACGAAGAGGTGCGAGAAGTTGACGGACTGGGCCGGCCACTCCGTTTGTTGTTCCTCGGCGCCGCTGCCCGGTCGGAAGATCAATCTCGGAGGCATGGCTAGCGCCTCTCTCAACTGGTGCGTCTTCACGACCACCCCGTCAGCGGACACCTCCCACAGTCGCGAGCCCGGTCGGGCGCAAAATATCTTCGGGCAGTTCTCGCTCGAGATGTTGCTGTCGGAGATCAGGCTGAACGTGCCGCGTCTCGAGTCGTTCCTCGGCGTCGTCTCGACGTCCGACGTGACGCCGCTCTCCGTGTTCGCTTCGAAAAAGCACGCGCCGAATTCACCGTTGCGCGCCTTGTTGCCTATCTGTTTGTACTGCTCTCGCACCGTGTCGCAAATGTAACAGCGCGTTATCGTGGAGACCAGCAGCATAGACGAGCAGAAGTTCAACTGCACGACGCCGGAGTCCAGATTCATCAGCGTGTAGACTCGAGTTTGAAACATTCCGTTCACCTGAGCGCAGTGTTAACAAATACTTCTTATCGCATACCAGCAGAAACCGTTGTAGGAATTTGTGTTAAACGAAAGCATACACTGCTGCACGATTGGTTCGCAAACTTACTGTAAATATCGACGACACCATGACGGAGACCCTACCGACCGCATCTCCAATGTATACTTCGGTGCTATTCTTGTTCCAACAGAGGCAGGTGATTTGCTTGTGTATATGCTCCGTAGACACCGCCATCAGTCGTGGAGTAGGCTTTAGAAAGACTAGACATACAGTATCACGTGTTGTTGTTAAGGCTATAGTCTTTTCGTCAGGTGATATCGTCACATGTGTAACCGCACCCTCCTGAAATTTGGAAACAAGACTAATCAACAGAGACCTTTGCACGGATCCATTTACTTGATACTTGATATGTAACTGAAATTATACTCCTGATAATATTATGACCGACATAAAGAAAGATACGATTCGATGAGTTGAAAAAGACTAAAAAAGGGATTGTCACTCACCGACAGAGGTATTATTTGCAGGAACGAGCATGTCTCTCTGGAGAACAGATATAAACTGCCACTGGTTGAGCCAAGTATGATATAATTCAGGGAAACGTTGAAACATGAGTACTGTAATTTGTATTATGTAAATATACACATACATATCGAACACTTTCAATGAGATGATATGCAATTAGGTGAATGAAACTGCCGGATGCGCGAGAGTATTGAAATTTTGTGAAAAAATTTTAGCTATCTGCATCGCTCGCGTAATTTCCCTAATAATGTAGACTACTATAACGTAATGCTATTGATAAATTAGCAACAATGCAAAAGGGAAGGATTACATACTAAACAACAGTTATTTTTATCGTAGACTCAAAATCAGCTGACTGGAGCAGACAAGTCGCGTGACACTTTTGGCACCAGTTGACTAATGCGTGTATGTCTTATCCACCGCACAACTTAACCTCGCTGACTTAGCATCGAGTACTTGCAAAGATGCATACATTTCATCGAGTTCTATCTACGGCATATGTACCTTTATTCGTTGTGTCGAGTTGATCGGTTTGTACAGAACACTGTTGATTTCCTCACATTCCGACAGAACATAAGGCAAGTCCAGCGAGGCGCAGTGCATTTTCGTCCAGCATCTTCGATAATGGCTGCTCTCCATTTCTATGCCTTGTCCGACACAACCGTCTCATTGGCTACGTATTATCTCGAGATAATACGCAGCCAATAAAACAACCATTGATACACAAGAAATCGTGCAAGTGTTAAGTTGTATTCACACTAGGGCGTATTGTATTTCCGAGTTGGCTTTTCTCTCCCACAATTCTTTAACTTTCTATTATAAAACAATTATTGTTATTTTTAATTGTTTGTGCAAACGCGTCACTTCGAATTTTTAATAAAGAATAGATCAAACTGGAGAAAAATACGCATTAATGAAAAAAAAACTAGAAAAATTTGACAGATACCCTGTGTGTGTATATATATATATACACACACTTTTGCTCTTTTATTAAAGTACTACAAATATTTAATTATCATCACGATAGGATATTCTTTCTCACGCCAAAATGTACATTAAGAATGGCTCGAGGTTTCTTCGTACCACTTTGATTTTCTCAAGTCCATTCCTTTCAGTTTGCTTTTGTAACTATCAACAAGTTTATTAAAGGTTACATCGTCTGCTTCCAATTTTTTCGTCTGCTTTGTGAAAAGATAAAAAGAAAGAGAAGATTAATAAGAACAAATCTAGTGTGAACAAAGTAAAATAGATACGTAAAATAGATAAGTAGATAAATGTCTCACCGGCGCGTTATTGTTCTCTTGCTTTTTCTTTGTTTTCTCCTTCTTTATAACTTTTTTTCGTACGACTTTTTTGCACGATTTTTCATCAGAGTCATTCAATTTTCTCATTTTAACTCGTTTGTTCGGCAGCTCTTCCACTTTGACATCTTCGGCCTTCCGTTTTTCTTTGTGCTTCGAACATAATGGATTATGCTCGCGACTCTTCTGAATTCTTCTTTCCTTTGCGTTCACCATAATGCGATTTTCTATCGAGAATCCGATGATTGGTCTCTACATCGAGTTTATGAAGAAGGAGATGTTTTATCGAAGATTTTATAAGAAATAAATGATGGTATTTTAACGACAGTCAAAATGTATAATATTACCCTGCTTTTAGAAAAGATATTCGGATTGTTGTTTAAACTTCTCAAAGCTTTGAGTGCGTCTTCGTGAACAGTGAACGTAACAAAACCGTACTCTTTCGATTTTCCCCTTCCAGTTGCATCGACATTTTTTAAATCACGCATAACGCGTGCCTTGAAAAATTGTTTAAATCGTCACACACAGATAAATCTCCTTGAATGCAACATGTTATGTTAAAATGTAATTACCTCCTTAATCACAGCCTTAGGGCCGCTGTGATTCTTAAACAATTGTCTAAATTTAGCATCGTCGAGATTGAGCGGTAAATTGTGTACAACAAGCCGCACTCTCGACACGAACATATTCAAGTTGCGCAACATCTGCGACTTCCATTGTTCCAATTTCAGACGCTTTGCCATATCAGAAACTGATACTTCCGCCGCAGCTGAGCTTCCGGCCAACACAGCTAAAAATATCCACAATTTAAATTTCCCTATACAACAATATAACGAAGCAATATTTTGCGCAGTGAAAAATAGTGAATCACCTCCTTCTTTAACGAGGTACAAATTCCTAGAATCCTTGATCCTCCGTTGCTTCAAGCTCTTCTTATTTTCAACTTCATTTCTGCATAATGCTCGGTGCGCCTCAATTATTTGATCGTGCATACGTAATTCGGTCGATAAACATCTTTCTGCACTGGTGATATTCTGCAAGAGAATCGTGTAATATTAAGATGATAATTGAGATGGAATTCGCGGAGAAATTTTGCGAGTGAAGGTAAATCGGAAAACCTTGCCTTGAATTTCACGAATGCGGTGCCTTTTGAATGTTCAGTTAGACGATCAATGCATACGAGAGCATAATATACTGGACCGAATTGCTCCATGTATCCTTTAAGCTCGTTATTCTTAATGGAGAATGGTACATTCTTTAAGAATACTGTTCTGCCTTCATTAACGTCATCAGATATTCGCTGTTTCACCTCTCCCTCGTCACTTCTTTCCTCCTCTTTAATGAAATCCTTAATTCCATCGTCCCCATCCTCGTCATCATTATCACCACTATTGTCATCATCATCGCTATCATCAGCGCTTTCATCTTCGCTATCGGTGTCTTCCGCAAGTTTAACTTCTTCATCATCAAATTCATCCTCCGTCTTTATACCATTTTCTCGAGTCGCGGCTTGCTTGCTGTAATATTGAAACCAGGAATATTATTTCGGAAAAATTACAAAGTATTGGAGTATACAAACTGGGAGGATTTTTTGGAAAGTTTTTCAAGCAGGATCCATTCACTTTCAATTACCTGTCTGACTCAGCATTTCCATCGTCAGAGTCGCTCTTATCGGTAGATTCACTTTTCACTTGAGGATTTACATTAGTTTCCGTACTATTCTTCAAAAACTTCTTCTTGGCTACAGCCCAATCGACTACAATAGCTCTGCCCGAAAACTGCTGCATGTTTGCATAATGTATGGCTTTTGCTGCACTTTGTACAAGATCGAATTGCACGAACGCGCATCCAATTCGCTTACCATCATTTCTCGTCAAAATCTTTATCTCTTCTATATTACCATATTGAGAAAAATATTCCTTCAAATCATCATGTGTGGCCTGAGGAAATATTTAGTAAAACTACTGATTATAAGAAGTTTCCGATACTCGAAATCATTCTTTCAACGATATGTGCAACAATTACCTGAAATGATAGATTTCGAATTACGATCCTGGCTCGTTTTTTCTGTTTCTTCATCCTCTGGAGCTTCCTACTTTTTTGCTGTTTTGCATTATTTTTTTCTTTGTGGCCTGCACTGTCTTCAACTGCATCACCTTCTTCTTTCTTGTCTTCAAAAGTATGTCCTTCATCGCTTTGTCCATTTTCACCAAGTCTTGCCTCAAGTTTCTTGCAGAACTTAGATTTTGATATAGCCCAATCGCTATTTATGATTCTCCCTAAAAATACAATTGTATACTAACCTACTTCAAATTGAGAACCTTTTACTAGTTTAATACTACAATATAGTGCAATATCTTCTAGCATTCTTTTTTAATATATATTAATAAGTATAAAATATAACTGTTATTGATCTATATAAGAGTTAATGACATAGATTCAGCTGTTAGTGTTGTATAAAAGTCTGTGGAAAACAAAAGATTAACGTAAAAAGTACTCTTACAAGGCACAAGTTCATTATTACCTAGAAAATCTTTTTTGTTGGTGTTAAATATTGCTTTTGATGCATCTTCCACATGCTTAAACTGTATGAAACCACATCCAACCAATTTTCCATTTGGATGCTTCAACAGATTTATCTCCTTGATTTCGCCAAATGGTTCATAAAATTTCCTCACATCTTTGTCTGTTACCTAACACGGAATAATGCAGAACAATTCTTGAAATCGTTAATAGGATAATAATCATAAAAATTTTACTTAAACTTGGTAGCCAAGCTTAGTTACACCTATATTATGTGTTACAAGTTAAATTTTGACACAATCTCATCTATCACTAGTATATAAATACCTTAAAAGGTAAATTCCTAACGATTATTCGAGCACTTTTATCATCTACACTTGTGTTTACACCATTATTTCCACTGATTTCAGACTTTTGGATCCTCCCCAATTTTACTTTTCTCCGATATGTCCACGATAATTTCTTTTGTCCTAAACAACGTGTGAATGTTACTTTACAAATAAAGTCAAAATTACGAATCAACATTAGCTGTGAATTATTTCATTCAAGAGTTGTTTTGCAGTTCTCACCAGAGGATGGTTTACCCATTACTTTTTATGCAAATCAATATCTCGGTTCTATAATAAGATATATTCGACAATAATAATTATCCACAAGCAAGATAAAACAATGACAAATTGTTGAATAATATTGCGTGACCTATAATAATTCAAATTCAAATAGTACAGGCAAATCTATTTCATAGGTTAGAATCACACTTTAGGCACGTTTTGCGGAGAGAATGAAGACATTCGAAAGAATCAAGATGGCAAACTCAAATGGCAGTCGAAAGTTTCCTAGAAATCATGCCGCCACCACAAAAAGTCGATTGTGGATGCTTTCCAGCAAGGAACAGTATTATGGCTTCTATCCGGCGATGGAAATTTGCTAATAAACTCCTAGTTCTTATCGAAAAACGACATGTTGATTGGCTACCACGCGAACTTCCGCCGCGCGTTGCCGCATCCTGTGGGCCTTTACATTTATGCATCAAGTAACGGCTAGTTAATCCGACTAACCTAAATTTGATCAAATGTAGTGAAATTGTACAAGTAAAGCAATATATTTTATATCGGCTGCAGGTATACAAATTTTTCGAAAGATCTTACTCATAAAATGACAATGTACGTTAATATATAATTTGTAATGATTTATGACATAATGGATATTTGCAGATGATAAGTCAGTCCCTCGCATGGTTGCATAACAGGGAATACATGTAATTTCGTTCAAACTTAAGTCTGAAAGATGCATTACAAATCGTTAGCTGTGCACAACGCTGCATGTAATTCGCTTTTTTATCAGTTTCAGGATTGCACAAACGAGGTAACAGTTTGTACAAAGGTGTCGCGTATCTAAAATAATTAACACGTCTCAACGCTCTATACTTGCAGCACCCATTTTTAAAATTTTTCGGATACTGCGATGAACTACATATAGCGATGAGCAGATGTATAAAAGAGCAAGTAAGTTTCCCTCGTGTGATTCTTCCATACTACAAATATATAAATAATTTTATCAATTGTTACAGAGGGAAATTCGTAGAAGAGATAACGTGCTACACGGAAGCAAAAGATTAGAAAAGGAAAATACATTAAGCAAAGAAAATAGTGATTAACTGTGTGAATTATATATACAGATATAATAGTAATTTAAATTTGATACAGCTGGTGTAGAGCTTGGTATTTAATATGAATTCACTACGAGCAAACGATAATATACCATTGAACAAGCGCTTCAAGCCAGATGATGATTGCAAATATGAAAAAGAAGAGTGTGAAAACATGGAAGAGAAAAATGCAAAGGAAGATTTTCTTGAAAAGGCAGAGGAACAAGAGAACAATATAGTGGAGAATGACGACAAGGCATCAGCAGTTACAGATGATGAGACATTTCCATTTCCTCCTGATGGGGACATTTCTGACATGTTGGATGAAGTTCAGTATAACGGTTACTTTCCTACTGTTACTGAACGATACTTCACCACATACTATAAAATGAATGTACAATCACCTGGGGATGATATCTGCATACGCATACATAGCAATCGTATGTGTATGTTCTCTTTGGCGCCTAGCCACGTCATCTTCACGCAAGGTGATAGGGACATAACAAAAGTGGACTTCAAAATAAGTGACAAATTAGACCGAGCTCTGAATAAAGTCTCTGGAAAGAGCAAGCATGGTGGGCAAGCATTGCAAGCCAACTCGAATATCTGTACTGTGTTTTGTTCCGATGGGCAGAAATACTTAATTAAATGTTGTATGATAGGAAAGTTGGTGGAAGTTAACGAGATTTTATCGGAAAAGCCGCAACTTCTCAGGGAGCTGCCGCATAAAGGTGGATATTTGGCTATAATTTTGCCCAATATAAAACACCTGGAAAATCTGAGAACGTCTCTACTGACTCACGAGCAATATGTTAAACTTGTTGGAGAGAGAAGAAAAGAAGAACCTACGGCGGAATTGAAATGTGGGAGTAACTGACTCAATTTAAAACGACCAAATGTTGGCAGATAAAAATGAAACGACGTGAGGAAGTAATTCATGGAAAAATGCGTGATAATTAGAATAGACAGTTAGAATAGACAACAATTGATATTCAACATAAATTTTATTGTTTCTTACATTCCCATTTTTATGTTCCCATTTTCTTTCCCTCACTTTTTCTCGCAGAATCTCAATTTATACCTATTATTGATTACTACACAGGAGAACTTTTCTTTATAATGAAAGGTATTTAAAATTTTATCACAGATTCCTTTGTTCGCGCAAAATCACGTGTACGTTCTGTATATGCGGGATGTCCGATGATTATATCGAGATCCGTGGCGTGCGAACGGATTGAAAATCATGTGTCACTTTGTAATCGCAATAGTTAATGAGGAATTAATTAATCTGTATGAATCTAACGATCGCACAGTAGGTTGGTATAAAGACGAATGGCTTATCTCTGAAGATGTCCTAGCAACGATGAGCATTAACCGATTTCTAGAGGTGGAGCAACGCGGCATGTGAGGCTGTGTGTCGAACAAGAAACACGCCTGTCGCTCAACCAGTTGATTGTTACTTCACGGATGTCTTCAGAAGTAAGCTATTTTTATTTACATAGAGTCCGGTGTTTCTGATTTTTGCAAAATGGTACATTATTTCCCCGTTCAATCCGTTCGCACACCCGAAATCCCGAGATCCCGGGATCCCGAGATAATTATCAGACAACCTCTATTTAATCCATCGTATAGGCGCATTGAACTTGTCGCTAGATACGACAGCTGTCATACTTATAAATTAGGTCAAAATCTGAACAAAAAAGCCCATTTTGCGAAAAGAACATCGAATTGTTAAAAAAATCCTTTCTGTACATTTTCAACAATAATTAATAACTCGAAATTTTGCGTATTGTTCGCAAAATGGCTTTTTTGTTCTCCTCACGAAGGTAAATAGATCCCTATTGAACACTTTGTACACTAAATATTATGTTCTCAGCATTTCCATCTGGGATAATTTAAAAAATATATACTATATACTGATTCCCTGACTAGTGCAGTACCATGTTTTTTTTTTGGAATATTTATTATTGACAATTTATTGTATCTATACTTTGGTACGTGATGTTCCCGTCAACTTCTTTTTTTGCCAGCTTCTTTTTCATCAAGTTCCCCAACACAATACCGACAAAGAGTATCATGCCTACCCTGTGATTGGATACAAATTTCTTGGCGCAATCCGTAGAGTTATTAATATTTAAAGTGTATATCTGCAAAAAAAAAGGTAATAATTTCTTATTGTGAGATGCAATAACTTGAATAATTCTTTCAAATTCAAATTATTTTCTCAATGCTCACTTGACTACTAAGATGCGCTGCAACTACTCCAACGGCAGTGTAATAAGGCCAAGTTTGAGCAGCCAATACGCCTGAGGTAATTAAACTCACGAGCATCGCTATTGTGAATCCCGATAGATAAAATCTCGTGTCGTCACCGAATTTGATGGCTGTCGATTTAATGCCTAGCAGAATGTCGTCTGATCTATCCTAATACATGAAAGAAATTGAAGAGCAATGTGAGCAAATATGAAACATTGTTGAATATGTGGTACTCACTTGATGAGCATATATAGTGTCATATAGAATAGTCCAACAAATACCACCTATGTACATTGGTAAGCAGACGGACCAATTGCATGATCCATGTATAGCGGACCATCCTAATAATGCACCCCAATTAAATGTCATTCCCAAGATAAGTTGTGGCCAATATGTTACTCTTTTCATGAGAGGATAAGTTATTACCAAACCTAAAAGATAGCAGAATACATCATACATACTTGAATTCCATATATAAGCACCCTTCTAATGTATTATTTAAATAATACCTAGCGAACTAGCACCGAGAAATATGCTATACCAATTGAATTGTAATAATATAAGTAATCCCAAGCTCAGTTGTCCCGCCAAAAATATCACTGATTGTTCCAACGTTATTTGACCGGTTACCAAAGGCCTGTCCTTTGTTCTGGCTACCTAGTAACACAAATTCTTTATAGTGTGTGCGGTAGTATTGTGTGCAACGTTAAAATACTATTTTACCATTTTATCAAGGTCCCGATCCCACATGTCATTTATAGTACATCCTGCACCGCGCATTATGAATGCTCCTGTGCCGAAAAGCGCTAGAGTATAAGGATCCGGTAAAGCACCAGCAGGTGCTGCCATGGCAATGCTCCACCCACAAGGCCAAAATAATAGCCAGCTTCCTAAGAAGAAAATGTATTAATCGTTTCAGTGAGCGACGATATTTATAATGAAGAAAGCTATTTGATATTCATCAAATTGATATTAGCAATGATAATACTTATAATATTTGTTTCTTTCGAACAATGCATACCTATAGGTTTGTCCATCCTCATAAGCTTCAGATATGGTTGTACTTTGGGTGAAGCACTATTGACTAGTTTTGAAGCCAAACCTAAATATCTTCTCTGTTGTAAAGTTGTCAGCTTCACACGTGTTAATATATCACCCTTTGTCTTTAACAAAGAGTTGGTAGTTTTGTGTTCACTGAGATCTATTTTATTTTGTACTATAGATAAAGTACAAGCATCTACATAGGTTCTATCGTGTGTACAATTAGATGCTGAGCAGTTTAATAGCGTTGGATATGCTTTATATGACAGCAAACCACCAACTCCGGTGAATCGGCATCTTTTCACAACTAGTAATATTTGATTTTTCATCTGTAATAGTTACAGGAAATCTATAAGTTGTCATATTACATTGATTTGTCGGCTATACTGATTTTATCAGTGTTATCTTTTAAAAATTGCCAGAAGGATTTTACTCCCATTTGAGTTATAAGAGAGAAAATACGACGATAAGATATGACATATAAACAAAATGTTTCACCGAAATAAACTATTGATCAAATATAGTTAGAGTAAATAACTGTTGAGCGTTTGTTATTTTTAGTTTGTTCGCTTATAACAGAAACAGTTGTTAGCATAAAGATATAAAACAAATAAATTTTTGTAAAATAGATTTACTTTCCGCCGTTTTTGAAGAGCAATTGCAGTATAGCCGCAAACTTGTCTACTACACTTGTCAAATAAATTACAAACTGCAGTCAAGTTAAAATTTGCAGTGATGGCAAATAGTTTATTTTTGCTTATTGTATCACATATTGCAATATCCAACAGATTGTTGTTATCACTTATTTATTTTGGACAGTATATCGCCATCTTCCAACTTTGGGACTGCGTTCTTTTAGGACCTCAACCTTCGGTTAACTGATCTGCCGCTGATTAATCCATTGGAAATAGACTGACCAATCGCATTTGTCGTTGAGCAGAATTGACCAGAAATAAGCAATCACGGTTGAGCGACCAGTTATGAAATAACTAATTAAATGTGAAGGGAATAATCGATTTCTCAAGTTTTAAAATTGTAGACTAAAAGGAACGGTTGAAAATCACGCTTGTGAGCGTTTACAGCGCGCGAGTGTACAAAAAGAACGAACCCAGAGTGAGAAAGCAAATGAACAGCTTCTCTCTCTCTCTCTCTCTCTATCTTTCTCGCTCATTACCATGGTTCAAGGATATTCGTTCAAGGATACATGATATATCGTGCGTTCTTATCGATGCTAGTATGTGCGCATGCACATGTGCAACGGTTTCGTTTGTATGTTGCAGGCTCTCGCGGTCGGTGCGCGACGCATCGCGATGTCCGTCGTGACGAGGAAGCCGGAGGTGATGTTTATTTTGGGCGGCCCGGGCGCCGGCAAAGGTACTCTCTGCCGCTACATTGTTGAGCGATACGGTTATGTTCACTTGTCCGCCGGCGACCTACTGCGAGAGGAACGCGCCAAACCAGGTTCGCAGTATGGTGAGCTGATCGAAACTCATATAAAAAATGGCACAATCGTGCCGGTGGAGATCACTTGTAGCCTTCTGGACCGTGCTATGCGCGTCTCCGACAACCCGCATTATCGTTTTCTCATCGATGGCTTCCCCAGGAATCGGGATAATCTTGACGGATGGAACAAGGTATATGGTTCGTACGGACCACGCGTTTGCTTCGATCAATCGAGCAGAGCGTTCGAGGAATCGTTATTTAACTTCGCTATTTTCCTTTCATTGGAAATATTGCCGATTGGTTGTGATTATGTAATAATTGAAGAATTCAAAGTATTACGAATAAAGTATTGCACGTCTCCGCAAGACGATGTAATGAGGTGATTTAAAGAGTATGTGTGGAAAAAAAGAACTAAAATTATACACACAGCGGAATTCAAGTAACGTATACTTAGTTATTTTGCACAGAGTGTGCGTGCAAAATATTTTTATTTATTCCATGACGCCATCTATATCGCTTCATATTACGCGTCACTTTGATAATTATCGATCTTACAAAATCAATTAGAAATGACTACGTCCATTTTTCTAGCAATTAAATGTTGACGCTGAAATTTTTGGAGAGACGTTTTTGTAAAATTTGTTACATATTTAATACCTTATGCACTGACAGGTAATGGCCGACAAGGTTATTCTGAAAGGCGTAATATTCTGCGAATGCAGTCAGGAAGTCTGTACTCAGCGTTGCTTGAAGCGTGGTGCGGGAGGAAGCGGTCGCAGTGATGACAATGAACAGTCATTGGTCTTTCGTCATCAGACTTATCTACAAAATACAATACCGATAGTAGTTTTGTATGAACAACAAGGCTTAGTTTTCAAAGTTGATTCTATGAGACCACCGGAACAAGTGTTTCAGGATGTTGCCGAGTTCCTTCCTAAGATTGGCTGGTAATAACGACGGCTCTAATGCTTCTCTAAGATAATATTATCAATATTATACACTGGTATCTTAATTCCGACATAAATATTTCTGTTAAGGACACCTATATTTGGTAGGACCTGACATTTTAACTGGGTAGAAAGATTTTGTCTAGCTTTATTTATAGAATTTTTCTACACGACACAGCGCGTATACACTGGATGAACATTCTTTCAAATATATAATAATACAAGTGCATTAGTCCGGTATCACCTGGAATGTTGTAAATATCTTCTGCCAGTACTGCTATATATAAATCACTACTCTAAATCCTAATCTAATCCTTTGATACAATGTTACATATAATAACACGTTGGTTTTACACGCCTTATATATTTATAAGACAGCTGAATAAGAAAATAGCGTTTGCTAGGAACAACATTGACGTGAAAAGAGATGGGAGAGAAAATCGGAGCAAATATGTATTTTTAATTAACATGTATTTTTAATGTAATTTTCATGTATTTTTAATTAACATGTGTAAAAACATATTTTTAATGTAATTTTTATGTATTTTTAATTAATATGTGCAAAAACATATATATTCATAATAAATAATGTATCGAAAAAGAGATATACATATATATTGTACTTTTGCTTCAAGTTTCTTATTTATCTTTCAATCGTGAGTTATTTGCTCTACAATGCTGGACGAGAAGGTTGCAACATTTTTTTTCCTCGGACAAGCTTCGTAACGCATCCCGATAGGAGAATCTCTTTCTTATTTATTCATAATCTCATAAGATACAGTTTGCTATCGGATGCGTTGTGAAGTTCATAAGAAAAAAAGAATCTTTCCGTCCAGCATTGTCGCACACACATGATGACGTTCTTCCGATAATTTACACGATGATGAGAGACAGATAATAAAAGAATCCTGTGCGAAATGTTCCGTAAATATTTCAAGTGCGGTTGTTCATGAATAAAAAGTGCATCCATGTTTCAGCTCACGTTTAATCCGCAGTGATTATGTACGTTTCAATAATTGAATCAACGAGTGATGAACGGTTAATTTTGCGCACTTTAATCGTCGTATTAAATCAAGTAGCGAATAGATATCTCCTAGGATTGTAACGTGAGATATTATAATGGCGGTATAACGTTTTAGTATGTAAAGTTCAATATCTAACGATACGTTTCGCACATTATATTCTAGACTTTAATTAATTAGACTTGATCCTAGATTTTAGCGTGTTTTCCCCCCTAGGACTAATGAACCTGGTTGTGAAATCAGCACATATCTCAGTGATTCGAAATTCGCACAAATAACGACTACAAGAAACACTCAAGGAAAGCGATGTGGAAAGATGACAGACAGATAACGTCCTCTTATCACCGGTTAAACACCGCTCGGATACGTCTCTGGTGTAACCGAGAAGTTACTCAGTAAACATACGGACGACTAGTAATCAAGATCGCAGCGATTTTAGTAACGTCAGCAAACATAACGTAACATCGCGTTACGTTTCCGATTATTATACCGTGGGATGGGTTCGCCTCTCCTCGATGTGGGCTTGACGAAAGTTTGTTCACGTTATATTTTTCGAATACAGCGTCGCGAGAAAGTCGAATACTCAAGGTCAATGTCCCGCGAGATCGCATATTACGTAGAGGGGACGAGATTCACTGCGGCCACGACGAATTTCTTCATGAAACGATGCCGACAGAAATCTGTACGACTCGTAAGTAATTTCGACCGACACAGTGTGATTTCAAGATTTCGAAAGAAAAGTATATATATATTTTCAATAATGGAATATATAATTTGCATCACGATATTTCACGATTTCGAAACCTCCTTCACACACACACACACACACACACACACATACAAATTTAACCATGTTTCTCGTTGTATTGCTTCCGGAAAAAGATAGAGCACATTAACGATGAAATAAAAATCTATATTATTGGTAAGTAAATATTGGCATGATTTTTATTAATTACGCAAGGTGGCAGAGCGAGAGATAGGCGACAATTGATATAACTGAATATATTCAGTACACACGAACACTTGTGCAAGTAATATTTCGCATAATTAATATTCATTTATCGTGTTGATCCAAATAACACGAGGCATTCTTGAAAGATTTCGTTTTTCTTAGGAGACATCGAGGACGATGCTGGCAGATGCCATTTAAATAACGAATATCCACTAAAATATTCACGCATTGACGTGCTTGCGCTTAAGTACGGAGAATAGATTAGCTGAAACGTGCGTGTAACGTAATATTGCCGATCGATGAACTCTATATTTTCGTCAAGATGTTCCAAATTGCACAGCCAAAGAATTAGAAGTAAGCATAGACGAGTTTCGAAACAGAAGCAGCGATGTGAAAAAGAAAACGCATTAGATATCTCAGAAAATATATATTCATCGCTGTTGGCGATATGCAGAGACGCTGCCATTATCTCCATCGATAATCCTATCCAATAATTCTACTGGCCTTGACCGCGTGTGTATTGGAAGCGATGAGATTAAAGAATCCTCAGTCGAGATGAATGCGTGTGCAACAGTTGTGTCTCTGTACGTCACCGATCGCGCGTCATTTCACGTTTGAATCTATCAAACACAGTAAGAGTAATTGATAGATGTGTGCATAGACGATATATTTATCCAGTGAACACCAACATCAATGATATAATTTCCCATTCGACAACGTTGATGCAATTTAACGCGTGTGTTGTGTCACATCGTCAAATGGGAAATTGCAGCATTGATGCAGTTGTGTCGCTGTTGATGATTGATGATTGATTGATGATTTTACCGTATAGTTTGTAATTCCTCTTTGGGTTTTTTTTGCGCTTCTTTATGCTCCGTCGAACTGTCAATTAAGAACGTCCGATCGGACTTCGGTTCTTTATGCATTTGCCATCGGACAATTTCCCGATATCGTGGCGTTCTGATAGGTGACGATAGTGTTTGGGAACATCCTGTCAATAGTAAATACCACAGGGTAAGAAGAATTTTGCAAGCTTGTATCGAGAGAGAATAAAAGTCGAAAGAAAAATTGATCGAATCTTATACACGGGGACTCGTGTGTTATCGTTTTCAAATCGTTGCTAAATTTCTCTCTTATGAACTTGTCGAACAAGCAAAGCCAACAAGAGAGAGAGAGAGAGAGAGAGAGCGCGACGAATACGTATTGCCTTCAGGCGCCTATTTCCAACATCTTGGAGGACCCTTCACTACAGTCGTTTCATCCGCACGTTTTCGTAAGTTCCTTTTCGTTAACGAATTCCTGAACAGCCGAGTAGCGCGCCGACAATTTCCCACTCTCATCTCTCTCCCTCTCTCCTCGATGTGTAATCCTCGCTTACATCGATAAGAGGGATCCGAGATGGCCACGAATGCTCCCTTATCCCCATCTCAGTTCGCCAGTCGTCCAATATATAAGTGAAACGGCGCGACAGAACGGATCATACGGTCGCTTTTGTCGCTTTTCCGTCTTGACTTTTCACTCGAATGTCGCGTGTCTTTCATTAAGATCGTGCATCACCGCATCATCGTACGTGCGACACAGGTGTTTCTGCGCCCCTTGACCTCTTCACACGTCCCCCACCAATTATTTTATCACGAAGGTACGGCAAACAATTATTGTCGATGGGCGGGGGGACACGCGATATGTAATATATTTAAATATAATAATCTCGTACGCAGCTAACATTGCTCGATTCGAACGGTGTTTATTTACACGCGACAGAGATCAACGGACTGAAACGAAGAAAACATGGAGCCAAGGTGGCACGAAACGTACGCGATTCTCGTTCTGCTTTGGACCACAACGACAAAAGTCGGCGGCATCAGGCCCGAAACTGTCCTTAGGGATGCCCTCACGAGGCCGTTCGTGCCACACATCTGGGCATCGCAAGAATGCCTGCAGGACGCCGCGATTTATCTGCAAGAGCTCGAAAAGTACGCACCCTGGGCGCTTCAAAGTGAGTAAAGAGGCCGATTAATCCTGCGCAATGAGGAATTCATATATACTCGTGTTTTCCCTACGCTTGATTTTTCTCATTTCTCTTCTTAATCAAATGCAAACAGAAGTAATGATGAGAGACAGAAGATATGCGAGGAGAAAAATGTTAATACGGTATAACCCGTATATTGTTTTGTCTCTTATTCACCGTGCAAGATCAGGTTAAGGCTCGCAGATTTGTCGGACGCCGTAATCAAGGGAGGTTATCGCGAGTGTTTCACATTCGATGATTCGGCAACACGTGGGATGCATATCGCCAAAATCAAGATGCTTTGCAGATACAAATAATACAAATTTTCACGTCAACTTGATAACTGCCTTCTCTCTCTCTCTCTCTCTTTCTCTCTCTTTCTCGTGACAGCCAATTCAACGTCCTACGGTTGGCAAAGATAAAGACATTATAAAATCTCTCGGATGTCACATTGTGAGAATAACGAAATGCGTGATTTTCCGAGATCCCGACGCGATCTGTATAAGATTCGAATGTTTCCGACATGTTTTCGCGATACACTCCCGCGCGATACTCCTCGCTTTTTATTATTACGAACTCGCGCAATCGAATTTGCGACCGAAGGAACCTTGTGTCCATTTTTGCGAACGAATTATCGCGACATTTGGGCCAGCACAGATTAACGACGAGTGACATTGATCTCGTTGAACGATATTAATAGCGTAATATCGATCGATGACAACATCGCTGTCATGAGGCGTTTAACGTACGATGCATGCGGACGCTCTGTCATCGTTATATGAATTATAGATATGATTACACTATGACACGGTCAACGGCTTTTATCTAGCCGCGATAATTATTCCGATATTATTTATACTTTTTTTTTCCCATCGTTACCACTCGCGACAAACACATCCCGTGAATGGATGTGCGAACGCGTACGTATTTCACGTTGGTCCTCATAGTATGCATCCGAGTTTCCTGCCTAATCCGAGTGTCCACGATACACCAGGGTCATTGACGCTCCGTTAAAGAAACCATATCGGTCTCCAGCGAGCACGCTCGCATAAATCTCGCACATTGACGAGAAACAATAATATCGCGAGCAATCGTAATTGGTATGTGCGTCGCATACGAGAGAGATCAAACTGGGTCAGCGAGAGATGCATCCACGAGGCCGATGACCGTCCTTGTATATCAGGGCCGACCGATCGGTCAGAATCGCGCGACGCTCGCAGCATCGATAATCCTCCGATTAATCGGATTTCCGCCCGAAGGGAGGGACGTCACTTACCTAGGAAAAATCGGAATTGTGGAAGTCGCCTTCTTCTTCTTCTCCTCGTTGTTTCCTTACATGTCACGTTAGTTTTCAGTCGATCGGACGTGAGAGCGGCACTCGTGACGCATTGACTGACAATGCGATCGATCTCGGGGGATTCCCCTGTGAAACATCGAGAGATCCCTAAAAACGACGCCGTAGAAATTCGATGGCAACTCGGATGAGAACACGGGTGTCTCGAAGGAAAGTCCGTCGTACGACTGCTCGCTTTTTGCAAAAGTGATATTCTTCGGATATTCTGAAACGGTCAAAATTTGAGGACAAACGAGAAGAACGCCTTGGTTACACCCGTGTTCCACCACGCGTGTTTGCCACCAGAGTGTTTGTCGTGAACCCACGCAATTGTCAAATGTCAAAGTCGGAATGCCAAGTAACAGCCGGAAAAACGCAACAATAAGACGTGTCGATAGTAGATTGGTGGTAACAACCTTTCCTTTCCAAGGTGGAATACCGCAGGCAGGCGAGAGATTCATCGCGTTCTCGCCGCGTTAGGAAACAATAACGTTCCCCACGTGTCACACGTAATAACGCATCGAGGCCCGCTTTTCATCCGAGTGGCATCTTATTTAATCCCTTCTTCGCGCTCCTCGATTCTCCTAAATAAATACTACAATTTCTCCGAAAAATAATTGTCACGAGGAATCTTACGAATGAAAAACACACTTCTCCCCGTTTCAGTGTACGATGCGTCTGTCAAAATACCGACGGGCTTGATCACCGGTAATTACAAGCAGCTAGGCAATTACGACGAATGTTTGCGGGTGAAGAGCAATCGCGGATTCGTCGGGCAAGCTTGCCACACGTTCGTGCAATTTAATATCGCGGAGAACGACGGCAAGCCCCACGAATCGGACCTGGGAGATCTGCTCGTCAACGTCGCGATCGCTTCGGTGAGAGTTTTTTTCTTAACAATCGCGCGCGCGCTTCGAGCCGCTTGACGCTTGAATTTCTCGCGTAGAATTCGACGAGATGGACGTCCGGCAAGACGGTGCTTTACGAATGGATGTGGTGCGTGCCGTCTACTTGCAATCATACCGAGGTGCGGGATGCTGTGGAGGATGCGCTCGATCCGCTCAAGGTCGAGGGGCGCGTAGACGTGATCGTTACTGTCCCCGAGGAGTCCTGTTACACTGCGCAGACCGCGACCGCGACCTGGTCCGTCGCCGACTTCTGCTACACGTAAGTACGCGCATTGTCGCTTCATTCTTTCCGCCGGATCTTTCTTCACTCGATGACAATGACGCTCGAAAATTCTAGATCGATTCTCGTACTGTTCGCATTCATCATTATAGCCAGCACAGGATACGACATCGCTGTAGAACGTCGTCTCGTCACGAATCGTAAAGGTATCTCTCGTCGATCGCGTCATTCGATATTGAAGAAAGAGCAATAAATGAGAGGTCACACCGATTGTCTAAGCGCGTGTGCCAACTAGCAATGTTTTATACCAAGTTATCTCTCTTTCTCTCTCTCTCTCTCTCTCGTACCAGCTTGGTATTAATTTGGCGAATGATGTTCGCATATATCGCCGAGATTGAGGTAATCTACCAGAGACAGTTACTGGCACGCGCGTATCAAACATATCAACGCAAACGGTGGTAAACAATGATTTCTCGCCGTAGCTCTCTTCACGGCCTTCTCTCTGTATACAAATGGAAAAAGTTTACTCCAAACTGATAGACGACAGAATTCTATCGACTGTCTGGACGGTCTACGCTTTCTCAGCATATGCTGGATTATTTACGGTCACACGTATTACATAGAGGTGGTCGGTGCGAAAATGGATCTCACACAGGTGCCGCGAGTGAGTGTTCAGACTTTTTCTTTTCAGCGAGTCCTCCTTTTTAATTCTCTTGATTGTATGGAAATAAAACCAACGTTGAGCGTCGTCGCGACCGTTGACGGAATTATCTTTTCTCGTCAAAAGATGCATTACAATTGGAGCAACATGCTGATACTTAATGCGAATATCGTCACCGACACTTTCTTCCTACTGAGCGGCATCCTGCTTGCTTACATTGAGCTGTCGAGGGAACGGGATACCAATTGGCGCTTCAACGCGATCGGCCTTTACGTGCATCGTTACGTCAGGTATGTTCAAATCCTCAAGTCTATCTTAATATAAAAATTCACCTTTGTCCGTCCCTTCCATTTGCTCATTGCATATCATCTCTTCTTTCCCGACCCTTCCCCCAGACTGACGCCGGCTTATGCGATGATGATCGGTTTCTATGCCACTTTGTTCGACAAACTTGGCACGGGTCTGCACTGGGACAACTGGGTTAGCGTCAACAAAAACTCCTGCCAAGTGAATTGGTGGACCAATTTGCTTTACATTAACAACTACGTCAACGTGGATAATATAGTGAGTTTTGGCGAGTTTTATCTTCCATTCCAAATTGGTTGTGCCACCAACGTATTGCTGTAATCTCGTTACGCTACTACTCATTGCGTAACAGGTATGCGACCGTATAACACAAAGAAGGTAACCTCGCTGCAACAATGTTAACTTTTGCGAGTCGTCGACTGTGAATGATAAAATAATATCGTTTCGTGCATTTCTCGTGCATATTTGCGATAAATTCAAGACTAAATGTAAAGAAGGACAATTTGCAATTGCCATATTCCCGAAATTACAGATACAAATTCTTCCGCTTTGTGTGTGTGAGAGAGTATATTGTTGTGTCGATTTTTCTATTGATTATTACATCTGGTTTTTGGAAAAGATTATAACTACAATTTGAGCTTACAGAGGAGAATATTGCGATATACGTGTCTCATGCGAACTCGCGCGCTATTTTGTGCGATCTCTGCGATACTTGATTCATTCACTCAAAGATACTCGCTCTTTTATTCTATGAGGATACAATCCTTTTTTTTACGTTTGCTTCTAGTGCATGGCCCAATCTTGGTACCTGTCAGCCGATATGCAGCTTTTCTGGCTGTCGCCGCTTATTCTGTATCCCATGCTCAAATTCAGGAAACTCGTCTTCCTCATTATTCTCGGTTTTGGCTTGTTTCTCTCGGTATTATTACCCTTTGCTGTAACTTACATTCACAATTTAACGGGCACAATACTCTACTACAAGGAGTGAGTACAAAATATTAATAGTATCTTTTTTCTTTTTTTTTTCTTTGGGAAATATAATTTGGCTCTGAAGCCGAAATTTAAACACCACAGTCAATTTAATTTATAATTTTGATTCAGCTTTCTACGACCTTCTCTCTCGATATTATATCATATTTTAATCCACTTAAACTGGTTTAATTTGAAAATATTTAATTCGGTGCTTACAAGTTTTATTATATCGTTGTTATTTTCATTTTATTTTTCAATATTTATTATATCTCTCGACACTCTCTCGATACATGTCGATAAAAGAGTGTGAAAGATCTTTCGTACTTTGTGCATTTTTATACATTATTAAACAACTGAAATAAAAATACATAATTATTCGTTGATTATGCAATGCTTGAAATTGTTCGTCAACTCTGGTCAAAAGTCTTGGCGCAAAATTTCTCGGCTACCGTTAATTGAGATTGCATCAACAGAATGTTGCGTTTCACAGGCAGGAGGACATGGTCAACGTTTATCTAAAGATTTACACGAGGGTCTACAATAGATTTGGTCCTTACGTTATCGGATTAGGTCTCGGTTACTTGTTGCATAAGACGCGGTCTCGCAACGTCAAGCTGCGTGCTGTAAGTTGGCGCAATTATTTTTAATACTTTTATTTCCATCACACAAATCGCGCGACCTACGAACAAAAAAAATCATCATACGAAGACTCTTTCCCTGTTGTCCTCTGTTTTATTTGACAAATTGTCTTTATCCTTCTCCCTGGTAGAAATGTGTCGATCGTGTTGTTATCATGTGTTATATTTGCATAGCGATACATTAAACTCGTTCGTATACATTTGATGATGTTCGAATGCAACTCTGAGTGAGTGATAAATTGTGCGGCACAACAATTGTTTCGTCATACACAGTGGCACGCAACATGCGGCTGGCTCGTAACCACTGCGGCGGGTTTGTCGATCGTTTTCGGACCGCGCAACATGTACATGAACCCTTACAACAGATTGGAAGCGAGCTTCTACGCCGGTTTTCACCGACAAGTCTTTGCACTGGCGGTCTCCTGGATCGTCTTCTGCTGCGTCCACGGATACGCAGGTAATCGTCGAAACGAAAAGAAAAACTGTCCGAACGCCACAATTATTCTCGTCTTTTCAAGGTCCCGTGAATCATTTCCTTTCTTGGCGTGGCTGGATACCGTTCCGCAAATTGACCTACTGCGCTTATCTCTCTCATTATGTGTTTCTGCTGTCCGATGTCGGGAGCGTTCGAATCGCGGGAAATTTAACGCCGATGAACGTGGTGAGTACGAAAGGTACACTCGTGGGAAATCTCGAGCGAAGAATAGATGGAAAATATCGGCCAGTTGTCGTCGCCAACATTTTCCACGAGAGAATGAAAATTGAGAAGCGCGACAATCAATGCTACCTAATTACAATAGAATCTCATCAGGTTGGAATGATTGCGAGATGATGATCATTTTGTCAATTTTGTCAATCAGGTACGCGCGTTCTTCGCCAATCTGGTATTTACATTGATGTTCTCCGTGCTGTGGACCCTCTGCTTCGAAATACCCTTCATGACCCTCGACGGGATTTTCTCGGGGCGCAGCCGCCACGGTACCGCGGAGTCCAACATTTGCCGATCGAAAGAGAAGCCGTCGATCGTGGACGACAAGAATAACACATTCGTCGGGCGGTACAACGTTACGGGAGATGCAGGAGAGAAATGCGCTAAGGAAAATCGCGACAACGTCATCGAGGAGACAGTACAGAGTCCCGTTTACACCATCAGCTCGAACGATACCAAGGTCGACAAGTGGTCCAATAACAACCCTGATAACAAAGAGATGCGTTATCTTAATTTTTACCATTTCCTTGACGAACGGCCGAGGACTCCGACCGGATTCATCAATCAGGCTGGTTCTACTAGCGAAAACTGATGGTGCGAAAATTGAGAGATCGGCATTCTTTTCAATCTAGTCGAAGCTCAACTTTGGCGAGCTTTAGTGGAGCGCTTTTAGCGAGCCGTTTAATTTCATTCCATGTTAAATCTAGGAAATAAGAACGGTGTGAATCAATCGAAAAGATCAATCGAACGAAAGAATCAATTGTACAAGTTCGAGATGTGACGAGTATTAACATCGGGTTTCGAAATGTCTTCAACGCTTCTTCTCCGATCCATTTCGCTGAGAGCCCAATGAGAGAATTGAACTTCTGGAAAATTGGAATAATTAAAAACAGGTTCTCTTTTCGGGCCGCGAAGCGCATCGAAGAAAACCTGTTTGTTTTGAAGCCCAGTGCACATACATACGTGAATAGAGACGTGAAGATGTTCGCAAGACAGGGAATTAACATTGTGATGGTATGTTTAATTAATGATAGGCAGCGTATTTCTAAGCTTGATAGTAGCGCTATCGGCAATAAACCAGATAGCTTCTATATTCGGGAATCTACCAAAGTCGCGGGTAATATCCGGTATCCGCCATTTGTTATTGATTCTCTTAATGATTGATTTAGGTTCCTTCTCAAATAAAAGGAAAAAGTATGGGCACGTCTACATTGATGGATGTTGACATCACCACTCGATAGCATTGTGTGGCCGCTGAGCAACGTGTGCTCGCGGTAAAAAAGAAATACGCCGCGAAATATGTATATAGGATTGGGCAATAATTTTTATCACCTTAAATGTCTCCGAAACTAAGAGAAAGATTCGTCCAGCAGAAATTATATGGTACAGAAGCAGTCACCCTATGTGGTGGTAACGCTTTTTTCTAAGTGGTGTAGCTTCTCAAAGATATGAAGGTTGCCTACATTTTTTTAAAAAGAAGTACAAAGTTCTTTTTCTCACATAAATCGATTCCTGTTTTCATTCTGTGTATCAAACTGCGGCAGGTTTATCAAAAAGTGAATATTTCCCAAGATATTTTACTTTTTATACTGATACTTTTCAGCGCAAGATGTGAAGTATCTAATTCATTTTTCAATGATCTAGTACTTTTGTACGCAGGAATCGATTTGCGTGAAAGAAACTATATGATTCCATTTAAAAAAGCAACTTTCGGATCTTCTCCATCTGGAAAAAAGCATTATCGCCATAAGATGACCGCTTTTGTACCACGTAATTTCTGCTAGATAAATTCTTCTCTTATAGCTTCGAAGATATTGAAGGTGTTATTATATCCTGTATAATTCGGAAATTACTTAAGAAACCTAAACTTGTCTTTTTTACTTATATTTTACATATTTTTTTTTATGTAAGAATAATGTGGTGGTGCAATCAGTAATCGCGCGAACTGTATCACGTCACTTAATAACTATTAAATTATACACATATGGTGGAAAGTTTGTGTAAAGAGACGCATAACTTGAGTATGTATATTTGCCGGTTTACCGGTTCGCAGTATTATCAATTGAGGGAGTCGTTTGTCCCGAAAGAGCATATCTCTTTTTTCCTCTTTCGAGACAAGAAATCATTTATCGCATTGTATAATCAAACACAAAATATTTCAAGGTTTTTTAACGTGTGCTGATACATCACGATATATTCTTCCTTTTCCTTTCGTCGCTCTATCTGAAAAATTGCGACCGATCGGTGATGTAATTCGAATTCTTAGCATCTGACATTTTCAAGTTTTTACCACCGAGTTACTTCGGTAAGTTGGACATAATTTATTTAGCACTCTGCTCACTCCGAGATCATAAAGAGATCAACTACTAGAGGGTGTCCGAAATTTTTCTGCTAAACGCTCGTCTGAAAATAGAACGGATAGACATCAGTATCATAATTGAACCTCGAACCTGTCGTTAGGTACAATCATATACTTGTAGATTAGGCCACTCTGACTAAAAAAGGTTTTTGCAAATAACACACAAATTTATAAGTTATCAACTAAAGAAGCCTCTACGGCAATTTTCAATAACTCGAAATTTTGCGTTGTTTGCGAAATGGTAGAAGACTTTTCTGGTCGGTTTAACCCGTTCTATCTTCATACGAGTTTGGCAGAAAAGTTCCGGACACACTCTCTCTTTCTCTCTCTGTATACATATATAGTTATTAGTGAATACGAATAGAAACAAGAATGGCAAATATCACGAGGCAATGAGGTTTGATTGCGTCATTATTTTTTCACCATTTACCATTCTTTCGAATCGACGCAGTCAAACGATGCCGAAATAAAGTTCGTTGCCAATTATTGATTTGGGTTGTTTATTTAGGGATTACCTCTACCTCTCACATTTCCACTCTTTCACACGCGCAACTCGGGACGACACGTATTGTATCTCTTTTGAAGCGACCCGAGAACAGATTCGAGTGCGGCTTAACGGGCTGAAAGTGAGCCGAGGAAACAATACGCAGTCTGTCTTGGTGCGTGTAATCGATACCCGATTAACAAGGCGTGACCGGCGAGAAATTTTACTCACTTTTAGTGTAGCGAGTGGAAGATTGTCGAGACTGAAAATCGACCGATTCCATGCCGGAATTGCGATCGAGGGGGTAAGAAGCGAAAACCCGAGCTATTGTATGTGTGAGAATTTGATGACATCATTAGAAGGGTTGACGGAGCGCAAGTGTAGTGTCGCGACGCGTGCTCGCGGCATCCCCCGGGGACACGTTCGTGGGAAAAAGAGGATAGCTTCTCAAAGAATCAAAATTTCTTTTGTGCTGATTCTCAGTGCTGTTTTTCGAATCGAATTTCGTCCGCATTGTTCGTAAGAACAATGCGAAGAACGAAACGTTCTTTCTTCGGTCAATACGAATATAATCAGATGAACTAGATGAACTAATCAAGATATCAACTGTAGTGTCAGATCCCTTTGGAATTAGCCTTTCTGCGTATTCAATTAACTTGGCACACAGACAAGCAGAGCTGTGCATTGTCCCAACGCTCGATCCTTCGTACATCGAATGACACCCTTTCGCAAAGGGTTGCGATCGGTTCACGGACGGGTGTTTTTCCAAATGCATCTCTCGTAATCGCGGAAGAATTGGCGGCTTGCCGCGTCGTTGCGTAAATTGAGAGTGGGTGGGGGCCCGGGGTAGGAAAACGCGTCGTTCCGGTGGCACCCCGCGGTGACGTACACAGAGAGTCGATTTCATCCGCCGAATTGTCATCCTCGGGGGCGAAAGACAACGTGTGGTCGACATCTGCGTGCCCGTCGTTTTGCCGCAATGAAAACGTAACTACGGCTGCTCTCTGGCAGGGGGATGATATTTGTCTATTTTTCCCACAACACTCCTCCCCCCCTCTCCCGTTTCTCTCTCGTTCTTTTTTTTTTCACGCGCTATTAGCATGCACGACGGATGAATGAAGCGACAGAGAAGCATTGTACAGGATATTTAGCCGCGACGGATACGATATTTAGTGTTATGAATGTACGGTCGGTTTGGTTTGTCGCGATTCGGGATAAAATGGGATCGATCAAGCGAAAAGTTAAAGAGATTGGACAGAAAAGTGGAAAATATTTACAAGAGCAAAACTGTTGAATTATTTAATAACGGGTATGTCGTCTGTCTGTCTGTTTCGCGGCTTAAAGGTTCCTTCGATCTATGAATCTTGGGCGGTCGGATCAACGAAAAATCGCGCAATTTTGAGGGAACGAGAACGGAAGTGTCACGGCGTCACGACTTGCTTCCGCAACGTGTTCTCCGATTTCGAAAAAAAGAAGAAGAAACACAAAGCCGAAAGAGCCGTCGGAACCTGTGCGAAACGATCCGTACAAGATAAAGTTTGGGCTCGCCGACTGGCGCCGACCTCCTTGGAGCCTGATTCCCGATGACACCCGATGTTCGGCTAGAGAATGTCGGCCGCAGGATGTTCCTTTTCGCTGTGGAGCCAGCAGCACGCGTCGCGCACGATGTCTCGCGCCCTGCAATAAAATGTAACCGGAGGTGCTGCGACAATGGAGTCGACGATGTTGCCTCCGTTCCTGCTTGTCCCTGTTTCATTGGCACGAGGCGCAATATACATTAAGGGTGCATGCTGGCGAAGGATATCTGGCGCGCACATGGAGGAATTCTTTCCCTTCGGATCTCACTACGCGAGCATTTCCGTAGGAGGACAATTTCTCGCGATAGGACGCGTTGATTTTTCCTGAGGATCGGTATTTTGCGAATGACAGCTGTTTTCAGAGCGATCGCATCGTCGTAGACCTATATTTTTATCATTGTCCGAAAACGTTGTCGAAAAATAAGCAGCAAGCAGCTTTTTTTCCTTTTTTATAGAGTGCGTGGTACTACTTCTCGTATCTTTAATCTTTATCGAGATTATTTTTATTACTACTTATTACTCTTCAACGTACTTATTTCTACGTTTTCCTTTCTCTTTCTCTCTCTCCCCCTTTTATATATATATGTACTAATCTTCGATAATTATACATCTCCTCTCAGCTGCGTCATTATTTCCCATTTCTTAAATCCAATTTACGCTTGGGAAAACTATGATCGACATTTGATTATTTCCGTCTCTTTTCTCCGCAAAATCTACATGCAAAGTTTGAGGTTTTTCAGATTCAGTCTATGTAGGCAGGCAGGCAGACAAGCAGGCAAGATGGACCAAGAAAAGAGGGACAAGTGGAGACAAATCGGCGCGAGCGTGAAATACGAAGAGAGGCGCCTATAAAAAGGTTCAAGTGGTTGCACATGAGGACAGGCTTTTCGGCTACCTACGTCCGAACGATTGTCCTCGCTTCCTCTTCACGTCGCGTGAACGTCGAAGAAACTCGTAAATCGTAAGTGCGCAAAGAAAAATTTGGCAACGGGCGCGAGGAAAACTTTGATTTTAATGTGCGCGCGCGCGAAAGAGAGAGAGAGAGAGAAAACGGCGGTCGTCTTCTCTTCGTTATCTTTTCTCACTTATTTTCGGTCTTTTGCGAGCCTTTTGCGGCAGAGGCGAACGAATAAGAACCAATCGAGCTTTGGTCGAGAAAGACCAAAGCATAGTGATCAGTTAAAAAAAACAAAAGGAAGAAAAAGGAGAGAAAAGAGAAGGAAAAAAATAAAAATAGGCGTCAAGTTACACACGTAAGGGATCCGAACGATCGACGCCCACCGGTACAGCGATCTCAGCGAGTAATACGAAACGAGGGCGTAACCGGGTATTTCTTCTCATCCATGTCGAGAGTTCGTCGCATCTTCTTTGATTCTGTCAGCTTTGTTACACCTAATGGCGGGATTAATAATCGTCACGTGGCAAACAATGATTCGATTGTTAAAATTGCGAATTAATTAATATTTATCGCGAGCCTATCAAGAATATATCTATCTGATCTCTAGTGGAGTGAAGAAGAGATGGAAACAATTTTAAGGTTAAATATAAATTAGTTAAATAGTATTTCAAATTCAATAGTAGTTGTAGGATTAATTAAAGGATTAATTTAACGACGATCTTGTTACATCGCTACATTCGCTCCACTGTCGTCATTATTCCGATTGCAGAGAGAGAGGAAAAGAGTTGACGACATATTTCGTTATTTCAAACTCTAATTTGGACGATACATCGATGGTAAGGAAGGAATGGGAGCCGCTTCTACTAGAGCAACAGCTTGGGAAAGGGACAGATGAAACTATTTGAATCCGTAACACTGGAGTTTCGATCGCTTTGAACAAGTCACGACTGCAGTGTCACTTTCGGGCAGTTTCGGCGCTAATTACAGCTCTCGTAAAAGGAATAATTTTATCCCAAGATTATCGAGAGTTATGCTCGAGACATTTTGGGTCTGAGAGATTGATTCGTATTGAACGAATTCTATCGCAAAAGGATCTGTTTGCTGCGTTGTGGGGAAACGATGAATCCATGATGAATCATCGCGCTCGCCCGCCGACCCATCTTGATCGAAACGGCGATCCTGCTCGATCGCGCCCGTGATAAAATTAGTTCGCCACTGCTGCGTTTTCCCTCGCAAACAAATTTCATTGAGTCTCTCCCGATGTCAACAAAGAGTTCTCCTTCTTTGCGATACCTTGCAAATAAACATTAATTAATTTTTCAGGTGTGCGCCTTCCTTTCTCATATTCTCTTTCCGACATCGAGTTTGCAGCATCAAAGGACAATATTCTTTATAGCGCGATACCTTCATGTTTGCGACATTTTAAGATATATTAAAAGATTTATATTAAAATCTGATAAGGGAAAATATCATAAAGGTGAAGTGAAAAGATCGATTTCTCAAATTTCAAATCATTCTCTGAAATCTTTATTAAAGTCCCCCGGACTTTGAGGAAATGCACGGTATCGGGGAATATCTCAAAGGGCGATTATAGCCAACGTAGCATCGACGCAGCAACCACCCACGTTCTTCGGGTGCGTTTTCCTAACCGCTTCTTTCTTATTTAATCTTCCGTCGCAGGACTTCGGAACCTGCTAATAACGATTAAGATCGTGTGCAGATGCGTCCCCCCGTCGCTCTCCTTCCCTCTTCTCTCCCCACAATCGTCATTTAATTATAATACTTCGGGAGGCCTTCCATTTCATGGGGTAAAAGTATCAGGTGAATGTGGACCGTTGTTTACACACCGAGTTTTCGTTGCAAGATATTAGACGACACGACTGATGGACCACACACGAGAGAGGATTGCTCGCTACGCGATTTCGCAGATGGCACACATTTCAGCTTGCAAACTAGACGTTATTAATTTCATCTCTCTTGGTGGAGGAGCGTTTCGAAAGCCTACTGACGGGACTTTTGTCTTTTCCTCGTGACAGATTTCGACGAAGAATCTGGCGCTACTTCCGCAACATTTTTTGCAAGACAGTTTGTATTCGCGTTTGTGATGGCTCATTCTCGAAGGACGCAGATCACTATTTTCGGTTTTCCGTATCGGAAGAGAGAGAGAGAGAGAGAGAGAGAGAGAGAGAGAGAGAGAGAGAGAGAGANGCTCGCGGCCGTTTTTGTCGTTTCTATAGAAGCTCCATTAATACTCGGTAACGCAATAAACTATATTTAGGGGGCGGCATGGCGTACATATAGTATGATTTGATATCTCGTGAAACGCCACATGGCCCCTGTGAATTTCTCTCTTCCTCTCCTTCTCTCTCTCACCCCCTCTGTCCCTCTCTCGTCATCCGCCTCTACCTAGCCGCCGCCTCTTTTCCGCTTCGTGGTCTCCCTTTTCCGGCTCATCATTTACTGTTTAACTTTTCCGCTGATCGCAGAGGGAGATTAATTTTTAACGTGTACCGACTTTTTTAGTAGGTTAAAAAAAGTCACGTTCGTATGAAACTACGTGTTAAACTACGTTACTATGAGCGTGGTGTCAAGCGCGATGAAATAGAGAAGCGTCGTGAAATTAATTTCCGTCAAAACCGATCGATATTTATCGACTCGACTTGTTAGTTGCCTCCGTCCGAGAAAAGATTGGCATTCTTTTAATTTTAATTCGATTTTTTATCACGAGACTAAAGTGAAATTCATTAAAATTTCGTGCAATTCTTAAATTTTACACATTCAAGAATTGTAAAATATATACAACGGTGTCGGTATATCGGTATCAATGCGATGGTTTCTAGTGGTCGTATAATTAACGAATTTAAATTTTCTACGTGCTTGTACATGAAATTCAATTTCTGCTTACTCGTTCGATTTGCAAGTAATACGGATGCACAGATTATTTTTCCCGATTTTGAGAGAAAAAGCATGATTTACTCTTTAGAGAAATGGCGTATTTAAATAATTTGTGAAATTCGCCATTCGCGTTAATCTGTCGCGCGCCTGGTGTTTTTTTTTTTCGAGATACGGAAAATTTCGATGATTCGACAAGACGAGGTGTATGAGAGAAAGAGAGAGGAAAGAGGGGAGGGGAAGAAGGGGTGAAGAGAAATGAACGGAAAGAAGAACCACCACGTGTCATGCGATGGAAAAATAAATAAATTCTGGTAGCTGTGCACCGATAAAGCGCAGAACACCACGGTTTACCTCCTTGTTTACGTCTACCGCTCCTTTCTGAAAGAAAGGGCCTACTTAACGGCGGAAATAATAATTAGTGAACGTGTCGACGTTCAATACGAGGCCCGGAAATCTCTGGATCGCACGAGGGTGGCACGCGACCTTTGTGTACTCTTTTTCTAAACAACATTCTACTCTCTCGGCATATACTTTACCACGTTGCACGCACGATTTTTCTCGCGTCGAAAGATTGAAATTATTTAGTAAATGCGGTTCGATTATTTCGAACAATATAATAGTAGTAATGAGTCACGCAATTAATACGTGGGTTCTGTTACGTTCAAGTTGAAAAATATGCTAGAGACGAATGGTGTGTAAGAAGAGGCTTCTATTTTCTTACGGACTCGATTTTTCGTAAATGTAGTGATGCATTGAAAGTGTGAAACCTTCTCCTTTAACGGAATAATCGCATTGTATCATTATATTATATCAAAAGTACAAATAAAATACGGGAATGTAAATTACTTTTTGATCCGTTTTAATTTGTGAAAAAGCTGAGGGGACATTTTGGTAATGTTAGGTTCTTCCCCAAACGTGATTTCGTACCAAAAGTAATGACCAAACAAACCGGGTATCCTGCGGTTTTCCACAGCTCCTGAGACCTGAGATGATTAGAGGCGATTAGAACATGTTCTGGATTGCGTCCTACTACCGCAAAAGCGGCTATATTCCTGCCTCGTAGTCTCTATACCCCTGTAACCGGGGGTGAGTCTCATTTAAGGTCTCATATATATATACACAAGGAACCCGAAAATGTATTATACGGTATTCACACATATTAATAGCAAGTAACACACAGACACATTAATAGCAAGTAAGCACCATAATTATTATGAATTAAATTTTGGTTAGAAGGTAAGAAATGTACGGATGTGGCAGATAAAACGCAATTGAATCATGCGGCAATTTTGAAAGGCTCGAAATTTTATTGCGTTATTATATCTTACTCCATGCGATGTTTATTTTAAAACGTTCGAGAAATAGAGCTGAAAGCTTAATTATTATTATATCGCACTTGAGGTCTCGGAATGCTTCGAGCCGGCTACCAAAATGACGGCGGAGAGGCAAGGAGAACGAAATCGGAGGGTCGCGCATCTTCCCTACGCCAGACCTCCACGCACTCCCCCGCTATCGCGATTATTACTTAATAGATATCGCGAGGAGCTGCCAGGCGCAAAGGAAGATTATCACCACGCCGCTCGCTCTTTCCCTACTTTTACCGTCCTGCGCACATCCTGCCGCCGAACGGCAACGCCAGGATCTTTGGTTGCCCCCGCCCAGCCCTTAGTAAAGGGCTGCTTGTTGGCTGAAGGAGAGAAGAGGGAGAAAGTTCAGGATGTCAGCGATCGCTGTTACACTCGACTTGATTGATTGCACTAATTATAATAATAATAATAATAATAATCACATTCTGCGATTTACTGGTTTTTAAATGCGATCGAAAGACACCGTGCGACACTCGAGGATATAATTAATCAAATCGCGCCCTGCCTTTATTTCGCGAGAAATTCAGTGTCCGGAGTGTTCGGTTAAATTTTCAAAGAAATGTCATCGTCGAGAATTGTCCTGTCTCCCGGTAAAAGTGTTTGACGAGAAACGCGTGGTAATTACGGTCGCCTGGCATGAAAAAATTACTCGTCCTATAAGTGGCCCCTTCAATCGCGGCCTCTCCCTTTGACGGTGAACCACCCCGGCGACCCTGTAGAAAAGTTCCTGTGGTGCATGCCGGCAGCCGGCCACTCGACCAATCATTTTCCCCGATATCTACCAGCAGAGGCCGAGAAAAGAAACGGCTAGATTATCGAAGAATGCCGGAAAGAGGGGATGCGCGATAATCTCCTATCAGCCGATAAAACGGAAAGAGAGACAAGGATTCGCCATGTGCTGAACGAAATTATTCGGGCTGTCACTGAATGCGATTTTTTTCGAGTAACATCTCCCTTTTCTTCTCCTCTTTTATAATCCGGCATTTATCGAGGTAAATGCTCGAGATAAATCTAGTTTACGGCCGATAGCTAGGAATAATTATTCGGCTATTACACGCCGGCGTCTGGTTTCTCTCGAGCGCCAGACGCCTGCCCTTATCGCGCGGAGATAATGCATTTTCTTTTTTATTCAAATATTGCGCAGGTAGTTCAACAAATTAACGTGAAGAAGGAAATGGAAAAATTATTACAACTGTCATGAGATCCACATACACATACTCTGTGACATGATCAATAATTTTGTTTGAGAACATACGTCGGAAGTTGCGGGTATTTCTTAATTGAGCAACGTAGCTCCGTATGGAAAATCACCGTCGTTAAAAGGAAGAACACGGAGGAAACAGGTGTCGCGACTTATTTATGCGAACAGGTTGTCAGGGAAAAGTCCCGCGGGACCACTGCTCTCGGGGAAGTCTCTTTGTAAGATCTTCCCGGTTGCGTTTTTAACTCGCATGGAACGCGTTGTCGGTAGTTCTTCTTCTCAAAGGGTCGATACATCCACCGGCGGATATTATATTTTCGCGGTTGCTCTGTTTGGATGAAAGAAGCCAAAAGTAGGTATGACCCACGCTACTCGTGTACGTCACACGTGTCGATGTAATTACTATCCGTTGAGCTGTCTTCAACGTCGCAAATATACAAGTTTAAGGTGTGTACATTGTTGAAAAGGATCCTACCCGACGGTGTTTCCTCTGGCGAATTTACGGCAAGCAAGGATAAATGGAGAGAGAGAGAGAGAGAGAGAGAGAATTTTCAGTCCGCAGCTCGATATCGCGGCTAATAATATTATTACACCGCGTATAGGGAGGCATCTGAGCGTTCGCGTCGATTGGCAAAAAGACGAGCACGGTGATGGCGATACGTCGTGAATCGGAGGGGAGCACCGACGGCGCGTCATACCCTAAATCATACCCCACTTCTCCGTCGGCGAAGCTCCCTCAATTTACTAATTGAATTCTGGTTCCCCTCCGGGGCGTAGACTAGACCGGACTCCGCCTGTCGGGTCAGGCCCCTCCGAGTACACCCACTCATACGGATGCTGCTGCTGCTACCACTGACTAAGTGCGGAGCGGCAGCCTCGCACACCACGCGAGATCGCTACCATACCGAATTCCGCTTTCTCAGTGTCACTTTGACTGCACGTCCGAAATCGCGAGGCGGACTGATTCGGTGTAGCCGGACTCTCAGGAACGATTCAGTTCATATAAAGTTCAACGAGCAGTAAATCGAGCGACAAAATACACGCGAGCTTTGTGCTTCGCAGCTAGGATTCGAGCGAAGGCGCCTCCCGTCTGCGATCGAATGCAAGGCAGATCGATGAGATTAATGTAGTCAGTGGTAAGTCTAATCTTGGTGGCGAGACTGACGGACTACCTTTAATCTACCACGGAAATCTGAAATGACGAGTTTCATTCCTTTAACCGTGTAATGTAATACGGTAGATGCAACGGTCCAACATAATTGGATCTCGTGAATAACAATTGAATCTGACAATCGAATTGAGAAATCAATTCACGTTGCGAAGAGTGAGCTTGGTGAAGGACGGTGCGGTTAGAGTGTGATCGAACAACGAGTGTCAACGACAAGTTGGAAGAACCTGACCGATCATGCTCGGTGGATACGAGGCACAAGCGGAGTACTACCCGCAATGGCATCAACCCTACAATTATGTTACTCAGCTTCCCTACGGTGAGTATCACGAGCGATGAAATTCCGATTAATAGATACTCCGAGGAGAAATTCCCCGATAGCTTCGTCAACGAGAATCATTTGATTGCATCGAAAGAAGCTAATTAAACATTTCTCAGATTAATAAAAGAAAAGTCGATCTGGAACGAACGAGCGATATACTTAGCGAAAACATAGGAGAGTTGTGGAATTTAAACATTAGTTTTATTTTTCTCCATTCAATTGCACACGGAAGGAAAAGTCATATATATATATATATACGCCGAATTTAGGACATTCTTTTGTCCTTTTTGCTCTTTCCTTATGTTATGGTGCGTCATAATTTTGCGATCGTAACGAATATCAAATACTTCCAATACATAATAACGCACGCACGTCTAAAAATAATTTGCTTTACATAAGTTCGAGGATAGAAAAATTCTGCGATGGCGAAACTCGATTTTCCAGTTTGGTAGATTGACCTTATTTTCGTCTCTCTTATCACTACTTACCTTCGTTAATTCGCACCGTATCGTTACAACTGTCTAACGATGAAAGAAGAATACCGCGCTAATAGTATGCCGCTCGATGAAAGAAATGTTGAATTACTAGTTGTGAAACGTAATTATCTCGAAAAAGGGATATACATATACATGTAAAATTCTTATGAAAATGCTATATATATATTCAAGCATATTTACCACACACAAGCGATGCGTGTTTTGCATTTAATGTAACAGTTTATGTAAATTAGTGCATTGATACCCTATCATCGATCTCTTTTGACGGGTTGTGCGTATGTCAGGAGGGAAGGGTATGCGCACATATGCATGCATATGTATATGACATTTTAATAAATTCCAACGCAAACTGCTGAAAAGGCTTTTACTTATTATATTGTCTTGGCACGTCAACTAACAGGCCGGGAAACGAGCATATTTTATGGGGAAGTGATTTTGAGGATATGGCTAGAAACGTAGGACAAAAGTTCATTGCGATATGATAGATGCAATATTACGGCAAATACGAGGACCTGATCAATACACACACACACACACACACAAATAAAAAATAAAAATATGTTAAATTTAACGCATTTCACATGTCCCAAACCATCTGTTCAAATTTTTCTGTTAATTTAACACAAAGTTAATCTGTTGAATATGTTGAAAAGTAACACAAATATCATGTCTATATGACATAAAATGAATACATTAATCGACATTGAAACATAAAATGTGTTAACACACGTTGAATATCGATGCACAGCAAACAAATGTTGAGATAACATATGTAAAATTGACACAGGGATATATTAAAAATTTAACACAAAACTTGCAACAAGCCACCGATACGCAAATGTTTTGCACAAAATTACAGAGAGCACGAATATTCCCTCGATCTCTTCTCTCGGTCGCGGGAAGATGCCGCGAAATAATTCGAGCTTCCTTGAAAATTCGCAGCTCGATCGATCGCCTGCACGATCGAGTCACCTGCGATCGTACTGAAACGCATCATTTCTGCCGCAGGACCTCTCGGCGTTCCCGACGCCGATAGCCAGTCGACGTATTGGGGCGCCGATTCCGGTATCTCGGGGGACAGTTCTGGAGCGGGTAGTCCCACCGCTTCGACGCCACCCCTGATCGAGGAGATCGGTATACAGGAACCGAGTTATTCGCAGCAGTATCCATCGGCTAGTCAGCATTATGCCACCCTGCAGTATTCCCAGCAGCAGGAAACATCGCCCCATCATCTGCATCATCATCACCATCATCACCAGCCTAGTCACAGACGCGAGCACGAATATGCACAAGTCAGCCAGCAGCAGGCAGTCGGTGTCGTAGCTTCTCTTCAGCAACATCTTCATCAGAATGTAGCGCGCGAGGGTGGCGTCGCGCCCAGGCCGAAGAGGAGGAATACCGCCAATAAAAAGGAAAGGAGACGCACGCAGAGTATAAACAACGCTTTTGCCGATTTGAGAGATTGCATACCGAACGTGCCGGCGGACACCAAGCTTTCGAAAATCAAAACCCTGAGACTAGCAGCGTCGTATATCGGATATCTCATGGCGGTTCTGGAGAGTGACGAGGGAGAGGAGCCACAGACCTTCCGCGCGGAGATCCTTTCCAACGGCAGGAGGAACAAAGTGGCTCAACCCAATCAGGTGAATTACTTGTCGTGACTTACTTGTGAATTATTCTCTTCTAAAGCTCTTTTAAGAAACAATTTTGAGAGCTATGCGACCGCCAAAGTTGTCGTTCGGGATAAATGTGACACCATTCCCGTAGACTTTCCTAAATCTTCCCTGAAGAATGCGCTTTTGTAAGTGTTGTCGCGCCAACGTAAACATTCGCCTCTTTGATTGGCCTGTGCTGGCTTGAGAACCCGACCTTAAAGCCATCAACGTGCCTCGAGAGATTCGTTAGAAAATGCACCACGTTGCATTCTCACGCGGTCATTATTGCGTAAAGAAACAAAAATCCCCCGACGATAGAGCAAGGCTCGTCGTATAGTCATTTTGTCTTGGAATTTTTACTTGCCGAGAAGAAGTTTAAACATGATACTCAATGAGGCAATTTCTTTAGATTGCAAAGGCAATCTTTCACTTGGAGGAGAAAAAAAAGGATTAGAAAGAACACACGCAATCGGATTAATTTTCACTGGAGACGCGCGTTCTCCGCCGAAGTTCCCGCCGAGAGATCAATGCTCTTCGGAGGATTTAATAGGAAGTGTCATTAAAGACGGACAAAAGGAATTCGATGGTTTCCTGCCCCGGCACTCCGAAACAATCGAATTCCCCCGAACCCCAGCATTTTGTGGCTTTCTTCATTTTCCGCGATCATTTCACCGCCCACTTAGACTTTTTCTCCTCCGAGCGTCACCGTAATTTTCACTCACGGTCAACTCGTCCTTTATGTTCGAATTTGTCATCATTTTTTCCATTTTCACTCCTACACATTCGATCGGCCCGACATTGCAACGACAAGGTGAATTTATCGCGGAGACTCTAGTTGTTACATATCTCTGTTCTCCCGTAGAATGAGTCATGTTTGCAATCCGCCTCGAATCTCGGCCACGAAGAGTCAACGAAGAGCAAAGGACGAACGGGATGGCCGCAGCACATGTGGGCCCTCGAATTGAAACAAGAATCACCGACCAGCCAGATGCAATAAAATACATGGGAGTCACTTCTGTCAAAACATATCCGCGACATTTCACAAAATATCGCCCCAAGTTTATATTTACTCTTTTTTCCTCCCTTTTTTTTGCGACTGACGTTACTACTGAACGTCGAAAAGATGCGAGCCGTGATTTAACGTCTGCCACGTTTGTCTTTTAGAGATGTCTCATGAAAAATATCGAACGAAGGAAGAAAATAAAACGAAATTGTTGGGAAACAATAGAAAGCCATTTATATCATTGTCTCCGCATTTGTGAAATTTCCAAATTTTTAGAGAAAAGAAAAAAAATCATTTAGAAATCGCGGCCTTATATCGGGAAATAAGTGACTCTATTCAATGTAAAAAGAACAGAATCGTATGTATATATAATTACACGTTTCACATAATCATTATGCGTATGTACATAGAATTTCTTTCTCTCTACAGCGATCGATATTACTACTACGAACCAAAGAATATTATTTTATTGACGAAACTTTTTGTAAACAGAACGACACATAATTGAGTTGTAATTAAAATGCAATAATTTGGAAGCGTCGTTAATTAGAGAGCAGTAGGTAAGAGTCTTTGTAAAATTTTGTATAAAGCATTTATCGTTATAAAAATGTATAAAGTATCGCTAACAATAAACGATGTACTATAACGACACACGATGGGATTCATTTTTTGTAAATCTTCCTGTAGATTATTCGCGAAAAATTTCTCTCTCGATTCTGCAATTGTTCTCTCGTGCACGACTCGATGATGTGAATGAAAACAAATATTGGTTGAAATGTAAGAGATAAAATAATGAAGAATTTAGTAAAGAATGGTAAAAAAATGGTGAAGAATGGTAAAAAAAACGACAAAATAATATTGCGGGGATAATCTCTAATAATCCCTCTCTTGTACTCGAGCTCTCAAGAGAGGAAGTCCACCTTTTCCTCTCACTTTCCCTGACATCCATTCCGCCGCTCCATTACGGGCTTAAGACTCATTGTATAGAGCAGTCGGTTTCAGATTTCGTGGATACTCTGGCGCCAGTACTTGATCCCGTGTAGCGTGTCGGATACATGTACCGAAAAGAGAAAGAAAGATCTGTCGCGTAAAGAAAATATCTCCAATTTTCTCGACTTATCGGTCGCTCCCCTCATGATACGATTTTACATTGGCAAAAAATTGGGGATAAATGTTGCGATTAAACGGCCAGGAAATTTCCAATTCAGCCAGACTAATTAATCGTTGATCGCAACAGGCAAGCAGTTGTATGTTAAAATATTACTCTGGCCGATTGGTTAAACTTGGTTAAATTAACCGGCGTAGTTGTTACCGTCAGGAACTTGGTCAAGACTAAATATTTGCGAGACTGTCTTCACGACGACGTCGATATCCGTGTCGCCAACGAGTCAGTCGAGAAGACGACATTGTCGGTTTTGTATATTGTACGTGAGCTATCGATATTACCGGGACGATTGACGAGCCGTTTGTTTATCGCAACGAGTGGCACTATATTAGCGCGCACGTCCGCGAGACATTGAGAATGTTAATAGTTGAAGTCTTTGCTGTAGCTTCATCGTAAACATTTCAGACAGCTCTTTCTCTTCCTCCGACGACGACGAAGCCTCGTTACCCGAGTCAACAATTTTCTCGGATGTATCTTTTTTGTAAACGTCAAATTGTTTCGACAAAATTCGATCGAGATCTCCACGTTGCGTGAAAAATCGGCGTATAAATGCGACGATAAATGCGAATAGTTGTACGAGAGATTTGAACATACAACGCGCGTGTGATAAATATTCCAAGTATCTCGCCGGCGTATTTAGCAGGCCGGAATGTCCGACGTTTCGTCGACACGTTCCGTGTCAAGCATTCTACCCCAAAACAATTCTTTACACGCTCCATTTCACAGCGGGAATTAGTTTTTGAGAGAGGCTACACTAAATTATCTCTCTCTCTCTCTCTCTCTCTCTCTCTCTCTCTTTCTCTCTCTCTCGTTGGGCTCGACAGATTTGTTGCACGTTAAGCGACCCGAATGCATGAAAAATGGAGAAAATCGAATTCTTTTGCGACTGAATTTGGACAAACCTTCGCGGGCGATATATCGTTCGAACGGCCGATCATCCAGCAAAAGTTGGCCTCGTTTGCCAGGAAACGGGGTAGCCTTTCGCATATCCCGAGAATAGCCAAGTTCTCGCTGTAGTGTTTATATCGCGCAACGTCAGCCCCCTCGGAGGTGTTCTGGGCTTCGTCAGGGCGAGAGAGTTTACAAAGCGATCCACCTTCTCCGCCTCTTTCGCGCACCTAGCGCGCGTGCCAGCACATTCGGCTTTCTCCGAAAAGCTCGCGAAAAGATCGCGAGATAATTGAGCCGACGATCGCCGCAACAAAGCACGTGTATCCACAGCCTCGTTTTGTGCAGTCACCGAATAGTCACGTGGGAAGATTTTTCGTGCGAGGCGCGCATTCGGCAGATGCAAGTGCTCGTGTGTCTACCGCATCGTGACAAAAAAGTATGAAGCGGACGTTTGTTTGCTTTGACGAGTATTAAAAGTGCGCGTACGTAGGACGAGTGACTCGTCCACTTGGATCTCACTGAAAAACCACGGTCGTACATGTGCGCCGCCCTCCCTAATTGCGCGCGCCTCGCACTGTATTGGCTACGTACACGCATGTGTTTCCTCGAACAACAGCGTTGCCTACCTATCTACGCCCGCCTTTCAAAATCTCCAAACGAACGCGCTCGAGTTTCACAAGTTGGATATCTTACAAGTATTAGTCAATGAACGACAGCGGTGTCGAGAAATGTGAGACTCTCCTTCTCGCATCCTCCGCACGATAATGCCGGGTACGCCCGGGCGATCCGGTGCTTTTATATATACGAAGGGAGCGCGCAAGCTCATTGATCGCCTGAATTAAGTCACGACAAGTTAAATCCAAGATTAATCGTCGGACGGTGTGCTATTTGCTACGCCGCGTGGGGTACGAAAACTGCCTGGGAGAAATGCGAGGTAGAAATTACGAAGAATATTGCCGTTGTAAGTCTTGGAAATAGACGAGCGCGAGATTTTAATTGCCGGCTCTAATAAGGTTTCCCGACAGAAAAGAGGAGACGATCTCTCTTTCCGTATTTCTGCATCTTTCTCTTTCAAGTCAGCCTTGATCCCTCTTTCTCACTCAAGTCATCCTCACACACATCCGCTCAATGAACAAAAAAGGAAATATTAAAAAAAAAAGACATTCAAAGGATCATTCTTGAATGTCTCTCTACGCGCGAAAGAATCGATAGAGGAAGGCCGGCCTGAAAGAATTAATGAAAATGGTCGGCGCACGAAGTCACCCCCTTTCGCGTGGGCGCGTATATTTCAGGACTCCAGGAACCTCATTGCGTATGTAGGACAGCCGCTTCAAATGGAGACGAATCGTTTTTCACCGACACCGATCGGCCCCAAGAGCGTCCCAACGGTAACATCAGAGGACAATAACATGGAAAAACAACACGGCGCGCTATCCCACCGCCGCTTCTATAAAACCCGCGGATCACTACCGTGACGATGTTATTCGGCCAGAGCGTCTCTCAGAACACGGTATCCCCAGCGTCGACGAAATGATCGTCAATCGTGCAACCTCCGTGTACATCCTGGCGTCGTTGCTGCTCTGTCTGACATCATCCACTTCCGGCGAATATGGTAGGAGCGTATTTTTTTCTTCTTTCTTTTCTTTCTCGGCTACACTTCCGTATAACAAACGTATATATGTTGTCATAGAATCAAAGGAGGTATCGAACAGTGAGTCGAGCGATAAATTGGCGGAAAACAATTTGAACTCGTGCACCGATGGCGTAAAACGCGCCGCGCAGGAACTCATGAACGGCATGTGGTTTGGCCCCCGATTGGGAAGACGACGTAGATCGGGCGAGAGGGGCCCCGAGATCGACGCCTTGGCGAATATCCTGGACGGAGCGCGCTGGACTCTCGTCAAAACTCCAGGTGAGACATTCCCTCGCTCTTCCTGTCGTGAAACATTTCAAAAACCCGGAATGACTTGCAGCTAACGACAAGAGACAAACGACTCAATTCACGCCGCGCCTGGGGCGAGGCTCCAGCGAAGATCTCTTCTCGTACGGGGACGCGATGGTCGACAGGAGCGAGGAGGAGGACGATCAACCGTTGCCGCCGCTTTTCGCGCCGCGTCTGGGACGTCGACTTCCTTGGGCACCGTCGCCAAGGCTCGGCCGTCGATTGCGCGACGCGCTGCGAAAGATGTAAAGACGCACGACGGAACCGGCGATTGGGAACTATATAGCGTAATTACACGAAACGAGAAATAATAAAGCACTTGCGTCTGTTTTTCCTTTCTAAAATTGCCCGCTACTCTTTTACCTCCAGCTCTATTCGTTTTGTCGACATATCTCGCGGAACATCGAAACGGATCTCGAAATCAGCGGTGGAAACGACGATGCATTCGGAGGACCGATTGCTCTTCGCATTTACATTATCGGACAACGAGATGAGAAAGAACTAGTCGGGATATTTTGTCCTGCAAAGGCGCAGCGATATTCACCTCATTGTCGCACCAATCGCCGTGCTTTGCGTTAAATTTACGAAAAGTTACGCGTGCTGCTAGTTTGTACCAGCGCGGATACATGATAAACGCTATTTTCGGCCTCGCGAGAAGGGTTGAGATATCTCTCCTTTTGAAGAGGGAGCGAGACGACGGAGAGAAAGAAGGGTGCCGAACTACAGCTTGTAATTCCTCGACCGGAACTACCGCGAGCCATGTGGCAACATGGAAGATGGTCATAATCATAAAACTCAAAACCAGCAGATACAAGTTAGTCCCCGGTCCCTTTTTGTATATCGAGAATCATTCGTAAGATGTTTCCGAGTCGGATCAAGGACAATTATAGCGACGCGTTGTGACAAATTGCTTTCGGGCAATGTCAACAAAAAAAATTTTACAATTCCAAAAATCATTCCTCGAGTGATCCTCTCCCGATTTCTTCGGTCGTCTTTTAAAATAAGCAGATACTCCAGATCGATAACTGTACATGTTATTTTACCGTTACTTTATCGCAAACATTATGATCAATTGAATGAAAGAACCCTGAATAAATTTACGAGGGATTGATATTTAAGATAAATTAATTCTCATCCCTTCCTCAAATCGAGTATTCTCAAACGCGTACTGGGATTATTATTTATAATTTACGCAAAGTGACGTGTAGCAGTGACATTTAGAGAAGAAACTTTGACGAAACGAATCGTCGCTTGTAAAGATTGCGTCACACGATAAGAATCCATACGATTACGAGTTTAATTTTTTATTCTACAAGTATGTACATATGAACAAATTGGCAACGTTCGGTGCGTCAAAGTATAAATTCATCGTAATCGTGTTCGATTCTTGGAAATTTAATCACCAAACTGCAAATCACCATTTTTTCCCCAATGAAATCAACCTCTGACTTAGGTCGCGCGAGGTTAATAGCGTCGGCTCGCACTAAGTGCACTCACAAATAAATAACAGAAGTTGCGACAATTAATATCTACTAACGTGCTATTAGTTTGCGACGAGTATTGCAGCTTTTATTATGCCGACGGTACGTAGACTCGATGCGTATGATCAAAAACTTTTCAACACATGTACATTTAAAAATGACCTGATAGAATGATACGCACACATTTTGCGAACTATGACAAATATATTTTCTCCAAATTACACCACACACGCATGTGTACATATATTCTAGTTTACTTTACTATATCTCCAGAAATATGCTTATTTCAACTTATTCTCTTTCCTATTTTGTACACAGGTACGAAAGTTATCATTGTACAAGTATGAACAATAGGAATGTATTGTACATATTTGAGATATTACGTTTTCATATATATTATCGTCATTGTTTTAAATAGTAAACACCGTTTATTTGTCGTACGTCTCAAGCTTGAATTTTATCTTGCAGCAGTTTTTCAAGCTTGAGCGTATCCGCGGCGAATTTGCGAATACCTTCCGACAATTTGTTCGTCGCCATTTCGTCCTCATTTAAAAGCCACCTAAATTCCGCCTCATCCAAGTCGATTTGTTCAAAATCACTCTTCTTTGCGGATTCTACATTCAGAACTTTATCAACAGGCTCATTGCTCTTTTCCAATTCCTCCAATAATTTCGGGCTTATAGTGAGACAATCGCAACCGGCAAGTTCTTTGATTTCACCTAATTATAATATTAGATTAAAAGAAGCCCAATATGTGTGTGTGTGTCAATAAAAGTATGTTGTGACTAATAAATGTATCGGATGAACATTTTTTATCATTTTAAAATACTTGCCGACATTTCTGAACGAAGCACCCATCACGGTCGTCTTGTAGCCAAACTTCTTGTAATAATTGTAAACTTTCTTCACGAAGATAACGCCTGGATCTTCTTGCGCTTCGTAAGATTTTTTATCCGTATTTTCCACGTACCTGCAAGACGATTTTATTTCTTATTCTTGTCTCGTAGAAATTTGAAAACAAACAAAATTCAACTATTCACCAGTCGAGAATTCTACCAACAAACGGTGAAATGAGAGTGACCCCCGCATGTGCGCAAGAAACAGCTTGCGCGAAAGAGAACAATAGCGTCAGGTTACAGTGAATCCCATATTTTTCCTCCAACTCTCTAAAAAAAATGTCATCATTATTTTATACATATTTTATATACGTATTATATACGTATCCTAGAAAACTGTGTATTGGAGATTGCAAAAATTTGTCAAACATTCCGCTGAGGAAATATGGCTGGATAATAATTAAAATCTGTGAAATGATTGTAATTTTCTTTCCCTTTTACCTTGCAGCTTGAATACCTTCCCAAGTTGAGGCAAGCTTGATCAAGATCCGGTCTTTACTCACGCCGAGTCCTTCGTACAAAGTAATCAATCGCTTTGCCTTTTCGATGCTTGCTTCCTTGTTGAAGGATAGTCTGGCATCTACCTCCGTGGAAACTCTTCCAGGAATTACATTCAAGATCTCTTTGCCAAATAAAACACACGTGATATCGAGAGCTGCTTCGATCTGCTCAGCCAAATTACTGGAAAAAAAAGTCGCATTGAATGTTAAAATAGACTAGGTACTGCAACCAAAAACTTGGACACGCAGTATAAATTTTCAATGAAATTATCAATATAACGTTATGATACTAATTTTTATTCAATCCTTATATCTTAGGGAAAAAATGATAGATCAATGTTGTAATGTGTTGCAGTAAAACCTAGAAATTTTAAGATATGAAACCCTGTGTTTGTAAAGTTGTAAATGTTTTATGCACAAGAACGTATACATTATGCATACATGTACAATACATTATGCAGATACTTACGATCCGGACTTTTTGCCATATTGAGCTGCCTTCTCAATCAAATGTGCGTATTTCTTTTGATTAGCAACAGCGAGGATCAAAGAGGGATTCGTTGTCGCATCCATCGGCTTAAATTGTTCCATAACTGTGCTCAAAAAAAGGAATGGCAATTTGTTGAAACGTTTCCATTTCATTGCATCACGAAGAAGAGAGCGATAATATTTTATTTTTGGAATTCTCTCTTTCTTCGATTATACACATCCGGTTGTACAATCTCCCTAAAGTATTTCTCATATAATGAGACATTCAATTACTGGCATAATACGATAGATTTACGTTGCTTATACATTAGAACTACTCGTTTTTATAATTTCTCACAAAATAATCGCGTAACAACACACTCTCGAGAAAAATTGTAAAATACAAGAATACGAATAAATCGCGTTAGGCGACTTGCGATACTCTCGTTCTTGTTTCGTTTAGTGTCCGTCTCGTTCCGAATACAAAAAGTAACATGAACAAGCCTATTGTTTTGTCATCGTGGAATAATAATTTCTCTTCTCTTCTTTTCTCTCTCTCTCTCTCTCTCTTTCACACACACACATACACACACATGTAGCATATGTCGAGTGACACGTGCGCATGCTTGAACCAATAGTTTCGAGCGCGGATTGTTATTACTGATAAATTTTCACGATTTATAATCTTGAAATGAATTTCGAGAGTGTGAGCGAATTCGCCCAATTTTCGACTTCACTTTCGAAATAAATAACTTTGAGACTGTAAACTTACTAAAGGTATTTCTTTCTAAAAGTATTGCTTTCATTCTAAAAGTATTCAATTGCTATTTGCGAGTCCAACGACGCTTTTTGACGATATTCTAACAATTGGTCTGTCCCTTTTAGTTGAAATGGCTGCACTTAAAAAATTTACATACACTGAGCGTGAGAATCTCGTATGACGCGCTCCAGTGTGCATGTGAATTTCTTTAACTAGAGCGACTAGAATTCAGCTAAAAACAAAAAGAAATGAAACTAAATATTTAATTATCCTCAGTACGAAGAGTCATGCGATGACTACTGGAGAAAAAGAAAAAAAAATGACTGCAAGGTCTCCTTCCTTTCCCCACTCTCCCTAATCGTACGATGACGTTCATTTATCGTCACCTTCAACCGGATTCGAATTTCGTCAGTTTTACCTTCAAAATCACCAGTGTCGGCGACCACCATAGTATAGTTCTTTAGCTGTTTCAACGAAGTCATCGTGATCTTTGTTTTCTTTGACTGCGGCTCGCTCATTGTCGTCAAAAGTATTTGTATTATAAGCGGAGGATGTTAACTTGTACGTCTCACGCGATACTCTATCTAATTACCAACTGTACTACACGACAGGTTCGCCAACAGTCTAAAACGAACGAAACGGAAATGGATGAACGGAACGATAAATTCTTTTCAAGATAAATTTGTCATAAAACCTGTGACAATCCTCGTGCTGAAAATAGTTATGCGATTACCATGGGTTTTAAAATACGATAGATTTAACTAAAAAAAATGAACTAAAAAAAGATTTAGCTAAAAGGAAAAGCTGAACGTCTCGTCCAATTCAAATGGATCAGTGGTTCAACCTTGCTAATTCACTTCTTCTCGACTATGAAAAACATAAAATTCAACTTGTCGTAACTTTGTGAATAAATAATAGGATGGTTCGGGAAGTATTTTACAGCTTGAAGCTCCTAATTATCAATTCTATCGTCGAATTTAAAGTCTACTCGCCGTTGAATAGTACCGCTGCCAACGGATGTATAGACTGACTTGGCCGAACGTAGCAGTAGAACGTTTATTTTACAACTGTTGGAATTTTTCTCAACCGAGATTGGACCATTCTTTTCGATCTAGAGGGATAATCTAATCACAGAAAACTTCCAACAGTTGTAAAATAAAGTACGTAGCCGTTATTAGACTCGTTACATGGTGAAAAAATAACAGGTATTGTTGGACCCGTTATTTCTACCCGTAACAAATTGGTTCCAACATCTATGCTGCAAGCTTCCACTTCTCTCAGGACTGAACTCTGATTTATTGATAAAAGTATTTCGAAAAGTGACTTAGAAACCGCCCGGCTGGGAAATGGCTGAGAAATTTCAAGTGATTTCATCGATAAAAAAGATTCGAGTGTACGGGCCATAAAGAATAATTCTACAAGTACGACACTAAACAATGACACGCACCTTATGTATGATAGTAATGTAAAAAAATTATGTTTATTAAAATTCATGTAAATTAAGTACATAGAATATATACGCATATGCATGTATGGATATATCCGACGTATGTGTGTGCATAACTTATTGACTTATTATAATACATTATAATTGAACATATAAGCGATCACTATACGTAAAAATAAAATCAAATAGTATCATCGTTTGTACTTACGACAAACGAATTGTTTGATGCGTAATCTTGCTTTAATTTTTCTCATGTTATTCGTGTGTAACGTCTCGATATTATCACAAGACATCTCATCTAAATCGCCGATATAAAAACATAATTGCACACTTGATTCCCCCCTCGTATGTACAATTTTATAATCTCATTATTACATTTTATAGTTACGATCAATTTTTATCGATACCCTACGGGACGAATAACGTCTGTTGAATGTTTAAAAAAAAGCAACTTATCCGTTAATTCGTTCTATCAGATCACTCTTTAATAAATCTTGAAATACTGCCAATTCGGCATGAATTGAATTCGAAAACCGGTGAAATCGATCGAACCACAATTCATACCGAAGATTTCCACCATCATCAGACTTTATTAGCGGGCGTATGCTTATCAAGGGCTGCTGTTTTCGGCTGATGGCTGTACAAGAAAATCGAGCAAATGACGAGAAACGCGCCTAGAGCAAACTGGAACGTTAAGCGAAAGTCGAACAGATAGATGGAAGCTATGCAAGAGATGATGATGGCCAGGGATGTGGCGAAGCCTTTCAGTATGTTGTCGGCATACTTGACCACCATGGCTACGATCAATCCTCCGCCTGCTTGTAAGACAATCAGGTAGCAGATGAACAAATCGTAGCCGAAGAAAAAGCTCTGCTTGCGTATGATATCACCGTCTTGTAAGAAGCATGTACCTAGGCCGAACGGTATGGACAACACGCTCAACTGCACGTTTCGCATCCACACGGAGATGTCGGAACCCTTCAGTATCTTTTCAAAGTAAATGCCCGCGAAACCGGATAGGAAGCACGCACTGAGGGCGGCCGAGAAGCCTAGTAAGTGATTTTGTTCTATGCCCGAAGGTACCGGTGCTTTTATGCTTTGTGCCAATTGCACGAGTACCACACCAATCACCAAGAGCACCAGAGCACCCCATTGAATGGTGCGCAATGACTTGCGCAGTATTGTTACTGCGAAGAAGGCCGTAGTTAAAATTTTCAATTGATATGTCACCTGAAAAGGGGAATCAAATTTTAAAACTGTGTAAACATCAAAACGGCCTTCTCGAACAATTTTTATAAATGTAGTTTATTATATGCCTTACTTGATGTGTAGCTGCATCTAGATTAGACGCTGATACATAAAGTAAGTTGTTCTGTATGATGTACAAAAGTGATGGCACACAGACTTTCAGAGTATCCATGGGCTGCTTCACAATTGTTACATGTAGAGCCTTGTACAATTTCACTAAGTTGCCTTCTTCGATGAGCACTAGCACCAAGCATGTGAACAGCTTGACTACTTCAGCCATCACAACAGCTACAATGAAAAAAAATGTTATTACATACACAGCTGCGCATAGAAAAATATTGATACTCACCAGTAGATGCAAGAAACATGTCGCCTGCTCTGGTACGCGAATATCGCATACTAAGGCTGACCATTGCATTCTGAAGTGTGAGTGTGATTAAGCTCACATACTTTAGTGTTTGCCCAGACTCTGTAATGTACAAGTTTTTATAATGTTCATCTTTCAAAATATTCATGACTACTGTACATGTTGCAATATATCAATAATATTACTCACTTGGAGAATTCTTATTCATGTTTAAAATAGGTTCCTAACTTGACTGAGACAATATGTACATATTTCTTCATAAACTACATTTTTTCTGAAAGTAACGAATGCATTATTATTATTTATAAAGAGAAAGGTATGTTATGTTATCTTGATATATTTCTTAGCAATATAAAAGTCATGATTGATACAAATCATGATATATAAGTATTAATAAACAGATTGTATGATTTTTGCACTACACAATATTCTAAGAGTATATTACTTTGAAATAATCAAGATTAAAAATCATATTTAAAAAGCTACATTTTTCAAATTATCTTTTAATTATATTCATTAAATATTATACTTGTTAAATACTATGTATAGAAATAATTTGTTTAGATCTGTGATTAACAGCTAAACAGCTTGTGAGTTTTTAAATAAATTTTAATAAATTCAAGGAAAACGGTACAATACATTCGATGAAAGGATATTTATCAAATAAATTGTGTGAAAGAGATGCACCTTTCCCGGAAAGTTTGACACGTTACATTGTACACATTGAATATGCCACGACGAGCACTAACTATTTTTCTGTCGACGTCATCATCGATTATCATTCACTAGCCGTGCTGTCATTATTTCAAATATTTTTGCATAATCAAGCACAATAATATAATACTTTGGAATAAATTTTTTAAAAGTTTCTTACGATAAATTGTACAGGTTCAACAAGTTTGTTCTTTATAGATACACCAAGCTGCACTGTTTGCTCTTGGCTGCGTTCCGAAATTCTACTCGATAAGTAAAGATCACATTGACCATTCAGGATTAAAAGTACAAAGTATTCTTTATCATAATTGGTTAGTTAAATGATATTCTTCCCGTTGCATAGGATTGCGTTCAAAAACACACACTGTGTACACATCCTAGACACCAGGGGGAGAGGGGGTTTGAATTATTCGTAACTATTCGTAACGTATTATCTTGTGTGATATATAATGAGCGTACAGCTATTCTGCAAAAGCAGGACACTCATTAAATATCACTCGCTTACGTATAGTCACGAATGACTCAAGAATCGAGACCCAGTAGCGGGATTCTGTTCAATAGTCTATGACTAATAGAGACGTAGTCAATCCACACATCCGTATCAGATTGGGGATTGTATAAAAATTTGACCAATCAGTGCAAAGTTCACTAAATTTCACTTAACTTCAGTTAACTTTACATCAATTGGCCAAATTCAATCTCAATCCCTAGTATGATACGGGCTGTAGGAAAGGAACTTTCTCATTGGATCGGACGTCGGATGTTGTGCGCAGGCATGAATCCTCTGCCACGAAAAATCTATTCAATAGCCGCTCTGTAGATCATTTTTCGGCGAATAACGGTGACGAATGAAATTGTGAGATTGCCAAGTTGTTTGTGCTATTTGTCGTATGTGTCTGTCGGCAAAATCTGATATTGAAGGTAGAATAAACGTACAATAGTATTCAAGTAGAACGATCGCTGCACGGGACTCCACTACTCCCTTATAATCACGGTGTGAGTTCGCTTGATATATTCTCTAAACGAAGTCGTTCTTAACCTTTCTCGAGAAGTTTACTATACAGTACATCTCGTCAAAATTGCACACGATCGACATGTGCCTTTAAATGTGCAAACAAGCAATATGTATCTTTACAGTTTTGCTACCTGTGATTCTGTAACATGCAGATTTTATTATAAATCTATATATATATATATTTATATATATACAGGGTGAACCATACAACATGATCAGCTTAAGTTTTGTCTAGTATAACATGGTTCATGGTGAACTTTAAGATCATCTTAAAGCTCACCTTAAACCATGTTATACTAGACAAATAAATTTTCAAACGGTTCACTCACAATAGAATAAACTAAGCTGATCACATTGGTGGTTCATCCTGTATATACAAATGTATATTTGCGCACTTCATGATTTTAACCATGTTATGTTCATTACATCACAAAGAATATATTTAACAGACAGGCTCTATTGTAGGCAACAAAATGGACATGTCCATGTTTACTGAGAAAGTTGGGGAACAGCTGAAAATATTTGCTCGACACTGCATGGATGATCCATCTCTTCTACACGATCCAAAACTCTCCTTTATCAAAGAGTTAATAGAGCACTATGGCGGCAAAATACCGGAAAGCAACAAAAACGATGATCCATCACTTGGCAAATGTGAAGCTGAGATCAAATCTGAAGAACCTCAGCCTAAAGCTGAACCTGAATCCGAGAGTGAGGAGAGTGATCTGGAGCTAGACATGTCTGGTGTAATTGGTTTGTACACATTTATCTGCATTATTATATATACTTAGTATTATGTTCTCCATAATAAATATATATGTAAGAATAATGTTCTCTTTTCTCTTTTTAGAACCAGATCAAGATTCTCCTCAAAAAATGGGTAATCCGATTTTACAACCTACGGAAGAGGAAATTGCGAAATCGCAGGTCGAGAGATCAGAAGCAGTATCCGCATTTGTGGAAAAAGATTATGAGAAAGCGATAGAGCTTTATACAAAAGCGATTGTATTGAATCCACAAGCAGCATTGCTGTATGCTAAACGCGGGCAAATCTTTCTTCTTTTAAACAAGCCAAACGCTTGCATCCGTGATTGTGAACGCGCTCTCGAATTAAATCCAGACAGTGCAGCAGCTCACAAATTTCGAGGAAGGGCTTATCATTTGCTTGGAAAATTTGAGGAAGCAGCAAACGATCTCAGATTAGCTTGCAAGTTTGACTTTGATGAACAAGCTGACGAGTGGCTGCGCGAAACAACACCAAACGTGAGTACTATGTGTTTTCATACAAGAGATACCTGCTGCATGAAATGTGCTTCCCTTTGCATCATGCGGACTCTGCGATATGCGATCTTCTTGAAACAAAACAATTAATGCGCGATAAGAACGTCTGTTTAAATTTTCCTAAAAAATTTTAGTAAGTTATGATATTTCATCTTTTTCCTAATTTTATAAAAATCTATAAAATCCTATAAAGAACAATAGTAAGAAAAATAGTGTGAATATTAAAATGATGGTCTCTGGATTAGGCTGTTAAAAATAAAAAAAAAAACGTTATACTGTGATAAGACGTGAAACTGTTATAAAGTAAAAGAAGATTGGACTGCATGAAAGTGAAATGAATTTTAATGCATACATTCATTGCTTTAAAGGTACTTTGGTAAGGTTAATCCATCTTTAACAAGTGTTGTTTTATAAGCTGAATTGTTTTCGAGTAAAAACTGTTTATGCCAAGATATTTATGTTGCTTCTCGTTGTCACTGATAAATACGAGTTTAAACATATTTATCTATTTACAATATTGATAAATTTATAAATGAGTAGTTGATTATATTTGAATTATAATTAAAAATAATCTCTTTTTTCAATTTTTGTGCGGAAAAATTTATGAATAAAATGAAAAAAACGTTTGTTTTTTACACGGTAAGAAATCGAGAAGAACTCCGAAAAAAAAGACTGACTTTTTCCGATCCTTTAAAAGTATATTTCGGTATTCTTTAAAACTATAAATGTACGTGAATATGTGTTTATATGTGTGTTGAAATGATACTATGTATATAAACAGCAATCACGATACACGTTCTTATTTCAAACGTACACTCGCTATGTAATATTTAGAATTATAGTAATTTCGTAAATTCTCTCTCTCTCTCTCTCTCTCTCTCTCTCTCTCTCTCTCTCTCTCTCTCTCTTTCTTTCTTTCATTCTCTCGTTTTTGCTTTCGCTCTCTACTTAATCTAAAAAACATTGTTTACCGATGTTTTAGATGATATCTTACTCTAACTAAAAAGATATAGATGCCTCGATAACACATGTTTGTAACAATACTAAATTTACTCGACGTAATCTTTGTATATAATATAGGATAACAATGACGACAGTAGCAACAACAGTGAAATAACAATAATAATATTAACAATGCGTTTGTTTAAGCATAATAAATCACGTATTATTTATATGTTTTTACATGGAGGATAAAGTTGTCTCGATTGTTCGCAGTTTAAGATGCGATTAGAACGGTTTTAACATGTCTGCGCGCTCGATGTAAAGCGCATATCATTAGAGAACGCTGGAAACGCGTCCTTATTATATTAGCCGCCGCTCTCAGGAGCTTAATTTTATTAATTCTTTATTATAATCATCATAGATATTAATACGATTCACTTATTGTGAACGTTTTTGTCAGCTCGAGATTAAAATAGTAATATTGCAACCGAGACAAGGAGCGGACGATCCGCTACTTGTAATCTACTAGAGAACATACGAAAAACGTAAAAATCCGAATAAGACTGGTTAGATATATCGTGGAAATATGTGTGGTGTAATTTAATAGTTGAAATAGCCAAAAATATCCCAGGATATCTCAAAGTTGAAAAAGAAATCGTTATGGATTTAAGAATTGTGAAAACGGAGGATTAAAGTGTTTACGAATCGTGCGATATAATTATGTAAAAAAGGTTTCGAGTTTAAAGGTGTAGAAACCCTAGTATGTTCTGCCTACTGTAAATTCGAAGCAAACCTCGAGTATCAGAAAAGCTCCACGGCCTGTCTCACACACGTTACCAATTGCGGCAACGCGTGAGAAATCAGCACACCTGTTATAATTGTTCAATGACAGTTTAATAAGAATACAATCAGTTTATATAAGGTATTCCACAAAAGCCACAAAGAGAGATCACTTTATCTCTTTCACAATGGAAATATTTCGATGCGATTAGAAACTGTGTTCCTGATACGGAGGAACTTGGCGGACGAAACTGTTGTTCAATATTACGTTCAACGTTCTGGAGAGTCGTGTTTTCCTTTGAGATAGGCTTTCAACGATTCGTCGCGAGATAAACGAAAGATTCGATGTAACAATGATATCCCTCATTCTCTTAAGAACTGGAGGAATTCCATTTTCAGGCTGACAACAAACAGATGTATAGGGCGCGCGTGTATACAGACTGTATATGGCGTATATTACAGTGAATCAAATTTGGACAGAATTTCCGAAATTTTCATGTCCAATTCTTTAACACATTCAACGGATCTCCAGATTTTTTTAATTAAATTTCGCGAGGTTGGGCAGATTATAATCTCTCTGATTTGCCGACGAGAAACTCGATCGTTGAGATGATTAAATTTCGATATTGTCGCGGAGTTCTTAGAGAAAAACGCGAATCCCCGCGTTTTCGTCGAGAGGAATATCCGATATATCTGAACACATATATTCGAAGGGAACTCTCACTCTGTCCGCTTTTGGATCGGAATGGTAGCATTGTTTACCAGACAAGCAACACTTGATCTTCTTTGCAATCGAGGAGGAGGAGGAGGAGGAGGAGTTGTATCCACCTTGACGCGATACACACTCCACGTTATGTTCTGCCCTATCGTGAGGCTAAATTATTCGGATCTATGGATACTTGGGTTTGCTATCCTCTCGGTAGACATCCCAGCTCTTATGCTACCGTTTTTTCTGCTTTCCCGCTCCGCCGCATCTCTCTCTCTCTCTCTCTCTTTCCTCCGTGCTTCTTTCCGTTTGTTTTCGGAGCGATGCGAGGATAGCGCGCGACTCTCCGAATTTCAGAAAGAGAGTCCTCGGTACCATCTCAAATATCGGACCACTTTCATCCGGCTCGTTCAACAAGTCGCGACGACCCTTTGCGCTATATCAAGGCATCTCGGCTAGGCCTCCTCATCAGTCCATACTTCACATGGTATCAAGAGCTGCTCTCCTCCGGTCTCCCGCGCACTCAACTCATAGGGCTGTTCTCGCCGTGCAGCACCGCCTCCACTGACTTCTTGTACTTGCCCACCAATTCGGGTAGATCGTAGGCGATGGCCACGTCGAGCCTGTTGATCGGGCAGCCGCGGAAGTACGTGCACGTGGAGCTCAGCAGCGGGAAGTCGTAGAGGGGATTCAACCGGAAGAAGTCACGATAGACGTCCGGATCGGGTAGATCGTATCGCGATATATTGGTCAGGGTGCTGAGACCCTCGTAGATGTGATAATCCTGCGGATTTTCGATAATTTTGTCGCTGATTTGCCGTTTGTCGCCGAAGAACGTCTTGTGGTTGTAGTACGTCGTCAGGTAGCAGTCCACCATCTTCGCGTGATTGCGCACTCGTACCTGAAACGACAGAATCACCGATCATTCTCGAACATGATATCTACGAATGTCGGCGCGAAACATCGCGCCATGTAGTCGCCAGCCGATCAACAGCACCAATATCGCGCAATCGACTGATTATCCGAGCGAAAGTCTCGCCAGCACTTTCCTCCCCTTTTCTCGCGGTAAGAGATTACCGTTTGAGAACGCGAAACTTACGGCGAATCTTCTGGCGCTCGCTATCTTGTGCTCGACCCTCTTGTTTATCGCGGAACGCAGATCGCGCAGGAATGCGCGTTCCTGAGCGTACAGCAGCCTGGTGGGCGCACCAGCCTCGTAGGGTAACGACCATAACGACGTGGAGTACATTATCGGCGGCTCCGCGCTCGACATCAGCGGCGAGATATTCCATATCAGCGCGCCTTGCACTCTCATCAGTTCCTCCGGCTTCACCTGGTCCGCCTTGTTCAGAATGATGCGAGTCTGTGTGCCGACAGTTTATATCATCGTATCTACTACTTGTGAAATGACGATCCGATGACAATTGTCAGCGACTTGTATTTACCTCCGCGATATCCTCGTTATTTCTCACCTGATATTCCCTCCCCTTCAATTGATCCAGAATCGCTTCGGTCTCGGGCCCGACGTCCAGCTTGGCGGGGTCGTAAACCAGAAATATTATGTCCGCTCGGTCGATGAACCACTGGCACGCGTCGTTGAAGGGAAACAGGCGTTGAACCTGCTTGCGAATCTCCAAGATTCCTGGTATCTCGACGATATTCACCTGACGCGATGATCAAGCGATCAATCTCATTGCGTAACTTTATGTCTTTCCCCCTCTCTCTCTCTCTCTCTCCTTCACTCGTGCGTTTACCTTTTCCAGCAACTTGTTGTCGAGCCGTAGGCCTCTGAGACGATCCAACATACCCTGGCCAAACTTCTGCAACCCGGAGAAGGTCCAATCGGCCGCCAGCTGGGTGCCGTCAAGGATCTCTTCCTCCTCGCCGTGCATTATTATGTTAAAGTACGCCGGGGATGGCTCGGCCCCTGCGTCATTCCCATAGGTTGCCGCGTAATGCTTCTCTCTTACAAACGCTACTTTCCCGACATACTTTCCATCGCTAAATCGCCTTGTTACTTTTTACGCACCTGTCCTCAACGACATCGGCTCATACTCGATATCGAGCAGATAATTGATGATGGACGACTTCCCACCGCTCCACGGACCCATGAAGAGTACCAGCGGCTTGGAGAATATCTCGGGATCTATCGGCACACAGAGGAAGGAAAACAACGATTTGGCGTCAATGAGAGATAATTAATTTCACAGATTTGCCGCATAGATGAATGTTACAAGTCAGGTGTGGACAAGCGATTAGTAATCGTGCGCGCACTCATCGTGTGTTTGCTCACCTCCGAAGTGTCTGTTACTCAAATCCCTGTACTTGTACATGCTCTCTAACGGCTGTATGGCGTTGTCGTATAGTCTCTTCAGATCTCTGAGAATGATATCCGCAGCTCTTTGTATAGCTCGCTCCTTCTCCTCGTTTTCTTCGTCCAATTTCAACAGTTGATTAATGTGATCCCTAGGCCGAAGGTTCTCCGGTATTTCGATATCCCGAATCAGATCCTCCTCCGGAGTGGGCTCCTGTTCCTCCTCGCTGGCGGCTGATTTACGCGTGAAACATTTTTACGGCAATTTTGTTATTAATTATCAAAAGAGCGTCAAATATTGTGTCGCACCGCGCGTATAGTGCGATAAAACACGAAGAATATAATTGCCAGGATCGTGTGGAACAAAAAGCAAAAGTAGGATTTCCTTTACCTTCTTCCGCAGATTCGCCGCCGCCAGTTGCTTCAGCATCTTCCTCATCACCGGCTTCTCGCCTTCCGCGCGACTTTCTGACCTGATCCTGATGATCCTCTTCTCTCTCAGATCCTTCCGACTTTTCTTCCGTCTCTTCCTCGGATTTCGCTTCGCTCTTCTCCTGATCTACGCGAAGCTCGGCGGAGGATTGTTTACATTCATCTTCCTCGCATTTCGCTACCTCTTCCTCCGACTTCGCTTCTTTCTCTTGGTCGGATGTCGCCTCTTCTTCCGCGGATTTCGTCTCCTCCTCCGCGGATTTCGTCTCCTCCTCCGCAAATTTCGTCTCCTCCTCCGCGGATTTCGTTTCCTCCTCCGCAGATTTCGTCTCCTCTTCCGCGAATTTCGTTTCCTCTTCCGCGGATTTCGTCTCCTCCTCCGCGGTCTCGTCTTCCGCAGACTTACCTTCTTCTTCTTCGGCAGACATCGCTTCTTTTTCTTCCTGTTCTTCCACGCCTTCTCCCGACTTTTCACCCTCTTCTGTACTTTCGGGACCTGTTGCTTCAGCCGTTTCTTCTTCACTCTCCCTTTCCTTTATTCTCTCATCTTCAGCACTTTCGGCTTGCGCTTCCTCCTCTTCATCCTTCATGTCACTTTCGCCACTCACCGTACGATCTTCGGCGTATTCCGCTTCTTCCTCTTCGACGCTAGCTTCCGCAGATGCTTGCTGCCGAGCATCTTCCTGAGTCTCTTCTTCGGCTTGCTCCATGGATTCCCCTTGCTCCTCTTCTTCGATTCCCGACTCTTCGTCTTTTTCTTCCTCGGACTTTGCTTCGTCGTCTACTTTTTCCTCCTCTTCTGCTTTTATCTCTTCGTCCGATTTCTCTTCGTCGGGCTTTTCATCTTCTTCCTCGGCAGTCGCCTGATCGGAGACTACCTCTTTGCTTTCGGCTATCTTCTCGGGAGAGTCGGCCTGTTCAATTACCTCGGCGGACGCATCACCTGCTTCTTCCTCTGTTTCTTCTGTGAGAACACGATAAATTTCAACACACATTGTATATTACTATTTGTTTCAAACGACTGTTCTTACCTTCCTGAGCGGTGCTGATTTCAGCACTCTCGGTAGTTCCGACTTCGTCGCTTTGTTCATCCTTTTCCACCTTCTCCTCGCTGATCTCGACTTGTTCCTCAGTCGCTTCTTCTTTACTTCCCTCAGCTGTAACGTCTTCTTCAACCGATCCGTCTTTGATTTCGCCCAACTCTTCCGTCGTTTCGTCAGCTAGCGCCTGTTAAAGAGGAAGAAAAAGAGAATAGATGTTAGTATACACATGCAATTTCTGCGTGTCACATCGATTGCTTTTCATCAGTAAATATAAGTATGTGTCGCGTGTGAGTTACACAAAGCGAAAGGATTAGGCGTGCAAAATCAACGGGCGATTTTGCCGAGATTAATTTGGATTTCGAATCAAGTCTGGCTTTCGAGAATTCGATCGGTTCAAAGTTCATTGAATGTCCTGATGAAAGAAGACCGACCTTACCTCTTCCTCGCTCCGTGTTTCTTCGTGACTCTCTTCTTGGTCGACCTCTGCACTGGTCTGCTCCAGAGATCCTTGAAACGAAATATTCTAGAAATCGCTGTGTCCCAGTCGAATATTCACCATCATCCAGTACCTACCTGTACCGAGGTCCTTGAGCGCCTTCTCGATGTACGGTCGACACAAGTCCTCGGACGGTATCTGTTCCTCCTCCTCGCTCAGGACACCTGCAACAATTCCGAGAGTCAACTTGGCTTCATTCGGCCGATATCGCGTATACACGGCGCACAGAAGCGCGTCGTTTCGCCGATCAACATTGTTCGCGTTTTACCGCGGCTGCCAGGAATTTTCGGCCGGGAGAATTCTGCCGGGGGTTTCGCGCGAGTGTTAACGTGCCAAGAGAGACGACGGCATGCGCGCGCGCGCGAACGATATTAGATAATCCATTGCTTGCGCGCTCGGAGAGTGAGTTTAACGCCACGCGACCACTACCCGAAATATCTGACCCGAGTGACGCAAGAAACTGTCATTACGCACCATCCACGCCGTGTGCGGGCTGCTCACCTCGCGCGGTGACAGGTGTTCAGGAACGCGACTTGTCATACACGCGACATGTCCGATGAAAATTCGCACCACCACCACCGCCACTAAGACGCTGTCTTGCGGTTGGTACTTGAAGTCGAATATCCGTTCGAACAATTCGGCCGAGAGTACATTGCGATATATATTCTCCGGGACAGCTGGGAATTGGCCGTAAGAATAACGCGACGGAGAGCGAACGTTGTCGAATGAAACGTTCATGACCGCATTGCTGCAAAATTTCTCCCTCGCACGTTTCACGACACGATGTCCACTACGATGTCACGTTACTACTCGAGATATGAATTCTCCTTAGAATCTGTCTTTTCCCCCGAAAGCTTTCTCCAACTTTTCCATCTGCGAACGTTTCCACCGAAGAAAATGTCGATATCATCTTTCTAGGCGGTACCTGGGACGTGGCCGGTTTCTAAGTTTAGCGGCGGGTAGGCGGCTTTGAGCCGAGAGCGCGACGCTTAGAAATATTTATATATTAGGCGAGCGAATCGTATTTTTATCGTCTGCCCATGAGGAAAAGCTTGATTGGACCGTCGTTGTTTTTGTCCCAGTTGGTCTCTCTCTCTCGAAAAATTTATCCGATTATATACATCGTTTTGTTTGTACGGTGTAAAGTTATCCCACCGTACACTGAGAGAGGGAGTCATTATAATTGCATGCAATGATGTAGTCAGGAAAGCCATTTTTCCAGCAAATTTATATAGTGTTATCGGACCTTACACGAATATTGCCGTTAATATTTTCTTACTGGAACGACAAGAAGAGTGCGCTTGCCGCCGAATATTTTTACATAATTTTCGTATGTCGAGATTGATCATTCTTTTTTCTTTCGTTTTTCGCTGTACCCGCTGCAATTCCGCGTCAGGCGACGAAACACTCGTGATGGACTAAACACACGACGCGCATAATACAATCACACTTTTCGCTCGTTTCGCGGTGCAACTAATTTTGTCGACCTGGACCACGCAGACAGCGGTGATAATGCCGGTGATATCGATGCGATAATGAAATCGAGAAGACCCGGCCAGTTTAGTTCGACACTCGCTCGAGCTTGGACGTCGCGGCGGTTACCTAACTGTCAGATACACAGAGAATCATAGTAATTTACGAGCGCGTAAACACATGAGAAATTTCATTTCATCTCAGCGCGTCGACTATATCGTATTGTTATATCACATACGGCAATGTTTGGCACAAAGCTACGTTCATCTCGGCATCTCTCCGGCAGCACCGAGATAGCTGCTTCCTGCTACTTATCCTACTTATCCTAGGATCGAATCTTCCTCTGAAATATATTTGGTCTTGCATTAGGCATAGAAAGCAAGTAGCGCTTTCTTTCTTTCTCTCGTGTGTGTGTGTGTATGTGTGTAGCAATTTCTCTCTCTGTTTTCTTTTCTCTTTTCGATTGCTTCGCGATGAGATACGTATCACAATGTTGTTAACTCTCCGCAAGTTAACTCTCAGCACACCATATAGTTACAGAGAGAACAAAAGAGAAAGAAACTCGAAAACTAAAACTAAAATGAACCCGATCGAAGGATTACAATGCGATTGCGGTTAAGTCAATTGGACGATGTTCGCATTCTTCGCGCCATTAAACGCATAAACTTCAGATTTTGCATCGGTTATCTCGAGAAAACGTTTTTCAGCAACGTGTGACGGAAGAAGACGCGGGCAGGCAGCTGTCGTTTGGCAAGAGCAGCTGCGCCGGATAAAGATAGAACCTCGAGTCTTGTTCCATAGTCTACGATATGTATAGCTTTTTGCCGCATCAAGTCATAACGAGGGGGAATTTTTGCGATTATATCGTCGTCGTAAAGTTCGAAATTGAAATTAACGCTCGGAGAAAATAACGCTCTCGGCAATGCAATCCTCACGAGATATTCGTTCACTATATATTTCTTTCGCAATAAAATTCGCTCGACTGACACTGTTTACCTTTTGTACCATAAAATCCGAATTTACGTTTCCGGAATTTACGAAATTATGCAACGATATGCAGAATGAAAGTCTTGATTTTCGATTATTCCACATATTCCGGTTTGTGGGTTTTATTTAAAACGATTAAATTTTCTCCGAGGTTTTACAGCACCAGACTGGCACGGATTTATGCGCTTTCTTATGTAATTATCCGCGGGTTGATGACAGCCAACTCCCATCGATTCCCGAAATAACAAATCCTTGAGTCGATACATCTGTAACTTTTATTCCGAGACACCGCTTTTGGGGCGCCGCTTCGTCGGCGTAACTATTCGATTATCAAAGTAATTGTGCGTGTTTGTTCGAAACTGCAAAGTGTCCTGAGGTATTCTCGCACTTATATGAAGGATCCGAACGTTTGGTCGACACAATCAGCAGTCGGTGATTGTTTATCGAGCGACTTTAATTTACGCCGAAACGTTACCGCCGAAAAATCTTCAAAACAATTCGCGCGAGGTTACTCGAAATCTCACAATAGAATCGGGCTGAGCAATGATAAAACGGAGAACACGAATGATTTTACCATCGACGAAAAGGAAAAGTTTATCATAAGTGGCGAAGTGGAGAATCCCGTGGTCGATCCATATTCGTCCAACTTGGATGTGTCTAACGTGTAACCGGGCCAAATCGCGGTTATGCGCAAAGATGAAGAGGCCGATGACGCTAACTTTACGTAACATTGACCTTCGTCAGTCAATCGTCATAGTTTGGTCAACGTCTCGACTTGTTTGTCGCCGGCGACATATCCATGCCCCGAAAAACGATGCCTTTCATTATTCCGCCGTGTTACACGCGCGAACTCCGTGTGTTTTTCCGAGTCGGCGAGACCGCAAGTTTTACCAACTCGACAAAATCAAGTGACGTCACGACTCGACGGCGTCGATTTCCGCTCTTCGAAGAAAGTCCATCCGCGGCGGCGACGGATTTTACTGACCTTGTAAGGCGACAGCTAAAAGGCTCAGGAAGAGCCCCGCGACTAGCGCGGATCTCATTCGCGCAACCGTCATCTCGTATCACTAGACACTACGCGATCAGCGGCCAGCGTTGGCAGCTAACTCGTCTCTCTCACTTCTCGATCCCGTCGTCGCCCTCGACTCCAACTAGCCCGCGAGGAACTGGCATTGTCACTACCGCCAAACCCCGAGGACGCCCCTCTCTCCGTTGCTTCTTCTTACTCCACGGACGACGAGCAGCGGCACGAGTGGCGAATCTCGCTTTTTTTCTTCCTCGTTCTTCCTCGCCTGTCCGAGCGATTTCAAAGTGGCCGCCACATATGGAGAGAAAATAGGGGAAAAAATCAAGGAAGAAAGCGACTCGTGCAGTGCTACTCCTCCCCTTCCGCAATCCTCGACACGATCAACCACCGAAAGTCTGGCCTGCCGCTCACTTCAACGTTACGTTGAACGTTTCTTTCGGTTCCTTGTGAGCGACGATCCAAGTGGCGCGCGATTCGCTGATCATCCGAGACTGATGACCCGAGTTGTGCATCGACAAAAAGCACATTTTCCGACCACTATAGGTCTAGTCGCGCGAGGATACACGTATAATGTTAAGCGAAGAGGAGAGAGAGAGAGAGAGAGAGAGAGGAAAGGTCGTGACGAACGCGCGGGCAGCTCTTATTTTTACGATGATTACGGAGGCGCGACGTAGATCAAGGTCGTCCGTTTGACGCGGCTACGAAGACTGCGATCGAAATAGTCTCGATGTAGCACCGTACAGACACTGCGAGACGATCTCCTTCCTCCGCCACCAAGTTTCAAGGATTCGAGGATTTTGATTGATCAATGCATTATTCTGCCATTCCGCAAGAATTTCACACATTTGCGTGGAATTCGGATTCACTTTTCATCACCGAGTCGCAGACTCTACTCTCGACCCAATGTCTACGAGACCAAACGCGATTTTTCTTCGACTCTGTTTTTTAATTCAAGCAGTAGAGTGCTCAAGTATCGTGTCGCGCGCAACTACTATATCTCCAGTTTTACAAGAGAAACGTTTAAAAATATTCCTCTGTCTTCGTGGCGCGATAGTTTTATCACACGGAATAATCGCTGGCCGCATTCGACGAGATCCTATCGTCAGTTGCTGCGCGAGCCGAATCTCGCGAAGCTCACCCTCACCGTCGAACGCTTCTTATTTGTGATGAAACATGTCATCGTCTATTTTTTACCGTTACTGCGCTTTCCACCGTTTGCTAAGCGTCGTCGCTCATCTGGTCGAGAAAACGCGCGTCGGAACTTTCAAAGTCGCGCTCATTCACGATGCACAATGCAATACTTTCTCACGCAAATATTTGTGTTTCAAATGGATTGGCTGAATACAAATATGGTAGAAAGGCGCTGTTGATATTGACGATTAACGTGGTACACGTTCGAAAGAGAGAGGGAGAGAGAAAGAGAGATGAGGTTTATCGCGAAATATGCGCGCACAGACGCAAAGGAGCATCAGAACCGCGGGCGCCTTTATATTTAGAAGCCTGGGTCGCGCCCGTATAAGGTGGCCTGCCGTGCAAAAGTGCTCTCTCTCTCTCTCTCTCTCTCTCTCTCCTCCCCTTCCCCTCTCTCCCTCCCACCCTTCTCTTTATTATTATTATAATTATATATAGAGTATATACATAAAAATATATAATGTTGATATATGTACACACAATTATATAATGTTATATTTATATCATATATAATATTTCTCTATATATTGTACGTTTAATATATTTTTTATACTAATATATCTGTTTACATGGGGATTAATGTTATATTCACGCAAGAGATAAATGAATTAAATTATACTTATTATTTCTCACTAATTATTTGTTTCGGTGAATGGAAACATTGCAGCAGCTTTATTCATACTATTCATACTGTATGGAGGAAGCTTGATTTTTATTATTTAAATTTATCATTACGTAACGCCGCGTCTTTACGGGATAAACAGGATGAGGCAACTTAAAACGTATTTATTTCGCAATCTATAATAAGTTCGTTAATTGTACGCGGTCACAATATACGTTGGTCAGGCATGTTTCACGTCATTATAATTTAAGATTTGGATACGTTCCTAAGAAACGCGTCCTAAAGACGCGCGTTGATCACCCTCTCATAAAGATTGCCGTGATGTCCTATTTATTTATCTATATTTAGACTGAACCGTCAAGTTCACAACGATACTCACAGCATGTTTTAACATTTTATACTTGATTGTTTTCCAATTTCTGCCTCTTCGTACGCTTTAACTCACATCTCTTTCTTTCTCCCTGCATACGTTATTGTTATATGCCAGTTTTGCATCATTATCAGTGCCACTGTTTCATCTAATATATTTTCTCAGATTTTTGTTCTGTGAAGCGCGCTTAAACAAAGTATTTTACGTATTCGAGGGATAATCTCAAGTTTGTCTCGCAAATATAATGTTTGATCAAAGATTGGATAATGTAACGATCTTAGGCGCGAAAGATAGAGGAACATAAGAGGAAAAAAGAAAGAAGGGCGCAAGAAAAATTGGAACGTGACAGGCAGGAAAAGTTACAAAAAGCACGAGAGGCTGCTAAAGCGCGCGAGGAAAATACGCGAACCTCTCAGACGGACCCGGGAGGCGCCTCCTCTGGCATCGGAGATTTCTATCAATTCCTCAACGATCCTGAGGTCCTTCAAGCCTTCCAGGTAAGTGTGATTCACTATTAAAACGAAATTGTTAATTATACGAAATGTGTTTACGATGATGCGCGACGCATGCAGGATCCGGAAGTGGCCGAAGCTTTCAGGGAGATCTCCAGAAACCCAACGAATATCCTGAAATACCAGAGTAATCCAAAGATAATGGCCCTTATCAACAAGATGGCCTCGAAATTCGGCGGTGCTGGCGGTATGCCTGGCGGCTTCCCCGGTATGATGGGCGGCATGCCCGGCGGTTTTCCTGGCGCAGGGGGACATCCTAACCCGCCGAAGCCGGCTCCTCCTCAGGACGACGTTGGTCTTGATTAATCGGCATGTATTCGTCATTTCACCGTCTTCTGTGCAACGGAAAACGTACGATTGGTTGATTTGGTCAAACAGCGATTTCATATACTCGTGAATTAACCGTAAGATGCGTCGGTAAGATCCTACACCTTTTTCCGCTTCAATTCCTCTGGATAATCTTGGCCCGTTACTTTAGACTGCTTAAGTGTAGAATACTCTTGACAATATTTTTCCTTCATTTTGTTGCTTGCGATTCACTTGTGAATCAGGATAAACGCATCTTAGGGTTGACGGAAAATTTCATTTCGGTGAGAAACTGGCATCTCAAACAGATAAAAAAATGCTACTGTTTGTTTATATTTCTCACTGTATGTACAGAGAAATAAATAAATACACATACACACACACACGTATACACACGTAAATATTACATCAGCGAAAATGTATCTCAAAAAAAAAAAGAAAAAACATTTATTGTAAATCTCAATATAGTTTATTATACATTACAGAGCATAATTCGTTTTTTTTTGTTTTTTTTTTATTTTTAAGACGGACTTTGTTGCATGAATTACGCTTTATTACCTTAATGTCCTCATCGCGAAACGAAAAGGTTCTCGGGCAGAAGTATTATCGAATATCGTTTTTAAATAATGCCACAAGCAAATATGTTCGATTTATAAAATTGTGATTCCTACAACAGATGTAAATATTCCTCATTAACTGGCCTTTAATCAGCGATTACTTCCGATGTTTATTATCTCAGACGCTAATATCTCAGACTGTAATTTAAAATATATGGCCTCATAGAGATCCTAAGAGTTTGTCAACTATGAGAATCAAAAAATGGATAATTTCATAGAAGAAACAGTTTTAAAATTTTGATATTTATATCGAAATACATACACGCACACATACACACACATTACATTAAACCCTATTCTTAGAATCGATTATTTTGATATCGTTTGGAGGAGTACCCTATTTAAGTGAGGAAAACTTGAATTGATCAAGCATTTCACTCTTTCTTAAAGCAGGCTTCGCTACTTTTCATATTGAATAATTCGTCCGAGAAATGTAATGTTGTTTCATTTTAAGATGGATATAAACTGCCACGTTGAGTATTCATGAGATATTCGCGAATTATACGACCTAATATTCCACAAGAGAGTTCAGAAGTAACAGAACTCCATTTATCAGAACAATAAGCATTTTACTACAATTTCCAATCGTAAAATACATCAATTGAACAGTCCGTTTTTCTTATATGAAATATCAAAATTATCGAAGACGGTGTACTTTTTTGTCGATGATATATCCTAGAATTAATGATTAAAATATAAAGATGAATTTACAAAGGAATTTACTTTTAAATATATAGTTTTTAGGATTTTCGGAAAATTTCTCAACGATAATAACGTGTACAGTCCCTGGCCATATTATTAGACGCACTTTGATTCTTTAATGGAATACAGATTAGAAGAAGAAAAGCTACAAATTTTATTTTTACTCGATTAGAATCATTTTCAGTGTCAATCAGCGCTCTTACTTTCTGAGGTGTCACATCATTTCACTTTCATAGAATACCTTTCATAGAATAATGGTTCCTTAATATAATTCGATCGATAGATGAGCCGTATTATAAAGCTGGCCCTCAGAAATCAATGAAATGTAAAATATTATGGTATATCTAATAACATGGCCAGAGACTGTAAATTTACCACTTGCATGTTATCAGTAATGTCAGTTTATGAGTGTCAGTGAAGAAAATTTTTATTAAGCAATTTTGTTTCGTCGATAATTATCCCAATAGTCTTTCCTTTTGTCTGCCTCGTTCCGCTATAAATCCGTATAAAATATTTGCAATAAATATGTACAAAAATACTCACGTGTATTATTGATTATAAGAACACACGCACACACACGTGCGCGCGCATACACACACACTCTCTCTCTCTCTCTCTCTCTGCATTAATTATTAAAGATACAGAGTGTTGCATCGCTATTCCCCCGAATACGATACGATGGCTCTCGCGATAGCGATGACGGGACCACGTGTCAACGTCGTCTATAGCATCGAATCATTTTGTACACTATATAGCATAAAGGATTTAGATCTAGATATATTGCACGTGAAGTTGTTTTGGTCGGAGACATTGTGACAATTAGGAGCGCTTTGCTTCGGATATTTTGATCGTTTTGTGGCAATTTCGAGAAACGGCCTTTCAATCATCATAAAAAATAATCCGTCGTGTTTGCGGAAGTAAACGAGCGTCATATTTGCGTGAAAGTTGAAAATTACATTGATAATTTTCGCAAACTGCCAAATTGAACTGCCCGCTCGATACAACGCACTCATCAATCGTGTATCATCGTAATTATAGGAATGTGTAATTGAGTTATTTGGAGAATTAATTTTATTATATGGTACTGAAATCGTTATAACATCTAACGCATCATTTGCTGCTACAATTAACAACGATATAGTCTCGAAATAGCGCGAAACTCCAGAGAATCATCCGAGAAAGATCAGCTGCTCGGAGTCTCGTGTTATCAGAGACTTTTTCACTCGCGATCGATCGGTGTTAAAGCGTGTTGAAGCCACTACTACGTTCTTCTGATCTTGAGCATGTGCAAGTTGGGGTGCCATGGCACTTTTCTGAAGGTCAACGTTCCTGTTTCCTCGGGCGACGTGTCCTCTTCGTTGGCTTCGTCTATTGACGCGCGCATCAGATCGGCGCCGGCACTGCTGCTGAGTACTCTTCGGTGTCTACCCGCCACGTTGGAACCGGCGACGGCGTTGCGCGATCCACCGGGATCGCTCAATACTCGACGGTGTCTTCTCTGGCGACAATGACGGTGATGATAATGCTGCAGCTGCTGATGATGATGATGATGATGATGACGGTGGTGATGACTGCGATGACAATGTTGTTGCTGTCCGCATAAGGACGCGTCGCACTTAAAGTTGGCACTCGGCAGGTGTACGGAAAAAACGGGATTCGGGTCCAGGTACAGCCAGCTCGCGCTGTCCACATAAGGAAGGAGATGCATCGTGTCCAGTGAATGCGGATACAGCGGTCGAGCGTCCGTTGACGATTGCACCAATCTCCCGGGAGGTGGAGAATCTTCGAGCGAGCCAAGGCATGGTCTATCGGCACAAGGTTTGGCATAGTTTTTTTTTTTTATAAATGGACGATTTCAGGCTCGTTTAGAAAAGTATCGCTATACATTTGAAGAGCATGTAGTAAAAAAGAACTCGTATAATTTACCAAACTAAAAGTTACAAATTCAGTGAAGAATATCAATGGAGACTCTTTCGCGCGCTATCAGACTTTGAGCTTCAGAAGGGGCACAGCTTGTCGTGGTTAAGTGCATTAGAAGGCACATCGGCGCTCGCATTGCAGTAGATCGAGAATACCGCGCTCCAACAAACCTGTGCAAAAGTCGTTGCGAGATTCCGCGTTGTCAGTTGAGAGGGTGCTCTCCTCTCGGCATTCTATAGCATTTGTTCCACGCCTCCAGCAGCAGCACGCAGCTGTGGAATCTGTAAAAGATGAGCAGAGGCAGGCCGATCCTGGACAGCACGCCCCAGACGAGCACGCCGAAGAACCTGAGCTGCAGCTCCTGCGACAGCCAGTTCTGCGTGATGACCGTGTCGAAGGCCCAGAGAACGGCGTTGCTGAAGAGCAGGAAGGTTATGACCTGGCGGCCCGGCTTCGCTAGCATTTGAAAGCGCGTGATGCACGAGCGTCGCGAAGTCTCGGCGATCAGGGTGCTCTGCGCGAAGCACTGTACCAACTGCAGAATCGACGTCGACAGCAGCATGATGTGCCTCGCCCGGGTATCCTCGCTCTCGCTGGTGTCCGATATCGCCAGGGAACAGGCGCACACCACGATGGTGAACACGGAGTAGAGCTGCACTCCGAAGAGCGAGACGTTCGACAGGAGACTGTCCAGGGCGGCCGGCGCTCTCGTCACCACCGAGATCTGACGCACTTGCACGAGGCCGCTGGCGGTCATCAGACTGCTCAGCGTCAGTATGCCGATCAGAGTGCCGCAGGTGAGCCAGGACAGGGTGGCCGACGGGAAATTCTCGTCCTCTCGCACCACCAGGAAAATGAGGATCACCACGATGCCGGCGACCATACATAGGATACCCAGAAAGAGGCCCTTGCTGGAGCCGTCGCAACCTATTCGGCTGCTCAGATCCTTGCTGCCGTGGAACTTTTGTTTGACCAGCCGGTTCCGGCCGACATTCTGACCCATCACGAAGGTCACCGCCGCGGCGATCAGACTGGAAAGTGTACGATGATTCACGATCAACGATCCGGAACAGATCTTACCGAGCGAGACTCCCGAAGAATCTCGTCGATGACACAACACACCTGAATTGGACGATGAAAGGATAGAGGAAGGGCATGCTCGAAGTCCACAATTGTCCCAAGGTGTTGGTGTTCAAACATTCCTGCAGCGCGATCACCTGAGAGATTTGTTCGTTCGAAACAGGTTGATAAGGCTTGAAGGTGCTGGTTTTCGTCGTGGAATCTTCTGAAATGAAGCAGCGTCGTATACTCCCTTCTTAATCGCGAGACATAGTGATGTGTACAGAGTGATGGACAAACTTGGAGTTATTAATTATAAGGTGGAGTTATTAAATATAAAGAAGCCTCTATGCGTTTTTAATAACTCGAAAAATGTTGCTTGCAAAATGGCGGAAGTGGCTTCCCTCGAACAAAGTTTGTCCATATTAGACACCCTGTACGACGCACGCGCGCGCACCTATGAGATCTCGCGACTGTCTCGTCAAGGATCCGGGAAATCCTCGCAGATTCAGCGGAGACACGGACGTTTCCTGCTCGTGTTGCGCCAAATGCACAAAATAAGTCCATTCCTGCGCGGAGTCCCATATCACTAGACGCGTCCAGACCGCGATATTCGTGGCTGCGAGATGCGTAAAGCCGAATCTGGCTGCTAGACCGAAGCGTTCGACGAGAACCTACGGAGCAGATATTTTCTTTGAAAATTCCGAACGGTAAATCCTCAATCAATGAGATTTCGTCGAGCGTTTTCTTTTTTTTCTTCTCGTGTGCCAACGAGTTCGAGAGAACAAGCCGCACAAAAGAAATACAGACAGCGGAATCTCGTCGATTCTACAACGATTTTAAAAATCATCCGACATCCGCTGATCATCCGACGATACGTACAGTCGTCGGCAAAGCGGAACGAAGAAACGCGTTCACGCATTATCCGTATGAGGCGCGTTTAATGCAATTAACGTAAGATACTCGCCTGTGAGTTTACGAAGAGAAAGTGCATCTGCAAGAAGGTGAACAGACCGTGCAACACCGGGTGCACGAAGACGACGTCTGTCAAGCATTCGGCGCCTTGCATCATCGAGTGCATCGCCATTTCCAAACCGTTGAAGACCAACGTCGCGAGGCCAAACACTGAAATACGATTTTTTCCGACTAAGAGAGAGAGAGAGAGAGAGAGAGAGGCACTAACGATGTTATCCGATCCACTTGCTTCACACAATTTTTATCATTGATACAAACTTCGGCTCTCGAGCGAATTGAATGCCGTTAAAACGACGTATGTTCGACGTATATTCGATGAAATTTTCAAGCGGATCTCTCAGTGAAAATTTCAGATAACGTTTCCATCATCGGCCAAGAGTCAATGTTGCAAACTTACGAAGCGCGCCGACGCGTATATAAAAACTGGTCGGTGCGGTCCTGGCCCTGGAGATGTGCGCTCGTTTTAACGACCCGAACCTGGTGAGAGACGCGCCGCCGAGTTCCGCGTCACCGAGCCCACTGTTACCACCTCGATCAAAGCTGCTGCAGCTGTCAACCAGCACCCATATGTAGATGCCGATGATGACGGCGATACTGCCCACGTAGAGGTACATGAGGAAGACACCCTGCAATACGAGATCATGCATTTCTCTCTCTTTCTCTCTCAAACATTTTCTCGCACTCGCTGCGCACGTTTCTACCGGAACAGAATTTTGAGTCTCAAACCGATTTGCTAATTAAGTTCCTTCAAGGCATGTCTCCTGTCGATCCGTAATTCACGAGTTCAAGGTCGCGCGGACTTTCCTCGAACAGAGTGTAAAAAAGTAACGGTATCGGTAATCCGATTACTCGGGATGTATCACGCACACGGAGAACCGGTAACGGTGAAGTTGTCGAATCTACCTACTTGCAAACTGAGCAGAGGCACAGGCGTGTCCATGACCTCGGCCAAACATAACGCCATCGTTAACACGACGATTAGCTCGCCGTACACGTTCGAAAGGACCACCCATAATTGCGAGCTGCAATGAAACAATGGCGGACAAATTGACCTTTGCATCAGTTCTTCGCGAGATATCTTACTAGGGTTCCGAGTGGTCCAGCAAATCGTCGGGGGACCGCGTCTTCGCCAAGATTCTGGAGACCAAGGATCTCGCTGGTTGCGCCGAACTGGTGGATGCTTGCGCGGCCGGCTGCTCGTTGTCCTTGCGGTCACCCCTGCTCGGGGCAGCACCACCCGGCGCACCCTCCACGGTGCCGCCCGTTGTACTTCCGGTCTCGTTCAGACTGTCCTTGTCGTGCTGTTCATTGCCCGCTGCGAGAAACAGAAAGAGAGTGAGAACATGTGCGTCTGTAACGTACGCAGCAACCGGAAAAGTGGAGCCCTGTTCTTCTTGCTACTTTCTTTGGCCCGCCGGTAAAAGAAATGTATGTAACTTTCGCTGAAAGAATTTATACGTTTATCTCTACGAGATTCGCGCGCGAGAGCGCGTGCGGCAACGGTGGATCGCCCGCGGCGAGGTGGATTCATACGTCCGCTGATATTCGTGGTGGATGCTCGTAAACGAGGATCCGCCGTGTTCGGCATATGCTGTGTCCCCCCCCCCCCCCCCCGGATGAGACGGGTTGATNTCCTGGAACCGTTCCGTAGAAAAGATATCGTTCCATTGAATTTCGTATAAAAAGGAAAAAGCGTCCGTTAAAGCTAAGCGAGTTTAATATTATTCGTTCTGTTATCCTCCGACATAACGGATCGTCCACCCGATCGATTCGTCACAATGAATCGACGATGAGACGCCAAGGGAAATATTCGTGTCCGATCACACAATTGCTCTCTCTCTCTCTTTCTAATATATATCGGATTCTGATATATTCGGTACATATCGCGGCGTCTTGTAAGAGCCGCAAAAGCCACGCAATGATGCTTGTTCCACCGCTGCACGCCGCGTGTATGAAACTTCTTCTAGTAAAAGTTCGACTCTCCGGCGCGTTAAATAGCTGGCAATCACTGCGAGTGTAATGCCGTGTAATTAGTGACGGCGAAACCGAAGTTCTTTGGCGCGAATTCGCCCAGCTGTTTTATCATTCGCGCGACATTAATGTCTTCATCTCGCGTTTCATTCGCCTTGAAATATCGATCAATCGTATTGATCCAACAACTGATCGTGATAATGCGAAAAGCCATGAAACGCTATGTGGACATTGTATGTGCGTGCGTGTACGGTTGTTGACTCTTACTCAATTTAACATGGCCTTTTTAATATTCAATTGTCCATTGTGAAATTTAGCCAGAGATGTGTACTTGACGATTTTTTAATTATACCGCTCTTCAAGCAAAACCCTCCTCCCCATTGGCGCTGTGATCCAAGTTTTTCTGTCATTTGCGCGCTATTTCTTTTAAATCTCTCCAGATGTATGGACCGGTTACGGATTATAAATCCTATCGCCCGCACAGTTTATCGATACACTTCAGATGCATAAAATAGCTATTATTTCCATTAACCTCGATTTTTCTTCCACATCGTTTCAAAATGAATACGCTCCGATGCATTCGCGCGCGCGAGAGATAGATACTTACCTGTCCTTAATGAACTCAAGGAATTGTGATATTCTCTGCGACAATTTGAAAGAAATCGCTTTCACGCGTAACGAGTCTCTCAAGAAAGCGACGATCAATTCTAAGCGACTCGAACGACCTATTTACGCGATCGATATCGGCATAGTGAACCGTAACGGACGTTACAATTACGGGAACGCGTAAGTGGCGGTTGTACGCGAAATCGGCTAATAAGCTCTTCTTGGATTCGTTCCGTTACGAGCGCGCACCGCTGATGCAATCTTTTCCGCGTGCTAAATTCGACGTTATCATCTGTTTCGCGCGGTGTGATTGTCGTTGGGGTGTGTATGTGTGTGTGTGTGTGTGTATACATATAAAGCAGTACCAAAAGTCACGAGTCAAAAGCCAAAGCACGCGCGTGCGACAGCTGGCGTACATTGCTCGCCGCGATTAACGAAGCTTGAAGATTATATTGCGTGTCCTGGGACGGAGACATGTGTTTGATCGAGGATGACGCGACGATGGAGCGCCGACGGAAGCCACTACAAAGGATTCTACCGGGGATTGAAGAGGTGAAAGGTTCTCTGACAGGAGGCATCGGACCCTTTCGACCTTGCGGTAAATACCTTGCGGTAAATGGGAGTTGTTTGATGCGACGATGATGACGACATTCGCTAAAGTGTCCTCATTCACACGCTATGAAACTTGGTTACAAATTGTGTGTTAAATAATTTAGTTTCATAAAGATTAATTTGTATGTTCACGCAACATGTGCTTTGTTTTTCTCCTAACAAGAAACATCGGTTTTTTATGTGGTGTAATGTGTAGCAAACGAATTTCCTCGTAACATCTTTTCGCATCTGGTAGATTGTGAGTCGATTGCTCTTCGCAACGACGAGTCCCGTTGAAGCACTTTTTACAACTTCCTTGAAATTTGTCGATGTATTGTGATCGAGAAATCATACTTGGGTTTTGCACGTGTTTTTACACGTAGTTAGTGAATTGCGTTTTACGTGTGTGATAAAAATGTGCAATTTCAATTTTATTCGGAACTTCATGAGAATGAGAAGCAAATTTATGTGGGAATGAAATTGATTTTTTTGCACTCTGTAAAATTTCTCAACAGAAACAGCACAATTTGTACATTTCTTTATATTATCTGCATGAGTCTCGAAATCACAATTTACCTACATGTAAACCTATGATAATTCTCTAATATTTTCTTTTTTTCCTTACAAATACAAACCCGTATATTACAGTTTAAGATGAGGGCGATTAAAACAATTAGATACACACTGTCTACGAATGATCATTTGTTTACGGTATATATTTGTGTGGTCACTCGTTATATTATTCGATGAAACGCAAGGAAGGAACAACAATTCAAACAACAGACGTTTCAATTACTTCATCTCTGTTATTTTTCGCGTTTAGTAAAGAAATTAATTCAGAAGCAGATCGCTCAATTATCCAAATTTAATGATTCACGATTATTCAGTAGAAATGAGGTGAAATAATCCCTACATATAAGAATTTACCTGATGACTTCGCGTACGTTTGTCTCGGGGAAATTTATCGTTGTGACGGGTCGTCAGCGGTGTCGCCGTCCATCGTTAGCTTTCGCGAGATGACGACGGATGTCGAAGAGAAGCGCACGTGACGATAACGCGGCACCAAGTGGCTAACTCTCGACGGCGCTCTCGAAGGAGCATCGACTTCTTCGGGGATATCGAACGGTGGAGTGGTGGTGGCGATGAGATGACGGCTAAGATGATGACCGGTGATGATGCGGTTTTCTCGTAGCCTCGTTTCCAACATCCGTCAATACGCTCGCCGCTCGGTTGAACGAGCGGATTATGCTCTTACCGCCTCTGGAAGAGCTCCTAGGGGGGCATCGGTGCTACGCATCGACCCGCTATTCCGCTCGTGGCTCACTTTTACGGCTGATTCGATGCGTTCGAGCAATTTGACACGGGGTTCTTAGAGGCGCGATAGGACCAAGTAGAGAGAGAGAGAGAGAGAGAGAAAAAAAAGAGGGAAAGGAAAGAAAAAAGAAAGAAACTCGCCTCAGGTTTGTGGCAACGGAAACGTCGTACACATTGCGTATAATTATGATGCGGCGCTAAGCGGATCCGTCATGCGTTAATGCGCGAACGAAATCAATGTATGAAATTGATCTCTGAAGTAGAGCAAATAACATTTGATAACGCCACATATGTGTTCCAATAATCAGCAATATTTTCTTTACGCGCAAAAAATACTTGCGTTCGATCTGTATTAGCTGATATGCGTTAGATCGTAGAGCCTTTCTTTTTTGGCTAAGTTGCATCGATAATACGATAACGTCACGAGAGGAAAGAATTGGCGAGATCGATTGAACGACCCATCTAGAGGGTCTCGGAACGTTATCTATGGACGGTGATGATTATCCGACTATGTTAGACGATGCGCCCGATGCGCAGCGGCCCGAGCAAATTGCCGAGTACAATTTGTCGGTGTCTGCGAAACGATGATACGGCCACCGCCACGATTACGCGTAATAAGCTATTATAGCGCTATACGTGCTATGTGCAGCACGATCACCTGCCATTTGCGGAATATCGATACCCGATAATGATAACAACCACTCCGTGCCATCGATGAGATTAATTTGCGGGATAATGTCTGTCAACTGTTCGGCACTTAACAGCGACTTTGCGCGTGTAACATCAGATCCGTCAATTTTGGCGGATGGTAATAAGAAAGAAGGATATTTTCTCTTACACGATGATACACGACGAATCGTATATTAGACAATGCGAAGAGGCATTTGAGACAATGTTGGATCTGTGTAACCTTTTTGCCGAATTTGGAGTTAATGAATTCGTCGTGATATTAGACGCTTGCAAAAGTTCGTATGATATTTCGGCCATTTCTATTTATTAACGTAACAATAAAACGACGTGTGATTATTTCATCAAAGTGTTGGCTATCAATAGCACCTTTCGGCCATTTTTCGGGTAATAGTTTAATTGATAAGATGACTCATCTTTCGAGATAATCCGACCCATTTTCGCACTTCCTCAGCATTTCGGAGCAGATGTGCTGGATAAATCAGATGAAGCGATATCTGTAGGCTAGGTGCGGCAGGACTTCCGAACGACGTCTCCTTAGCAACATACGGCGTAATTTTGCGCCGATTCCCGGTTATTTGAGAGCGTTTTTCTCTCATGGCTTGGTTCAAACGCCATAATTGGCTTAACTGTAGCGATCTCCTCTTGCACGCCCCGGTGGTAATAATTCATAGTAAAGCCTCTCCACCAGATATATAGAACCTCACGGCCGTTTTGTTGTGGATGTCGATGGTTCAGGATTGTCGAAACACCACCCGTAACTATTCGTCACAAAAAACACTTTTCCGCGCTTGGCAAACAACGAGAGGTTTACAAAGAGTTTATGGGGAAGCTATTTTCCCTCCTTCTGGATCACTGCTTTCAAGCGGCGGGTTGATTCATCAAACTGCCCGTTTGGATCGAGCAATGCTTCCAATTCGTTGTTCTCCGTTTGGACGACCGGTGGTTTGATGATCATCGTTTCTTTTGAAGCTGCTTTTCGCAGCCGACACAAGTCTTTCAGTTGTTGCAGCATCTCGATTAAAGTGGTGAAGCATACAGAAGAAGAAACTTCGTCGCGTTAAATGTTTTGTTCCATCGTATGGCTAACATTTAGAAATCTCGTAAGTAAAGAAAGTAAAGAAAACAATTACCAAGTCACTGCCGTCTAATTATCACCTTACGAAGTAATGAATATGTTTATTATATTTTATTGTATATTTTTTTTCGACTTTCGAAAAAATTTCAATATTCATTATTTCTTAGAGTGAAAAAAGATGTTAAAGCATGTGATGTGATATATCCTTGTATAAATCAATAATGTTTTATATGTGCAAGTAAATTCTGGCGAAAGACGTAAGAGAGAAAGAAGAGAGGTTCTCTTCACCAAATTTCATAAATTCTCTCGTCCTACTTTCGTCGACGTCCCACATCCGCGCGCATGTATGTACGAAAACGCGCGCATTTTTACGCTGTCATGCAAAAAAGTAAGTAATATCATAAGTAATGTCCAATTAGCATCATATGTCGCACTTTCTTCTTCTTCATCTATCGTTCGTCTATGTATTCATGCCATGCGAAAATATCGCGGCACTTTTATTTATTTATCATTTTCTTATCGAAATTCTCAACAAACAAATGCACGATAAACATCGCGCGTAGCACCTAGAATAGAAATGGGAGATTTTCACGGCGCTTCCATCTTGACTCTATGTTAAAACGGACAAAATGCCCCGTAACTTTCCAACGTTGATCGAAACGTGCTATTTGTTCGACCAACGATTCGAGCAATTGTTGCGATCGCGGAATCGTGCGGGGAGATTGATCGATTTATTATCGAAAGCATCCGTTGAGACGAATATAGTTTACGAGCGAATTGCTGACCGACATGTTGTCATCCGTTTTTTTACGTATTGCGATGTATTCTGATGGTCGGCAAACAAACATACTTCTTGTCCTTCTTATCTTCTCTCGAGAATGCAAAACAGGACACTTGTGAAATTGGACACGTACGAACGTCATTCGTGTCAATCTCGTCGCAATGATAAATACATACGAGGTGAGATCGTGGAATGTAGGCTAAAGTGACACGCGTGAATCAAAGGTGCACCCCAATAGGGTACACTATTACCAAAGTAAGAAATACTGACTTTCGTTTACGAGACTATCAGGTCATTCCGCAAAAGATGATCGAATTTCCTACGAATAATCATTCGTACCTGTCGTTCGTACGTCAAATCTGCAGAAAGCTGTGTTTTTCACATTGATCACATTTGTACAATGAAAATGAGCGTTTTCAGCGATAGATATGTGTCACGATGAGGAGGTGTTGACGATTACAAGTAATACTGACAAAAATCGCGATAAATTACATCATCGGATCGTTGATGAGGAAGCGACGGCGGCAACGGTATATGATACCGCACTTTACAACAACGACCTGTGTTTCACGTAAAGTCCACTCAACGAATGTTGACAAAAAAATTTTATTATAGCAATAAAATAATCGTAATAAAAAACAACTGTGTGTATGTGTGTGTGTGTGTAGTAATAGAAGACGCAACAGCGTTCATCATCCTGCTATGACACTTTTTCACCTGGATTATGGCGGTCATTTGATGCGAGCTGCATAAAGTCGTTAAGTAGCTTGTAAAAATGTACACGTGACAGCTTGTGTTATAACGGAATCGCTTTTATAAGTCAAACGTTTAAAAATCTGAGAGCTTTCTTAAAAAAAAAAAGTGGCATTTCTATAATTGTGCGAGAGAAAGAGAGAGAGAGAAAGAGAAAGAGAATTGCATGAAATAATTGTCTAAAATATACAAATACCAAAACGTTCCTGCGGATCGTGAACAAAATAAGTGCGAAAAGATTTGCAAGCATACATGTTTCGGACCCAGCTTGTTCTCCTACTTCTCATAGATCAGCGAATGGGATTGCACATCGCCTTGTCTTTCCTACAATTTGTTCTATCGTGACGCGCATTTGTACCCGCGGCAGCATTCATAATGACCAAGGCGGGGAGAGAACATTTGCGTCTCGAAAAGTCGAGAGTCGTCTCATCCGCGAGTTACAAAGCCCGTTCCCGCCGTGTGTATACGTGCGTTCATGCACGCCGTGTATTCCTGCACGATTGTGCATCTCTCTACTACCGCGAGAAAAGTGGTTAACTGTACACAGACCGGCGTTGGTATTCGGCTGCAGCTGCATCATCAAACTACGCGGAGTCAGTTATGTGTAACAGTGACTGAAGCCCGTCAGGAGGCTTTTAGTAACGGTGGCGTCATGTGGCTGACAGATCGATGTTACGCGACGATTAATGGAGCCAGAGCACGTTCGAAAGTAAGCTAGCGGCGGCTGGACCGTGTGACTAGTCACGTTTACGAAATTTTTTACTGTTACGAACTTATTCTTACACGGTAGAAAGCATTTCGTACTTTTGCTAAAATCGTGTTGGAAGCTTCGCGTTGAACGTTCAACATAGCCGTGCGTCAATTTAAGATATTGCGTTATTTGAAGACGTTGAATTCAACATTCTTTTGCGTTGAAGTAACACAGTTTACATCTAAGTACGCACGCACGCGCGTCTCATCTCCGCGGAAAGACGACGAACATCATTAATTGACCGCTAGATTTCAAGAACGGAACCGGCTGCACGATAGCAGCGACTTCGCTCGCCGTCTGGCACGGTCATTTACAAGTTTTAGCTTCTCCTCGTTAATTTGTGATATATTGTTTGTATTACTTCGCTAGGTATTCGTGTCAAATTAATGCAAGAACCGTTTAACCGCAAAATCCTTTACACCTCGCGAATAATCGACGTTTCAATCGTCGCGATATCATCAAGTTGCATCACGATGCTTGCGATTGCAAACTTCCTCTTCTCTCTCTTTCTCAAGTTTGATCCCTCGGAAATTGTTACATAAGAGATTGATCGTTATCCCTTCACTCGCGCGGATCCTTCTCAACGAAGCGAGCTTTTTCTCCCCGCGACGGAGGAGAAAACGATCTCGGCAACCGGTGGAACGGCCTGAAAAGTTATGCGCAAGAAGAGATCTTTCCTCCCGCTCGCGCGACTTTTACGATCTAGCCGCCTAGACAATGGCGAACAATTGTTATATCACGCGTACACTCTTGTCTAATCTAATAACTTACCGTTGCGCTGTATGCATGCTTTCTAATTCTAACGTGCAAATCCGTGGATCCAAACAATAGAACGCATAAAGATGTATAACGCGGCGACTGCGCATATAAAACTGACCGGCCGGCCAGTCAACCAGGAAACAAACAAGAGTAAAAGTTTCTGTTAAAGTCTCTCGGCGACGAACACAACGAAATATACTCTCGATAGGGTAAGCGGACGGCGTAAAAATGGTGAAAGTCGCGCATTTTATGTGACACACCGAGCAACACAGGAGTTCCACAGTGGCTGCGAGTCGAAGAATGCACTATGTCGGACGAAGAAGCAACGAAAGGTCTCTCGAAGGAAAGCAACAACGAACCGGATTTGTGTAGAAAGCGGCGTGCGCATTACTTGTCTCGAGTGGTCCGAACAATGCGGTGATCCGTTAACACCGCCGCTCGTGTTTGGCTTTTAATGTCGCGAGAAATTGAATTGCTAATATATAAGTGTAAACTCCCGTTTAACGAAGAAGAGATATAGCGGGGGTGGGGAGGGCGCGTATCAAGTATTTGCTACGATGAATCTACTCAAACAGACGAGATGATCATTAATAATCGTGTTTAACTTCGTGCTTGAAGCAAACACATCTATGTTAGAAAAAAAAAACAAAAAGAGAATTCGTTTCTAAAACGTTTTTCATTCGAAATGATTGGAATTCTCGGCGCCCACGTTGCGACGCGTTCTCGGGAAACGTCCGGTCGTTCGAGTCAACCGCGAATTAGAATGGGAGAACAGGTTGACCGTTGCGTGCGAGCGAGATGGGCGGAATCGCGACAGGTGCGACACAACTTTTAAACGATCCATCTCATGAGCTATACTTGGCACGTATCGGGACACGTTGATGTGCATACCCGATGTCTACCGCTACTCGGGTCCTTTTTGCCGGACAATACCGTAAGACGCGTGTCGTCCCGCATACGAATGCAGGTCGACACACTTTGTCGAATTGTCGCGCTCGCGCGCGATCGTATCTGTATTGAACGGTTGACAAATATAGACGATGCAAGTGATGGATTGATTGATAGTTGAGTCGCGTGCAAAACGCGTGTGTTTGGAAGTATGCTTCATTTGTATAATCCGCAAGCTAATTCAGGTTAACGAGGGTGTACTTGACTACCGGCTTTCATTGCGATATCAGCTCAACCGACTTGGAGTAGAGTGAATAAATGTAATTCGAGATATCCGCGTTTCAACATTTCGTCATTCAGCTGTGCGACCGATTTTTCAGACGCTCGGATCAATCGTATCTCATGCGCAATTAAACGCGACGGTATCACAATGTTGGATACCATCATGGCACTCAACATATCAAACTATGTTATTTCAATAGTTGAGAAAATCCTAATCGTCGCGCGAAAAGCATAATTGCTAAATGATCGAGACGCGTCTCGTATAAGGTAAGTTCTCTCTCTCACCCTTATTTCTCATCGTCGCGGCGGTTACCGTCGTATCTATCGGCCGTTCTTCCCCTCTACAGGACGATGTTCCTCCAGGGCGACATTCCGACTTTTCCGATTCGTTCCTCCAATCGTCGCTCTCTTCCAATTTCGTTTCGACGAAGGGGAGATCTCGAATATCAGGTACCAAGGTTTCCTCATCGTCCTCCCTCGTGATCTTCCACTTCGCCCTCGAACGATGCTCCACGTCCTCATTTTGCGCCTTCGTCTCTTCGATCAGTTCCTCCTCCTGAAGCATATACTCACGCCTCTCGTTGGGATTCTTGTAGACCCTGTAGGGTCCAACCAGGCCCACCACTCCTTTGGGCATCGCCACCGTTGCCTCCTCGTGCCACGGATTTTCGTAGTCCGGGTGACCATCGGAATACATCGCGACGGACGTCCTCCAGCCGTTTCTCACCTCGATTCGTTCGGAGGGAGGGTCGTCGGGGAGTTCTCGGTCGATTCGATCCGTCTCCTCTTCGTCGGAGAACGACTTCTTGGACTTCCTCACCACGCTGTACAGAGTATCCTCGACGTTCTCGGGGCGCGACGATTCCTCCTCTCGTCCGGGTAGCCAGACATACGATAACTTCCGCTGCTCTTCGAGCCAATTCAGCGACTCGTCCGCCGCTCTGATCACCACGACGAGGGCGGCCGATGAGGAAGGAGGAAGAGGAGGAGGACGTGTCTGTAGGACGTGTCTCGTCTTGCTGTCCAGGATACTGTAGATCGGCTCACGCGTCGCCGCTTGAATCCATTTGGGTCGCGAGGAACCTGGTCTGCCAGCGACCGTTGTCGTTAGGGATGCTCTTCCGTCGATCGTCGACGTGGAAATGCCAGCGAGCTCGGCCACCATAGCGATGCGAATTCGTTCGTTCAACGGGCCGGATGTCACGATCGTGACCAACGAGACGAGTACCGTATCGTGCGCCGTCGACGAGATCGATAATCGGCGATTTACGAGCGCCGTGCAAGAAAAGACGAATCTTTGCGGCACTTGTTGCGCGGGGATGCGAAAGTAAGCGCGCTTACGCGTAAAGCATTTCAGATTTCTCCGGCGAATTAAGCTCTGTCGCTCGGCCTTCGAAATTAATGAATCGCGTCTCGGTGAAATCCCCCGCTTAAAATGAATAAATTCACAATAATCGCGGTCACTTTCTTCGTCTTGATTTTTGAAGGATATTTCTTCTTCGAGAGAGTCAGGAAGATTGTTGCTCACCTTCGATTTCTCTTGGAGAGTACCGAGTTCATTAATTAGTCGCGCGAAATCGTCCAAAGTCCATCGATCCGAAATCGCGCGGATAAATCGTCGAGTTTCACGAGTGTCTTCACTTGAACGGCGGCGAATCTTTCTCCGATTCTCGTCTATCCGGCGTCTAAAGTGCGCTCACCCGCACGTAAAAGGCAAATGACTGGACGACTCGAGTTTTCGAACAATGTGCGCCGTGGTGGTGGCCCGATGGAATGAACGTTCGTGACCAGATTCGCGAAGAAGAACATTCCTCGCGATCGACTTTCGATCGACATCCGAACAATTCGTTCGTCCTCGGAGTTGCGAAATTGTCGCTTCGAGAATTGCCGATTTTATTGCATCGGCAATAAGAAAGAAACAATAACTGTTGCGTGCGAACGCAATCTCGAGTAGTTTCTTGAGAAATCTCAACAGGCGGAGTGCCCGAATTCAACATGTACAGAATTTCTTCCCGCAATCCCTCTCTCTTTTCATCATACGATCGACACGTTATTCTTTATTATATGCATGGCGTCGCAATGGCGTAATTTGATTCTGACGTGTCCTATTTCGCGGACGTACGAGCAAATTGCGCGTTCACGCGCGTGTGTGCCGATTGTTACATCTCCTTTGCTTCGGGATCAAGCAGAATGTACGCGGATAAATAACTTCGAGACCTCTTTACGAGCTATCTGGAAATTACGCGAGCAATAGCGACGCGTCCTAAAGACCGCGCTGGAAGAGATCAAAAAGCCTCATCATCGGCGGAACAGCTGTCGGCGGACACGGTCGATCGCGGGATATTGTGTTATTCGCGCGCGCGCGTACAGTAATCGGCGGTGCAGGATAATCGATCACGAAATTGCAGATAATGGGCGACCGTTAGACTCACCAACTTGGTCGGATCCGCCGTGTAATCACACGAGCGGCACCGACGACACAGTGCTGACATTTTTTCCCTGGACGCGGATGGAGGAGGATACACGACCTCGAGCGATAAACTCTATAGGTCGTGACATTTTCCATTTGATGATCGTCATCAACAAAACGACCGTACGGTCCTGCGAGATTTGTTACGAGAAAGAGAGTTAATGCGTGTATATCAGCATCAATCGGCGGGCTATTGTGTGATTGACGCATTTCTCGTGAATTAGCAACGTCGACGCTTCCCGAACCAACGGGACTTCTCCTTCCTCACGGAAATAATAGATGAATTATCGTGCGTCACTGTTCGAATACATTTCTCCCGCGAATTGTTCAAACGTATACTCGAGCGATTCGTTCTCGACTATGAGGGCGGAAACGAATTCACGCGCTCGCGAACAACGCGCGATCGAGGAGAGGAGAGAAGGAAGAAGAGGGGTCGTCAAAACAACGATGCGTTTCTCTCGTTTATTTTAGTACACGTTCCGACGTCACGAAGACGACAGTTTGCGAACGCGATAATAATATCAGGCCAAGAACAAGGGAACAGTGTCACACAACGAGGCAACCCACTTTGCGTGAGGTGCGCATCAACCGACGATTGCGTCAGCGATCTCCTTAACGTTACCAACACAGTCGCGCCGACGATGATGCGTATATATTTCCTCGCAGTTTTGATCCTCCGTTGCGTTTCGTATCCTGCGACGAGCGAGCTGTAAGTGAGGTTTTCATTCTCAGGTCTCGTAGAAAAGGAGCCCGCAAGTTTCTCATATCAATATCGAAATTTCTATGAGACTGAAGTGAGACGGATATCATCGGATAGATTTGTTGCCAGGAACGTCTTTTCCTTCAGATCAAGTCTAACCCTTTCATCATCTCGATGCAATCGGCCGTTCGCGATCTCGCGTTGTCTGACGAAATATCCTCGTGAAGTAAAACTCCCCCTGATCCTCGACTTGAAGAGAGGAAGTCTACTCTCTTGCTTCAGGGTGTAGCTGTTGAGAAACTCGGCTTCGCGATCAACAGCTCGCGCAGCGATCTACACGAAACTTCTCTCTCTCTCTCTCTCTCTTTCTCTCTTTCTCTGTCTTCGCAGAACGACGTGGCTGATGCAAGGCGACTTATTTACCGATGAGGAGGCAACATCGCAGCTCATCCAACTGGACACGCATAAGACGTATTACCCGGTGAACACCATAGCGGAGGTGTCTTACACGGCACGACGCGGCGAAGTCATCAGTTGCGTAATCGCTGCTGCCGTTCACCAGCACGGCCATGTCCACGTGATAGAGGGTGGCTACAAGACGAGGAAAGTCCGCGTTCGTTATACCACGATGAACGGTAGACCGGACATCCTCTTCGTCCTCATTCAGGCCGTCAAGAGGGAACCGGTATTCGTCGAAGGAAACGTCGCGAGAAGCACGAGACTGAGCATCGTTCACGAGCCCATCAGAAACTGGACCATAGAGGAAGTTCGGAACTCCATGCGCAACTTCTCCTCAAGCTTCTTTCCGTTGTAATCCTAATATTTTCATCCATTAAATACTTTCGGAGCGTGAAAGTATTTATCGAAGAGATCTTTCCCGTTTTCCGCCGCCTTTTTATATCTTCTGCAAATTGTCAAGCCGCTTCAGTTTCTACGCCGAAGAGCGATTTTTCAACAGTCAGCAGTTGAGAATCTCCTCGTGAGCGAATCTTTCGTTCGCTCGTTCAATGTATGAAATATTATGATATTACTTCTCGATCGTCTCTTCAATCTCTCACTCGTTCCACACGTATCTCAATCTGATTCAACCAATTTCTCCAGTTTCCATCGTATTTTCGTCAAATAAAGAAAAATCCGTCTACAAAGTCATCCGTTCGTCCCGCACAAATCCCGCCACGTTTTATTCTTAAACGCTTCATTATAACGATTTCATCATCTACGACCAGTGTACACTGAAGACAGAATTCGGTAACAATTGATGTGGTTAAATAGTTTCAAATAAATTATTTGGTCAGTGCAACCAAATTATTTAATACTATATACCGTATATAGTATTGTATATGGTACTACAGATTTAATTGCAAACAATTTAATTGAAACTACTTAACCTTATCTTGATAATTATTACCAGATTCTTTTTTCAGTGTAGGACAGATCGGAACGCTCAGATCGATATAACGAATAAAACCAAGACGGATCATTCCTTCCTTCTATTTTACAGACAGCCATCAGGTTTCTCGTTCCACCTGTTGTACCAGCGATGTTTGAGCGCTCGTCCAGTCGGCGTTAATTGTGAAAGTAGATCGCCACTCGTGTAACTAATAAGGAGATATTACATATTTTGCCGAGAAGAGATTGAATAATTAATCGCGCGCATCGTAACGAACTATAGTATTTCGTGATATTGCGCGATCAAATTTCGCCATCGTGCTAAAAATTAGTCAACAACTAGCAGACAAACACAAACAAGTGATTTCAAGAATATTCGTATCAAAACAGTATAATAATGAATAAAGGCGCTCTCTCTCTCTCTCTCTCTCTCTCTCACTGTCGGTTATATTTAATATAATATATGAAAGAATGTATCTCAAGTATAAAACGCTTGCGCCACGTTTAATTTCGTCCGTGTCAAAAGGACCTCGTAGTTTTCGTTTATTTTCCTTCGAAAATTACGTTTCACGTTCACGATGGATGAATAGTTGCGAGGTGGTAATTTCTCTGCTGGCGAAATGTTCGCAGCGATTCTACTTAAACGACTCGTTCGATCACGCACGAGCGACCGTGGGCTGTTTCGAAAACAAGAGTTGGAAACAAGAGTTGTGAGCAGACTCCGTATAAGAACGATCATTTTCACTTCCGTAGAAAAGAAAAGGGAAAGCGCGGCTGTTGTCTCGTCAGAACAAGAAACTATATCACGGCGGCGAAGACTAGTTTATCAGAAGCGGAAATTTGCCAACGATCAACCGTCGCAAAGAAAAAAACGTTTAGGAAGATTTTTCAAATTTTTGAATTTTGATTTTTTCGGGACTCTCCGTTTTAAAAATCAATTTAATCTATATTTTCTAACCAATCTCCCCTATATTTCTAATCGACAGACGATTACGAATTAACGAATAAATATAGTTGAAACAATCAATCCTACATTCGGAAAAAAACCGATATAGTGAAATGTTGAATATGATATCTCATGAAGGTGTTATTATCTATCGATTTCCAATGAAATGCGAGAAAAAATCTCGGAACACGAATGAGATCCTACCTGATGATTTGCCGGGGTTGGATTCCTCGATCGGCTGGAGAGTTCGCGACATCGTCTCCGACGGTTCCGTTCTTCAATGTGAAACGAATGCCGTGATAGGTACTAACGAGATGCTTGCAAAATCACTGCCGATGTACATTAATGGGCCGAGTTTTGTCCTCAAGAATTGACTCGCCTTCAAGTAAACTCGCTGTCCATCTCGCGTCACATCTTCCGAGGACGCACGTCAGCCGGCACTACCGGCTTAATTAGTCGACGACACTCGGAAAATCGAATCGATCGAAGTAAAATTCAAAAGTGACGTTTTTTCCGCAAGATTTCTCGTCACGAGAGAGAGTAGTGGTGCATTGGCTAACAAAATTTCTCAATATTGCAATATTCTCATCGAAACGAATTTGTGTTGGTCACCATACAGTAGATTGACAACTCGGGTTGAAAACAGTTTCCTCAAAAGAGGCATTAACAAAGAATCTCCGTTCGCTCGGACAAACAGTGCGTGTCAATCGTTTTTCTCTGTGTAGTATAACAGAATTTGATTCGACGATTACGAAAGAGACGAGAGAAAGAGAGAGAAGCTTGTTTCATGTCAGGGATTTATCAGAAAGGATAATAGTTTTGATTTCCTCACTGGCGCTAAAAGGCGCTCTTTGACGAAGGATTTCTTCTTTCCGTCCAAAAGAGAATCTATTACTTGCGGTAGTTCTCTCTCTCTCTCTCTCTCTCTCTTTCTTTCTCTCTCTCTCTCTCTCTCTTCCTCTCTACATATTAAGGTATTAATAAATGTGCGTATTTTATTCTCGTTTATTTTCTAATGCAGAAATCATTCCTCTCGGCGCCTTTGCTTTCCCCCCTCTCTCTTTCTCTCTCTCTCTCTCTTATTTAAAATATGTATTCTCGCACTTTGAAATCAACTATTGTTTCGCCTTGCCGCTTCGGTTTTCTTCTTAAAAAAAAAAATTATCTCGTCTAAAGATATGTTTTTGCAAACAGACGATTGTTCTGTCCGATTGCTGAAATCAAGTTGCGTGTCACATCCTCATCCATAGACTGGTAGTCGAAATAACGCGCGGTTATCGGGCACGTCCGACGGGTGCCCCAGTAGTAGCACGTGCGACGACTCGCGCGTCGCGTCACGTGCGAGCGACTGAGACACCACGGTACGACTCTCGTCGTTCGACACGCACGGCTGCCGCGTACTTTCGAATAACGGATGCTGTTACCGCCGCTGCGAGAGAACACCGCGAGAGGAAAGCTACGTCGGTCGTACATCGACCAGCACTGCCGCGACCCGGGAGTCTGACTCGAATCACCGTAGGAGAAGGAGGTCCTTCGCATCCTTTGCGAGGTGGGAGAAAATCTTACGCGCCGATTCTTCTTCTCCCTCTTTTTAGAAGAGAAAAGAGAGGGGGAAGGGAGAGAAAGAGTGCATTGAACATGACAAAGAGAGAAGAGGGCATCTCACTACCACTTTCATTTTACGGGACTTGAAATGGCACATGGCTTTCTGCGCTTCTCGCACGGTCAAGTTGCAGAGAGTTACCGCAAAGGTTAAACCGTCGAAAGCAACGTTTGACTTGTCAATTTTATTTCTGTACGCATAATGCGCATCTTTTTTTGGCGTCAACCGAGCGTAAAGATATCATCGTGACAAAGGATCTTGTCAATAATGTCAGTATTATCGAATAATCATTTTGCGACAATATAATTGATTTTATCTTCACATTGCATATTCCGAGCGATTAACATTGTATAAACTCAAATTTGTGTAAGTTGTCACATTGGTCACAGATTTGTAATTGTGCGTTTTCTTCGACACACGAACGATAGTGGGGAAATGTGCACGTTATAAACACACGTTTGCAACAAAATTGCAAAGACTGGAAATCCAACTGTTCGTCATTTCCAATTGCCTTCCCGCGGGCGGGAAGGCAGTCTCTGTATAAGAAACGAGTTTCTCAAACATAGCTGTGCTCACGAATGTTCGACAACGTCACTTTGTCACTTCTTCTTGGAGCCAAAGCCGGAAAATCCCATGATTGCGACCATTTCATCAGATGGCCCGGCATCGTCCTCCACGAGTTCCTCGATTTTCCTCTTCTTGTCTTTCCTCTTTTCCTTCCTGTACTCTTTAATCTTTTCTTCCTGCGTGAATAACAGCAGCGTTAACAAATTGTATGTAATATAAATAAACAAATAAGGAAATAAAAGAAGATAATCAACCTCTTCCTTAAGCTCCTTTACTCTTTGTTCCAAATCATAATCCTTTTCCTTCTCTTCACGTTTTTTCTTATTCAGGGCAAATCTAGCTCTAACTTGTTCCACCGTGGATCTCTCTATCTTCATAGACATACCCAAGTTGCGTTGATCTGTCAATAATTATACAAACCATCAAAGAGAGATGACACAATTTATGTCATGTTGTATTCTCGAACTAGAGATTTCGACTTACGTTTTGTCCCGTTAATATGGTCCAAAAAATTGATGGAATCTTTAACAACGCAGTCACAGACATTGCAGTAATATCTACAAATAATGATGTAACAATGCAATTGATCTCATTTCTCTATAGAAAATTAAGAATAGTTGTATAAATTATATATATATAGTTGTATAATATAGACTGTATAATAATAGTTGTATAATTATATACATATGTACTATGAATAAATAAATAAATAAATAAACACACACACACACATACACAAATATTCGATTCAACATACCCTCCAGTTTGTGAGGATGGTGTATTTTTATTGATAACTACACTCTTTCCCAATTTAGATTCAAGATCTACTTTATAGTCTCTCTGTTTGAGCAACTCTCTCTTAACTGCCGGTTGCTTAGGAAGACCCAATTCCTCCTCTGCGATTTCATCCTGGAGCCTCTGAAGCGCAATCCTTTCGTATTCCTCCCGGTTCCATTTCCTCCTGTGATCATCGGGTCTCTGAAAATTTTGCGTTTCAAAAGCACACATTGATGTAACAAATACATCAATGGTAAAAGGCACAATTATTTACAACATAATCTATATATCATGCAACTATTGCTTTTTGCTCAACAAAAGAAGCAATCATTAAACTTTGTGTACAATTCTTTATTAATCTTGGCATATTCCAGTGGACCATTGAACGTTTCTCAGTTTTCTAGTTTTCATATGGCTTTTTTTCTTAAAATATCCGCTAGAATGAACGGATATAATTTTGTCTTAAATCGCATTTGTGCCATTCGAGAGTTTTTTTTCCGAAAACACTTTTTCTCACAAGTTACTTTCGATACAACATTTTCTCGACCCGATGTTATAAATATGTTATTTTGTATTTTCAATCGCTACATTAGTCTCCGAAATATTACTTGGAGAGAAAAAGAACGGTTTGTGACGAAAGTGTAGCAAATTAAAGATTCGATGATAAATGTAGATGGTTAAAATCAAGTACAACACAAAATTGAAGAAAGGTGCAAAATTTACCCTATATAAGTAAATTGTACGTTAGAAGACCCTAATATAATAGAGGTTAAGAAAGAAAAATGTGCGTAACTTGTTATATATTAAATAATGACAATTTTCAACACAATTTATATATATAGGACTATATATATGCATGTAGAATTATACGAACACACACACACATACAGGACATATTTTACACTGACGTAATAATTACCATGGACATTTTTTTCGATATTGTGACGACGATATAAAATGTTTGACAGAGTAAACAAATCGCTCAGCCTGAGTGTACCCGGAGAGCAGTCATATCCGCGATGTTACCTTATATAGAAATGCCTTTATAAATGCAAAACGTGCATTCCGAACTACATACGAAAATTTGTCGATGCGTAATGTCGGAATGCGCACAATTTTGGTTCTGTTCCTTACTAACCTCTCAAATATCCGCTCTATGTAACCATGGATTACCCCCACTTTTCCTATTGTCACAATGGCCAATATTCCTAGTCGGGTCTTAGGGCCAGTAGCTTAGCCAGTCTACAATAGGCGTTTAACCCTCAAGAAATTTACCTATCACAGTTGAATGTGAAGAAAATGATTAATTGGTCAATTTCTTAAAGCTTACGGCTTAAAACATCTATTATAGGCCCGTATTCATAGTCGAGTCTTATTTCGAAGACTACCTTAGTTTTGGTCTTAAGACGCTCTCTATATTCATAGTCGACGAATAAGCATAGACTAGCAAAATCTCAAGACAAAGCTTTTCGAAGACTATCTTATTTTAGGGTGCCTTAATATTATATGCACAAACGAATCTCATTTAACATAAGCATTGTTAAAGTTATTACTATACCGAATTCATGATCAGTCTTATTACTACCGAATTCATGATCAAATTGAAAATCATCTTATTGGATGTATATATAGTTACATAAGTCATTTTTCTGTGGGAGCTTCTAGGGAAAATGTCGCCAAAAATTCTTAAAGGAGAATTCACATCTTGGCAGAAAAGTAGAAAGCAACAGCCAATCAGAACTCGTGCTGGTACTAAGCTAGTTAAAATAGTAAACCAAAGCAGGAAGTATTGACCACCACCGATTGCGGCTGTTGCTTCCTGCTTCTCTGTCAAGGTGTGAATTCTCTCTAATACATCTGATCAGCAGTGCAGCTAAAAAGAACAGACGATAGGTCAATGCAACGATTTGGTAATAACCTATGAACTTTATCGGCAAGTTGCATTATTCTAATTAGTGTGCCAAAGTGGCTACAATTCGTCGCGTCATGATAAACGATAGAACGGCTATAAACGTAAAAGGTAGATATTGCGTAGTAAATGCGGATTAAGAAGGGAGATACGCGCGATGCCTTCAGAGATGAGATCGATCAACAGAAGCGATTGGATCACAGTGGCTGTTCTGTGTTTCGTAAATCTTATAAATTATATGGATCGCTTTACAATCGCTGGTGAGTGCCCTATGTTACAAAAATCCACATTTGAACATATTAACAAGTTACATCAACCGGTCAACGATCGTGTTTCATTCAACGAATGAAACACACATCAATGAGCAAATTTTTTACCATAGGGGTATTGAATGATATCAAGCATGACTTCGAAATTACCAACGATAAGTCGGGATTACTACAAACTGCATTTATTTTGAGCTATATGGTGTTTGCACCATTATTCGGATATTTAGGAGATCGTTACAATAGAAAATTTATTATGAGCAGTGGCGTATTTTTATGGTGTCTAACAACATTGGTCGGTTCTTACATGAAAGTAAGTATGGATGTGTGTGTGTGTGTATATATATACATATATATATATGTGATGAATTCAAACAGTTTATACAAAGTGAGAAATATTGCGACAAACTCTTGTTAGATGTTTCATCTATTAGTAAAAAAAGTTGCTACAATATATATTGCATGAATTATGTAATATATATATATATATATTTCAGACATTCGGGTGGTTCCTGTTTTTTAGGGCACTTGTTGGCATAGGAGAGGCAAGTTATTCCACGATTGCTCCAACTATAATTAGTGACTTATTTGTGAAGGATGTGCGTTCCAGGATGCTTGCCCTCTTCTACTTTGCTATTCCAGTTGGAAGGTGATTTTGCTTATTTAGTATAAATATTATTATGTATACAGGGTGGAGCAAATTGAGATACCTTAACCCTTTGCACTCGAGGGTTCCGGAGCAGAGCCATTTAATATTTGTCTTCAAACTCGAGGGCTCCGCTATTTAAATGACTCTGTTCCGGAGCCCTCGAGTGCAAAGGGTTAATATATAATTTCAAAATATTTCAGACAAAAGTTGTAGGAGGTATTGCCTTGTACAGTCAATAATTCAAGGCTATTTCAAAGTCAACTTTTTCAATGAAATTGTATTTTTTTTTTAGCACAAATCTATTACTCATTCTGCATGTAAATATATATATATATATATGTGTGTGTGTGTGTGTGTGTGTGAGAGATACATATACATATGTTTTGAATTTTTAGTGGTTTAGGATATATTACAGGAGGTGAAACAGCCCGTATCACAGGTCACTGGGAATGGGGATTACGTATCACTCCTGTATTAGGTGTCATAGCAATTCTACTATTACTCACTGTTGTAAAAAATCCCATTAGAGGTGAACAAGAAGGTGGTGTTCATCTGACAAGTACCACATGGTCATATGACATGAAGCAGTTGATGAAAAAGTAATTATATAATTTCATTGTTGTAACAATTGTGTAATAATTTTTACGATTGACATTTCGTTTCTTATAGCACGTTGATTGTTACGTGACGATACAGAAATTTTTGTTTCTACTTTGAGGAATTACATTATTCTTGGGTAATTCAATACCATATTGTATCATTGACATGATTTTCAGCCCAAGCTTTATGCTATCTACCGCAGGATTTACTTGTGTGGCATTCGTCACTGGTGCATTGGCATGGTGGGCACCGTTGTATTTACAATTGGGTTTTCAATTACATCCCGACGAGATGAATGTTGATCCAGATGAGTAAGTTTCGAATACATCGTGCACATTCGCATAGATATGACATTTTAAAATTCATTTCAGTGTTGCATACAAGTTTGGATTAATTGGTATGGCATCTGGCTTAATAGGAGTACCTTTAGGTTCTGCAATAGCGCAAAAATTACGATGTCATTGGCAGCAAGCTGATCCTCTGATATGCGCTGTAGGTCTTTTAATAAGCGCACCTTTGTTGTTCTTTGCTTTGATTACTGCCAATACCAACTCTATGCTCTGTTACACGTTAATATTCTTCGGTCAGTTGTCACTGAACTTGAATTGGTCAATTGTAGCAGATATGTTACTGGTAAGTCGAAAGACAACGCTAATAGAGTAAAGCGTTTCATCATAATAAATTATCTCATTAATTGCAGTATGTAGTAATCCCTACGAGAAGGTCTACGGCTGAGGCATTTCAAATACTTATTGCACATGCTTTCGGAGATGCAGGCAGTCCCTATCTTATCGGACTCGTACGTAAATGAATATTAATTCGCTATATATTTCGGCTTGATATATTTTTATTCCATGTAATGTGTATAGAAGAAAAGAATGTTCTTACTACTTATTGATTGGCGGTAGACATTGATTCCTCCGAGGAGGATATTCAATTGATATAATCAAATGAATGAGATATTCTATTAAAAAGCTATTCGACTTTTTAGTATCGGGATTTTTGTCTCAAAAAATATCGCTGGTAATCTACAGAGTGGGCCGAGTATCTCGTGAATGATGCAACTTTGCAAAAAATGTTTTAGATAAAAGTTGTAGAGTTTGATTTATTTATCAGTTTGACCTAGAAGCATCAAATGAAGGTCAACTTAATTTTTATAAATGAAATCATAGATTTTTCAACACATACACACACACACATCAAATCCTCTGTTCATTATGTGTATAAAAGTATCATCATTGATGAGTGAACACTCATCATTTTTCACTTTTTATCCAGATATTTTTAGCTCAAAAAAATACGAAATAAAATATTCACTCATCGATGATCTGGTACTTTTGTACGCGGAATAAATAGAAGAATCATGTGAAGAGAACTATGTGATTCCATAAAAAAAAATGTGACCTTTATTCAATGCCTCCACCCAAGGTAGGACTGATAGGATCAGTAAATGAATGAACCTTGTAATTTTGATCAAAAACATTTTTTCAAAATTGTCTTGTTACGGGATATTCTACTATATTCATGGCCCATATCGTTCAGGTCATTCTGCATTGTATAATATCAAGTTGTCTGTTTCAGATATCGGAAGGTCTAAAGTCCATATATCTGCCGGTTCAATCTATAAGAGGTCTACTGGTGTTTGATCAGGATATAAACGTCGAATTCCGCAGTCTACAATACGCAATGTTTCTTACAATGTTTGTAGAAGTAATCGGAGCTCTATTTTTCTTCCTGACAGCATTGCATATACAGCAAGACAAAGCATTAGTTGATCTTGCTATTGCGGGTAAGTAACAAATTGTGATTAGCATTGAGATGTTTATCTTGTACATATTATAACTAATAAGCTTAATGCTTGATGTAAACGTGCATGCACAGACACGCACGCACGCATGCATGTACGCATGCACGCACGCACGCACGCACGCACGCACGCATCATTAATGTGTTATATTTCTTAGATATTGAACTATTAGATCTTTTGAAATTAAATACATCGATCTATCATTTCTTCTTTCATACGACTCAATATTTATAACTTTTATCATCTTTCTTTGATCTTTGGCATATATTGGTATTTTAAATAATCAATAGTTATAACGTACAAATACCCGGAAAGAGAGGATGTACGTTGAAAATTTCTAGTGTCTTTACACTTGGTAAGTGGCTCACACAATTCTGTTAGCAGAATGTATATGCCGAGTTGCTACTGAGTAAAGCGACTCAAAATAGCGTATATATAATTCACACGATGAGTGTAATACTATCGAAATCGTCAAGATCAAATTTATGGATGTAATAAAGTTGTCTGATAAAAAATTTTGATAATATTATAAAACAATATCTATCAAAAGAAGATGATATATATATACACACATACATATTAGTATTGTTATATTAATGAATTAATATCCATAATATACGTATATTACTTCTATAGTGTAGAACTGGTTGGAATGTGAAGTAAAAATTTGCAACTCTTCTAAAGCATTATATTTTTGCACAGTGCATGAATTATTCTCAACTTTGGACTTGGAAGTCATGGGATCAAAAAAAAAGGTAGTGTGATAATTGACGATAATTATAGCATGTTAAGTGCCAAATTGTATTATATTGAATGCATTGTATGTAAAAGTATGAAAAAAGTATTACAGAAGATACTGCGGGACAATATGTTACAATTTTGCAATCATATATTCTCAAAATTTATATGAAATATCAAATAAGCGATTGCAAGGATAAGTGAAGGGACGATTGGAATTGTTTGCGATTGTTGGCAATTGGTGAAAAAAAAATATGGTGAATCTCAATACTTGGCCAAAGCTGATAAATTTTTTTATCGCGTACACTACTTCAATATTACGATCATAGATGTTAAGTAAACCATACAAAAAAAAAAACACGACGGTCTTTGAATCATCGTATTGCTTGTTTGTCTCAAATTTTATATATTTTTGTCGCTTTGACCATCAAAGAGCATGCCATTTGTTCTTTCAATTATCGTAATATGCCAATATAGTATAAATCGTGTTTTATCGATTGTTAATTTAAATTTTGACGGCAGTTTCAAATCTTTATTTTATGTTCCAGCAATTAAGAAATGGTGTTGACGTATGAAAACGTATCAAAATAAAATCTGTTGAGAACATATAGGAGTATATAGTGCTATAGTTGATCGTGCTATCATGTGTCGAAAGTAATTGTTATTTTTTAATCTCGATGCTTTTCTACTACGTTGAGTGGCGTTTGACTATACAGAGAAAGAGAGAGGGAAAGAGAGAGAGAGAGAGAGAGAGAGAGAGAGAGAGAGAGAGAGAGAGGTGTTACTGGTATAATCAATCTCTCGCAGAAATTGATGAAACGATTTTTTTGTTTTAGAAACAGATTTTATTTATTGCAGCATGTATATGTACAGCATACATGATATGTTGAGTGGGGAATGTGCATGCAGTTATTTTTATATAACATACAAACATCTTTCTTACAGACAAATGTCTAGATACTAAGAATAATGGGCAAGCTGAATCAACGCATTTATAGATCATCACTGGGCTTCACCCGACAGTGCGCTGTATACCCGGTACATAATTTATTTTCACGATTTCATCATCTTTTCTTTTTCTTTTTTATATAATTTTGTAATCAGTTTCATCATTGTTTCATCCTTGTTTTGTATAGAAGAAATATGTGAGATAATGTTATATTATTATATTTGTTATTACATATTCTTGTGTTTGTCGTAGCACAAAGTATAAAGAAATAAAATACACACATACACACACTTACACAATATTTAAAAGATTTGAGGAATATCAGAGTTTATTAAATTTTAGTTTTTTTTTCATTATGTGAGAATGTGAGTATTTGTGAGATTTCAAATCCAAACACAATACGCATACACAGTATATTATTTTTATACATATTACGTTATTATACTTTTATATTTTTTGTAGATTTCGTTATATGTATCTTTTCATATATTGTCTGACAAAGAGTATCAGACAATGCACGATTTTAGTTACGATCGAACAATTTCGAATTGAATTTTTGTCTGGTAAAAAATGTCTGGTTGGAAGATCATAATCAATCAAGTTGACGATTACACAATTTTCATTGAAACTTGTCAAAATTAAGCAACTTGCAACTTTCTTTTTTTTTATTATTGGCAATAATAATCAAGCTGCGATGGAGAGTGTCAATAGTTCAAAAGAGATGAGCAAGTTAGTAGCATTAAAAATTACTGGTGTTGCGTTTTTCTGTAAATCAGCTGTTCAGGTGTCAGGATATCTATACTGCACTTTATTCAATGGACGTTCCATCCCGTTAGGACATCCTATGGACGTCTGTGTCTCTAGGACCTTAGGAGTTCCTACGAGCATATCCGACGTAGAATAAATGCAATAAATAGAAGAAGAAACTATATCCAGCTTCTCCCTGCGGCTTGATTACAGAGCAGTATATGATTGTAGACTATCGTATCGCGTGATATACGTGACATCATCTCTGCTGGAGAAATCCAACTTCTCGATTGACCCAATATATAGATCGAGTATTCAAGTGATGTAGAATGTGTTTCAAACTGCTTGCCTACAACGCTTTATGTGGAATGATTAGTTTGTAAAATTTCGAATATGAGTTAGATACGGTACGATGTTTTGCATGTATATTGTTGAAAAGTCATGATGTAATCAACGCATAAGCAATCAAGTTGGTTTCCTTCATTGGTACTTTTGTAATAATCATGTCTTTCTATTTTTATATTGTAAAAATATTGGTATATATGTGCGTATAAACATATACACTCACACATGTACACAAACGTATACACACAGGCTGCATGTATTTGTGTGTGTATACACAGGATGAAGCAAAGGATTCCTACCTGTGATATCTTTGATATCAGATGGGAGAAAAATTTGTCAGATATATATGTTGCATAATAGGGAGAGCATCATTATCAGTTGATAACAATGTTTCAATAGTAGAGACTTATTATCCCAGTCAAATTTCGGTTCGCGGCATTTTATTACACAAGTTGATTAATGTTTGCTAACGTATTGCGTGTATAAAAGTATTATGAGAATATCATTGTCATATTTTCCAAGATGTTTCATATTTTTTTTATCCTCATTTTCTAACATGAAATATGAAATATTTCGTAACGGATGACTCAGTAGATTACTAATACTATTATATATAGGCTTATAGGAGGGATTAATCGTAGGAAAATATTATATCATCTGAATAAATTTCTCACACTTACGAGCATTTTTTTTTTTAATATAAAATGCACATGGCTTCATCTTCACATTGCTGTCATCGGACATAAAGTTGTTCGCTTGTTTCAAATACTTAACTCAGTGTTACGTATTATAGGAACAGGATTTTTTCAGAAAAAAAATATTTGTAGCTTTATCGCGATAATATATTCAATAATACGATCTTATTAACGAAACGTGAATATATTACTATGGTTACATGCAAATATACATGTAATTAATACAAATGTAGTACATTATGGTAATTTATTCATTTAGAACCATGTATTAGTTAGCTGCATTAATAGTTCATTTTATTTTCAGGTGGAGGTATGTCAGATTCGATATGTATTTGCAACGATGCGGTTGACAGCGAATTACAAAACGACCGGAATACAATATTAGAATTTAATAGGCATCACGAGGAACCGTCTCAATAGAGTGGTAGACTTTGGATATTTAAGGACTATATTATAAGATTACATCAAATATGTTTGTGTATACAGTTTTATGATACAGATGTATTATTAATCCGCTGACATGTCTCGAACATGTATCGACAAAGGGAAAATTTATAAATAATGAATACCATGATCTATACTACAATCTATAACGTTCAGTGTAATAATAATATTATATATGCGTTCCTTTCTTTTTGAGGAAGGTAATCCTGAGGAAGGTAACTTACCTCAATTGTTGATAGTGTATAGAAAGCTGGATTCGCAAATAATAAATTTACTAATTGTAGAATAAATAAAAAAATGTTATATTTTTGTAATCATTCATCAAAATAACACATAACGTATTATGGCAGTTATAGCATAATAGATGAATATTGTATAAATCATTCGTGCGAGAGAAGGTAGAAGAGACTGAATTGAGTATTGTGTAACAGTATTTACGTATAAAATAACAAATAATTGTAACATCACAATGTTTTTCGTTATTTCTAAACTGTAAGAAATGAAAAATTAAATCACTTTTTTTACACAAATAATGTATTATTATAGTTTATATGCTCGTATGTGTGTGTCTTATCATGTTACGCATGTGTTATATCAACGAGAGAGTAATACATCGAATGTCTGTTATACGAATAATTTAATTTAAAAATTTCATTATATAAAATGAGCTCATGAAAGCGTCGAGAAACTTCTAGAAGCTCGAGTCCCAAGCTTCAAGAGCTCGAAGAAGCTTGAAGCTCGAGCCTCAAACTTCAAGAAGCTCAAGCTTCAAGCGGTTCGTGCGAGCACGAAGCTCGTGAAGAGGCTTCGGAAAGCCTCGAGAAGCACGAGGGAGCTGGAAGCTCGAGCATCAAGCAGCTCGTGCGTGTACGAAGCTCGGGGAGGATGCGGGAAGCGTCGAGAAGCACGGAGGAAGTTATTATCTCAGTGATAGCGGATATTCTCAACAATCTCGCGATGTCAAATATTATGTTTATTTTCTGCCGTAACACATGACTGTGATAAGAGGTTCGTGTGACTGTGCAGGTAATTCTTACACGCCTCAACGAAGTCTCTCGTGCCGGTCTTGGTGAATACAGACATCGCCGTAGAGTGAATCGTGCGTACAAAGCTTTTTCAACTTATAAACCGCGAAACGTATTGCGGTACGAATAAGATACAGTTTAATCTGCAAATAAATACGCGACAATATTGAAATATAATACAACAAACAATAATCATTAAATAAATTACTTAACTAAGTATCGATATCCAGTTGCAATTGCAATAGTAGCAACGGCTGTTTCTCTCGTTTATCAGTTTTAAAATGCAGCCGATCGAGAAGCTAACGGCAAACTTGCACCTGAATAACTAACGTTACTTACATTTTATAATCTATTTGATATGTCGTTAGCATTCTCCTTGCTGTTCGCAATTCGCGAGCCAAATTGGAAAGCTCTCTTGGGAAAGTTAGCCGTGTTCTGGAAACCGATGCTGCACGCCAACAAACGTAAGAGCAACTTGTCCCCCAATCCGGTCGGCATTTTTTCAGTCGGGTAGCACCTGATGACCCAATTTTATACCCCTTCGTTATCGTCGATCAGCTGCTTACTCACCGACTCAAACTGACAAGTCATATTTTTACCTCTCCCATGGTTTTAGATGTTGCACGTATCTCACCAGATTCTCGTCCAGATACGGCAGTCGGGACTGTTTCCCGTGATCGGAAACAACCCGGTCGTCCCGGCCCAAATTCCTCTCGGAAATCCTGGCCAGCTCGATACTCAGCTCCTGCACCAGCGCATCCCATCCTTTGTGTCTCAGTATGGTCCTGTGTCGCATGTATCCGCCGAACAGTTCGTCCGCGCCTATGCCCAGGAGTAGTATTCGGCACGGCGACTCGTACGTCTCGTCGATCGGATAAAGGAGGCCCTTCGCGCGACTCGCGAACCACATGGCGCATCCCAGACTCTCGTCCAGAATCGTGCACAACGGATGCAACAGATCGCAGACACGCGAGGCGCGATACGACTGCAGTTCCGCCTGCGTGATATCACACTGAAACAAGCATCAGTGATCAGAGAGAAATCGTCGTTTCTCTCTTCCGAGGGAGCAAAATCGAGCGTGCTCGAGGTATATACTTGAGATGCAGTACCTGCACGAAGTTCCACTTTCTGTTGGGAGAAATTCGCAACAACTCGTTATACGTTTGTCGTCCAGTTTTCCTGTCTGGCACATCATATTTCTGCGTTACACTCTCCTTCTCGCCACTCGCATGACTTACGTTCTGGTTACTTACAGATTTCTCGAACGCAACATTAATGAGATCGATACTTTCGTCCTCGGGAATGTGTTTGTCGACTATCGCCGTTAAAATTGCTGAATCTAGACCACCGGAGAACAATATACCGATCTTCGAGTGAGAGCAAGTGACACTTCCCCCATCTAACACAACCTTTATGCAGTCCTTGCAGTAATTCGGTTTCTTCTTCACCCTGACTTTCACAGATTGATGCAAGAGTTCCGTCAGACGTTTCACTCTTTCACTCACCTCCCGATTCTCCAATAAGTATTGTAATGTCTTGTTAAAATCGTTAGTGCACGATATATTCTCCAGATATTCCACATCCTTTGGATCAGGATGCAGGTGCAAGTTCGCCAGCGACGAATGCGTGTCCAATATAGTCTCCCTGATATTAATATCTACGTTTAAATTCGTTTCCAGCGCTTCGATAACATCGGTGAACCTCAAGTCTGGCTCTCTCCACGGGTAGCACGCTAAGTTTATCCGCGAACTATTTAAATTCATTGCAAAGATACCTATAGCCGGCACCTCCACGATTCCTTTCATTATCTTACTTGCAACCGAAGTCAGAGTCAGTGAATTCGTTTCGTTGTCTACTTTTAAAAGTAAACTATGCCGTCCGATAATATCTCGTCCAAAGTATAATATACTGCTTGACTTTTGATAGTATATTAAGCTGTAAGGGCCTTCAATCTTGCGAAGCACAGGTATGATATCTGTAGTCGATTGAAATTCATCCAATACTGTGCTCGTATCACAAATATCATCTTTTGCCTAAAACCAAGATGCCATTACAATTTGCTGTATAATTATGTATACATTTGTATATAATTAAGAGTAAGTATATATATTCCTACAGACATACAAGAAAAATAGGGTTGTGGGAAATGTTTGGTATAATGAATATACATACCAAACAGCCAGAAAAGAGATCTCCATTCCAAAGTAGTAGATTACCATTACGATCTAAACTTGGTTGTGTCATTATGCTTGGTCCTTGCATCCACAACACTGAACCGGCAAAATATCCTTGCCATTCGCAACTTAACGATACGTGTTTATCTGCTAAATAATCAGGACCTCGTGCAGCTATTAGATCCTTGCAAATATTCCACTAAACAAGCAAAGTAAGTATATTAAAATTAGCATTTGTCTAAATTTATTTGAATCTCTGTGAATTTTATATTTCAAGATCTAATTATTATGATAATTAACCATGATTATTATCATACCTGCTCGGAGCCTTCGGAGTCGGCTTGATATATAGTACAAAATATTCCGCACATTGCAACGTCGATATCAAATCGAATTACAAAATTATAGAAATATCACGCTATATATTTTCGTCACGGGGTGAAATATAAGGTTCATTAGGAGCGTAACTCGATAAGTCTTTAATTCAACGTTTGGTAGCTACTTGCCGCCAGTGACATGTCAATAGGTTATGTGATTTCACAGATACGTGAATATGTCTGATAGTACGTATTGTTGCACAAAGATACTGCAAATATAAATTCGGTATATTAAGAGGAACGTTTTGAAGCAGTAAAATCTCGTTAGCACGTTATAATAAAGCACTATTAGCGGAACCCAAGTTCACCGAGGCGTTCGCAGCGTGATCACAACCGAAGAGTTTAAAGCCCGTATCAGATACAACGTGTTGCAAGATGGAGAACAGAATTCGACCAATCGGATGGTATCAATTTTATTCGCTTTTCTTTCTGATTGGTCTAGTTTCAGTATTTAACTTGCAATCTGCAATACGTAGCTTGAAATGAGCGTTACACCTTAATATTAATTAATTAACTAATAAAAAATATCGAGAAAGAGCGATGAAAAAGAAATTCCAAAATTACTTCGGAAAATTACGTTTTAAAGAGCTTGTTATCTCTTGGCAAGAGGAATACTTATCAATTTCTTTTAATCTATCTCTACTCACAGAGATATCGTTAAAATATTTTGCGACAATCAAAGTAAATATTAACGAATGTATATTCGGTACACGACAAATGTCAGTTACAAGTCGATCAAACTAAAATGCACGAATATATAATCCGTTCTCCCTGAAAGCGTCCATCGAAAGAAGATGAAGGCACTCGTCGATATTGAGCGTCAAACGGAATACTAATTGTAAGAGTCACAAGATGCGTCGAGCGTCGAGTATGGCTGTGTTGGTTGTTACTAACAATGCTGTTTATTTCTCTACTATCGCCGCGACACGTAAATACCTACGCGAGATGCGTTTATTTGGAAAATGCCCATCTGTCGGATGTTTAATCACGACTAGCGACTAGCCGCGCCCTCCAAAATAGACCGACTTAATCTAATCAAGATAACAGCAGAATCCCTCGGGAGAGGGAGATCAAAGTGTTAACTCATTTATTCAGTGAATTCCCAAATAAACGGAACGTCGTGTCCGACCGCGGTAACGACCGCGTAACTCGGGTATCGATAACACACCGGACGGACATCGAGAGGGGTATCGATAACTTCCGAACGAGGGTGTTCCCGCCGATGAGAACGGCGCGACACGGACGAAATTTCGGTAATTCATATGCAGGCCGGTTAATAGTCCGCGGCGCGGGTCGGGTATTCGTGTATCTCCGGGGTGCTGGTGTGCGCGACGGCTGGTAGGTGGTAGCGGAGGAGTAGCACACGGATGATATGGTGTTGGTGAGATCGTTGTCCGTGGCCGTTGCGAGCGCGAGAGAGAGAGAGAGAGACCGGGCAGAAAGTGGGAGAGCGAGAGGGACAGAGGCGCAGTCTGAAAGAATAAGAGGGACGTGGCGGCAAGAGGCGCGGGTGCAGGGGGGCAGGGGGAGGGGAGGTCGTAAGGGATCGGCGCTTCGGGCAACTTCAGTCGGTGCGTGCGAGCGGGTCAGATCGGACGTTCGTTGTGTCTGCGGGCGTCGCTCGCGCGGTCGTTTTCCCGACGCATCGTCCTCTCTCACGAGCCTCTTCCTAATCGCCGGCATCGCGGCGAATGACCGTCGACGCGCTCCGGCCTCGTGGGGGAACGACGACAGGGAAGATCGGCGCGTTTTTTCTTGTCGAGAGAGAGAGGGAGAGAGAGAGATATTCGCCCGTTCGTTCGCTCCTCCGCGCGCCCACTCGGCATCGTCTTAGACGACATCCTCTCCTTCGGCTTCCGACTGCGAGGTAAGTGTCTCTCCCCGTGAGATACCTCTCTCGCGAGACGACGTTACGATCTCGACACGTCGGGGAGACCCGAGAAATGAGAAAGTTTTATCGCGCGTGTGATACCGGGCGAGTTTGAATTTCGGAGCGACGGTCTCGCCGAAGCGAAGACCGTCGCCGTCGAGGCGGCGGCGGTCGCGACAGATTCCACTGAGTATGTGCCGCGTATGTGTGCATGCGCGCGCGCGCGCGCGCGCGTGTGCACCTCCTCCGAGCGGCTCCGTGCCCGTGAAAATGAGTTACCGTCGGCATCGACGCGTTACGCAATATTTAAATCTGTATTTTTAGGCTTAGGGTCTGCCGCGACGCGCGCGCATACGCATCGCGCGCTACGCGACGCCGCGCAATTGAGAAATTCACTTCCGAAACGTATCTCTCGCGCGAATCTCCGGTATCGTCCAAGGCGTGCGGATTACGCGCCGCGAAGCGGCGAGAAACTCCGCGATCTCTCTTGTGTATGGTCGCTCGTATGCAAAATGAACGTTTCGCCTTTGCGGCGAATTTCAGCCGACGCAATGCAACGCGGAGAACCTTTTCTCTGAAAATCGCTCGAAAACCAATTCTCCCATTGGAGATCGTCGGCTGCCGTTCTGAGGCACATCAGAGAAAAAAGTGCTCCAAGTGCCGTTCTGCAAACTAGTACACAAAGACCGGCGTGATACAGCCTTAATACACGAAGTCGCTCCATTTCGGAGCTTTCCGCAAGGAACACGTTATTCGCTCTAGAAAGGTGTTGTCTAGGTCCGCATGCACTATAGGCGTAGCAAGCTTTTGGCCTGTTGCGCTCGGAGTACTATATTGTAACGTAATTCTTCGCAAAAGGCGCTTCCAGCGCTTACTAAACGTCGCAATTCCTAGGATTTAAACCGTTATTGCGACTTGTTAGTCCTTGTTAGTCAGTCTGGATCTACAACAGGTGTAGTAAGCCCTTGAAAGACTCGTATTCTGAACTTTAAATGTAGTATCTCAACCAAGATAATTCTTAAGCCACTTTTAGAGACATGTTTATCGACCAAAAGAAAGTTCAAAGTATACGAGCTTTTTGCTCGGAGCAATAAAATGTAGCCTGATTTCCGGCAAAAGATGTTTCCCGCGCTTCCAAAAATCGTAATAGCACTTAAATCTTAGGAATCGTTTGATAGAGTTGGGAAACCTTTTTGCTAGAAATTATGTTTACAATTTAACTGCAATTATCGCATATATCGTAGGACTTGAAGTTGTTTCGCCAGCTCTCTGCTTACGTCCCGTTCGATAAGCACCGATTCTGTTTCCGCGATCATTTCTCTTCTTCTCAATAGCGCGAGGCGCGAGCGTTTTCTACGCGCAACGTCTCAGATATATGTCGCGGATCGAATTATCGGTTGTTGACGCCTGTGAGATTGTTTACACTGAACGAAAGTTCGGGGAGTCGCGCACTCGCGGCGTACGCGATCCAGGCGCAGGTGGAAGGACCAGAAGCCGGTGTGTAAATTTACACACTCGGCGTTTAAGATGCGCACTATACTGACGCTGTGTGTGATTTGAAAATGCACACTACCGGTTTCCATCTAGTTCTACTCCTCGTCTCTCATTCGGTCCTGCCTTCTGCGTGTGTGCAAGCGCGTGTCACGACGTTAAGCTCGGTTCACATCATCGGGAAACGGAGTGACGGCATCGGATGCCGTCTTAATTTGCTATTAGGATACTCGTAATCAACGATCTTTGTTGTCGACGATGAGAGAATCGCCGATCGACACGATCGAGACAAATGTGGGACGAACGGTCGCGAGTCGTTCGTTCAACTTCGCCTAACTACCACGAAGTGATCATTTGCGCGCTCTAAAAACAAGACGATTAATGAGAAAGTAATTCTTCGGGTTCAATTGGTATCGTCATGGCATTCGTATCCACGTTACTTCTCTCTCTCTCTCTCTCTCTCTCTCTCTTGCAAACAGCAGTCCTTTCAGTAATAGCTGATTAAATTCTTCGGTTAACACACTGAAGCGGTCGTTTCGAAAGTACTAATGAAGCTCCACTTCATCGTCCGACGATTTATTATAGTGCCGATTCGTCTTCCGCCGCTCGAATAGTATGAATCGAGTTTTATACGGCGAGGCGTATTCGCGAGGAATGCGTCGGCATGTCCAGCGTTAATTTTACATTCTGTGGCATTGCAAGGCGACGTGACGACGTTCGTCGTTGTTCTTACGGTTAAAAGAATCCGTCTGGGAAAGGACGTTTCGGCATGATAACGTGAGACCAAGCCGTAACGATGATACAGTCTTAGTTACATTAACGTTAATCTCAATGTAACCGAGAAGATCGCGAAAAGTCGTTCCCGTCATGAGCACGTCGTATCATAATAGTCACAAAAACGCAAGTTTTTCGTATATTTTTGTACAGTTTTTCTTCCCTATTGCACGGCAAACACGTAGAAGGCAATTCAGAAGAATGAAAATGTCCCATCTGATCGTAAAGTACATGATATTTAATTCTATACATTAATCGTACAGTTACGTATTGTATGATTATTAGGTCGATGCAAAGGTTTGTTCCGTTTTTTAATCAGTTCTTCGCTCAGAAATCCTACAATTCTAGCAGGTCATCGAACAAAATGACGCATATATTTAATTGATTGATCGTATTTGAAAATAAATAAATGTTATATGCATATTTTGATTAAAGAGCGGAAAAAATTTTTACATCAACTTAATATTTGGGATTCTTTAAATTTCCATTAATCGCAATATTTTTCGCCCATAAATGGTTATAATGTATCTCACAGATACACTAATTGTTCCCATTATTTTCCTCTGCTTCTTGAAATAGTTTTTCTTTATTAGCATTTGGCTAATAGATCAGCCTCTAAAGTATATAAAAAACAGTGAAGAATAAATCGACAAGTGTTGAGATGATATCTGTTGCATATTGCGACTAACGGAGGGTTAATATACCAGAACTATAGAAAACAGTCAAAATGACCAGTTTGTAATTTTTTTTTGCAAAAGTTACTCCAATTTCCTTTCGTGATTTCTCTTGCATTGTGCATACGAATAAATATTTTTTCCTTTGCATCACATATTTTTCAAAGATCCCATTTAAACTCCGGTGGAATAGTACGCGTTAATCATCAGTAGTTCTAGCGTTTAAAGGACACAAAGGCTCGAGATAATTGCGCCGTACGTACGCTTGAGCACGCGAACGAGGTGGCGGGAGATCGCGGGATTCGCGTGAAACTTCAAGACAAAGATTGATCGATACATCAGACCGATGGCGATCAAAGCCCAGCATGTGCGATACGCGACAAGAATAGTTTGACCCAGACCTTAAGAGATTCCGAGGTCGGTAGCCGCGTGCCGAGCAGCTTTTATGTTTCATTCGCTCTCAGCCTTGACGATGTGGCGGCTTTGAGTTTCTCCTGCCGAAAAAATTCCGGCATTCCTCTAAAAATATCGTCTCCCTATCATCTATCTCTCTCTCTCTCCCGTTCTCGAGAGAAGAAACAGTGGTATACAAATATATACGCCCCTACGTAGACATTTCTCCGATACGATCGTGACAGCGTCTCGCAATAGCATATCGACAAAGTCGTTCGAGAGAATCAAGTCAGGTGAAGTTGGGGCTTCGATCGCAAGTCTCGGCGAGGTTAAGGCTGCATCTACCATAGATGTAGTAAGCCTTTAGCCGTTTGCTCTGAATGCTAAGTTGTAACGCAATTTCCAGCAAAAGGCATTGCCAGCGCTACCAAACGTATTTCCTCAAATTTAAGCGTCGTTACAAATTTTGCCGGCGTGAGAAACACCTTTTGTCAGAAATTACATTTTACTGCTTAGAGTAAAAGGCGTATTACACACTGAAAGAAAAAAGTGCTGCATTCAAGTAAATATTTGCTAAGGAGTATTGGAGTGATTTTTTTTTTATTTGGATTAAATAAATATTATTTAAATGTACAACACTGAAAGAAAAATTTCTACAATCTCGAGTAATATTTACTGAATTCAAGTGAAACAATTACTCCAATATTCCTTAAGAAATATTTACTCGAACATTTTTTTTCTCTTAATACATGTATGTAGATCCGGATTAACAAGAGACGCGCGATAAGCGTTCGCGCGCGGTGATTTAATTCCGATCTCGAGAGACTCGGAAACTCGAGTCTCGCGTCACATCGCTCGCGCCGCATTTGGAAATGTAACCTGAATTAAGAACTTACCACCTGCCCGCGCACTACGGCGGCGCAGTTCTCATTCTCTCTCGCATTAAAGAGCCCGTTCTTCGGTTCGGTTTTCAGGAGAGCGTCGAAGCGGCTGCCGAAGCGGGGATTGACAACGTCCGATTGATCACGCTCGCGAAGAAGCGAAGATTTCGATCGCACCGATTACGTAGTCGTCGTCGTCGTTGTTTACATCGTCATTGACCATCGATCACGCGTGGTGCCGCCGACTCGCCTGAGATGTTCCTCGCGCGATCATCGAGAGAAGGATTGCGACGAAGCTGGCACAACAGACGCAAGATTGTTGTTGCGCACGTGTGAGGCGCGCGCGCGCGCGCACACGAGACGAGGAGGATCGAGCGAGAAGCGTTTGACGAGGAGCGGCAACGAGCTATGATATCCGCCCTTGAACGTTCGGCCACGATCGCCATGATGCGTTTCGATTCTCGTAGCCGGCCGGTCCCCAAGTAATAACCTCCTCTTCAGCCAGGCGGTATGGTATAGTCGAGGTCCTTCGAGGAAGATAAGAAGACCGCGAGGCGAGATTCGCGCGTTCTTTAATGGACGTTGTGCTGATCCCGGTTGCATTCTGCCGGCGAGCCGCGCTTCGCGAGGAAAACAAGATTCAAGAGAAGGAAGAGGGACCTTGAGATCTCCTCCTGTTGCGCGAGGGTTTTATGGGTGTATACGAAGGTACGGAGGAGAGACTCGCTTCGAAATATCCATTCGCCACGAACGGATAATCCTCGCTCTCTCGTGCTCTCTCTCTCTCTTTCCTCCTCTCTCTCTCTCTCTTCATTATCATTCTCTCCGCCTTGTCTCTCGATGACGCGCTCAGGATGATGATCGATTGAGGCGACAACGTGCGCGGCACGGTCAACACGAGAATCGATCTCCCCCGGTGATACATCGGTGATAGCCGATCGAACAGCAGCAGCGCCAGGAAACCGAGCACGGCGAAGCGGATGCGCACCGCCACCGGCGGGGTCGCAGAGATGTCGCGGATTTCGAATCGCGTCGCCACGATCGGCGCGGCGCTCGCCATCGTTTTGCTCGTGATATTGCTGGTAATATTGTGGTCGGACGTGCGCAACATGGACAGGGTCGAGCCGGATGCCGCTCGAATACGGAAGAATTCAACGGTCGAGCGCGTCGTCAATGAGACGTGGAGGAAGCAGCAAGCCGGCCTGCGCGTCACCACGCATCTCGTTAGCACATTCGGCCAGCCGCCGACCGAGCGGAACTTCACGAACGAAGGTGAGCCCACCGCCATAGTTTCTTTTCTCTTCTTTCTCGCTTTCCCTCGCATACACACACACGCCCGTGGACCGCGTTTCGCACGACGGCGTCGACGTTTTTGCCTCATTACGTTTGCGCTAATTCGTCCCCTCGTCGATCACACGCCGGTTCCGGTGCGAGCCGTTAGTTTCGCACGATCACGATTTTCCGTTCGAGCGAGAACCGTGACTCCTCCGGCCGGTTCGTTCGCGCGGAACGCTCGGGTCATTTGTCTCTTTTCCGGTCGAACGAATTTCCAGACGTCCTTCTTCGGTGTGTGTCGAGGGGATCTCACGGGACCCCGAGGTTACCGCGGATGCTGCGTAAGCGTAACGACCGTAGTCTCATGTTGCCGGCCGCTCGTCACAGTGATTTCCGAAGAATCCCCGGGTCTTCCCGGGCGTAAATGAAATTGCGCGAGTTCGCTCCGGCGATAGACCGGCTAGATTAATACGCTCGAGTGGTCCGGGGAAAGTTACAACGAAGTACATATCTCAAGTACGGGACGACCTTGTAAGGCCGCTGCTCTAAGGCGTGCGCGCACACCTACAGTTGGATCCGTTCTTACGCGCTCGCCTCGTAACAGCCGCGACTTTACACCTTCCCGTCGCGTTCTCCTTTACGGGCGGGATCGGATCGGAAGTATGCACTTGAATAACGTGCGGCAAAGTGTGATCCGTGACGAGGACTCTCTCGCCGACGTAACGATTCGTTTTTTTCTTTTCTTCCGAAAAGCATACAACGCCCGTTTGCTTTCTTTGTTCAGCTTGCACACTCAGCTGGACACAATAGCCGTAATACGTGCGGTATAATTAGATTGCCGATATAATTTTCTAATCGTACATATCCGCTTTCGGACGGTTAACGTGAAGCTGTCACGATGTCAGATTACTGTTTTCACACGTCTCGCTTTTTTTTGGGGGGAATAATCAATAAATGACGAATCCATAATGTGTACGATTAGAAAGTTCTAACGACCTAGTCGCATTCCGTGTTGAGGCTTTATTACGCCGTGTGCATAAAGAATCGTCTACATTGGAGGTGGTAACACCGCCAAGTAAGGCGTAACGGGGTTTTTTTTCATTGGAATCAAGGTGTAACACCGGGAGTAAGCGAAATGAATCATTGCCATTTCCCACTTCCTTACCGCTTTACCACCAACCAATACTCTACTCCTTACTTAATACCGCTTATTTCCAACGTGAACGTCTTTTACTTGTTACTGCTTACTTTCAACGTAGACAGTCCTTAAAGATTACGCGTTTCGCGCGACCGTTTAACGGCGGAGAAGGCGAAAATTCGCTCGTGCGAGTTGCCGCGTTCGCGGTTTTATAACCGCGAGAGTCGCGCCGTAGTAGCCCGCGCTCCAAATACGCTTCGACCGTCGGCGTTTCGAGATATTACGTACTCCAATTTCTCTTCCTCCGGTTTCGGGCGAATGTTCCGAGAAACGATATCGCTGTATTAAGGTAGATATATGTTTTCGCGAATTCGCCGGGCGGGCGGGCTCGCTTAAAACGCATACGACGCATAATCGCGGCCGCCTCGCGTGACATCGCGCGTTTGATAAGACATTCGCGTGGCCACGTTGGCAGTGTGCGACACAAAATATCGCGCGGTTAAGCGAGCGGCAGCCTCAGGACGGGGGCCTACCTCGATACGTACGTGGCCGCGCGGAGAAAAGCGAGGAAACACATGCGGTGTGTAACTGAAGGTGTGCTGCGCGCGAACGCGCCTCGAAAAGTGCGTACGTCGTGAAGGCTCGTGTTACTTGCCAGGGTCAGCAGATGCGGATATCACGCGTTAAACGAAGCACGACGTTGTCCTCGGCCGGCGGCGTCTTACGTCGCGCGCGCACGTGTTCCCAACTCGTTAACGTACAGCACGCGGCGCTCGATCAATAGGTAAATAGCTGTGCTCCGCTCTCGGTGCGCCAAATATTCAGCGCGTTCTCGAGCCGTGCCGAAGGAGGATCGTATGTCGTGTGCGGGAAAGAGAGTCGTGTTTTAAATGACGCGATACGTTGTTGTACGACGATAAGTCGAGTATCGGAGCTAAACGAGGCTCTCGTTATTGTATTCTCGTCAAAATCACGGCAGTGAATACGGCAGGGAACATCAGGTAGTTGATGAGTCCGTGTTTACCCGGCAACCTAAAATCCGATCGCTAACACCTGTAATCTACGTTTACACGATCGGCGTAAAATCGACGTGATAAGTCTCAATACTGCAACTGCCATGTTATGTTACATGTCATATATTCACGGCACAGTTATAACGTAATTATTTAAAAGGCACGTGTGACATCGATATTCGCACCAGCAGAAACTATTAAACTGGGTTCTTTGCCGTTCGCGTGGATTACGGAAGTTACTAAATCGGTTTTAGGTTGCCGTAGTTGACGTTTCTGAGAATCGGGAGGAAAGGTGTTCGTTGTGAATTTCTTCGAGCGACTTTTCAGACTCGCGGAGCGGAACGAATTCTCCCATTTCTGAGTCGCCGTGTGGATGTTTTCACTCGAAATTTAAGGGTGAGTCTGATGTTGCTCCACCGTCTCCGGCAATTCTTCGCAATGTAAAATTCACTCTGAGTTTAGGAAACTTACTCTAAGTTGGAGCATACGTTTTCTCCCGCGATTTCGAACGGCGGTGTCTTCACCGTCGCTTCGAGTGAATTTTCACGCTCGTTTCGCGTGAGACTTCGCCTCGAGAAATTTCGAGAATGTACGTCAACGAGCTCCTTCGCCTCGCGTGTTCTATCGAGTCACTGAGAGAATCATTGTTTCAATATTCATAGATATTCTTCGTTCTCCGTGTGATTTATCGGGCTAACAATAGAATCCGTAACGCATTTTGTAGGCGTCGTGAACACCAACGCGAACAGGCGCGGGTGGCGTGTGATTCTCCGTCGCGCAAGTATTCGAGGATAAAGAAGGACAGGACATTTTTTTGCTTCACATATACATTAAACCCGCGCTGCAGTGTGGCAACAAAGAAAGACAAATGAGCAAGTTAAGAGGTTAAACATAATTGGCGTGCCAATGACACTAGAAGAAATAGTTGAGCCATAACGTAACGCAATCTCCTCGCGTTGTTCGCGAATGAATGACGCTTCTTGCTCCCCCCCCCCCCCCCCCCCCCC